GGAAGGGGGGAGGGTATATAGCACCGTCAAACGAGCTGGGATCTAGCGGGCGTTTTGGGTTCTTCCCTCCCCAGATCTTTCTGTGATCTCTCTGATAGTCATCCTCTCGAGCTCGTCGTCCTTTCATCGCGCGCCTTGTCACAGCACAACCTCCCTCTTCAGTCTTCAGGTTCAGCACGTATCATCAACATCTCCTTGCCCATAGCCTTCTCTTGTTACAACACGTACCTTTACCTCAACTACTCACCGATCTGTCAACCGCCGGTACATCACAGCTTCAACAGCACTTCCTCTCTATAAAGCCAACAAGAGACGAACACTTCCCAACCATCAAGACCTGACCTCTCATGTCTCGAGATCCAGGCCCCAGCCACTGACCTTCTTCCCCGCCGTTATTTCCCTCTTTCCTGGATCCTCGTACTTCACCCGGATCCACTCCAGTCGGCACATGGCATCCCGCGGCTCACTCACCTCACCGCCAACCAACCCCACCACCACCAATACCACCAGGACCAACGCTGCCAATAACAACAACCACGCGCGGGAAAGCTTGTTGAGCCGCAAGAAGAAGGAAATTGTGGACAGATCTATGGCTCTCTTTCAGCTGTCTCTGGATCGATGTCTTGAAAACTCAGCCGCTGCTGCCGTTTCTTCTGGCCTCCCCGCCACCGCCCCCGGCGGGGCCGCCGGTGTTGGCGTGGTGGGGGGGAGGAGGAGGGTAAAGAGGGGTCGGGAGGAGGATGAGTTTGATGAGCAGGGTGGAAGTGTAGGTGATGTGAAAGGGGATGTGGTGGGTGGGAAGACCAAGAAGAAGAGGGAGAATCCGAAGGAGGCTATAAAGGGCGGGAAGAAGTTTGCTTGTCCGTTTTGCAAGCATGATCCGGGCAAGTATAAGAGTATCAAGACTTGTTGTGGGCCGGGCTGGGATGATGTTCATCGGGTTAAGTAAGTTCTTTGGAACCTGGAAGAAAAGGGGGTTTCTAACCGACATGGCAGGGAACACATCTACCGCCGACACTCGTGGAAGAGTTTCTGCCCGCGCTGCTTTGAGCACTTTGATAAGCCCGAGTCGCTCAAGAGTCATCAGCGCGCCAACGTCCCCTGCAAGCTGAGGGAGAGAGCCCCGGACGCGATTACCGAGGAGCAGGAGAAGCTGCTCCGCGCCCGAGCCAAGTCACACTGCTCTGAAGAGATGAAGTGGAAGGATATGTACCGGATTATCTTTCCGGACGAGAAGGTTCCGTCGCCGTGTGAGTGTCTCCCTGGTCAGGATGTTTTCCACAACACGCTAACATCGATGACAGACTACGAAACAGAAACAGGCGGTTCGCACAAGGCCGGAAAATCCCGCTTCCAGAGCGTGGACGAGGCCAAGGAGTTCCTGCGCACCGAGATCCCACGCCTCGTCCGGCCCGAAATCGAACAGTACGTCACCACGCTCCTCGAGGAGGTGCAGGAGAAGGTGCACCAGAGGACGGCCGATATCATCCGCAACGTCGAGACGAAGGTGCTCATGACGTTTCATTTCCAGGAGGAGCAGGCATCGGCTGCTGCTGCTACCAGTGCTGTGCCTGGCCTCGGCCGTGGTTCGACCGAGCCCAGCCCGCTGCCGAGTCCAGCTGCTGTTGGCCCAGAGATGTCGTCCAGACTTGAGCAGCTCCTTGAGGAGTACAAGGACGATCAATATGTTAGTGAGCTGTGCAGTAACGTGCAGTTGGACCTGGAGGACTTTTTTGCGGGGAATCAGGAGTTTGGCGGGTGTGACGGGTTCAGCCAGGATTCGGCTTACTGGACGTCGTCGTCCAATGGTGGGCAGGGGTCGTATTCTGTGGACGGTGAGGCTTACGTGCACCGGTATTGATGTCTTGTTTTGTCATGGGTACGCTCATTGGGTTTACCCGGCGGGGGAAGCGAGTCCGTTGATTCATGTTTAACGTACTCCTATTTCTTCTTACAGCTCAGCTCAAGCTTGCTAACGAGGCCTGCAACGAATATCTGGAGTTCGCAAGCTCAAAAAAGGGCGGCCGGTCTGATTATGCTTTTGCTGCTTGATGGTGAGATTACTCCTACAGATGATGGACGTAACTGAACGACCGACTGCTGACCCCGTTCTGCAGCTGAACGTGGTCCGTCTGATGGCCAATCGGCCATACGCGCTCATTTACTATGATCTTTTCCTTCGGAAATTCGACGAGCAGGCTCGTGATCGAGGTCGCGCAAACTGCTCAGCAGCCGGTTCACGAGATCATCATACGTGGAAATGTCTTTCATGTCATTCGGAGCAAAAAGATGGACGCAATGGTGGCAGCTTAATACCAAAACATGATGAATTTCGATAGCGGTCCGCGGCCGTACTTCGCCAATGGCATCCACCCGCCTGTCTCTATGTCGACGGGAAGCGGATTGAGAGGTCCAAGAACGGGTCGCCTGATCCTGATGAGCCAGTAGGCTGGGACTGGGACGCGTGGGAACACAACGAGGGACCGGCGTTGCATGATGAAGCATCAACAGCCTTGGAAGCGAATGAGGAAGGGGCTGTTGGGGGGCGAAGCGAATAATGAGACAGAGTCTCTAGGAATCGGTGTAGATGACGTTCCCGACTGGCTGTTGATTCAGTGGGAAGTGCAAGAATCCTCCTGCATGCCGCCTCCCAAACCCAACTGCGTCTCACCGGCAACCATCTAGGCCCAAATCATGCAGTGCTCCCAGCCTGAACATGGCACACCCGAGAGTTCGTTTCGCACAATTGCGCGAAATTGAAATTTCACTAGCTGAGTCTCGCTCAAACATTCATGACGTTCCACCGCAGCACTCTTGCTTTGAACATGTTTAAGTTGTCAAGCATATCAAGCATCTCACAGCAAGCATCACCATCCATTCCCTTCCCATCCAAACCCCTCCGTCTCCTCGTCCCAATCCCTCTCCAACCGCCAGGCATCCTCTCCCTTGATGCCCATGCTAATCAGCCCACACCCACGATGCCCCCATTTCTCAGCAAACACAGCCCTACCCGCGTCAATCCACATCTTGACCCCCTTTTCAAACCCGTCGGCATCCCGATAAAACGGCTCCCCCCGACCGCCGCGCTGCATCGCCTGCCACATATTCCTTCCCGCGTTCCCACCCACATACTTGTCCTCCTCCATCTTCATACCCAACTGCACCAACGTCTCCCAGCTCTCCACATAATTCTCGTCGATTTTCTCTTCCTCGCCCTTAGCATCCTCATCCTTCTTCTCATCCTGCCCCTCCTCGTCCTCCGGTCGGATCCCAGGCGTAGGTAACAACAGGCTTGCTTTAATTCCCTTGATCCGCAACAGCGCCCCGACGTCGGCCAGGACGCTGCCCACGTCGAGGATTAGGCCGATGGTGCTTTCGCGCTGCGAGAAGCCCGCCCACATCAGGCGCAGGTACGTGTCGCAGTCGGAGGCGTAGTAGGGGATCTGGGTGTCCCAGCCGCCGACGGAGAGGACGGCGTCACGGTTGACGAGGGTCAGGTGGTCGTAGGCGAAGAAGTGGTGGGCCCATTTCTGTTTCTGCTCCTCTTTTTGGGGAGGAGGCTCGATTTTTTTGGGGGAATGTGAGAAGGAGGAGGGTGTGGTGGTGGTGAGGTCGCGGAGGGTGCGGATGGCGTTGGTGTAGAGCGAGTTGTACGGGGCGGAGGTGGAGTTCTCGTGGGAGAAGACGAGGAGGTCTTGGTGCGTCCAGAAGAAGTAGGGGTGGGATCGCTCCAGGGCGGTCCAAAGGTAGAAGTTTTGGAGTTGCGAAAAGGTGAGGAGGGTCGGAGTCTGTCACTGTGGTCAGTCATAAGGTATTCAAACATGAGGGGGTACTATTAAGGGATGCGTAGCAGGGGTCGGGGACGCACAATAATGACTCTTACACCCAACATGGCCAGTTGAGTGTGGTTCAGGTAGAAAGGGTTTTGGAGCGTCAGCTTGCCCTCCCGGTTTGCGAACATGACGCCCGTGTTCTCGACCACGTAAATGTCCTCGGCCGGCCACCCGGCGGCGATATAGCTCACCACGCACTGCAGAAGCTGTGGCCTGCCCAAAACGTCAGTCTGTTCATGCCACTACGAAGTGATTTGCTCGACTTACCAGTTACGCGTGAAGCCCACAAACAGCGGTGGTGGGCCGCCGGCAGCCATTTCAAACCTCCAACGTCGCGGGGGAGGGCGTGATGTCCTTGGGGCTCGGAGAAGACTCTTTTCGGGCGGCGGATTCTGGGAGAGCAGCGGAAACGGGTCTGGTATTGGGATCATTGGAGGAGGGGGCGGCTTGTATGTCTTTTCCCGGAGGTCCGCAAATGGATTCGTCCAGAGGGAGAAATCCATCTGACGGCTCTCCGGCGCCTGTTCTTCCGAGGCCCGAGTCTCGTCCAAAAGATTCTGTTGGCCGTACGTCCGTCGTTTGAGGATCCTGACGGAAACTTCCGACAACAGGAAACAGACGAACAGGGCCGCGATGACTAGACGCAACGGGTGGCGCCGCGACATGATCCGAGATGACCTGGGGAGGTACACCATCTTGAACGTTGGCTGAAGATCGGAACCGGAAGCAAAGCTGTCTGAATGGTCGTGCTGCAATTCAAAGACGTTCAAGATAAAGCATAACAAAGCACGACAGATTATGGTCTGCAGTGGACGCAACTGGGTGTAGCAGTGACTATTGATGGACGGAAGCGGAATGTGGCTCTGCCACCCTACCAGAGCTCAAATAATATACGAGTCAAATCTCACTCTCCCTTGACATCTGCTCACGTTTTGCGAGCCCGTGCAGATGCAGCATTCATCAAGGTTTATGTACCATGACCGGCTTGTGACGCGGAAGCTGGCGGACGGGTGGATCTCCGTAGTTCCTAGTCTTCGGTGATATCCAGGGGCTTGCTGTCCATCGTACGGTAGACAGACCCCTCTGATACAGGGCCCTTGTAAACGTGAGCGCGGTCAACCCCAAGTTTTAGTGTTATATCGTAACTGTGACATGATACATGATCTCCACGATCCCGGGTCTGATGTGGTCCAGTTTGAAAATGCTTTTATACTGACAAAGACTTTGCGGGTCTCAATATGCAATGGCACGCAAGGACGCAGGACTGGATTGATTAATATGTTCCAATTCACCTTCCTATCAATAGTTACTCCTCCGGTAATCGACCAGGTATCCGCCCAAACCACGCCAACATCGTAGCTCGGCGCCATCTACATATCTCAACAGCCTGACCCTCCAAACATAAAGCTGAATTACCCAACACAGTAGATTTTTCGTCCCCATCTTCTCGTCTGCGGAGCGAAGCAATGAACAAAGGGAAAACCATGTGGTGCTTCTACAGCAAGAGAGAAAATGGATAGACAACGGCGATGGAAAGAAAAAAATTGGCGGTCAATATTCGGCAGATTGTATACCTGCGGCTCCCGACACAGACAAGGGGGTATGTAAACGAGTAAACAAATGAAAATGGGATGGTGACAAAAAGACCCAGGCGACCTGTCCTGCAGCTGTCCACAATGATGCCTCTCCTTTACACATGTACAGTGGTATATCCCGAAACAAATGAATACTAACAGCGAAAAAAGAAATCTGAGAAAAGAAAGACATTTCACAAACGGAAAATAAGTCGTAAGATCAAAGTGGGAAAACGACAGCAAAGCAGAGAGTAGAATCCGAGTGTCAGTCATCCGGAACCCTCAACCTAGCCGGCGCAAACCGACCAGCCGAGATTGGAAAGTGCGGCATGGAGCAACCCACGCACCCACGCACCCACTCACTCCTCATCAACGCCCCCCAACCCACCCGTACCCACACTCCTCTCCCGACTACTCTTCTTGCCCAACCGCAAAAGACTCAACCTCTTCCTGACACTGTTGCCGACCCCCCCTTGGCCCACGCCCTGATGCATCTGCACCGGCGGCGCCTGCCCATGTCCATGTCCCGGCAGAAGAACATGCGTCTCATACACTCCTCCCTTCTCCCCCGCAACACCACCGCCAGGACTCGAAGAAACAAACACCTCTGACCCGCCACTGCCACTCACGTCAGTGGTGCTGGTAACCCACCCGCCATCGGTCCCCGCCACACTCGGTGATGCATGGACGTGGTGAGCATACGGACCGCCGGTCCCATTAGCAAAATGAACCCGATCCACCACCGCCCGGCCAGAAGATGAAGCCGACCCGGCTTCCGGAGCAGCTATGTTGTTGTTGGTGGTGGTCGTGACCTGCGGAAAGGCGCGGAAGAAACTCCTTCTCTGGGTACTAGCAGAATTAGCACCAGCAGCAGCACCCCCATCCTTAGCAGAAGCAGGAGCAGAAGCGGACGCCGACGTGTTGCTCTTAGTCGCAGAGATGGGCGCTTCAGGCTCCTCGTGAATGGCATCCCCGTTAACGGCGTGCTGATGGTCTTGCTTCGGCGGGTCCTTTTTGCGGCCGCCGAGAAAGCTGAGGCGCGGGCCGCGGCTTTGGCGGAGGGAGACGGGCTGGACGATGGTTGCTTGTTCTGTTGTGACGCTGTTGGGAAGGGCGGCGCCGGCGTTTGAGGGGGTCTTGGCGCGGGCTTGGTTTGGCATGCCGTTGCCGACGGCCGAGGAAGCGGAGCGCGGCCAGGTAGGAGAGGGCGTGATGGTGTCGCGGATGGGTTGGGCGGGGGTGAAGATAGCGATTTCGGGGGCGTAGGTAATCTCGAAGACTGCAAGGTTTAGTTCATGGCTCATGGACGGTGGGCGTCTTAAAAGGCGAAACTTACAACGCTGCAGATCCTCGAGATGCCGTGTGAGGATCTCGTTCCCGCTCTTCGCAAACGTCGCCAGACACCTCTTGAGCATGATAGCATGGTCCAGCAGCGCTATCTTGATAGCATTCTCCTGCGGATCCAGCTCCGGCGGCTCGGCCTCCTCATCCTCTAGCTCGCTGGCCGGCAACCTTTCTCCAGCCTTGGACATGCCAGGGACCAGCTCTCGATACACCACCACGCTGTTCTCTGATTTGGGATTCACGCTGATGCTCACGGCATCCACCAGCAGCTGCGCCGACTCGTCGCCGCCCTCGCCATCGGCGACCTTCTTCTCGAGCGCCGACATCTCCGTCGTCTTGCGCACAATGCGCTCGAGCGCCGTCTCTTTGGCCGACAAACGCACCTCGTGCGCTCCGACAATCTCGCTGCGCCGCAGAATCGTCGGAAACGGCTCGGCCGTCGTGTAGACCACCTTCTCGACGTAGTGCTCCACCGGCGGGCCGATGGTGATGCGCTTAATACTAGTCGAGAACGCCTGCGGGTGCGCAGAGACGAGATACTCCCGAATCACCTGCGGCACCCTCGCGCGCTGGAAGACATGGTGGCTCAGGTCGCGATGCGGGCTAAGCGACGAGATGACCAGGAACTGCCCTTCGACGTCATCGATGTGCTCGCTGGTGACAATCCTGGCCGCGGGGTACATCTCCTGCATGCGGTCGGTAAAGCTGGAGGTGCGCTCGGCGGGGGAGCCCTCAAAGACAAACTCCTTGTCGCGCACGCTGGTCGGGAAGCCGAGGCCCTTGAAGACGACCTTGAAGTACTTGGGCACGAGCTTGTCGCTCTTGGCGATGGTCTCGTAGATGGAGGCAATGGCGCGCTCGGTGCGAGCGAGCTTGGCAAAGTCGAACGTGTTCGTCTCGTACTGCGCCTGCAGCTCCTTATACGCAGCCAGGGCGCTGCTCCAGGCCTCGCCATCCTCAAAGTGCTTGATCATGTCGAAGTAGATGCGCTCTTTCCGTTCAAAGTGGCTCTGGGCAGGGAACTCAGGGTCTTGCAAAGCCGGCGTCGTTCGTAAAGGGTCCCAGTCGTACACGTCGGCATGCAGTCGGAGGGCCAAGCCCGCCTCGGCGTGGTTGCGAGCCTCAGCCTGGAGGTTCGCCAGCTGGTGGACATAACGGATGAAGATCTCCTCCTTTTGCATATCCCGCAGGAATTCCATCAACCGCAAGCGGTGAATGAGATGCGAGGCCTCGCCAGACCCATCCCCACTGTAGACCGCAACCAACAGATCCAAGAACACGTCCACTGTATCAGTCAGCTCCCGCAGCGCGCTGTAGAGCGGCTCGTCCTTTACCGCCGCCAGTGGCTCAAACCGATCCAACAGCTCACCAACAAACAGTTTCTGCAGTATGCTCTCCGTCAACGGCTTCGTTTTGCAGTAGACATCCAGACAGTCAATCATCTCGGTCTGAATGACCGACAGGTCCTCACTGAGCGTCCACTCGCTGACGATCATGGTCTGCAGAACCTCGACCGCCATTCTCCTCAACCCCTCATGTACACTCAAACAGAGCTCGACAATTGGCGCCACCAGCGTCGGCACGTACTGTACCTGGTACCCGCCCATCTTGGGGAGGCCGTACCGCGCCCTCTCCTCGACCGTCGTCTCCCAGCCGATAGCCTCCCAGGTCCGCCTGAGCAGCTCGGCCCCGTGCTCCCGCACGTCTCCGGCAATCTTCCACACGGCGCGGCGCTTCTGCTCGGGGAACGTCTCGAGCGCGAGCGACGGGCTGCCGACGAGCTTCAGCAGCGTGGTGAAGAACAGCTTCCATAGTTCCGTGGGAAAGTTCTCGGCCTCGTCCGGGTGCGGCAGGAACGAGTCGAGAAGGATACCGGCGAGGTACTGCAGCGTGCGCATGGTGGACTTGTGGTGAAAGATGTGCACGCTGAGCCAATCGTCCGGGAACGTCTCGCCCTGGAGGATGCTCATGTGCACGCGCAGGCAGTTCTCGACGAGCACGTGAAGGTCGTCCTCGGCGAGCTCGAGTTGCATGCCGTTGGGGGAGTTGGACACGGCCGAGAGGACGGCCGAAAGCTCGGTGAGGGCTTCGTCAAAGGCAGTCTCTTTTGTGATAGGGCGAGAGGGGAAGGGGTAAGTGGTGGGAAAAAGAAGGGAGAGGCGGTTTTTGGGACGCTTGGGGACGGCTTGGATAGCGAGATAAGACTGGATAATCTTGGGGATGTAGTCGGGAATCTCCGGCCCGAGGTGGTCCATCTGGCTGGCGAGGACAGAGCAGCAGAGGCGGACCTGGTCTTTCCAGAGGTCTGTGACCTCGTCGATGTGGCCCCAGTGTGGCGCAATCCAGCGGACGGTGTTGGCGCTCAAGGCAGACCGCTGCTCCGGCTGTGAGAAGATCTCGAGCTTGGCGTACTTGATGATCAGAACCAGTTTGTACAGGACAAGTTTGCCTTTGACGGCAGAGCAGGAATCCATGAAGTCAATGGCGATATGTAAGATCTCCTCGGTCGTCAGAAGGCCAGCCAGTTCCGGGAGCCAGGTGTGAAAGTGCTGGACAGCAATGGTCTGGCTGCCCACCAGGACCGGCGCGCTGCTGCGCATCATGGCATCAAGCGCCTTAAAGATAACGCGCAGGTGGCGTGTGAAGGCCGGGTTTGAGCCTGTAATGCCAATGCCAGCCTCCTTCTCCTTTTGTTGTCCCCGACCATGGGTGATAAACTTGAGGATATGCCGTGCAACCTTGAACGTGGCGCGAAGCCTCCTCGCGGTCTCCGGCTCTGTGGGCTTTGACAGAAGCCGGGTGAAGGACTTCACCAGACACAGCGTCGCAAATGGATAGTTGAATCTGGTCTCGGCATACTGGTCGACCAGCGGAGCAAGGTTGAATCGTCTGTCGTGAACAATATCCAAAACTCTCACTAGTGCAGTGAACACAAGGTCCTCGTAGTCGTCGTTTCCTGAGTATTCGCAGAGAATCCCGAACAGGGCATCCAAGACATCGTTCAGGAGTTTGACGACTTCGATTTCAGCGACAAAAATGAACTGTTTCAGAAGCACTGGGATGCCTTCTCGAGACGAATCCTTCCAGGCCAGTAAGCCCAAAACTACGCGGTCCTGAGAGAATCTGGTGCTGCAGAGGTACGTCTCGACGCGTAACATGGCGAGCGGCCCCGTCACGTCGGCTTGGTGCTCGTCTCTTGCTCTGGGAGAGAAGGGGAGACTCAGATACCCACCCTTGCCCTGCGGTCCGGCGTGGGGCGTGGCCGTGTGCTCGTCGAGCCGATACAGTAGCAGGCCGTGCTGGCCATCGCGGATGAACGCCTGTTGGTCCCACAGCGGCATGTACGCGACTGCAAACGGCTGGTTCGGAGCATCTGCCAAATGCATGACGACGTGTCCCTGGTGGACGTCCTGCGGTGTCAGGACAAGCTTGACGGTCTGCCGCCAGGGCTCTCCACGTTCAGTGACCACTGTCTTCCAGGTACTGATGGCCTCAGCGTTGGACGAGGGGTATATGCAGTTCTCAACGCGTTCGCCATCCGGCCTGCGCACCTCGAGCGTGAGCTGGAGGTTGTTCCCGTGGAGGTTGTTTGGAAGCGCCGTTGGGCTTCCGCCAAATTTGGACAGTAAGGTTTGCCGGCTCAGGACGGCCTCGTCAATTGTCAGGTAGATGTCGGACCGTGGCTTTGTCGGTGCGCCCGAGAATCCCATTTTCTTGGTCTTGCAGATGTTGGAAAGCACGGTCGGGGTCGCTTTAATCAGGGCGTCTGCATCCGGGCTCTTGAAAGCCCGAATGTGGACCTGCAAGCGCTCGGCTCTCCTCGATTTCTCATAAGACCCCGTTTTAGTGTCCATGATGTCTCGTATTACCGGATCCCATTCTTCGCCATCTTGCGCCTCGAACGAGTTCTTCGCAGACGGCGCCCATATGCTGACTATGTGCTCAACCTCGTCATCCTGCTTCATGACTGAGTTCAGCTTCAGCACGCCCACGCCAACCGTTCTCTCGGCTGTCTGAGTAGCGTGGCCGTCCACCGAGGCGCGCCCAGCCTTGGAGTTGGCCGTGCTCGGGGGAAGCCCATCCCTGCTTTCGGCGCCTGCTGTGACCGGTGATGCTGCTTCTTCGGGTTGCTCCGAGAGCGAGTCCAGCCTGGCGTTGCCCCTCGAAAAGGGTGACCGCGTGCTCTTGCCGGCCCACATCAGGCTCCTACGCACCGATTTGCCTCCGGCGGACAATGGCGGCTTCGAGTGATCTTTTGAGAACTGTGGCAGCGCCTGTCCCATGGACTCAGACCGTGAGCTGGGCTTGGTAGCCACCACCTGCTGCGACGCACGAATCTTGACAACCAACAAGAGTTCCGCATCAGCGGAGGCCACGTCGCCGATGTCGCTGGCGGTCAAGTCAGCGAAGAGAGTGCGCATTTCCACGTTTCTGGCCAAATGGACCATTTGCCCACCGGCGGGCATCTCGACTATGTAGCTCTCGGTAAGAGGTGTCAGCGCTCCCCCGGGGCTTTTGGTGGCTAGGTAGAGAACGAGGGTGGTGGCCTCGGTGGATGCGCCGGCAAACCCCTTGATATCTACCAGCAGGTGGTGAAAGGCAGTCAGCTCGACCGTGTTTTTCGGTGTCTCGTCCAGCAGGCTCATTATGGACTGCAGTTTCGTTATCTCCACCACCGAGTCGTCCCCGGTGAGTACCCGCCCGCGCTCGTGCGGATCGCGAACAATGACCTCTCCCCCACAGAGCTTGTTGACACGGACCAGATCCCAGACGGTCTTCTCGCGGAGTATTTCGTACTCCCAGGCCGTCAGCACGTCGTGTAAAAACTGCTGGCGCGCGAGGTTGAGCGAGGTGATGAGTTTCGACAGGGTATCCAGCTTGGCGTACTGGCGCGACAGCAGCAGCTCGTGGAGGTTCGTCGAATGCCATTCTCGCAGGCAGGACGCGATTTCGTCAATGAGAGGCTCCGAGGTCGAAGTTGGGGTCTCGTCGCCAATCTTCAGCATGGGCACGGGCGCTGGCGGGCGCGGCGCACTCGGGTCGCGCTTCGCAGGCACCGACAGCAGTCCATGGGTGCCATTGGGCAAGGTGGTCTTCGCCCCGTCTTTCCTCCTCTTTTCCTCGCCGTTAATGCCGTGTATCCCGCTCGTGACCGAGTCCCCCGGCCCCGCCTGTGTCGCTGTTGGCCCAGGCGCCGGCGAAACATCCCCGCTGTCGATGCCGTTGTCGGTCTCGTCGCTGTCTCCCAGTACTTCGCGGATCTCGACGCAGCTGCGGGGAAAGATGCCACTAAAGACACGGGCTTCAAGGGTCTGTCCCTTGACGCTCGTCAGACCAGCTAGCAGGCTCGGCGGTGCGACCAGGTATCCGCGGAGCCAATTGCCGTCCGGAGTCTCTTCGATGATGTACAGCTCATCGCCGAGCTCGAGGGGGAGGTCGGCCGGGCTCGAGGCGGCGAAAGGATATGTCGCTACGGCGAAGGCGATGCGAGGCAGCGGTTGCCAGGGCATTGTGTCCGACCGGACGGCATCTATGGTGTTTTATCGGATCAATCGCGTTGCAATGGGTATCACAGGTTGGTTCAGAAATCGATCCTGGAAAAGCGGGCGGTGCGCGTGCCTCTCAATCCGGGTTGGGAGCCGCTATGTCAGATTCGGCCAAGCCGTTCGTCGTATTCTGGTCGTCCCACTGGCCTCGTAGAACGGGTCTCAGCAAAGGCGGCGGGTTATCGCATCAGGGAAGGTGAGCAAATGTCTTGGAGTTGCAGTCGTCCAGGAATTCCTTCTGCATCAGGGGCGGGCGACGATCATTGCCAAGCTGCGGCGGGCTGTGGGTCGTCTCCAGGGACAGTCAGGAACAAGGACCCCTATCAATCGTCTACACAGTACACAGTAATTGGGTGAAATTCAGCTCGCGGAGCTCTGGTGCAGATCTGATGCGTCGACAGTTGCAATGCAGGGATGCTGCTTGTCTCGACGCCAACCTAATTTGGCGATTTGGACAAATTGGGTCAATTGAGAAAGGAGAGCTTTCAAAAAGGAGGACAATAGAAGCAACTATGAACAACTTGGTGAACAATAAGAAAGCAGAAAAACTAACAAATAATTTTAGCTCTTGATGAACCAACAATAACTGCGAGTAAGAGGATTGGGAGCATGAATTGGGCTTGTGCACGGGCCTCTCCGCATGAAAATCGTCAATGGTGGGAACACTTACGGCGAACATGCAGTGGCTCAATTGATCGGACGTGCTCGAGCCGTGCTGTCTGAAATGAGTTCTGGATATCATCCTATTTGCAGCTTCAGTAGCACGGGCAGATGGTATTCTGCGAAGTCCAGGGCTGTGAACGTTCGCAGAGCCGAGAATCCAAAATATACCAATGAGTTGTATTGAGTGGCGGGACCAGAAGAGGGAACAAACATATCATGGGGATGAGGCGCCCACTAGACTCACGGGTCCGATGCATACTGCTTGGTAACTTTCGACAACTCTATTATCATCAGGCATATCCAGTTTACTGTCGCTATGCATGCTAACATCAGCCAACAAAAGAAACTAAACACAAAAGAAACTAAACACAAAAAAGAAACTAAACACAAAAGAAACTAAACACAAAAGAAACCATATCCTCCTCTCATGCATGCATCAATCTCGTTCGCACTTGCATCCATCCATGGCCATGACATCTCCACAAACATCAGTTTCGTCACTCAACATCCGCCATTCACCACACCCATCAAAACCTTCCAGATTGCCAATATGGAGCCCTCTAAAACCACCCCTTCTTACACCCCTTGGTCCCCTTCGCCTTTGCCTTTGCCTTCGCCCCCATCTGCTCCTCAACCGGCACCGAGACCGTAATCCGCACCGTCTCTGTCTCGTACACCGTCTCTTCGACCGTCTGCGGCACGGCAGTCACCACCGTCGACACCGTCTCGGTCTGCGTGACGACGCTGACCCGTACCGTCTCGGTGACCGTCTCAAAAACCCGGACCGTCTTGCGCTCCGTAACGAACGGGCCGGGGATGAAGAGCGAGGCGGTGGATGAGAGGGCGGAAGTGGTGGTGGTGGTGGGAATGGCTTCGTCCATGTCGAGGTCGGCTTCGCAGCTGTCGCCGATGGGCTTCTGTTTGTGGTCAGCCGGGACCTTTATGGAGGTGTCGAGGTCGTCAGTTGATGGTGCTATGGCAGTAAACTCGTCCTTGTCCGAGGCCTGTTCAACGTCCGTTTGTGCCCCTTCAACAGCCTGAAACGATGATGGAGTTTGGGCCGCTTCAGGGTCGGGATCGGACGGAACAGCCTCAGCTGCGTCATCGATCGGATTCGAGTCCATCAGATCAACTTGCTCCCCCTCTTCCAGCGAACGTGAAGAGCCGTGCTCAGCCTTCCCTTCAACAGCTTCCTCGACTCCAGGTTCCTCCTGATACAGCGCCACCCCTCCGACCATGTTGACAGGATACTCCAGCCCCGGCAAAGCACAAACATCTGTCATGCGCCCGTTACCGTCCACCTCCTCCGCACCCACGACCTCTGGTTGGGAGACCTGCTCATCAGCAAGGACAGCCTCTACCTCCAAAGTCTGCTCCACCTCAGCCATACCGCCCCCCTCTTCAATCACAGTGACGGTGTCGGTCCCCCGGGACGCGACATCTTCAGAGACAAAGACCTCAGGAGACGGCACCTGCATACTGTCCTCAGACTCAACTGTCTTCGCAGAAGCGCCACCCGCTTCCACAACCTGACCACCCACAACATCTCCCATCTCCGTTCCCCATCCCGCCTGCACCTGAGCCAGCACCTCCTCCTGCCTAGGCTCAACCTGATATTGATATGCCTGCAAAAGAGCACCAGCACCAGCAGGCGCAACAGCACCACCACCAGGCTGCACCTGTAACCCCGCCTCCATGCCCATACCCGGCCGGTGCTTCATCATGACGACCACGAACACGCATAGCACAATGATGGCCACATTCTTGGGGTCGCGGAGCAGGACCTTGAACGCCTCCATCAGCAGCTCGACGAAACCCGAGTTTTCGTCTAGGACAATAGGGTTGGAACGGAATCGGGTACTCTGACCCTGGGCGCTGTTACGCCTCCCGCTGGCAGGCTGATGATGAGTGGCACCGGAGGCGTATATGTCCTCTGGCGGTGGCGTGGGGTGGGTGTTGTGGGGGTCGCTTTGGTACTGGTGACTGCCCGTATGGTGGCGGTGGTGGAGGGATGGGGACGAATTGTCGGTGAGCAGTGGCATGGGAGGATGCGCGGTGGTCAGGGCGTTGGATTGGAGGTAGGGTTGGCTTTGTGAGTGGTGATGGTGCTCGACAGCAGCCTGCATCGGTGGAGCAGGGAGCTGCGCTGGGACTGGAGCGGGCCCGGTGTCGCCGTAGATTTCGCGGAGCCGTTCCTCGTCGCGGCGCCGGCGCTCCTCCGAGGTGTCAATCGGCTCGGTGGGGCGTGACTTGGCTTGATACGGACTGGGTGTAGCGGCGCGGACAAGCGTGGTTGACGATTGCGTCAGCTGCATTGCAGACGGGGGAGGGGAAGACATGAGGGCGGTTTGGGCGGCCGTGTCATGCTCAGTCTGCTGCCGGCTCGGAGCACGCAGTGCCTCGTCTGGCGAGGCCGCTCTTTTGGCCAACCCCTCTGGCTCAGGCGTGCGCCGCAGTTCCAGCTCCAGCTCTAGCTCCTGCCGGCGCTGCTGCTCCTCCAACTCCAACTGCAGCACCCCCAGCCGCTCCAGCTGATTCTGCACCACCACATCCACAATCGGCTCAACCTCGACATCAACCCTCTCCATCTCCTTCCAGCACGCCTCCCAGGCGCCAGCCCGCATCAGCCCATTACTGGCATACACCTTGACGCGAAACACCTTCCCCGGCCCAAGGTCCTCATAGCGGATCTCATTTCGGCACGTGTTACACCAATGCCTCTTCTCCTCTGTCTTGCCCTCCCGCAAATCATCCTCATCTTCACTCTCGTCCTCCAAGGCGTGGGAATTCGCCGGCCCGAGATAATGCCCACATTCCAGGATCCTGGCCCGGCGCCGGACCGGCAGCTCTAGCGCCTCGAGCAGCCGCTCCTCAAGCACTTCGTAATCGTTCTGCGGGTGTGGCAGCAAGATGCCCCTTTCAAGCACCGTATCCCCAACGCGGTCCTGCAGTTCGCGCCAGGCGTCGCGCAGCATCTTGAGCTGCTCGGACGGCTCGAATGACGACAGATACGGTTCTGCCGTTGTCGTCGTCTCGTCGAGTGCACTGAGGGCCTTGGCCCCCTGCATTACCGAGTCCAGGCCGTTGAGGACATCGCCCCAGACCCAGCGCAGCGGTAGGAGGGTGACGTGCAGGAGCACGAGCGGCGCGGCCTCTTTGCGGGGCTTGAGGCGCGGCGGAGTGGAGCGGTTTCTGGGCGAGTACTGAGCCGAGACGGTAGGGCTGCCGAGACGTGAGAGAGATTGCTGCTGGAAGCGCTTACTGGATCGGGGGGAGCTGCCGTTGAAGACGGAGGGAGTGGGCGAGGCCATCTGCATGGCGCGGATCTCGGAGGGTGTGCGGAAGGGCATGCGTGTCTCGCGATTGGTAGGGATGAAATGCTTGTCGTCGTACTGGGAGAGGCCCGAAATAGTGGAGAAGCCTGACACGGCGCGCGGGGAGTGGCTGGTGCTGGAGGCGTAGGATTCGCGGCGTGAGAGGTGCTCCTTGGCCTGGGGGGTCTTGATGTCGGTGTCGTGGGCGTCGAGCGAGCAGAGAGAGCTCCGCGCGCTGCGGTCGCTAAACACATCGTCGTCAGGCTCGTTGTGAGAACTGCTGTCACCGGCATCATCGCTGGATATGGAGCGTGGGGGGATGTGGCGGATGTGAGTGTCGGAAGATTGCCGGCGGCTGGAAGATGGACGCGCGATGTAGGTGCTCGGAACGTCGTCGCCGAGGATGTAGGTGTCCTGCGAGCCGGTGCTGAGGAGCGAATTGTCAAAGTCGTCCTCGTCTTGCCTGACCGCTTCTCCGCTCTTGCGCTTCTCGATCTTGGCGACGACGGCGCGCGCGGCAGCCTGGATGAGGGCCTCTGTGCGGAGGGACGTTTTTCTGTCGACAAAGCTGCGGCGGCGGTCGCAATTTTCCTCCTCGACGTTGGTGTTCTTGCTGTTGGGCCTGGGCTTGGAAGTGTCTGGGAGGTCTTGGCTCTCTTCATCCTGGGCTTGCTGTGTCGCTTGAGGAAGGACAGCGTCTTCGGCTGGGGTTTCAGATGGTGCCTCAGTAATAAGTGAGCTCGGCCCTGGTGCTATCACTTCATCGCATTGTCGGTGATGTTCACGTTTTTCTAGTTCCGGGATAGGGTCGGCGGCAGACTGCTCGGCCTGTTCGGGCTCGGCTGCGTCGTTTGTCTCGGTCTTGGGAACCACATCGTCAGTGACAGGCATTAACGGTTGTTCCGTTTCGGTGACAGGTTCCTCGACTGGCTCAGGTTCAGGGCCAGTCCCAGAGCCAGTCTCTAGTTCTTGAACGGCCTCAGTCTCTGGGCTCGGTTCCGGGGCCGGGGTGTCTTCGCGGGTTAAGGTCTCGTCAGCTTCGGCGGTGACCTGGGCTACTTCCTTAACCTCGGTCGCTGATGGCTTGTCGGAAGACTTCGCCATGGGCTCCGACCCCGGTTGTTGTTCCTTGATAGCAGCATCGACATATGGTGGTGCTTGGTCCGACTCCTGCGTTGGGTGTTCTTGTGTGGCCCGTGCCTCTGCCGCAGCAGCACCCTGAGGTACTTCCTCTGTACCCTCCACCGCCTCTTCCGTAATCACCTCCTCCAGTGTCTCGGGGACAACGGTAGGCTCCTCCTGGACCTCTTCGGGCGAGGGCGGCATCTCGGTTGTTGGGGTTTCGTCGCTCATTAGTTCGCTCAAACAGGAAGGGTCGACATAAATTTTGAAGTCCAGATCGAGCTCTGGAATTTCTCGTGGCATCATAGGAAAAACAGGTTCAAACAAAGCAACGCGCAGCAGCCAAACGTTTATACAGCGACACGCATCCCTTGATAACTCGGGGCAACCCGTGAGTGCCAATGGAAATGTCGGGCCGAGTGGAGCGGCTAGAGCAGTGATGCGCTGGCAATTGTACGTAACGTCGAGGCGAGGCGGACTGTTTTGGTGGCGGGAGCACCCGACTGGTCTGGAGCACCGACAGGCCCCAGGGGGTTGGGCGGTGACAGGTCATGATGAGTTGCGATACTGGAGGCTGGAGCTGCTCGGCCAATTGTGTGCCGAGTAAACAAACGGTTGCCACGGAAATTGGCCCGCTGCTTCTCTTGGCGCCCTAGACCTGCTGTCAACTCTCGAGTAAGAACCAATTGTCGGATTGCAATGGAAGAGTTTCCGGAATGGAGCACCCCGCTGTGGCATTTGATGGAAACCCCCGAGTCGAACTTTACATACTAGGTAAAGTAGCCGGCTTCAAAGTCAGGGTACGTCTGTAGCGACTGCCCGTCCTTCCTGGTAGGACGAGGAGAGCGCCCATAGAAGACTTCCTTCCCGCGGTAAGCTTCTGTTTCATCCGTTGACAAATTTTCCGAAGTATAAATCCCTCCTCGAGATTCAGTTCCAGTTTTCGCTCACCCTGTGTCTGCTTCAAGTTAGCACAAACACCGCTCTTGGTGAGGTATTGGGCGCAACTCGAGCACCAAGACCTTTCCACTGAACATTGGGCCTGCATTTGACATCCTCTGATATCTTCAGGTTGGATCTGAATTCCTTGTTCAGCGAGCGTCTGCTGTCTGCCCTCTGTCAAATCCTAGACTTTGCCATGTCATCGGGCCCACGACCGAGGACGCCGTCATGGTAGGAGCCGGGCAAGTGATGCGGACTCAAGGGCGAACCGGCGAGTTTCTCAGCTGCCTTGGCAGGGGTTGGGGATATTGTCAGGAAAGGACAAAGACAACAAACAATCGTCCATCGTTGGCCCTCATACCAAGTGAAACCACCGCGCCTCAAACCCACCATCTATACCCTCATCCTGCATAACCCATGCAGATCCGCCTCTTAAGCAATTCTTACCTTTCTTCCCCGCCCTGATTTCCCGCCGCTCCCTCAATCCTCTTCTCCACATACGGCGTCCTCGCCCCATAGAAGACAATCACCTCATCACCCACCTCAACCTTGTCCAGCACAAAAGCCATATACCACCATCCGTGATCGCAAACCGCCGCGGCCACGCCTTCTTCCCAATAAGGTCGCAAAACCTTGAATGCCCCATGGTATCGGGATACGTCCGATTATCTAGGCCCAGCCCATACAGCCGCTCGCATCTCGCCGTCGTCCCCAGACGACGGAGAAGACATGACCAGCGCTGCCAGAGTAAGATTTCCGTATGCCTGGAAGTCCTGGGCAACGTGCCCCGGAGCGGGAATTACGATTCCCGTGTCGTCCTCGGATTCGTCGCCGACAAGGGTGGGCCAGAATGCTTCAGTCCGGCTGCGCGAGGCCGCAGCGTCCGCAACTGTGGCGGTAATACACGGGCCCTTCTCCATGTTGGTGCTGCCGTGGGGGCTACTGTTCACGTCTCCGGGCGATTTACTGCTGCCGTCGCTGTGTAATCTGCCCATGTACCTACGTTCAGAAGTACGGGTGACAAGGGTTGCATCGACCTTTGCCGCAGGGTACACCGCCGGCACCAGCCTCTTAACCAGCCCCCACATATTCGTCAACCAGGTACCCGACTTGTGGGACATCGATTCGGCATCATTTGTGAGGCGAATGAGGGAGGGATAGTCGGCCGTTGAGGTGATGGGGAGGGCCTTGTCGAGCAAAGGGGCGATGGCTAGAATGCGGCCTGCTAGGAATCCGCAGGCCGACAGTACTCTTCCGCCGGGACACAGTTGAAACGGAGGAAGATGAGGAAGGACCGTCGGCGGTGTGTTTGTGCTTGCGGGTTGTCTAATGGCCATAGGAGGGGCGGGCTGAGGGGTCTGGGACCCAGGACGGGAGAGATTCAATAAGCGGGGATTTCATGGTGGCGTGGTTGATTCTGCCGGCGATGTTGAGTAGAGAAAAAGTTCGCCTGTTGCATGCAGTGCCAAACGGTGTTATAGTAGACTTGCTGCGTGGTGAGGTTATGGTCGGGTTGGAGGCTGGGGTTGTTGGCTTCGCGGCCAAGGCCGAGGACGGCAACAACCTTGTCGCGGGCTTCGATGGCGCGAGACAGCAAGCCAAGAGGAGAACGTCTTGAAGTGGGAGGGGTCCGTCGGCGAGGACCGCGAGCACAGCGAGCACTCTGGGGATCATGTCAGTATATAGTCACTCGTTTCGGAGGACTCTGGGAGTTCTCCAGTAAGCAATTCAAGTGCAAGATTATCAAGTACTTTTAGGACATTGCTTATTGGAAACCATTTGGCTTCACCGAACCTCACCCCGTTATCATTTCATAACCTTCAGGAGTCCCGTTCAGAGTTGGGCCTTGCGAGATTCATCACAGTATACCAGCCGTGGTAAAAGGTCCTCTAGAATACATCCCATGCCTATAAAATAGCCGTACGGAGAGCCGCAAAACCAAGTCGTTGAAGATCTGGATAGTAGTCCTCGACGTAGCCCTTCAGCGATTGCCAAAGGTTCTCTATCAGGTTGAGGTTTGAGCTTTGAGCAGGCCAGTCCAATAGCTCAAGTCCAAGTGCCGCAATGAGACGCCTCGTTGACTAAGTTATATAGGTGTAACGGCACGGCTGATCGGGTCGGCAAAGCCCGGCGGCGGGTGCCAGTTGTTACAGCTTCATAGTGCAGCCAGTAGTTCGAGCAGTCGGATTGAATAATTTGTACCCTTTTCTGGGAACATGGTATGGCTGCACGTTGTGTGCCGCTACAATAGGCAGCAGCATTGTCTTTGTTAGAAGGCGAATTGGCAGCTGTAGGTCTCTAAGAATTTTCAGCGTTCACACGCCCGTATCCCTCCTTCTAAAAAAACCTGGGTTCCTTGTACTGTCCAGTGAAACAACCCCAGAACATCCAGCCGTGTGATTTCTTCCGAAGAAGTGCCCAAGTTCGAAGGTTTTCGGTAGAAAATATAGTGATCTACCTCTTCCACATAGGGTTATTAGTAGCCCAAGTCTCATCGCTAAAGATAACCTTTTTCCAATCCTCAGGATTAGGTCGTAAAGCCAACTGCTCATACGCGAAGGCGAGTCGTGCGGCCAGGTGCTGAGCAGTCACTTCAATCCTGCGGAGGCGTTTCCTCCTTAGTAGCCCATCGATCGTAGGGCTTTAAAGATCGCAGTCTCTCTGAAAAGCTTAAGCCCCGGGATATAGTACTTCAAATCGCCCCATGGGAGCTCGTGGGAAGAGGCTGTCGGCTTCGAGGTAATGACGGACAGTCTCTTTCTGCGGAGTACGGATCTGGGGCTTGATCGGTGTAATAAGGGGGCGGTTAGGTACGAGGAACCCCTATCTAGTTTCCTTGACTGGTTATTCTCATATGTAACGTATAGCTTTCCCAAATTCCTTGTTCCCCTGTCTTGTTACAATTCCTTCCTCCTCCTTGCACCTGATGCACCAGCTCTAAAAATACTGACGTGGTAGAATTACACAGCCACAGGTTGGCGATGCGGGCGTTTTGACCATAAGTACTGTATAAGACCAACCAATCAACGAAATCTCAACGGCGGCAGCAGTATGGCTCTTGTGCTTGTACACGCCGACTCCGCAATCGGGCGTCACGCCCGAGCTGAGTCATCTTAATCCCACCACCGGCTCCCACTAGAGAGACGGGTCCGTCTCGCTTAGTCATCGCAAAAGTGTATTAGTCATCACAAAATGCATCTAACGCGGCCGCCTCCCCCGCGACTTGTCGAGTCGATTGGCTAGCGCATGAATTGCACTCTGACCTTCGCATGCATCTCGTCGTACATCTGCAATCCGGTTGTAAATGTCTTGCCTTGTAGCTAGTGAGCCGCTCTGCCGTACGAGTGTCTGGATTTCCTTCGGCGAGATACCGGCATTCGAAAAGCTTGCAAGCTGTGACGTGCCTTCAGAAAGTTGCCGGTGAACTGGGTTTGCCGATGGGTGCTGGCTTGGCTCATGGTTGTGTACCGCAAAGCGCTGATCGGGACGATGCTTCAAGATCCAGCCGCCGCCGTTAGTCGTCTCTTTTGCTATAACTGAAAACGGGCAATTCGTCCTTCGAGTTGTTGATTTCCGTTGACGCTCCAATACGCCGCTAGGAGGATGACGAGATCGATCGCATGCGTAGATCACTGTCGGATACCATTCTTCTCCTTCGTCGACCTTTGGGTAGCAAAGGCGTAGCCTCTTGGCTTAGCCCACGCGTTGATCGACTCCAATAATGCCTGTCGAGACTCGAAATGGCGTTCGGGAGGAAGGCAGTCGCCTGGGAAAGTCTCCATGGCGATGGCGATGCGATGGCGATGGCGGTGTGCTGCGGGCGCGGGGGAGGCGGCCGCGTTAGATGCATTTTGTGATGACTAATACACTTTTGCGATGACTAAGCGAGACGGACCCGTCTCTCTAGTGGGAGCCCCCACCACCTTCGCTAAGGTACCTTTATGATGGGGCTATCATGGATGGGTTGCCGGCCTGCTCTCTAGACCCGCCACATGTAATAGAATGAGTGACCTCCTCGAGCCTCTAGAGTGGGCACAGGGTTGCGGTTTGCGGATTCACCTTTGTGTTAGTTGGGTCACTGTGGGATGTTGAGACTACATGGTGAATGCGCCGCAAGTACCAGTAGTGTGCAATGTCCATTTTCTGCGTTCACAGGCTAGCCCACAGTTTTCTACACACTTATTGCACAGCAGACACAAGTCTCCCTTCAAGCCCAATGACCTGTACTCTTCCAGCGATGAAATCAAGGTTCGAACCCACCGGCTTGACCAACCCCCTGAAACACCATAACCCAATAATACAATACAGTCCCGCCTGTCGAAAAAGCCCAAAACCAACCAATCTGCGCCTATCCTTGGACCTTCCCCATAACCGCCGTCGGAGGCTGCTAGCTCCCGAGCTCGGTGTCGGTTACGCGCAGGTCAATGCCCAGCTCGTCCATGAGCAGGTCGTTCAGGGTGGATCCGTCCCTAAGGTACACCCAGTCGCCCGTGGCCGTGTCCTGCTTCTCGTGCTGGCCCTCGCCGAAGACGACGTAGTCGTAGCGCTTGGGGCCCGTCTTGGGCGACGACAGCCAGATCTGCTTGTTGGGCGGCTGCTTGTTGATGACGTACGTGCCGATATGCGGGCCGAGGGAGAGGGTCAGGACGCCGGACTAGGTTTGCTTGTTAGTGGCTGTAGTGGGTATGTGTGAAGAGAAACGTTGGTTTACAGAGTACTCAACGTCCACATCCTCGCGCGTGTCCTGCAGCGCCTCCAGATGGTTGAGAAGCTTCTCCATGTAGTCATCGGCAATGGTGTGGTACTCGGCGTCGGTGATGTCGGCTGGGGTCCTGGTGACGGGTGGGGTCTCTGGGTTCTTTGGTGCCTTGTCATCCGGAGTGATGCCGCTGCGGCTGGCGCTACTTGAGACAAGACGACGACCTGGGAGGGGGAGAGACAGCCGAGGCGCAGCATGCAGAAGCGCTGGCACAGCTGAGATGGCTGGAAGGACGGTCCGCGCAACCTTGGTAGTCTGGACGCCGCGGCAGGCGATGCGGGCGAGCTTGGAAGCAATCGGGCGCGCCATGGTCAAATATCGGATGCTGCAGAGGGTTTACTGCTCGAGAGGATAGTACTAAGTCGGGCTTCGTAGCTCAACTAGTGCAACAGAATCGACGATCGTAGCTTAACTCTCTCTCTCCGAAACATCGACCTAGAGGGAAGCGAAGTCGAGCTCAGCAAACAGAGCTGGAGGTTCTGGAACGATTGGGTTCGAATGCCCCACTTGGTTGCCAATTGCCGGCAGGCACAGTGCAACGCAAGCCTGGGTCCAGCACGGGCCACATCATTTTGATCGCGTGGGGTGTCGCACGTCATGTCTTTGAGTGGCCTCCTCGCCAGGAACAGGCCCGAGACACCGAGATAGTATTCCATCCAAATCGCGACCTGTTTCTGACACGCTCAAATCTGGCAACAACCCGAAAGTAATGAGAGCGTCGTTATAGCACTGCCAGATACTCATAACCTCCCGATATGATCAACGCATTCCTTGTCTTCAATGGCCAAGGCCAGCCCCGCCTAACCAAGTTCTACACCCAGCTCGTCCGTCTCCCACTCCCCCTGACCAGGGCACCACCACTCAACAACTGACACCACTTTTGACAGGATACATCAATTCAACAACGCCTCATCTCTGAAATCTTTACGCTCGTCTCCAACCGCGCCCCAGGGTCCTGCAACTTCCTCCCCCTCCCGCCCCTCCTCGCCGCCTCGTCGACAAGCAACACCTCCTCTTCTGCTCAAGACCAAAACGACGTGCCCTCGTTCGTGACCTACCGCAACTATGCGACGCTCTATTTCATCATTATCTCGACGTCGACCGAGTCCCCCCTCGCGCTGATCGACCTGATCCAGGTGTACGTCGAGGCGCTGGACCGGCTGTTTGAGAACGTGTGCGAGCTGGATTTGATCTTCAACTATGAGACGCTGCATGCCACGCTTGGGGAGATGGTGGTTGGCGGGGTGGTGATTGAGACAAATATGGAGCGGATTGTTGCTGGGGTGAAGGCGCAGGGGACGGTGGCCAAGCGGCCCGTGAATGAGGGTCGCGGTGGAGGGGGATTGGGAGCGGGATTGGGCGCGGGGCTGGGGATGGGTGGGATGGTTTGGCCTGGTACGAGGTGAGGTTGGTGTACTGGCTGGATGATACGACATTTCACGGCATGACATGGCATCACGGAGTTGGCCCATTGGCAGGAGCAAGCCGAGTCAGAGAGCGTGACTGGAAGGTGAGCCGAGAGCTCCGGCATCATTCATTCATGGCGGCCAGAAATCGCCGCGCCATTGCTGCCGGGTATCCAACGCCAAACTCCGGGTGGTGGAACAATACTATACAACAGGTGAGGGGACAGTATGGAAACGATTTCCACATCATTACTTGCTGGACGCCTGTGAGGACGGCTTGTCCTTGATGGTGAGCTTCCTCGATTCGTCGGTAAAGACGCCAAAGAAACCCCAGAACTTCTCGCGGACCTGACAGACAGTTAGGACGCAGGTTTGGCAGATTATCTGCGGGACAGCTCACCGGGTCGAACGGGGTCGGAACATCCTTCCAATCCATGAAGAGCACCATGTATGTAACGACAACTAGAGCCGGGGTCAGGGTACATGAGACGGAGAATGAATCGGCGGCCACCCTACATGTCATGGTGCATAGTTGCGCCACCCGGACAAACTTGTCCCACCGTGGCCGAGCCGTTGCGAGCTTCAGCCTCCGCTTGTACTTCTTTTCAAATCGAAGCTGTTGTGGCGGTGTCATGTTCTTGATGTCTGGCGGCCATACTTTTTTGAGCTTGTAAGGCGGACTTCGTGCCGCTGTGTTCACCGGCGCCTTCGCGGTCTGTGCTAGCCGCCGTACGAGCGAGGGGAACATGGTGGGTGTGGCCTCGGTGTGAGTTGTGAGATGCGTGTGAGTGAGACTTCAAACGCGAAAAGTCGGCCTCGGCCGGATCGTGGTCGAATCCAGAGGCCCGTGTGGAGCCCGCCAAGGGTGCCAGCGAGGCGCTGTGGCTGGTGATCCGTTGATGTCCGTAGTGGCGCCACAGCTTGGCAGAATGCCCCTGGCACCCCACATTGCAGGGGAAGCAAACGACCCCGCGTTGCCCCTCCATGTCAACGCCCCGGCTGGCAGCGGAGTCGCACTCAAAATTTCCGGACCTGGCCTGACTCAAATCAAAAACAGAACCTTGGACCACGCGACACCGGCCCGAATTTTTGCAGGTTCCTTTCGGTGTGCGACGACAATTCGATTCCCACGGTTTGACGCTGGGCGTGCCAAACAGACCTCGGAATTACACACAAGTCTCGGAACAACATGGCTGACACGTCGCTGCCCAAGACCATGGCCGATCTCGCCGTCTCCAAAACCAAGGAGCTGAAGGGTACCGAGAAACGAGACAGCCTCGTCGAGATCGAGAAGAAATACCAGCGCATGTGGGAAGAGAAGGGCGTTTTCGAGGTCGACGCCCCGCCCATCGACGAGTTCCCCCTCGGCTCCATCAGCCCCGACGAGCTGCGCGAGAAGTTCCCGAAGTTCTTCGGCACCATTGCCTACCCCTACATGAACGGCCGTCTCCACGCCGGCCATGCCTTTAGCTTCAGCAAGATCGAGTTTCACACGGGCTTCGAGAGGATGCGGGGCAAGCGCGCCCTATTTCCCCTCGGCTACCACTGCACCGGCCTGCCCATCAAGGCCTCCGCCGACAAGCTGGTCAAGGAAGTAGAGATGTTTGGCAAGGAGTTTGAGCGCTACAAGGAAGAGGACGAGGTGGTGGACGATGCCGCGGCTGCTGCCCCGACGCAAAAGGGGCCAAAGGAGGACCTGACCAAGTTCAATGCCAAGAAGGGCAAGGCCGCCGCGAAGACGGTCAAGGCCAAGTACCAGTGGCAGATTTTGAACTCGGTCGGCATTCCGCTTCAGGAGATCCACCACTTCGCAGACCCGCAGTACTGGCTGCAATACTTCCCTCCGGAGTGTAAGAAGGACTTGACAAACTTCGGCGCGCGCATCGACTGGCGCCGCCAATTCGTGACGACCGACGCGAACCCGTACTACGACGCCTTTGTGCGCTGGCAGATGGTCCGGCTGAAGGAGCTGGAGAAAGTCAAGTTTGGCAAGCGTTATACCATCTACTCCATCAAGGATGGCCAGCCTTGCATGGACCACGACCGGAGCGAGGGCGAAGGTGTTTTGCCACAGGAGTACACTGCCCTGAAACTCAAGGTTCTTGAGTGGGCACCCCAGGCCGCAGATGCGGTCAAGAGCAAGATACCCGAGGATGCCTCGGTCTACCTCGTCCCCGCGACCCTCAGGCCCGAAACCATGTACGGCCAGGTCTGCTGCTTTGTTGGTCCGAGTCTTACCTACGGTGTGTTTAAGGCCTCTGAAAAGGAGTATTTTGTCATCACCGAGCGGGCTGCCAGGAATATGGCCTACCAGGGCATCTTCGAGAAGGACGGTATCCCAGAGAAGGCTGCGGACATCAAGGGTTTTGAGCTCATCGGGACCCTGGTGCATGCGCCACTCAGCTTCCACCCCCAGGTCCGTGTGCTCCCTATGGAGTCTGTTCTGGCAACCAAGGGCACTGGTGTGGTCACATCGGTACCTTCTGATTCTCCGGATGACTTCGCCATGGTTACCGAGCTCGCCAAGAAGTCTGAATTTTACGGCATCAAGAAGGAGTGGGCCGAGTTGGAGATTTTCCCCATCATTCAGACGCCGACGTCCGACTTGTTGGCGCCGTATCTGGTCAAAAAGCTCAAGATTGCCTCGCCCAAGGACGCCAAGCAGCTCCTCGAGGCCAAGGAGCTCGCCTACAAGGAGGGCTTTTACCAGGGTGTCATGAAGGTGGGAGACTTCAAGGGTGAAAAGGTTGAAGTTGCCAAGCCCAAGGTCCGGGAGCAGCTTATTAAGAAGGGCGAGGCTTTTGCCTACTCGGAGCCCGAAAACAAGGTCGTGTCGAGGTCTGGTGATGAATGGTGAGAGTGCTACTGATTCAAAGGTTAGCCGGCTGTTTTGTTTGCTGACATGGCTACAGCACGGTCGCCCTCCTCGATCAGTGGTATTTGGATTACGGTGAGGAGAACTGGCGCCATACCGCACTTGACTATGTCGAGAACAAGTACGGCAATGGCCTCGAGACATACTCCCCCGACACTCAGCACGCATTTAAGGGTGTGCTCAACTGGCTCAACCAGTGGGCTTGTGCGCGGACGTACGGCCTCGGTTCCAAGCTTCCTTGGGACCACAACTTCCTTGTCGAAAGCTTGAGGTGAGACACTTTGCGAGACTGCTAGGCTAAATTCCTGCTGACCATTGATTAGTGACTCGACCATCTACATGGCGTAAGTTGTAGGGTTGGACAAAAGTAAATTGTAGAGCTAACATCTACGCAGCTACTACACTATTGTTCCTTGGCTTCACCGGGATCTCTTCGGTCGGACAAAGTAAGTCGCGAGTTCTGCCAATTCTCAGTTCCCGGCTAACTGTAGACAGGGGCAAGGGCAACATCGCGGCCGAGCAAATGATTGACGAGGTATGGGACTACATTTTCTGCCGGATTCAAATGTCGGACGAGCTCGTCGCCAAGTCTGGCATCCCCAAGGAGACTTTGGAGGGCATGAGGAGAGATTTTGAGTACTTCTACCCGCTCGACATCCGTGTCAGCGGCAAGGACTTGATCCCGAACCACCTTACCTTCTTCCTGTACAATCACATTGGTAAGTCGTTGTTGGGTCCCGGCTTCAGATAGGCATGCTTACAGATATTAGCTCTCTTCCCCCGCGAGTACTGGCCACGCTCGGTCCGGGCCAACGGCCATCTGCAGCTGAACGGCGAGAAGATGAGCAAGTCGACCGGCAATTTCATGACTCTCAACGACGTCGTGAGTAAGTACGGTGCTGACGCGGCTCGCGTGGCGCTTGCCGATGCCGGTGACGGCATCTCAGATTCCAACTTCGTCGAGGACGTGGCGGACAACACTATCCTGAGGTTCTACACCAACAAGGAGTGGATCGAGGAGACTATCAAGGACGAGAACCTCAGGACCGGCCCGCTCAACGACTTCCAAGACATCCTCTTCGACAACGAGATGAACGCGCTGGTGCACGAGGCCGAGAAACATTACCACGAAACATCGTACAAGCTGGCCCTGAAGGCGGCCCACTACGACTTCCTCAACGCCCGCGACTCGTACCGCGAGGCCTGCAACGCCGCCGGCATCCCGCTCCACAAGGACCTCGTACTCAAGTACATCCGCCTGCAAGCTCTCGTGCTCACTCCGATCGCTCCGCACTGGGCCGAGTACGTGTGGCTTGAGATCCTGCACGAGAAAGCGTCGATCCAATTCGCCGCCTGGCCCCAAGTGCCCCCCGCGGACCCGGCCCTGACCGCGGCGCGCGAGTACGTCCGGCAGACGTCGTCCAACATCAACTCGGCCGAGGCGGCGCAGCTCAAAAAGATGGCTAAAGGCCGCCAGAGCGACTTCGACCCCAAGAAGCCCAAGAAGCTGACCGTTTTCACCACGGCGTCGTTTCCGGCCTGGCAGGCAAAGTATATTGAGCTGTTGAAGGAGGTGTGGGACGCGCGGACCAACAGCCAAAAAGTCGACGACAAGGAGCTCAACGGGCGGATCGCCAAGATGGGCGAGATGAAGAAGGCCATGCCTTTCGTCCAGGCGCTCAAGAAGAGGCTGCGGGATGGCGAGCCTGCTGAGGCGGTGCTTGAGCGGAAGCTGGCTTTTGATGAGGCCAAGACGCTTTTGGTATGTCATTGCCCTACCCACCATGTGTCTATTCTTGTTTTCTTTAGTGGGGTATATAATGAGTGTGTGTGTACTAACCGACTATGTGTGTAGGCAATGGTGCCTGGCCTGAAGCGCGCGGCCGGTCTCGAGTCGGTGCAGATCCTCGCTGTCGAAGAGGGCAGCAAGACGGGCAAAGACCTGACCAACGGCGGCGCCGAAGTCGAGGTCAAGGCGCCCGTGGTCGAATCGGCACTGCCGGGTCAGCCGAGCTTCTTCTTTGAGAATGTTTAGGCTGGGAGATGTGTGGGGTGCGTGCGTGTCATGTGGAGGACTGGACATGTTAGGAAAAGGGCATGTGCGTGTTAGCCTCCTAGCATAGCGAAGGGGCAAGTGAAAGTGGAACGATCTTGGACCGCGGTGGCGCACTAGTAGACTTCCTTACGAGACATTCCATCGTGCATCGGAGAGAATGGCGCGAAGTTGCCCTACCTTCCATTACACAGGCTCGACAGGGAAACGAGCGGTTGCATCGTCCACGCGACTGATGGAGCTGGTGGGTAGTTAGGTGTCAGAAGGACGTCAAATTGAGGTAATGCCAACTCTCTCCATTTAAAATACGGTAGTCGGTCTTGGAGAAGGACGAAGTTGAGACGAAGTCGAAGCGTCACGTTGGTTATGCGAGCCAAGCCAATCTACCCTGTCCCCGGAAACAGAGACCGAGAGAAGATGATGAGTTCGACAGAATTGCTCTCTTGGCCCACGTCTACAGGAGCACTGCTCCGACACAAGCTCTGTATCTGTCAGACGGTGAATCTTATTAGCCCATCCAGCCCCTCCCAAGTTGGATTTCGCCCCTGTTCCCTCTGTTCTTCACCTTCGCTCTGTGCCATACAATTTCACTTCGGCTCCCAGTGAAGCTGCAACCGTCTGTAACCTGCCACAGAATTCTCTCGCTTCATTCTTCCGGTCTCTCGGGACAGCAGGAAACAACAATGCGCTCCTCAGCCATCCTCTCAGCCCTGGCTCTCAGCGGCCTGGCCGCGGCCCAAACCACAACGACAGTGACCGCCGCGACAGATACGGCGACGGATACGACGGCGACGAGTTTTGTGCAGACTGTGACGGTCATCACGCTGACGACCTCGTCGTTGACGGCGGGCGTTGGTACGGGTACCGGTACGGCTACCGCTACGGAGACCACCACGAGTATGTCTCCTTCCCAATTATGGAGGTGGAAAAAAACCCATTTCCAAATCCACGCGATGCTGCTCCTTGTTTTCTGTCGTTGAACGCACCTTGGGGTCTAAGTCTTTTTTTATGAGAGGACAAGAGGCTGACAGAGCATGGTGAAACGCAGCCTCCGTGGCGACAGGCACAGGCACAGGCGCGGGCGCGGACGCGGGCACGGAGACAAGCACGGCCACTGCCGGCACGGCTACGGCCACGACAACAGCTACTGGCGCCGCCACTGCTGGGGCCAACTTGTTGGATGCGCAGATGCCGATTATGGGATTGGCGTTTGCTGGTGCGCTAGGTATGGTGCTGCTTTGAAATGGCCTGCAGATCCAACACGTGGGGGCCGCAAGTGTATCGTACTAGTTAGAGGGTTGCCATTTGTTGTATGGGATCCATTGGGGTGTCGGTGATGCTGTAATGTGGGTGATTCGGGGTCGTGAATCAAGAGCAAGACAATCGATCATGATCCCATTCGATCCAAGTGCAGTCGTATGGTACATGTTGCATCGTCCATCGCGGCCGCCGGGGTACAGAATCGGTTTGTCACGGTGCAGTAGTCTGCTCGTCACTGAACCCGTATCGCCGACTGGTGCTTGAGCATCCTTGAGCACAACTGCTGGCTCCAGTACTGTGAACCGGCAGAACTTAGGCAGCAACAGCGACTTGCTCGCTTGTCCTTCGGCCGGGCGGCTTGGGCAGGTCATCCTACATGCCGGGTCAGCCAGCTCTCCCTTTCTCACAGATTCCCTCCAACTTTTTATTGTCGACACTTACCACCTCGAAGATGACCCTAATCATCAGACTGCAGCTCGGACACACACCGATATCCTGCCCGTCCATCAAGTCGCACAGGGCAATTTCGAAGCGGTCGCCGCAGGGACATGGGTAGTGGTAAATCTGTAGCGTCTCGTCGTAGGTCATATCCTCGATCTCGACCTCGTCGTAAATGGAAATCTGCTCGTCGTCGGCCATGTCGTTTGCTCTTCACGGAAGCGCAGCAATGGTTGAGGGTTGAATGTTGTGACAGCGTGTTTGACTGTGGGCGCGACCTGGAGGAATATAGAAATCTGGAGGGGCGAATGACGGGAGTGAAAACTGCAGTGGAGCTCCATTTAAATGATCAACACGTGACTGCGCGGTCAGCGGTGGCACGTGTTCAACGACAGGACAGCATCATGAACAAAAATGCGCGTCAGCGCTGAACAGGGACAAGATGACCTCAAAAAGCTCACCACCAAGCCCCCCAAGGAGGTGGATGGCTACGAAAATACTGGGACCATAGATTTTACTTCGCTGGGGTTGTGCCTTGAGGCGTACTCGCCCCAGAGGTGTTGTTAAGTCCCCTCCTCCAATACGGAATCGCCGCCGCAGCGACGAATTCAAGGGGTGACCTCTCCCAGAGAAGAGGTCGCCAAGACCCTTCTAACAGGTCAAATCCAATTGAGATATGTGATTAAGACTGTAGCCAGTTATCGACCAATGTCCCTTGCTAAATAAAACCAAGAAGGGCCGTTATGAGGTGGGACGTGGACCAAATACACACAGTGCCAGGGCATGGGGCCTGGACGCTACCTGACGTCAATGCTTCCTCGGCTGCATCGCGCTGCTGTTCTTCTGGTGCCTGACCTGCCAATCGAGTGGCGTATGTTGTACCGAGTTGGCGTATGTTGTACCAAGCCGCCCATATCTCCCGTCCTTTTCACCCGTTCCCGTAACGTGTCACGCAGGAGCCAGCCGATATCAGCTAAACAAGCAGTCAGAAAGTCAACAAGGTATACGCATACTACTCCTACAGAGTACACGTACACAACAACACTACCCATCCACCGCTATCCACAATTCCGGTCTTCACCGCTCGCTCAAACACCAGCCCACTGGCTATCCTCGATACAGAAATATTAGGATTAACAAAAATGAGCGGCAAAGCAGGAAAAAGCAGGCCGCACAACACAGCCAAAGGTTCCTTTTTTTCAGCCGAACATGTGACGCAACGCTAGGCAGGATGGTGGGCGCTAGACAAACAAAAAACATGTTGGGGATAGGTGAAGTGAAATGAGTCCGAGTATCAAACAGAAGGAAAAGATATGAGAGAGAGCGAGAGAGAGAGAGAGAGAGAGAGAAAGAGAGCGACGCGCGACAGGAAAGGGGGAAAGGAAAGAGAAAAAACGGTATCACTCATCATCGCGACACAACCAATACCCAGTCGTCCCTCTAGCACATCCATCACAACACCAAACCTCCAGCACGCTGCCAACTCCTGTACTCCCCGATGCATCCAACCAATGCCGAGCTGTATTATCCGCCCTTCGACAAGCTCCATCCAGCAGCAGCCAAACCCCTTTCACAAATCGGTCCTAGGGTAAGTAGGCACTCGGGTAAAATAGGGCACCCTATGATTGACTCGCCAGATAGTTCGCGGCCTAGGGAATCGACATAGAAAACTGTCAGCCAATCGAATCTCACCAAGCCAAAAGGGACATCGCATTAAACGCCAGTGAGACCCAACCAAGAAACCCGTTTTATGCTTTGCTTCAGACCCTCACTCTCCCCCGCCTCCCCGTCCCAACACTCTCATCATTCCCGGTCATGGTGCTAGTGGTATGCATATTCGTGGGGTTCATGTAACTTACCCTCTCAAGGTTATAATCATACTTCTCGAGCGCCGCAAGCGCATCAGGCCTCGAGTACCCCATTCCCGTGAGGTTCTTCAGTATCGGGTCATCGTGATCGCCCTCCTCGGTCAATGCCCTTCCCGGCGCAGCCGGCCTGCTGCTGCCACTTGCTTCCGCAGTCCAACTCCCCGAAGCAGCAGTAGTCTCATTGTTGTTACCAGCGCTGCTCGTGACGAGGGTTTGCGATGACGCCGTCGGCGTGGCAGCCGCGTCATCCAGCCCAGCAAACAGAGCGTCCCAGTCGTGTTGCTGCTGTGATTCAGCCGCCGTTGGCGATTGCGAGGCAGCAGGCGACTTGGCACTCCCTCCCGCTTGTGTCTGAGCACCGCCGGCAGCAGCAGAAGCGGAACTAGTCGCGCCCGCGGCAGGACCACCGTTACTACTACCCGCGACCGAAGCGCCCGACAGCGAAGCAAAGTCGAAGCTGCTCTCCGTACCAAAGGCGGCAGCCGTTTGCGCAGAATCGCTCTTGGGCTGGCTCGGTGGCGGACTGCTGTCAAACACAGGGTTGAAGTCATCGAGCCCGGAGCGGGATATGGTGGCGAAGTCGTCGTCGGCAGAGCCCTCTTTGGCGTCCTCTAGGCCTTCGAAGTCGTCGTCGAGGTCGTCGAAGGCGCCCTTGGAGGTGGTGGCGGCGGTTGTGGGGCGGGAGGAAGTTGTGGTGGCTGCGGCGCCGGGGGAGCCAAAAATGTCGTCGACGTTGGAGGAGCTGAGACTGTTGAAGCTGTTGGTGACGGTGGCCGGTTTGTCGCTGTGGAAGTTTGTTAACGTTTCCAATCATTGAGAAATGCGGGAAAATAGAGCAGATGGACAAAATGCAGTTGCCGGACTCATACATACCTGGCAGCAGGTTCAGAGGACGCCGCCAGAGCGGCAATACCACCAACATCAGGCGCGGCCTTGGAAACCACAGGCGACGCTGACCTCGACTCGGCGCCCTTCTCACCCATCTTCGGCGGAGGCGAAGCAGGGGCAAAGTCATCATCAAACCCGCCCCGCTCGCTCTCCGTGTCAGATTCCTCGTCCCTCTCCAGCTCCGAAATAGGGGGGAATTGGGTATTAAAGTTGGTAAAAGCCTTGGCGGTATCAGCGCTTGAGCTCGTCGCGGCCCTCGCCTGCTTGAAGCTCGCAAACGCCGACTCGAAGTCCTCCTTGGCCTTGTCCTGGTCAGCAGCAGCAAACGGATCTGCCTCAGGCCCCTTCTTCGCCTCCTCCGAAATGGAGCCAAACGCAGGCCTTGTCTCGGCCACCGACGCAGGCGAGGCAGCCCTAGCCTCCGAACCGGACCCAGACGCCAGACTCTGCCCGGTCTGAGCCGGCTCCAGGGGTGTTGCAACACCGTCCTGGTTCGTCTCGGTCCTGCTCAGCGGCGGCGAGACCTGACGAGACATGCTCAACGACTCGGGCGCGTCCACAAACTGCGGGAAAGCAGGCGTACTCCGCCCAGCATCGGCAGGCGCCGTAACGTCCCGGCTCACGTTGGGGCTCGTTGAGACCGGCGTGGCAAACGAACCAACGCTACCGGTCGAAGTGCCCGTGTTCTGCCTGAACACGGCCGCAGCAGCGGGAGGCGGCGGCGTGCCGGCCTGGCTACCCGCCGGTCCAGGCCCAAACACTTCGTCAAACGCCTTATCAGTGAACGCCCTCATGGGAGGCGAAAAGGTCGAAGTGATGTCCGTGCTGCCAGTCCGCCTAAAGAAGGGGTTATTAGCGCTGGCTGCCGACAGCGCGGGACTGGCGACCTGAGCGGGTGCCGGTGAGCTGCTGGCGCTGATCTGGCGGGCCAGTTCTTCGTTGCTTCTGGTGAGATCCTCGGCCTCGGCCTTCAGTTTGTCACGCTCACTTTCGTTGGTGGCCAGCTGTTTCTTATTGATCGCAACAAGTCCCTTCTGCTGGCGCGCCTCAGACTTCAACTTCTCGATCTGCGGCTTCAGCTGGGCAATCTCGGCGTTTACCGTCCGAATCTTCTCCTTAAGATTCACATTCTCCTTCTGGTCCGCCTGCAGGGCAGCGACAATCTGGCGATGCTGATTCTGCAGCTCCTGGTAACTGGCATCGACCATGGCGTACTCGGCCTGCAGCTTCTTGGTCTCGTTCCTGGATGTAGTGAGCTGTGTCTCGAGCGAGCGCACGTCCTGCGCCTCCTTCTCGTACATGGCGCGGAGCTGGGCAAGGCGCTGCTCAAAGTTTTTCTTCTGGATATTAGATTGGCTCAGCTCGTTCTGAGTTGCCGTGCGCTGGGCCTGCACGTCCTGCACCTGCTTGGTGAGGGAGCCGATTTGGTTGGACAAATTGGCGAGCTCAGTAGTTTCACTATTTAGATTCTTGCTCACTTCCGGCTCCGTGTCGCCCAACAGGTCGTCATCTACAGCGACAGGCTTGGCCGTGGCCGAGGTACTTGAGCTCCCAGTGACTTGCGACGTGAGGCCACGCCCGAAGGACGATGAAGGAACAAAGGGCTTGAAGGTCGAAGCTGAAGGAGAGGGGCGAGCCGGCGAGGACGGAGCCGCCGGGCTGATACTAGTCGCAAATGGATCCCCGCCGGCGGAACCGCCCGTACCCACCGGCACCTGCGCCGGCGCGGAAGGTTGGATGTCGTCCAAACCAAACAAGTCATCCAGCGCAGAAGGCTTCGGCTGCGGCGGTTGGGGCCGCGGAGGGGGTTCAAAGGCCGAAGCGACAGAGGCTGAAGTGACGGCTGGCGGACGCGTCAGCTGGGCCCGCATGCTCGGGGGTACTAGGTTGGGAGGTAGCGTAGCAGGTAGCGGAGCTGATTTGGTCCTCTGTTGCCGAATAAGGTGCATGGCAACCGCGAACTCGTCCCTGGTCAAGCGGCCCTCCGACTTGATGTCTGCCAGGTCCCAGATTTGGGCAAGCACATCCTCCGAGAGGTTGGACTGGCTGAAGAAGGGAACCGCCTCTTCGCCCGAGATGAAACCTCTCTTAGCCTTGTCTAGTTCGTCATACAGCTGGTCGAACCTCGCCTTGTCTGCCGGGGTAACCAGCCAATCCCCGGTTGTCTGCGCTACCATTGGTGGACGTCCGAGAGGACTGCCTGTCCGCATCTGTGGCAAGACTCCTTGCCCGGTGAGCTGCCTCGGGACGGCCGGGATGGATGGGGTGGGAGTAGTCGGAGATTGTTGCCGGGGGATACCAACGCCGGTAGGAACACGCCGAGTGGCAGCCTCGTAGAGGGCCGCAGGGAGGATAGTAGGGAGGCCGCGCAGTGCGCCGGTCTTAATGGAGGTGAGCAGATGCATGGCGATGACGAACTCGGTCAGCACCAACGCACCGCGCTGCTCAGTGTCGGCAAGCATCCAGATCCGGCCAAGGACGTCGTTGGGAAGGCCCGACTTCTCAAATATCTTTTTGGCCTCCTCGCCGGGCAGCATGTTGCCGTTTTGGAGGGTTTGGCGCTCAAATAAGCTGGAGTACTGCGCCACTTTTTCCGGTGTCAGGGGCGGGATCCGGATGGGGGGGGGAGCGCCTGTCCCTTGCGCCTGCAGCGCGGGCGGCGGAGGCGGCGGCGCAGGAGTAGGTGTGAAGCCGTCGAACTTGGGAAGGGGCCCGGTTTGCAAGGCCAGCTCGGGGGTCGGCTCGCGGCCGGCCTGCGCATGTCCAATAAGTCGCAGAACAATACCGAACCCGGCGGGGGTAAGAAAGCCCCGATTCTCCTTGTCCGCGATCTGCCATATCTGAAATCCATCCCAATCGTCAGCTGCGGTCGCTCCCATGTAAACACCACCCTCGTTTGCATGCTCCCCGGACTGACCTCGCCCAGAATCCTCGAGTCCAATCTCGTCTTCTCAAAAAACTTGACAGCCACCTCGCCAGTCACGACGCCCACATTATCGGTGTCGGCATGTCGGAATAACTGTCCGTATACCCGCTTCTCCTCTGGGGTGAGGTTGAGGTTGATGGCCCCTGCGGTGCCGTCTCTGTCAGCTGCTGCCGAAGCATGGAATCACTGAGTAGTCGCAGGAAATACAATCCCGCCATAATCTCCAAGAAAAGAAGCTCACCCGAATCAGCCAACGCTTCTGAAGCCATGGCGAGCTGAAGATGTATTTCGTAGGTCGGAAATTGCAGCTCGGTCCGCTCGGGTGTAATGCGATGGATGGAATCCCTCGGTAATCACGATGCTGATCGATTAACCTGTCGAGCAATTGTAGGATTAATTCTCAAGTTGGCGAGCCGTTTGATATCCGTGCCGAAGAGGAACTCAAGTTAAAACAGGCATGCGAGCGAGGCGAACGCATACGCATCGAGGTGGGGGGGACTTCACACAGGTGGACGTCGTGAGGCTGGGATTGCGACTCATTAGCTCCCTTGGGCAAACGAGCAAAGAGAGCCAAGGAGCAGGCGGGAAAGTCCGCATGTGGGTTCGTCAGACTGGCTTGGCGCTAGCTAGCTTTTTGATTTGGACCCTCCAGACCCAACTAAAGACCAACACACACCTACTGCAAGACCTGCAAATGGTGCGGCCAACCGCGACTGCAGCTATCGACTGAGCTCCAACACCATATGAGCATCATTGGTCTTGATAGGGTAACTCTTGAAAATGTTGCGAAGCTCGAAACCATCCATCCCGGTAAGCTAGGGCTCGCCCGCTGGGTTGTGGTTAGACACAAGTAAACCAACAGGTCCGGGTGTAAAAAGAGAAAGTGTGCGGAGCTACAGAGAGCCAGCAATTTACCCCGGCTGTGTTTCTCTCGATTAAGATTGTCTACACTTTCAATCTAACAAACAAGACCATGGGCCCGCGCTTGCCAAGAATACCCATATCGTAGCGGGCCATTGCCAACAGAATTGCGGGTCAAAGGGTTACTTAAGTCGGTAGGACCCGACTTATCCACCAGAATATTCAGCCCGGCGTGCCGATATGTCCAAGCCTGCTAGCCAGCCTAGTACTCGGCCTCAACTTCCTCGCCCTCCATCGAGTCGGCGGCAACTTCTTCGTAGTCGCGCTCCAGAGCCGCCAGATCCTCGCGGGCCTCGGAGAACTCGCCTTCCTCCATACCCTCGCCCACGTACCAGTGCACGAAAGCACGCTTCGAGTACATGAGGTCGAACTTGGACGACAGAGCCGACCAGGCCTCGGCGATGGCAGTGGTGTTGGAAAGCATGCACCTAACATAGGGTTAGCGACAGGCCTTGAATAGCGAAGCTGAGGGAAGACGTACACAGCGCGGTTGACCTTGGCCAGGTCGCCGTTGGGCACTTGGTGAGGGGGCTGGTAGCAGATACCGAGCTTGAAGCCAGTCGGGCACCAGTCGACAAACTGGATGGTCCGCTTGGTCTTAAGCGTCGCCACGGCGGCGTGCGCGTCGTTGGGGACGACGTCACCGCGGTACAGCAGGCACGTGGCCATGTACTTGCCGTGGCGGGGGTCACACTTGACCATCTGGTTATTGGGCTCAAAGCAGGACATGGTCATCTCCTGGACCGAGTTGGCCTCGTGGGCAGCCTTGGCCGCCGAGATAACCGGGGCATAGGCAACAAGCGGGAAGTGGATACGCGGGTAGGGGACCAGGTTGGTCTGGAACTCATTGAGATCGACGTTGAGCGAGCCGTCAAAGCGGAGAGACGCGGTGATGGAGGAGACGACTGCTCCGTGTCAGCTTTGCACCTAATGTTCAACGTCCCCGGGCAGGAACCTACCTTGGGCAATCAGGCGGTTGAGGTTCTCGTAGTTGGGGCGCTCGAGGCCGAGGTTGCGACGGCAGATGTCGTAGATGGCCTCATTGTCGACCATGAAGGAGCAGTCGGCGTGCTCGAGAGTGGTGTGGGTGGTCAGAATCGAGTTGTAGGGTTCAACCACCGAGGTGGCGGTCTGAGGCGCGGGGTAGACGCAGAACTCGAGCTTGCTCTTCTTGCCGTAGTCCACCGAGAGGCGCTCCATGAGGAGAGCACCGAAGCCGGAACCGGTACCGCCGCCGAAGGAGTGGAACACAAGGAAACCCTGAAGACCGCTGCAGTTGTCGGCGACCCGGCGGACCTTGTCGAGGACTTGGTCGATCAGCTCCTTGCCGACCGTGTAGTGGCCACGGGCATAGTTGTTGGACGCATCCTCCTTGCCGGTAATCATGTGCTCGGGGTGAAAAAGGCCGCGGTAGGGGCCGGTGCGGACCTCGTCGACGACATTGGGCTCGAGATCGCAATAGATTGTTCGCGGCACGTACTTGCCGTTGCCTGTGTAGACCTGTATGAGACGAGCCCAGCGTTGGAGGGAGGCGGGTTACGACTGTCTTACCAGTCTCGGAGAAGAAGGTGCTGAAGCCGTGGTCGGGGTCAGCCTGCTTGCGCTCCTCAGTGAGGTAGCCATCGGGCTGAAATAGCGGTCAGTCAGCGTATCTTGAGTATGAGCAAAAAGGTCAGCAAAACACACCTGAATGCCGTGCTCAAGGCAGTAAAGCTACAAGTGGTCAGCATCATCAACAACACGCCATAAGCGAAGAGACATCGCATCCGCCGAGCTCGCCACGAGGTTGAGCCGAGTCGAAAGGGGCGGCAAACATACCTCCCAGCAGGAGTTCGCGATCTGGCAACCGGCCTGGCCGACTATACACAAACAATGTCAGCAACGTCGTCGATCAGCGAGACCCAAATGCTTGATGCCGAAGCTGCAGTTGAGTCACGGCCCCAAACATCAGTAGATGCGGTGAGCAGAGAAGCGCGCCACCTGGGGCGACAAAAACACAGTGATGCTTTCCCTCAACGTACCGTTCAAGCTGATAATCTCACGCATCTTGATAGCGATGTCGAGAAAGCGTGCAAACTGGTAAACGAAAAGGTGAGCAGATCGGAAAAGGCGACAACTGGAGGCCGAGAGACGACTCGCGAACTGGCGGAGTGGAAAATTGAGGGTTCAGTGGAAGCCTCGAGGTCGGTTTAGGTGACCGCTGGTGGGGAAATTTGATTGTTGACAGTAGCGTTCCCCGATTGAGGCAAGCGCACCTCGCTCCACCGTGCTCTATCAGCCAGTCGCGCCCGTCCAGCAGATGCAGGGTCTGGACGGGAGTCAGTGCGTGTTTGGTGATGAACCGTGCGTTTGGCAGGGTCCCAATCAGCAATGAACTGCCGCTCACAATCTCGCAGCGTGAACTCCGGGTTCCTGAACACCTTCCAGGTTAACGTTATCAAGGTGCAGAAACTCCGAGCAAGGCATCAGAGAGGCGCAACATGAATGGACAACAGTTCTCTCATTGGTATTTGCAGTGAGTAGCCAAGTTGGCTTTGGTCAAAAAGAAAAAGTGAGCCCCACGGCTTGACCAGCCAGATGATCTGATTTGCCAATACCAAAACCTCATCCTATGGTCAATCCTCAGTCAATCTCGTCTCCCAGCAAACACTGGAAGATACAAAGTCGCTACAGAAAACTACTTCCAGGAAAGGGTTAAGGCATGAGGATTGGCGGCAGGTCGAACCAAGCTGCCCTACTGCTGCAATATCATGTTCAGCTATTTTTTTTGAACGAGATTGTTAGGTAAGGTATGTGATGTGTAGGGCAGAGGATACGTACCACCCAACAAAAAAAAAGACCCAACCAGACTCCGTACACCTCGGCGATAACTCAGGCCGCATGGCTAGATCCAACGGACGGGCACCTTAAACACCCAAGAAAGGCCTCTGCGCGTTCCTCGCCCGCTCTGAACTGTATACATCCAACTTGACAACCACCAAGCAGCACTCGACGGCCGCCTTGCCATTCCTGGTGCCCTGTATCCTCAGCCGCCATTGCCCCCTTCTGACAATCCACTCCTCCTCACCACCTTGACCCTCCTCTGCCCTCCTCCTCTTCCTAGACATCAGTGACGAGTCGATGTGCCCTCCACCCCATAGATCCTCCTCCTCAGCCGACGGCGCCCACGGCTTGCCATCCAATACGACGCTGGAATCCGAGTCGATGACGACCTTTACGAGATCCTCGCTCAGCGGTGTATTTCCCGGGCTAGGCGACGGGCTCTCCCCTTCCCCCTGAGCCATCAACAACCCCATCAACTGCTGTGTGGGCGGCAAGTTCAACTTGTTAGCAATCACATCCAGTAACTTTGTCATGCGCACCCTCATCTCTCCAAAGAACTCTGCCCTCGCATGCATCACTCCCCCTCCTCCTCCACCACCATACCCCGACCGGGTTCCATACCTCAACCGTGTACTCTCGCCGTCAACCTCCAACACTAACTCATATCCCTTAGCGTCCACATACGGTCGGGCATAGTTCACCCATCCCATAAACGGATCTCCCGCCGTCGGCTCCCCAGCGACCGAGATCCCACTCTTCAAGATATCCCTCAGCCTTACAACAATCTCCTCTTTGCCCCTCGCCAGATTGAACACAATCGCATGCGGAATCAACCGCTGCTCCACCCCCTTGAAGTTGAAATACCGACAATCCCTCAACAGCTCCGCTCTGTGCTCTTCGTTGCGAATATGCACGGGATACCCCCTTAACAAGTGCAGCAGCTGCGCAAACACCTCCGGGCTGCGGCCCTCGACCGAGGGCGGGACGATGGACGGCGGGCGGAGCAGGCCGTCGCGGTCGAGGCCGGGGAACAGGTCGCCGCCCGGTGAGGTGAAGAAGGCGGCGAATCCTAGCGTGAAAAAGTTGGGGCTGTTGCCCGGGTCGGAGAACAGGTCGCGCGGAATGCGGAACTGCACGCCGCCGACCGTGGTGAAGATGGATTCCTCGTAGAGCTGGGAGACTAATTTGGGAACTTTGCCGGGGGCCTGTCAGCGGTGATGCAGCGCAACAATCAGGGACCGGCTTGCCTCACGGTGGTAGAACTGGGCGTCAGCGAAGAGGCGCACAAAGTGGGTTGAGTCGCGCGGCTGGACGTGGTAGCCCTGAAGGTGCAGCGAGATGTCGCGGAAGATGATGGGGTCGCGGTCGATATAGAGGGTGCGGATGGCCGAGGCGGGATCTTGGCCCTGCTCATCTGCTTCCTTGAGCTGGCACCGGAAGTACTGGGAGAAGTACGACGGTGCTGTGTGTCACTGTGTCAGTGAGTGGTCTGTGTTTTGCAGAGCCTTGAGACTTGACGCCCCAGCTATCATGGGGGACAAACCATCAGATGAAATGGAGGCGCCCGAGAGCTTGAATAGCTCACATCCTATTTGTATCGGAAAGACACGTTCATGCGGGAGGATATTAGGAATGCGGTTGGCCGCGATCATCGAGTCCGGTTCGTTGAAGCCGTCCTCAGCGCCTGTGGTGGACATGGTTCAAGCGGCGACGTCAACGTCAACCATCGCTCAGCAAAAGTCGGCAGCCTGACCCTCACTCCTTGTTTGTCCTCCTTATTCAAGCGCCGCCAGTGTCCACCGAAGCCTACACGATAAACGGTTGGTTATCACTGGGTGGTCAGTCAGCAACCGCCAGCTGGCAGATACGGCGGCAGGCCCCTCTTGACGGATCGGCGGTTGTCGCTAACACTTCAGTGTTGGTATGAAATGCGGCTTGAGCGCAACTTGAATGTGGCGCTCGGGCCATATCACGGGCCTTTCCCAACCAAAAAAGAATTTGGTAAACTGTCTGAACTTTGATACCGGTTGCCAACAACTCAGCTACCGTATTCTTAATCTGTCACATTGTTGTCATCCGTGCTCACCATCCATTGAATCTCTCAGCTCTTGGGCGGTTTCGGGGAGAAGGTAAGAAAGGTATTATTGAACTCGAAGCAACTCCTAGGCAGGGGCTGAGAACCAAAAACAAAACGATATGAAAATGCGCGAACCGAGATTCGAACTCGGGTCACTCGCTAATCCAAGAGGAGATGGGAAGCGAGAATTCTAACCACTGAACTATTCGCGCTTACATGTTGTATTTAAAATATTTTTCCCTCTAAGTAGAGTGTACAAAACAAATTGCACAAAGAGCATCAGCTCTAGAGCAAAGCTTTCCACAGTCATATCTTTACAAACCAGGTAACGTTACGGATCCGTACAGTAAATTAAGTGAGTTATAACCAGTATCCATAGCGAGCCGAACAACGGGTAAGGTAGCGAAGGTTTGCAACACCACGGGATGCCAAATCAATCAGGCAGGCGTGTTGCATAAAAACCAAAAAAAAAAAAAAAAAAGAAGTTCAATCGTTGTGAAACCGGAACAACATCAAGGAGAATCATAAAACCTCAGGGAAACCTGCAACCACCACGAGCTATACCTCTTCATTCAACCCACAACAAAGAAGATCGCTGCAACCTATAAGGAGGAAACAGGTTGACCAGCACATCTTGCCGGACTATCACGAGTCACTCAACAACATTATTAAGGTCACGTTGGGATCCTCGGTCCCAGGGCCGCCAATGAAGCGAGGGTCTTCATACATACTGGTCACCACGGTTCCGGCACGCATCGCCGCGACCACAATAAAAGTCGCCGCCCACGCCGTTCCTGTTGGGCGAAATCTTCTCGTGGACATTCCTCGCTGGCTCGCCCGCGTTGCGCTGGTTGAATCTGTAGTCTTGGACCTTGTATGCCGTACGCCTGACGGCCTTCCAGGTGAATACAGTCTTACCTGGGCCGCCGTCGCAAGCGCGCGTCTTTCCGGTTTCGATGGACATCTCCACTGCGAAGCCACCGCTGATCCAGCTAGAAACGCTGCCCGAGGTGGCAGAGCCGACAGTGATGGACACGGAAGCTTCGTTTTCCAATAGTACAAGTCCCGCCAACGCAGTTCATGTTGGACTGATCTTGTTTTACCCGGTGTCAGCTTCGAGGCAATCAAGTACAGTGATGAGGTCGCGACTTACGCTGACCTGGATGTGCAGATGAGCCTGCCACGGATTTCCGTCGCCTACCACACCAGTACTGGTGGTCCAGGTACCGCAGGCGCCCTGTCGCTTATCGAGTAAGGCAGTGGCGGTGCTGACGGAGTCACGAGTATCGGCCGTCATGCCGAAAGCCGGAACTGTTGGAGCAGACCTGGCGAGGATTGCCGTGGACAAGAGGTGGAGAATCTTCATTTTGATCATTGAGAAGGAATGGAGCTTTGCGCGAAGAAATGCCTCTGGCCCTCATCGAGTGAGATTCAGGTAGGTAGTCTGCTATCTTGACTGCTCCTCAGTTTCCTCCGGCAGCCACTGGCAACTTTATACTCACTGATCTGTCGTCCTTGGCTCCCAAGACTCAGGACCCCTCCCGGACTCCCTCGCTGCACTGTCGAAATCTCGGGGAAGCTTTTCCTCACCAAAATGCATCCAAAAGATATTGCGTTTGGGGTGAGAAGAACCAACAAGCCTCAAAACCGGGATATCAGCCTGGGAAGACAGGCAATTACCTGCACTCTTTGTTGAGGCAGATAAATTCGGCACCGCAGTCTTGCTTGAGCTGCTACGTTTCCTGCTCTGGCCGAACCTCCGGGAAGACATTATGTTGGGGGTGAGAAGAACCAACAACCCTCAAAAAACCTTGGAAAACAGGCGGTTAGCTGCACTCTTGTCTAACGAGCATACACTGGGCATTCAGTCTTGCCCATACAGGCGGGCACGATTCCCATTTTGACCATCACGTCGCTTTCCTGATGAAACTCTGACTCCTCGCAAGGCGAGCATCCATCGCGGCGCAATACCACTTTCATGTTGCCAACAGGTCTCTTGAGTCACCCTCCGACCAGCTGATGCATCGCAATCACAGTCTTGGCCGATTAAGGCGAGTGGGATTGTCAAACGGCTCAAGGCCATGATAAGCCAATTTGGCTTGGTTTACAAAGATAATTTTTGAGTCACGGTTGATTGCCGGCTCACGGCCTCGAGCCGCTCTAAATCCAAGTGCTCACGCCCTCCTGAGCTGTATACTCATATACCGCTCCTGCCCTACTCAACTGCTTGTTTATTGGGGAGGCTCATGAAAAATGAGCGGCTCAGGACCGTGGGCTGGAATGGACGCTCGTCTTTGTGAGCCAACATATCCCAGCACGGCTCGTTGGGGCAACGTAAGGTAGGTACAGATGCGGCGCAGTGGTGTTTGCAGCACGGATGCCGCAATGCACGCAGTTGAGGTTGTATAGAAATAGGGTCATGCATCTGATTGAGCGGTTGATGATGTAATTGTCGCTAATCAGACGGTTATATTGATGTATGCACGGGTCAACCTAAAACAACAGGCGAGGCGTATATTGACCAACGCAACCTTCCTAAATCAACTGGCGTAACGAGCCAACAAGCCAAGTGCAGGTTTTGGACTGATGTCATGGTATGAAGATCTGCGACGACCGGCGAACAACAACTTGAAGCTGGTCTTCTTACTCTTACGGTTTTGAGCCTTGTCCTCTGCGCCCCTTGATTTGGATCATTCCAGTTATGTTTCCTACAACTTTCCAGACAAAACCTTTGAAATGCTTGATCGCAAATCCGTCACTGCACCCAACCTAAAAGTTCAACAAGTCGACCGCATCGCCGCGTCTTTCCGACTCGAACACCTATCTCAGGCATTGATGCAACAAGAGCATGTCCAATAACACCACGCTCCGCTGCTTGGGCCCGGATGCCCTCCCCGCTGAAGCTGAGCGCCTCGTCCCGCAGGACATCAACTACGTGCTCGTGCCGGGGACGAATATCTCGGCGCCGTGGATGACGGAGTGCTGCGCGCCCAACCAGGTCTCGCTCATCAGCGGCTGCTATTTGTGGTGTGAGATCCCCGGACAGCCAGCTACATTTTGATAATGGTACAGGGAAGTGGGTCACGCATATTGATGGGTGCATGAAGATGAACGGGAGGGAGGTTGGTGAGTCGAGGATCACGGCGCTTCATGTTGTATGTGGAGCTGAGAGAAGGATGGAGTTGAAGGGATGGGTGCTTTTCGGGTTGTTTGTGGCTGGGCTGATGATGGCGCTTTGAGAAGGAAGGGCTGAGCTGAGTTGTGTGTTAAGTGTTACGCCTTAGTGAGGTTCTTCCAGCATGTATCAAGGTTGATTTGCGTTAGCTTACTTCAGGTAGTCAGAGACAAGGAAGGTTGGCTGCTCAGGACGGGCTTGTCTGGGGTGTACTGGCAGTGTGTGCTCCTCCCCGTTTCATGCTGATTGGGCGAGTGTACAAAGAGCTTTAGCATGATAGATGGGGTTTTGGATCTGGTGACAGAATCTGAGCAAAGTTGAAAAGCATACATTAAAACGACCCCTCGCTGTCCTATGCAGAGCGGAACAAATACACAAACACAAAAGACCAAAGGCTAGCCAATCCAGGCCAGACAAGCCCCTGACAAAGCGAGCCTTACTCCTGGCTCCAAGATCCAAACAATCAACCAACCAACAAACGAGCACCAACAAAGCCTTTGTCCAAATCGCCTTTCTTTAGACGGCCGCCCCCCAATACCCCAAAATCGCATCTCCACAAATCAGGCAACCACCCTGATCCAACAGCTTCGATCCAAACACCTCAGGAGCAACCCAGAACCATCCGCCAGAGTACCCCATCAAGACCTGACCCTCCTCGCAGCCGACAAACCCCTCACCGTCCCCGTCCTCGCCACGGCGGCAGCACCACCAGCAGGAGTAGGAGCACTAACCTCCCGCCGAACCTCTCTCTCCCGACCCCTCTCCTCCACTTCACCACCATAAATCCTCCGTCCGCTAACCAGCTCCCCACTGCTAACTTTCCTCCTCACCACCCCACCAGCAGCCTCACCACCACCACCACCACCAGAAATCATCCTCCTCGCCTCCGCTAAACTCCCACCTCCAGTCCCAACCGCAGCATTCGAACCCGAACCCAAACCCGTATTCGAACCAAAATTAGACCCGTTGGACCCAACCCGCCCGACGCTCCTCGCCCTGCCCCTGCGCTCCCTGATCTGTGCGAGCGCCTGCTCTCTTGTCATGGTGGGGGTCAGCGCAGGGTTAGTCGCGTCGAAGCTGGGCTTGTCCAGGTCGACCACGTCGTTGATGTTGTTCCCCGTTTGTCGCGACGGGGTACGCTGCATCTTCATCAGGCGCTGGGCCAGCGTCGGGCCGTCGGTGGGTTCCTCGCGCAGCGGGACTCTTGTTGTTGTTACGGTCGCTGTCGTTGTTGGGTAGTGTGAGGATGTGGTGTGCGGGCGGGTGAACGGGATTGTTTGTTCAGTGGTGATGTGGGAGGGGAGAGGGTCGGTGAGTGGGTCGGTTAGGGAGGACGAGGAAGATTCGAGCGGGGGTACGGCGATGTCGCGGAGTGGAAGGTGGGTAGGTTTGACTGTTGAGGGCGCGTCGGTGTCGTCCTCGGGCTCGGCGGAGTGGGCTTCAGGGGCCGGGCCGGCGGTTGTGGGGATATTGAAGACTGGGCTGGGGTCTCGTCGGTGGGGTGCGTCGAGCAGCGAGAGCAGCGAGGTGCGCTCTTTCGAAACCACGGCATAGTCCGGGGGGTCGACGGACGGTGTGCGGCGGTACATGGGTTCGCTGTCGGTCGGCGTGATGGGCATGCTCGGTGCCGACTCGGTGGGTGATACCACATATGAGGCTGCCGACTTTGCTGCTATGGCATCCGCTTCGGCCTGCGACACTGTCCGGAAGATGCCTTCAGCAGGGTAAAAGATGGTGCTCCGCCTTGGCTCCCTTTCCGCCTTGAGCATGTCCGTCTTGGACCGCCTGGGCGTCGGCTTCGGGGCTTCCACGGAAGCCCGGCGGCTCTCACTAAGAATCATCGGGTCTCCGGCATCCGAGTATGTCAGCACGCTGGTTCGCTTGCGGCGTGGACTAGACCGCCGGCTCGAGCTGTTCCGGCGCATCTCCTTGGCGGCCGAGCAAATCTTCAGCTGGCATTCCGCCTCGAGGAATTGGACCTGCTCTAATGCTCGGTCCGCTCGCTGCTTCTCCCATTCCCACAACATCGTAATCGTCTCAATCTCGGGATCGCTTGTCGCCAAAGCAGAGATAGAGGATGTCCGAGCCCGTTTGCGTGGTCCCGTCGAGTTGTCTCCGTCTTCGGAGTCCTCCGAAGCAAGGCGCTTAACCTCCACTTCGTTCTTGGCCAGCGTCTTGATGGCGTCGAGTTCATGCTCCAGCATTCTAATTCGTTGTTGCGCCTGATCCAGCTGCGCTTGCAGGCTGACCAGCTTGTACTGAGCGTCAAATGCCTCCTGCTCCCGCGCCTTGCTCCGTTCCCGCTCAGCCTTGAGCTCGTCCTCGGCGGCCTTTTGCGCCGTCCGGCAGGATTTGAGCTCTTCCTGCGCCTTGACTAGCGAGCTTTGTACCTTGAAAGTTTCTTTTCGGGCGCGGCGAATCTCTTTTTCCCACAATTGTTGCGTGTGGGCGTGCGTCTCTTTGACACGTCCGTAGTTTTCCTGCTGGAGTTAGCCGGCCTGTCCCATGCCATGTCCTCAAAGAGTCGTCAACCCACCATGACTGCCTCAAGTCTCTCTCCAACCCTCCTCTCTCTGTCTTTTCCCTCCTCAACCTGCTTCCTCAATTGCCTCACCTCGTCGCGATACCGGCGCATCTCTGCCTCGGCTTCCTCGCGCCCGAGCATAGCGCGCTTGAGGGCGGCGTCGGCTGTCTTGCGTTCGAGCTGCTTGGTTTGCATGGCGAGGTTGTTGTACTGGTTGATCTTTTCGTGGACCGAGCTGTCGCGGGCGGAGGCGCTCTCTCCAAAGGTGATGCGCTGCTGCTGGGAGGGTGAAAACAGTGCCGAGTCGCGCTGGGCGTTGTGCGAGACGGGCTGCAGCGGCTGGCCGCCGCCGCCGGGGCTCGACGGTACCGACATCGTCGAGCTCGTACTATGTGTTATCGTGGTGTCATGCAATGCACTGTCTTTGTTGGTCGTGGGTTGTCTGTGTCTCCCTGGTGGGATTGACTGGTGGTCGATACGCAATCTTCACGAATTGATCGGGAGCAAGTGGAGAAGGCCGCGGGGCAGAGAGGATGTAAGAGCCGATGATGACTGAACTGATAATGCAATCTGATGCTGATGCGCGTATGGAACTCTGCAAAATGCGCCTTCCACAGACAGTGCTTCAAGTGTACGACTGTATGTGCGACAGATATGTCAATAACTTGAACCACTGAGCTTTTAATTTGGCTGTCGGTAGTATTTACTGCGCCAATTCACAATTTGATGCTGCCAATCACTGACGGCTTGCCTGACCAGGGTTGGGTTGCTATGGGCGACGCGGATTACAAAGTGGGCAGCTAGGCAGCCTCGCGCCTTGGGCACCCAATCGGTGACGATCATATTCCAATGCAACATCCCACCTCAGCCTTGCATACCCGGTTCATCCATAAGACAATCTGGCAACATCAACGGAAGAGATGTGCCGTGATTTTCATTCTCAATTGTACCCAAATCGATACTGAGCCTCAAATTTCTTTGGCACAAAAATCTCCACACAATGGCCGACGAACCCTCCGTCCGGCGGCGCAAGGCGGAACCCAAATCGAACGATTCCCCAAGTTCTGAACCGGTTGAATCGGAAACGGAAGTACTCAAGGAGCAGATCCCAAAGAAGCCCAAGAGGAAATCGCCGCAAGAACGGTTGGACGACGACGCAGCTTACAGCACAGCCTCTCTTTGTCTGGACATTCTCCGCGTTATTACCTTCATCGGCCTCGCCTGGATCGGCCTAAGCTACCTCATCTCGAATGGCGAGACCTACTCGTGGGGCATCTCCGACCCCCCCAAGTACCTCAAGCCCGAGTGGTGGATGAAGCAATTCGTACGAGGGGCCCCCGACTCCTATCCCCTTCTGCCCACCCACACAAAGTCCCCATCTAACTGCTTTTGACAACCGCAGCGCGGTCCGGTCTACCTCACGCCCATCGAACTATCTGCCTACGACGGCAGCGACCCGTTCAAACCGATCTACCTCGCCATTAACGGCACAATCTACGACGTGTCCTCCAATCCGCGTACCTATGGCCCGGGCGGGTCATACCACTACTTTGCCGGGTGTGACGCGGCGCGGGCGTACGTGACGGGCTGCTTCGCCGAGGACCGCACGCCCGACATGAGGGGGGTCGAGGATATGTTCCTGCCGCTGGACGATCCGGCCGTGGATAAGTACTGGAGCAAAGAGGAGTTGGAGGTTTTGAGGAAAAACGAGAGGGAGGAGGCGCTGAAAAAGGTGAACGATGCGTTGAGGCACTGGGTCGAGTTCTTCAGGAAGAAGCCTGAGTATGAGTTTGTTGGTTATGTTAAGTTGCCTGAGGGTTGGCCGGGTACGGAGCCGAGGAGGCCGTTGTGTGAGCAAGCGGCTAAGGGGCGGAAGAAGAGGGTTGTTCCGGGGCATGAAGGGAGGTAATCTCTGTTTAGGAGATGCGTTTTCCTAGTTATATTCCTCTTGGTTAGTTTTTCATTTCATCCCAACTCTGCCGCATGCCACAGTTCTTTCCCCGGCACCACAACCGCCCTGCATGTATTCCGTCTGCAATCCTCCGGTAGCCAGCTTCCCCCTGTTAAGTGGGAAGGGTGCGGTCTAAGAACCCCTCCCGCCTGGTCCGGCGAGACTCCCCCGGAGGTCGCCAGTTCGACCCCCCGCCGAATCGCCGCCCAACGAGAACCGCCACTGGGGATTTTCGTAGCCATCGACCTCCGCAAGGGGCTCGGTGGTGTGCTTTTTAGTACTTTTCCTTTACCTCAATCATCTTTGCCAAAACCTGCCAAGGCGATGAATCTTGTGGTCAAGTCTACGTTCAGGTCACTACATCACTCAACCCTTCTGTTACGGTGAAGATATACGGTTACCGACGTAATATCCGCTTAGCTCAATGCAGTGGAGCATGTTACATGTACAGCTGATGACGAATGTAGAAGAGAAACCACCACCCCCCTTCCCCCTCTCTCCCCCCACATACAAAAGGTATATCCGAACCCGTCGTCCACCATCACTCTCAAACCTGGTGAGTATTAACATCCCGCTGCAAAAACGAACTTCGCCTCATAAGGCCCCCCTACCCTGTCCTCCATCAAAGCAGCAAGGCAGCGCCAGCAGCAGCGACGAGCGCGAGCGTGCCCGGAGCAGTGAGCACAGCGACAGCACCAGATACGCTCTGGGATGGGGAGGCTGCACCACCAGTGCCCGAGGGGGTGTTGGTGGAGCCCGTCGTACCCCCGGCCCCGGGAGTACCGCCGGGAGCCAGGCTTTGAGCCCCGGCAGCGAGCGACTTGTAGCTCTCGAGGGTGCGACTGGCGTTGTTGGCACTTGAAAGGCGTGTTAGCTTTCCAACACCATGATCGAGACTGCAAGTGGGAAAACTCACGGCTCGTTAATGACCATAACCATTCCTTGCTGACAGTGCCGTCCCTGGGCGCAGTACAGCCACAGTGGGTTGGTGTTGTTGATCTGGATGGTGTAGGTCGGGACCATGCCCATGGAGGCGCTGGCGGCGGCGGGCAGGAAGCCCGAGTGGAAGCCCGTGACGTTGCTGTTCAAGCTGATGGGCTGGCATGGCTTGTCGAAGGTCGACTGCGTGACGGTGTGGTTACCGGCGAGGAACTGGAACTGGACAAACTCGCCGGGCTGCGCGACGAGCTTGTCGGGCGAGTAGGTCAGGCTGCCGTTGCGCGCGACGGTAACGACCCAGGTTTTTTGGGCTGGTATTTCTCGTTAGCATGCTATTGCTTCCTTCCTCGACGCTCAAGGTTCCTTACCGGAAGCCAGGCTCGTAAGAGCGGTGAGGACGAGTGTTGTGAGCTGCATTCTGAACAAAGATTCGTCTATTGGTAAAAGCGAGGGTCCGGGTCGTCGAAAGAGTGACTGGGGTATCAAAAGCGACTTGCGCTGTGCAACAAGGTCAGGTCTAGCCTGGGTCGAAGATTAAAGAACAGACGACGGCACGAGAAAGAAGAGAGAAAGAAGCTGGAAAGCGAGGGCACCCCGAAGTGATGACTATGGACTGAACTGGTGGCACGGGAAGGAGGCCGGCCTGACGATCCGGGCACGGCATGAATTATAACGTTTTCCGAGGCCTTCAGAAATGTAAAGGATCGTCCCATGGTACAGTGTGGCCATGTCGTGAAGGTCGGATGGGGAAGGGGTTTGTGGCTGCAGGGCCCGGGGTGATGTTTGAGTTTTCGAAACATCGCCATGTTTTGCCATCGAGTCCGGCGTCTAGTCAGCCCAAAACAGAGACAGGAGCAAATCAGAAGACTGCATGGCGATTTTGAGAACAAAGCGGACAAAGTTCTACTTTCAGACTTGCTTGCAAGAATTCCTTGCTTCTGAGTCTAGCTGTTTGGGGAGGAGGGAGGGGGGAGGGGGGTGAGCGCCCTTGTTGGTAACTGAGGGACGTACCCGGATTCGATGGCGGGATGTCTGTCCTTGACATTTGCAACCGCGTGTTTCAACAGGGATTTTTATCAATTCATTTGGTGAGACGTCGCCAGAATGAGCTTGTCCATGTGGTCGACCTGCGCGCAGAGCCATCCTCATGACTTCGCTGACTGAAGCGCACTCAAGTCATGGAATCCAGCGCTCGATGCCCGAGCAAGAATCAACTGCGTAGCGCCCTCGGACGGAAACGAGGTTTGCCGGCCACCTGGCGCCATCCCGTCCAATGTCCAATATTAACCACGGTCAACTCACAACTCATGGAAGATTGTGGCTATCGAGGGGCCTGGAAAGTGGCCGCCTTGCCAATTGACAGGGCCCGGCGCTAAGGTTGAAAGACGGGAATGGTTGCACTTCGACCGGACAGAGCTGAAAATAAGGTTGAGCCTTCCAGGCGGCGCCGTTGCGGAGACTGGGCCTTTGTGTGAGGCGAGAACCTGGGGACCCACCTTTTGACAGGGACGGGGCTGCAAATATGCGGCGTCTGCCGCAGCCTGTGACACTTGTCAAACAATTTGGGGTTTCAGGAACTGCTACCAAGCGCTCTGGGCTTTTCAATCGCAGTGGAGTCCCAAAATGCAACCTCGCCGCTGCCCCATGCTTCCCGCTGGCTGCATCGCCTCAACATAACGGCTACCTATTAGATCCAATTTTCCGAGTGGAGCAGAGGTCGGCCCCGTCTTGGGCCAAGCACTGGATTCCATGGAGGTGATTGAAGTGGCCGACGCTTGTGCCGGTGACAGCGATGGTATGGTCTTGACCACTCACAAATCATCCTCCGGTGCAGAGATGATGGCCAGGATTTCTTCGCCAACAGCCAAAAGCGGCTTGATCGAAGGAGCATTACGCCCAAAATATCGTGGGTCTTCAGCTGACCGAGATCCCGGCCGACGACGTTTGGCCAGTTTACGATCCCAGATTCACAAAGGCTCCCGAACCACTCCCCAACAACGTCCACATCAAGCGACAGAGTCTCCTCGACTACGGCGACCAGGTTTCGACATGGAAGTTCACCGACCTGATGTTGCATGAGCTGGATATCTGCGAGTGCCTCGCGAAACATCCCCATCCGAATGTCGCGAAATATCTTGAACGTCTCGTCGAAGACGGCAGAATGACGGCTCTTTGTTTTCGACGGTACGCCAGGACTCTCCAGGAAACGGTGAGCAGCAGCGAGCAGGTTGACACGCAGGCCTGTCCCCGGGGCATACAGGAAGGCATCAAGCACCTCCATCAGCTGGGCTTGGTACACAACGACTTGAACCCCAGCAATGTCATGATGCATAGCCACGGCTCCAACCCTGTCATCATTGACTTCGACTCCTGTTGACGAGAAGGAGAGGAGCTGGGGCTCAAATGGGGTACCTACGATTGGGCCAAGGAAGACATTACTCACTCGACCGAGATAATGACCTTTACAGCCTTTCCAAAATCAGGGAGGTCCTGTTGGGAGCCATGGTTCAATGGGGGAAACAGACTTGATGCCGGATAATCAGCGGTGACTTATTGAAGCGAAACAGCTCAAACAACGAAGAATGTTCCTGTCTCTCTTGCACTTCCTTCTTTTCTTCCTTCCTTCGCCAGATTCACAGGGTGTTGTAAGCTCCAGAAAACAATACCAGTACAGGGTTCCAGTTCTGCATTCACGCAGAGTGAAGACTTGATAAATAACGTTAAATGCAATACTAGGAACATAACTCCGAGAAACAAAGTAGCCAGTGATACCATCTTCCCTCTCTCAATCATCAAAGTCAGAGTCTTTGAACTGGTCCGCTCATTCCAGGTCCACTGTAATACTACCTGGCTGTGTGTACTATGCAAATCCAACCGTGCTCAGTCATGTTGTGCGTTCTCTCATCCTGAATCCTGAGTGGTGCCTTGGGTTGAACCCTGGGATGTGGCTATACCCTCTGTGGCATCTGAATCTGGAGCCACGGTCGACATTTAAGCCAAGGTAGTTCAACCTGGCGCTGACAGGTGTAGAGACAACTTACTATAACAACTCGAATACTTCCACGTGCTCATGTAACAGCCGTCTTCCACTTCCATGTTGATCGGTCAGCCCTCTTGATACTTCTGAAGTCTCACATCGTTTAACTGGTTCAAAGGATCCTGAAGTGTGTGCGGAGAGTGATATCGTATGAAGATGACCAGCGAGGGTAAGTGGCCTGCTTTGAGTTTGAAGTGGTTCGTTTCGCGTTGCTGAGAAGATAGGGGTGGCTTGAGGCTTAGGGGAAGAGCACATTGAGCCTGAAGAGGGACACCTTTTATGGTCATGGACTCTAGCTATTGTGTTGCTAATGTGTCCTGGAGCCAGGAGTACAAAAACCATCAACGAAAGCTGGATTAAGATGGGGAAACAGGTTAGAGGGTGCCACGCCCACGTGTTCACTCCATGCTGACTAGGAATTGGCTTCTCGTGACAACTCATTGAACACGGCCGGGATCCAACAGGGACGCCCCAGTCTGTCTACATGCCAACTTGAACACTCCCGTTGGAAGATACTCGCTTTGTTGGACGTCAAGCTATATACCGGTTCAAAGTAGCAGGTATGCAGTGTGCACTGAGCAGGCTTGATGCTGCCGGGATAATTAGCGGGTGATGTGAAATGTACCGAGTCTACCTTTCCCCGTTTTTACTGTTTTCCTTATACCCCTATTTCACAAGTGATGTAAAGCTGCCAAGAGCAAGTACGAAGGGTCTAGTTTCAGGATTCAATTGAAAGCAACGGGTGATGAATTACTAACTAAGGCTAGTAAAGCATGACTAAGAAAAATTGGCGAAAACAAGCAGTGATATGTCTCGGCCATGTGTGAATTATGTTGCCTGTCGACCCTGTCCCCTCATGTCGACCCTGCCTTATGCCTCCAAGGCTGTGCCTTGGGGCCATGTTTCAAGACCTATTTCTTCGCCTTAGGGTCTAAATAATTACAGGGTCAAGGTCAGTTCTACCGAGCGGTCCGAGCTCATGACAGGCAAGGGAAGAACTTACCATGATACTTCGACGTGCTGCATGTGCTTCTCTGGCAGTCCGTCTTGTAGGTGACGATGGATTCATCCGTCTGCTTGACGTCTCTGGTTTCGCACATTGTTTGATGGTTTGTAGGGTAAAGAGCGTATGCTGATAACAATGGGATATGATGACGATACTAAGGTACCGAGAGCGTGTCAGCTGCTCGCGTTTGATGTCTTATGCGTTGCGTTGCTGAAAAGATACTACCGGTGGTTTGGGACTGAGGGGAAGTGATCAAGGTGCATGAGAACAAGCGCCTTTTACGTCCATGGGCTGCTGCTATTCTGGCAATGTGCCGTGGAGCGAAAACACAACTATCAGAAAACCTGGCTTCCATGGGCGGACAGATCAGTGTTCCTCGCCCACCTGTTCGTTTCAATGCTGCATCCGAGTCGCCTATCCAGACAACTCATCAAACACGGGGGTAGGACCAACAGGTTGGCGCTCCAGACGAAAACAGAGTTTCAGGCAGGGCTACATGAGACCAGATATCTGACGCAAGTGACTCAACTCTATTCTTGAACAGGCTCTAAATACGTGGCCTATTCTATTCATGAAGGATCACTGGTGATGACTACTGTTCTCCATCTCAACTCTGTCTCCCCTCAGACAGCCAGCTTGAACACCACCGCAGGAAGGCACTGCCTTTGTTAGATGTCAAGCTACACATCCGTTTCCCGGCAGACATAGTCATACCGGACAAGCTCAATGAAGAGATAGCATGTCCTGCAGGGCAGCAGCAACATGTTAGCTTTGCTCTTCTGGCCAGCATCATAATGCTCCTACTGTTTCGTTGTCTCCCTGGTTCGCTGCCTCCCAGGTTCGCTGAGAGACTAATAGGTTCCATGATGCCACCTTAGGTTCTAGCCTGAGGCATTTCTCATAAAAATCCCGATAGATCGTCTCCTCTGTTCTCCTGTGCTTCTAGTTCTATTTCTAGATTCTAAGATACATGAAGCCGTCGATGGCTGTACTAGGGTGATGTTTCTTAGATCTACATGTGTATAGCGTGACAGTAATGAGTACAGCAAACCAATCATTGTAAACCCCCCAAAAAAAGGCCTTGACATTGTGTCTTCCAGTTTTAGTTGGCATGATGACCTGGCCCATCCCTACTTAGCAATCTGTGCCTCTCGACCTAAGCCCCTATTACTACTCGCCCTCTTGGGTTGAACATTGCCTCGTTTCCCGGCCTGTGTCTTGTGTTTTCTCAGGCTCTTCCTCTGCCCAGCATACAGTCAGTTGATGTTGCTTGTGATATGAGGAATGAACCCAACGGTCCCATGTGGCGAAAGCAAGAACTCACCCATGACTGGTGGCTTCCAACCCCAACATAATTCTTCGAACGTGGGCAAACTGACTTGTAGCAGTCCAAGCACCACGTGAATAGCTTCCCCTCTTTGCGACATCCCATGCGGAACTTGCACATGGTAGTAGATGGTTGAAGGACTACTGAGACCAAGTAAGCCCCTAGTAAGATTTTGAAGTCGATGATCTCTGAAAGTGTGAACGGGCCGCTTTGAGTCTGAAAGTGATGTCTTGTTGCTGGGATAACAAGGGTGATGCGATGGAGAACTCGAACAGCTCATGGAGCGTGGATAGGACTGTCTTAAATGGTTGTAAACAATCCCTACCTCACCGTGTGTACTTAAGTGAAGGGCCATCCAGAATCTCGAAGTAACAGACCCGAACAAGCGAGAAGATGGCTCGCCCAGATACTATTCCAACATTCAAAACCGAACCAACTGTCCTGGTACATTCCATGAAACTGATAGGAGATGCCTACAAAGACAATATGCTGTTGCTCAAACAAAGACCCTCGAGCACGGTCCAGAGGTCAGTTCCTAGACTGCCGTGGGTTGGAAAGAAAGAGCGCATGGAACTGAGAGATGATATATCACACACACCTATGGGGCCCCTTTGCTTTGAACGCGGCCGCAAGATTCCAAGGACGCGGCCATTATGTATCATGGCGGCAACTCCCAATTGCGAACTCCCCGAGTCGACCGTAACCCTGTATCAGTCTCCAGGTCTGCCACGGTTGGCTGGCTGGCTTAGATCGTCACCACTGGGCTTGGAGTCCTGCCGACGCTGAGTGTTGGGTTACAGCCCCGCTGGCTTATGCCACAATCATTGGCATACATTCTCGCACTTTGATTACCCCGGCCAGGGAATGTAAGCCATTGCGAGGTGAGTTATTGTCTGGTGTTTTCTGACCGGTTTGTTGTTCTGTTCGGGCTAGCCACCGCGTCAACCAATTTCGTTCCACGCAAAACGCTGGCCCTCTGGGACACCTCAGATAGTGGACCACCATGGCATCCCGCCGTTATCAATATCAATGTGTATTCATCCGTTCAAGTTGCAAGAGAGTTTCGGGATTTTGTAAATGCCTGGTATGGCAGGCAGTCGCTCCGCCGGATGGCGCGCGAACCCGGGCTTGCAGTGCAGCTCGGATTGTGCCCTGTGTGGGCCGCGTCCTCAAAGCACGACGCGAGGATATGCTGCTGGAGCAGACATTATGCATCGCAGAGTGACGCTAGGCCTTCCTCTGCCCTCAAGTTGAGCGGCATTGTAGTCGTCGAACGATCTTCCGTCGTTAAATAACTGGTCCGGCCCTTGATGAACCCCCTTCCTTCCGCCTCCGGGCCCTCTACAAATCCATCAACAACTGCGGCGCGATCTTTTCCAGATCCTCAACCTGCTCACCATCAGTCAGCAACAAACCAACCACATGTGACACCCTTCTCCCCGAGGAACAGCACGCACTACTTACCTCCAAGAAACCCCTACTCCTCTCCACCGCCGCCCTCGCAATCGCCTCCCTCACAAAAACATCCACATACCGCGCTACAGCAGCATTCGCATCCCTCGTGATCCTCGTCCCCTCCCTCTCAAAGAATTCATAGAGAATCCTCGTCAACAACTCCTGCGGTATCTTCTCTCTGTTCCTCTCCTCCTCCTCATCATCAACCTCTTCTTCCCTATCCTCCCCACCACCACCAAGTCCTACCCGGTCCCGGCCACGATCCCGATCCTCCTCCTCCACGGCCCCATCCAGCGTGTGATCATCATCATCTTCTTCATCTTCGTCCCTATTTTGATCGAGAAAAGCATCAAGGTCAACAACATCCGGCATATCATCATCATCCTCCTCCTCCAGCGACTGCTGCTGTGTCTTCCTCCCCCGCGCTTGCGCCGACGCAGCAGAAGCGGCTCCTCCCCTACCTCTCGAAGAGGAAGTAGCACCACGCCTGCTGGCCCTAGAAGCAGCTGTTGACCGGCCTCTGCCCGTCATTGAAGTGTTTGTCGCTGTTGCAGGTCTCCCAGGACCGCGGGCTGCGGAGCTGGTGCCTGACGCTCTGGGTGGCATGGCGTGCGAGTTCTGCTATGGAAAGGATATTTGGTGTAGGACAGGTCGGCGGATGGCGCCAGGAAAATGAGATTTTGTTGCGATTGTGTGAAACTCAAGATGTGTTTGATGCTGTGTGGAAACTGTTGCAGGCTGTCAAGTGCAAGAAGTGGGAGACGCGACGCGACCTCGCACGATTAAATTACGTAACTCGGTAGTTTAGATTTACGAAACACCAAAACCAAATCATCCAATTATTTCATCTTATCACTGGACTGGAGACGAACATTGAGCACTTCAGGAAGGAAACACGGTTGAAATGGCCAGAAACTATTGGGATCTATGAATCGCATGCAACAAAGGAAACACCCATGCGAAGAAACGGCAACCCCAACGCGAAATGGTAGCAAGGAATACACCGGGAATGGCTCAAGAGTATAAATTACAACGGGTGAACGGCCCATCCGCGTCCCAGTAACGCCAGATATGCCCAGTTTTTGTACCCCGCGATACCCAACGTCCAGAAGCATCTGCTGCCTCCCACGAAGGATCCCCGTCTCCCAGCTCAACGCCACCGACCCACCACGTCCCCTTGGTTCAGCCAACTGCTCGAACCGTGATTCGTCACCAACCGCCTCCATCATCCCATGATGTTGTACAGTGATTGGCGAAATTTAGCCAGAGCCGCCCTTGAAGGCCTTGCCGAACATAAGGACCTGGAGCTGGTCGTAGATCGAGAGCACACCAGCGCCAGCAACACCACGGAGGATGTTGGCACCAGCACCCTTGAAAAGAGACTTGACACCCTCCTTGGCAACGATCTGCTGGAAGGCATCGAACGAGCTCTTGTACTTGACAGCCTCACCAGAGGTCATCATCATGCGGCGACGGACCGTGTCAAGAGGGTACGAGGCGATACCGGCACCGGTAGTGACGCACCAGCCGAGCATGAAGGAAGCGAGGAAGTTGTTCTGGAGCGCGCCGGTGAGGACGACGGGCTTGATCGAGTCGTACATGCCGAAGTACAGACCGCGGTAGACGACGATACCGGCGACGGAAGGACCGAAGCCACGGTACAAACCGGCGATACCGTCCGACGCAAGGGTCTTGCGGTAGACGTCAATCAGGCCGTTGAACTGGCGCTCACCACCCTTCTTGGCCGACTTGGCGTCGTTGGCAAGACGGGTACGGGCGTAGTCGAGCGAGTAGACGAAGAGGAGCGAGGTAGCACCAGCGGCCTGGGTTATGTCAGACACCAACCGATAAGAACCTAAGCGCGCCAGAACTTACACCACCGGAGGCCAGGTTACCAGCCATCCACTTCCAGTAGCCATCCCTGTCCTTCTTGTAGCCGAACATCTTCTTGAACTTGTCACGGAAGGCGAAGTTCAAGGCCTGGGTAGGGAAGTAACGGATGACGTTGGCCGTGTTACCACGCCACAGGGCCATGACACCCTCATCGGCGGTGGTACGGCGGAAGCAGTCGACAATGCCATTGTAGCGGCGGTCAAGACGGCCAGCCTTGATCATCTCATCCTATGGGATTGTCAGCACAATTCGGGTCATGTCCAGCAACTCTGCCCTGGCCCGGTGACAATGCGAATGCACGTGACACCGACCGCTGACTGGGCGCCGATGCGGCTTTGGCTCTCGGAACACCATGGTCAAGGCAGGGCTCGTTCCAAAGCGCTGCAACATACCTGGTTTTGGACGAGCAGCTTGATACGCTCAATGGGGGCAGCGGCAGTCTTCGAGACGGCGGCGGAGACACCACCCACTACGGATGAACGTCAGCATGTATTCGCGGAACCAACTGCGGCGCAGTAGGCCTTCTACAGCATTCGCTGTACGTCCGCCCGCTGGCGCCGATGAGGCTCGGAAGTCACGTACTCAAGAAGTCGACCACGAAGGACTGTGACGGAGCAAATTAGCAAAATTGTCCTGTTGATAATCCCGACTGTAAACCGCTCGCCCCAAAGCTGTCGAGGAGTCTGTCGTCACGCAATTTCGCATGGACCATGGTCGCAGGAACCATAGACACCCAGCAATGAGGTCAATTGGGGCCTGCGATCGCGTCCTGAGACGAGACAAAAAGACGCGCGATGGGGCGAGGGATTTTCAAATTGCACCATAGTGACGACTTACCGGCATGCCCAGGATCTTAATATCCTCCTTGTTCGCCATTTTGATTGTCTGATGAAAGACGACTCTGAATGGAAAAGAATGGAGTGGAGAGGGAAGTCCTTGCTCTGCTGGGAGAGTCTAGGAGATGGAGAGATGCAGGAAGTCGCGAGAAAATGAATTCTGCGAGGCCTGGAAGTTGGGGTGGAAGAGGGAAAAAAATTCGCAGCGGCCCGGAAGAGACCAGCTTTTGAGGTGCGAGTCTTTCCGGTCCCTGGTCGCGCTAGGCGCACGGGCCAGCCACAACAGCCACTGGGGTGCACGGCAACCACGGGGGGAAGCGTTGCTGCTTCTTGCAGCCTTGCCGTGACGCTAACGTTAACCAACCACTTGCAGTGCCGGTAAAGCCCGAGGTCCCATTCTTTTTTTTTTGTTGCAATCGCCAAGTTGGCGGCCATGGGGATTTCGAAGCTGAGCAGCAGTTTTGAATTCATCATGCAGCCTCAAGTTCTCGTAAATGCGTCACTAACTGTAGTCATTCATGGCCTTCTCGGAGTTTTTGACATCGTTTCTCAGTGCCTCTCACTCGCAAGCGGCCCAATCTGACACAAGCCTCCCGTCCCTTATCGCGGGTTTGACTCGGATATCGGGACAAGATTGAGCGGTTTGTTGCCAACGCAGTGCTGCTCGGCTGAAATGTTCCACGAGGTTAAATAAAACCTCCGAAGAGACTCAACAGCCAATGGAACGGCGTCAATTGGACCCAGCTGGAAAGTTTTGATGTCTCAAGACTGAGAATTTCAAACTGAAGAATGATCCACTTGCCAAGTCTGAGGTTAGGAGACTTCGGCCATCTTCTGTCACTCTAGGTAAGGTCTCGAAGTATCTTGGCCTTTGCATGTGGCAAATGGCAATTCGGAGCCACCTTGTTTGGTTAGGCCGGAGTATAAGAGGTAAAGTATCGTCTGTGACACTGGACACGATGCTGATGTGGTCAAGCTTGTACTGTATACTGAGGACAAAATCCTGGGCGTCCTGTGTGGTACCTGATGCCACTACATGACTTGATATGGGTGACTCTGTGCTACGGTCAGGCGGCTGTGGAGTCTGGAGCCCAGAACAGACGCCGTTCTTTTCACCTCTGGTTGCATGGTGTATGCATCGTCGAGGCGTGCCAATAGACAGCAGGAACTCTGGACAGTATCTCGGCTTAGGAATAAGTCTCAAGGTGTTGCGTCCTTCGGTAAGTAACCTGACTTAAACATATCACCTGAGATGCTTCATGCGACAGGCATGTTCGACGGGTATCAATTCGCTACGCTGATGCGCCTGAGTTTCCGCAGAGGGACGTCTTGGGCCGACCTTCGATGGCTTCACAACCTCATATTAAGGATGGTCCGGCGTCGATCATACCCCGACCTGACAGGACGAAGCCGCGGCGTTGTTCGAATCTCGATGCAATTCCAGTCTAAGGATCTGGAGCACTTCCAATCCCTATGCTACACCGAAGGAGCTGCCAATGAATTCCGATCCCAGAGACGCAGCCATGCCCGAATAACCGTAACCCCAATCGAACCGTCGTAAAAAAGTCGCATTTCCGCCTGCCAGGTCCGTCGATATGATGTATGGCGGATGTTTACTCGGCAGCGCCAACGGCACGAGCTGCAGTCTTGTCAGCAAGCGATTCCGTATCCGCAGTCAACTCGAGCGCAACATACTGTAGATCTTCATCTTGCTGTGTCCCACTACCTGCTTGATCTGTCCCTTCTCCTCCAGGTCCTTCAGGCACCGCCGAGCGAGGGAGCCGTTGATCTTGAGCCGGTCGACGAGAGTGGCGACGGTCACCAAACGGTAAGACTGGACATCCTTATAGAGCTTGTCGGAAGTGGCCTTGTCAAGAATGACGGCGTGCTGGGCCTTATCCTTGACTGTTCGCAAATGCAGAGGTTAGCGGTTGTCGCCAGGGCCGATGCATTGGAGATTCGCAGGCACAGAAAGCGCTTACCCTTTCCCTTCGACCACTTCTTCTTCTGCTTCTTAGCACCAGATGCCGCGGGAGCCATGTTGGATGTCTGTTCTGGTGGATGATGAAGGTTGGAGTCGGAGGTCGAGCCGCAAAGCGCGGGGAGATTTTCTGACAGGCGAGCCCGTCGGATGCCAGTGCTTAGGTTAACCGAGCCCTAAAGGAAATGGGGCGCTGTGAGTGGCCGGGTTCCCGCCTAGACCACTTTCGGCGGGGCCACCAAAAAATTCACGACCACTCGCTCACAAGCCTCGAGTGTCGTCGTCCACGCCAAACTTCTGCTCATCACCGACCTTCAGCTTTCCAGTCCATCGGCAATCTTAAAAATGTCTGAAGGCGAAGTCGAAGTGGCCTCCTCCTCCTATGAGGTCCTCCCCAAGGAGGTCCTTGCCGAGGTTGGCAGCGTCAAGCTCTTCAGTATGTGCACCCGTGTGATTCGTTCTCCAACGACAAATCGATTGATGAATGGGCGGCCACAACCGTATCCGGAACCGGACGCTGACTGTTGTCAATTGCAGACCGCTGGAGCTACGAGGATGTTGAGATTCGGGATATTTCTTTGACGTAAGACGACACAAATCTGCGACGACCTGGACCGCGCTCGGTTTGGACTCGATTTGGCGGGCAGGCTACTGTGCTGGGCCTGGAGGCTAACGCGCTTTCTTCTGCAGCGACTACATTCAAATTCGGTCTCCCGTCTACATCCCTCACTCGGCTGGCCGTTATGCCCAAAAGCGGTTCCGCAAGGCCAACTGCCCCATCATTGAGCGCCTCACCAACTCTCTGATGATGCACGGCCGCAACAACGGCAAGAAGCTGATGGCCGTCCGCATTGTTGCGCACGCATTCGAGATTGTGAGACTTCGCATTTGTGGCATCGTAAACCGGATTTCAATCTGACTGAATTGCAGATCCACCTCATGACCGACCAGAACCCCATCCAGATTGCCGTTGACGCCATTGTCAATTGCGGCCCCCGCGAAGACAGCACCCGTATCGGTTCCGCTGGTACCGTCCGGAGACAGGCCGTCGATGTCTCCCCCCTGCGCCGTGTCAACCAGGCTATTGCCCTCCTCACGACGGGTGCCCGCGAGGCCTCGTTCCGCAACGTCAAGTCGATCGCCGAGTGCCTTGCCGAGGAGCTGATCAACGCTGCCAAGGGCAGCAGCAACTCGTACGCCATCAAGAAAAAGGACGAGTTGGAGCGTGTTGCCAAGAGCAACCGGTAAAGGGCTGCTTGGGTGGAAGGCATATTGGACCGGGACGGGACGGATTTTACGGCTTGTTTTGCAGGGCTGCTTTTGCGCGTTACGGTCTGGTGGATGCCTGGCATTCTTGTCAACAGGCACAAGTAGGGATCTCCCAACAAGGGAGCAAATGGTGAATCTCTGACAAGAACGGCGTCTTTTGGTGGTGATTATGTGGTGCAATTTCTTGTAACGTGGAGTTCTGTTTTTCTTTATTCTTCTGGCTTTTTCCGAGTGACAGATTAAAGCCCATGGTATCGCGAGGCACGCCTCTTACAAACACCCCCTTACCCTAGATCTGGTTTACCTCCCTCTCAACTTCAACCCTTAAAAACATGCCATAATGCAAGATTCCCTCCTCCATCCACGTACCCATCGCCTCGTCCACCTGGAACCCGCACTTCTCCCACACTTTCACGGCGTCTGCCTGCGCGTGGCAGCAGAATAGGCCGTTCCATAAGGGAAGCGTCCCCCCTTGCTCCATGCCTAGCTGCGAGAAACCGCGCTCGGCCGGGGATGGGTCGAAGTAGGACGGGTGCTTGCGCATCCAGTCGATTGCTGTGCGTATTAGCTGGCCGGCGATGCCCCGGCCGCGGAACTCGGGGATCACGGCCAGCCGGCCGAGTTTGACGTAGGGTTCTATGCCGTCGTGGTAGCTTGTTGGGCGGTCCGGGGTGAATGTTGGTTGTGGGGCGGTGGTTGTTGCTGGTGAGGAGGGGTCGGTGGTTGCGGTGGTGGCGGTGGTAGTGGTGGTGTTGTCGTCCTGGCCGGTGGTGGTGATGAGCTCGCCGTCGACGTAGACGCCGCCTTGGACCGGGTGCGGCGGGTGTGGGAAGGGGACCAGGCGTAGGGTGCCGATTGGGACGGACTGGGTCGAGCTTTGCCGCGGACGGATGATCTCGCCTGTCGTGGCGTCGGCCACGGCTGGCGTGATGGTGTGGTTCACTGAGGCGTAGATGACCCAGTGCGCGGAGCGCGGGTCGTCTGCGTCGAACTCGTTGGCTTGCGGGATTTTCTGCTCCTGGACGAAGACTTGCGAGCGCACTGTCATGGCGTCTAGGAAGGTGCGCGGAATGGAAGAGGCGTTGGGCTGCTCCGAGGGTGGGAGGGCTTTCTCCCATGGGAGGGGCGTCGGTTCCTGAAGGGCAATGAATGGCGTGCCCATTTTGATGGCTCCCTGCTCTTCTCTCCCCTGGTTTCGAAAAGTCCAGTCCTTAATCCACAGCTGGGTTGAAACCAAAACAGGGCCTTGAAGCGATTGACTTGACCACCACGCCCTGATGTTTAGGTGTAGATATTTTTGGGTCGGCGATTTTTGCTATCAATCAGTCGCGGGGTGTGTCTCCACCCGTGAACATTGCCCTCTCGACTTCAACTGTCTTGTTCCCTGAGGCGGCACTGCGAGTGACTGAAATTGGTCACAATCATAGTTAATGATTTTCAGGTTGTCGGCCGTCAACCGCGTGCCTTCTCTCTTTCCCGGGGGCTGATCAGTTTGGACTGCGGGGTATCGGATCCTTGCGGGATCGGTACCCAGGCCCCTTGCATTTGTTCATTTCATTAGATCTCTGTACCTGCATCGACTTGTGAATCATGCTGTAGAAACGGAAACGCGGTATTCTCGAGGCCTGGGGCCTCATCAAGTCGAACTTGAATCCGACCTCGACATGGCAGCCGCCAGCAACGCCATTGAAGGCAAGCTTGCTCTGATCACAGGAGCTTCAGGAGGGTAATTAAGACATACGGAGCACCAATGGAACACCGTTTGATGTTGACTTTGAGTAATAGCATCGGAGCAGCCTGCGCAAGGGCGTTATACTTGAAAAACGTCAACCTGGCCCTGACCTACTCCAGTAGCGAGGACAAGATCCGGGCTCTGGAAGAAGAGCTCTGGGCGCTACGCAACAACCACTCCCCCAACGCCCTCAACCCGGTCGTCTCAACACACAGAGTTGACGTCGGCTCGGCCGATGATTTGCATCGCCTCTTCAAGAGCATCCGCGAACTGCACGGCCAAGACGGCCCAGACATCCTGGTTTCTAATGCCGGCTACGGCAAGCGCATCCCGGACATTGCGGACATTTCGACCGAGGAGTTCGACTACACCATCAGCATCAACCTGCGCGCCGCCTTCATACTGTCCAAGTTGAGCATTCCGCACATGGCCGCTCAGCGGTGGGGGCGCATCATCTTTGTCTCGTCGCTTGCCGCGCACGGCGGCGGTATCAACGGGTGTCACTACGCCGCGAGCAAGGCCGGGCTGCACGGGCTGATGAAGAACCTGGCGACGAAGCACGCCAAGGACGGGATTACCGTCAACGACGTTGCGCCCGCCATGATTGGCGAGACGGGAATGCTCCCGGATGAGAAGTCCGTCGAGGGCACGGCGGGGGATGTGAGGAATATTCCGGTCGGGAGGTTGGGGACGCCGCGGGAGGTGGCGAATGTCGTGACCATGTTTTGCCAGACGGGGTACTTAACAGGTCAGAGTGTGCTGTTGAGCGGCGGGCTGAAGTGAGCGGGTTCTGGGGGAGATCGTATATCCAGCGGTTTCGTCTTGGTTTTTTGACTATCGGCGCAACAACTATGCTGAATACATCACGGCGCCCATCATCCCGTCTTCATGTCCGCCGGACCAGCTCCCTCTCAATGTCAAGGCTTGGATCTTCACGCCTCAGACCGGGCGGGATCCCTACTTGGCCAAGTGCGCGAAGCTCACGGACACGCCGTGTGGGCCAGGGCGGTCATCGGGTACAGGGCCGTGTTTGTTTAATGGGCTCTTCAAGCGGTGTCGGTATGGCTCTGCAGCCTCTCCTCGGTGCTAAATGTTGATGGCTGCCGTAGCCGATGCCTCGCCGTTCTGCTGACGTAACTCACAGGGCTCGGCACGGCACATGGTGCAGCCGTCAGATGTCGCCTTTCCCCCATTATGGTACTCGAGCGCACCGACATCAGGGGATAAAACGTGACGGTTGCTGTTTCTGGCCTCCTCTAGCAGAATCCTGTACTGTGCTAGCACCAGCCGGGCCGGGCAACAACCCTCCCACTCGTTTGTCCCTTAATGCCAGAGTACGTTCTATCCCGATAACGGCCCCTCCACACCCTGACTGTTGTTCCAGTCTTAACATGTTTCAACGCAGATTCAAGCTCGGCCACCAACTCGACGGCGTTAAGCTCGTGTTGGCGTACTTGTACATATTGTCGATGAGCGCTTCGATGTAGCGACGCTTCGCTTCGGTACGGCTTAGGCCCGTTTGCGAGCTCCACGCGTCCCATTTGTCTTGCTCGCGCAAGAACTCCTCGCTGCTGCTGCCCATGCCGGTCCCCGCTGTAAGTCGCTTTATCAAACCCTCCACGTCGCCTCCCATAGCTGGCTTGAAGAGGCCGTTGAGGCGCATACGGTCCGAGGGCGGCGGCCGGGCGGCGGCCGGGCGGCCCCGGTGTTGGGAATTGCTTTGGCTGTCTTGAGAGCCTGGACGAAGACTCGGTCTTTTGATGTGGCGAGGGGGGTTTGATAGGGGTCAGGTGTGCTCTTTTCGAGATATCCCTCATCTTTACCGGTGACGGGGCTCGCCGGAGCCCCAGCACCGCTCACCCCTTTCAAGGTGCTGTTACCCCATTGCCAGAATGCGTTCTCTCCCGAGATTCAGATCGCGAGCCTCTCCTTCAAGATTTCCACTTCTTGCCAATGTCTCTGTTCTTGTTGCCGGTGAGCGCTTCGTCGCGGGCCATACATTGTTTCGACGACCTCCTTCTCGTACGCCGTCATCTGGTTGCTGATTTCCATCGTGTGCTCATCTACAAGACGCCGCACCGTGCCTTCCTCCCGCTCGGCTTGCATGCGTGTCAGTTCCTCCTGCAGCTCATGATTTTGTCGGCTCAGGTCCTCAAGACGGGAATCCATCGGTGTTTCAGAGGACTCCTGGTCGCTCTCACGCGGCCTGGTCGTGATGATGCTCCGGCGGCAGCCGGTGCAAAGCCCGGGGGAACCGTAGAGGTACCAAGACTCCAGTTTATGTGAGCGGCCATTGTGTCCAGGAAATCCAAGCCAGTCTGCGAGCCAGCGCTTGCAGGGGGACTGGCCGATTGAGAGCCCAGACTACGCAAGGCTCGTTGAACAATGTCCGGTAGGGCCAGAATCTCACTAGGCTCTAGTTCCAATAGCTTGACCAATACCTTTTCCTGCATCATGCGTTCGTGGGTCTTGGGGTACTCCCTCAACACCTCCGCAAGCTTGCGTGGTGGCAGAGGTGAGAACACAATGGGTCTAGCTAGATCAGGACATTGGGCGAGCAATGTCTTTTGGGGCAGCTTCTTGTAAGCTCAGGGCCTCAGCCTCTTAAGCGTGCGCGGATACGCCTTTGCAAGCGCCTCCTGAGGGAGTTTCAAAATCTTGTATTTGGCAGTTCATCGAGAATTGCGGGTGGTAGCAGTTTTAGACGCTCGAGGTCCAGGTCTAGGATGGCTTCTGGTTGTTTCCGACCGACCTTCCTCCAGTATGTGATGATATCAGAGAAGTCGTCCGGGCCCTGGAATCAAGACCTGGGCCGGCGGAAGCTGAACATTGCGAAGCCCTCTTGTGCGAAGTGTCGCTGAGAAGAACATTCGATGGGATTGTCTGTGGAAACGAGACCTGGTATCGCAGTGGTGCCTTGAGACTCGTAAGCGCCTCAACGAAATGATATCTTGGATGTGAGGTTTGACAGTGCCGAAGCCTCACGGCCTTCCTTCATCGCCCCGCAACTGAAACCGGTCGCCATGGGGCAGCATCATGACTGGACCCCATGCAGAGCGTCCAGGCACACCGCAGTAATCACATGGATGCTTCTTGGCCATGGGGAGTGTGTCGATGGGGGAGGGGTGCTCAGCTCCACAACAGTATAATTCAGCCCTGGCCTATTTGTTAGCGTGTCACATGGAAAGGCAGTAAAACCAGGATGGAACGAAAGAGTTCTAGGACAGTGTGTTAGGAAAGGAGGAGAGCATCGATGCATACATTTTCGTTTCAGGGGGGACCACTCATCGCTTAGATAACTTGTCTAAGCCGGGTATCAGCATGCTTCCTCCGACGTAATCGGGAACATCCCTAGACCGGGTCTGATGCCCTCACCCAGCCTCCTTCCCATCCATCTTCCTCTCCTTCCTCGGCCAGTCCGGACAAGTGTCGATCCTATCCCTAGGAAACCAAAGCTCCAGGAACAGAAATATGAGATAATCGACAATCACGCACAGGCAGAACAGCTTGCCCGCCCAGATGCCACAGCCATAGTACCTCTTGAGCCGATCAATCAGCGCAAAGCTCTGCACCCCGGACCTTCCCCTCGTGGCACTCCAGCTCCCGGCGCCATTAGCAGCATCATACCCATAGAATTCGGCCTCGCTAATGGCGCCACATATCCCATTGTACACCCTCTCCGTCCTCATGGCCACGTTGGTCCACGAGTACATGCTCTTGACCTGCTCATGAAAGAGCTCGGTCCGCACCTTATTCGCGCGCAGCGCCGCGATGGCCCTGCCCGTGGCCGCGACGAGATCATCCTCCTCGGGCTTGGCAAAAACCGTCATGTGCGACGGCAGCACCTCTGGTATCCCCCCGACCTGGGTGCACACCACATACAAGCCGCAGCTGGCAGCCTCGACGATGACGGTCCCAAACGCTTCCGTCAGGGACGGGTGCAGGTAGATGTGGCCGCGCACCATGACGTCGCGGACCTCTTCGTGGCGGATCGGCCCCAGCATCTCGACGCGGTCCTGCAGCACATTCTGCTCAATCATTTGCTCCAGGTCGATGGCCTTTGGTCCGTCGCCGGCGATGATGAAGCGCGTGTTAGGGTGGTTCTCGAGGATGCGCGGGATCGCGGCCGTGAGCAGGTCGGTGCCTTTGTTGTAGAACAGGCGCGAGATGACGACGATGGTGATCATGCCGTGGGGCCCAAGGGGGCGGGCGGGCGGTGGGTGGTGTGGCCGGAACGAGGCGGGCAGGGGCTCCGAGTAGTCGAGGGGCTTGAAGTTTTCTGCTACGACGGCGTTGGGGATGACGGAGACCATGAGTGGGTCGAGAGAGGCGCGCAAAACGGTGTTTTCTTTGCTGGGAATTGTTAGTGTCGACACCCAGTGAAAGTACGAGGGTGAGAGACTCACCATGTGTGGCTTACGCAGATGACATGGTCCACATCGCTGAGGCTGAACTTGAGGATCTTGTTGGCAAAGATGCTCGCGGCATCGGCAAAGCCAAACAGGGAGTGGTCTGTGTAAACAGTCCGTAGTCCCATGGTCCTGGCGTGAAGGATGGCCTCGTGGCACAAGCTGCTCAAGCTGGCATGGCCGTGGACGATATCGATGCGCTCTCGCAGGATGATATTGCGGAAAATGGGAAAGAATGAGAAAACGGTGGGGAAGCTGGCGGATCGATACAGCACGAAGAAAGGTACATGGTAGACCTTGAGGCCGTTGGTGAGATAGCGGACGCCGGTGCGGCCCTTGTAAGCGTGCGTGATGATGATGACCTTGTGGCCCCTGTCCCTGAGCTTGGTCGACAACTGGTAGATGTGACTCTCGACTCCTCCTGGCTGCGGGAAAAAGAAGTCGCTAACCATGGCAATGTTGTATGTGGGCGCCATGGTCATAGGCAGGCCTGGAGTTCATTTTCCCAGGAGCGGCTGCCGAATGTTGATGAACGAGTGAAAGTGTTGGAGTGGGATGAGACGAGTTCCAGGTTCTTCGAAGCATGTGTGATTGTGTGTCCCTGACAGGGGATGAGAGCGACTGACAGGGGTGCTGAACGCTTGGAGCCACACCGCCTGCTAGTCCTGGTCTAGGCTGTCGGCACTCACACCGTCCAGGCCCACTAACCGGACGCCAAGTATGGCAGGAAGCTTGATCGCCAAAACTTTTTTGCTTGCAAATATCAGGCAAATCGAATCAAGACGGCAATCCACGCAAGCTCCGACATGTACAATCGGTACATTCCTCCTCCCAAGGAGAAGCCAGCGTCTAACAATTCGCAAGCAATTCCCGCTTCATACTCGGCCCCTTTCTCTTCGTCCCAACCATACGCCCGCTACATTCCCGGGCCAACATCATCCGCAGAGCCGGCCCAGCGTCCTCCAGCGCAGCCGCAACGGATTGTCTTTGACGATGCAGACCTTCCTCCAGTCGACCACACTAAGAGACAGCGGATCATAGATGAAGAGCTCACGGGCACAAGAGAGGACAAGAAAGCAAAGAACAAGTCCAAGTCGAAAAAGAGCACAGATGAAGGGAAGCTAGAGACCGAGGAAGATGGCGAAGAGAGCCAATTGACAGAGTCAAAGTCGCGCAAGCGCAAGAGGGGCGAAGAAGAGCCGGCCGCGATTCCTGAAAAGGAGATTCCAGAAGGAAGCGGTACAACCACCTCCAATGGCGTTGCAGCACCCGAGGTTGAGACGGCGGACCCCGCGGCTGGGGAGCGCAAACTGAAACGGGAGAAGAAGAAGAAGAGGAAACAGCAGGACAACCTAGATTCCGACATGGCCGATGGCGATGCAGACCACATCCGCAAGAGACACAGATCGGTTTTCGAGAAGGTCCAAAAGGCCTTGCAGGCCAAACCCGATGTGGATGTGAGAAAGAAAGAGGAGGACAAGGAAGAAGAGGACACTGAGCCAGTGGTGGAACATGGGCTTGAGCCGCTTCCGCAGCCAGAACCCTTCGTCCTTGATGAGTCAAGGTTGACCTACGAAACCCTGCCTCCATGGCTCGCGTCCCCGATCAAGGTGACGGCCGATATGACACGGCCATTCACGGAATTGGGCATCTCCCCAGAATCATCCAAGGTTCTTGAATCCAAGGGATTCAAAGAAGCATTTGCAGTGCAGACTGCGGTGCTCCCCTTGCTGTTGCCTTCCCCGGACAGGCAAGGCGACGTGGTAGTCGCAGCCCCCACTGGATCCGGAAAGACGCTGTCCTATGTCCTGCCTATGGTGTACGATATAAGCAAGGGTCGCGTCACCAGACTGCGCGCACTCATTGTACTGCCGACAAGGGATCTCGTCCAACAGGTGCAGCTCGCCTGCGAGTCCTGCGCCGCTGCGTTTGCCATCAATGGGGCCAAACGAGTCAAAATTGGGACCGCTATGGGAAACAGGGTGTTCATGGAGGAGCAGTCAGTCATTATGGGCGAGGAGCAGATTTACGATCCCAAGGGGTACGAGCAGTATTTGAAGAAGCAAGATAGCTTTGTCGACCTGGAGGACTCCGATATGGAGAATGACGACCTCGGGTTTGAGCGCGCTCAGCCGTTCCCCTACCACGTTATCGCCTATACCTCCAAGGTCGACATTCTCATCTGCACGCCCGGCCGACTGGTGGAGCATATCACCAAGACACCCGGATTTTCGCTGGACTATGTCCGCTGGCTAATTGTTGACGAGGCCGACAAACTCCTAGCTCAACACTTCCAGCAATGGTTGGATATAGTGACAGATAAGCTGAGTGTTGTCAAGCCCGGGGCGCGCGACTTCCCGGGGTCAAACAAGTCTTGTGTTCGGAAGGTCATTCTCAGTGCAACCATGACACGGGACCTCAGTTTGCTCAACGGGCTGAAGCTCTCCAGGCCGAAGCTCGTCGTGGTCGAAGGGACCAAGGCAGGCGAGCAGAGCCTGCCGCCTCTTCTCAAGGAGTTCGCCATCAAAATCCGCGAGCCCAGTCTCAAGCCTTTGTACCTCGTGGACCTGCTCCACAGCGAACACATGGCATCTGTCAACCCGGGTGATGTCGACGAAGCCTCTGAGGGATCAGAGACCAGCGACGTAGAGTCGCCATCCTCCTCTGATTCCGATTCCGGTTCCGATTCTGATTCCGACGCTGACGCTTCCGCCTCCCCAGGCGACGACGATGACCATTCCCAGCCATCCAAATTCAAGCCCCCCATCAAACAACCCAAACTCGCCACGACAATCCTCATATTCACCAAATCCAACGAAGCCGCTCTCCGCCTATCCCGCCTCCTCGCCCTGCTCGCGCCCGACCTAACTTCCTTGATCGGCACACTGACCTCCTCCACCAAGACCTCGCGCCGCGCGCGAACGCTGCGCGCCTTCGCGCAGGGCAAACTGCGCATCCTAGTGGCGTCGGACCTCGTGTCGCGCGGCATCGATCTGCTGAACCTCGAGCACGTCATCAACTACGACGTGCCCATCAGCGAGACGTCGTACGTGCACCGCGTGGGGAGGACGGCGAGGGCCGGGAGGAAGGGGTGTGCGTGGACTTTGCTGGAGCATGCTGAGGCGAGGCGGTTTTGGAGGGATTTTGCGGGCGAGGGGAAGGGTGCGGTGACGAGCATTGTGAGGGCTGGGAAAGTGGAGAGGGTGAGGGTTGGGCCGGAGGGGGGCGAGTTTGAGGAGGAGAGGGTGAAGGAGTATGAGGCTGCGTTGGAGAGGCTGAGGCTGGAGGCTCAGGCGGTGGGGAGGAAGTAGATAGGGCGATGAGAATGGGAGGTACAAAGTGTTTTATGTAGGTGTGGTGATGGTCTTGAAGAGACGACGTCCATGCCGTGGGTTTTGCTGATGAAGTTGTTGAGAGTTTCCACTGCATTGTGGGATACATGGAAGCACTGCTCTACATGTTTCTCTCAATTTCCCCTTGAGGCGCTGGGAGGTAGGACCGGGTCCGAAGGTAAGGGACGGATGGACAAGTGTCCTGTCTACGTGTACTGACCCATCCGGCCCCACCATGCCGTTACGGCGCTGGCAAACAGACCACAACTTAGAGACGATCTCCAGCAGCAGCGATCGTATGGCAGACTTGTTTATTACTCAGTTGTTTTTGAATCGAATATGTTTGATATCTTCTTTACCCAAGATCGGAAAACATGGTCTGCTGCTCCTCGCTTTCTACGCTAGGCACAATTGCTGTTTCATGTCCAACTGTCGTCTCCGACAGCCAAAGACGCCGGCTTGGCGAGTGGCTCACCTGCCTTAACGAGCCAATCCCGTTTCAGGGCTGGAGCAGCACTTGCCGGATTCTCTCCACGAAGCAGTCATCTGATTGGCCAGGTGGCTTTGCTAAAGCTTACCACCACCGGGGTCTGTTCCATGTCACCAGTTGTCCTTTTGGCAGAGAACAGCTTGCAGTTGCCCGAGTACAAAAAAAGCCACGACTACGCCATGCCCACGGCGCAGACATCGCCCTCCAACGACAAGATACCAATTGAGGCCAGCTTTTGTTCTGCACGTGGCCGGACGACCGGTCTTTTTCGTTGGATTCCCTTCGTTCCGCTGGATTTTTAGTTACCTGGGTAAGTCGTGTTATCCGTCTCGAAGTATCCGACGCAGGACTTGCCACAGCAACCTGAGATCTGTCATCAACAAGCCGAACTCCGACTGCAACTGAGACTGCGAAACACCAACCGACCGCCCATGATGGCGCAATCAACGCCCTTCCTTACACCCCTCACACGCCTCGTAGCCGTCCTCCTCCTCCTCGTTACCCCACAAGTTCTCGCCGTGTCAGCCGTCGTCGGCATCGACCTCGGAACAGAGTACATCAAGGCGGCGCTCGTGAAGCCGGGTATCCCGCTCGAGATTGTCCTGACGAAAGACTCGCGCCGCAAGGAGGTCTCGGCCGTCGTCTTTAAGCCCTCTCCGAATGGCCCTGCCGATACTAGTAAGAAGGGATCCGATGGCCCTTTCTTCCCCGAGCGCGCGTACGGCTCCGACGCCATGGCGCTCGCGCCCCGCTTCCCGGGGGATGTGTATCCCAACCTGAAAAGTCTGCTGGGCTTGCGCGTGGACAGGGAGGAGGTGCGTGAGTATGCGAGGCGGCATCCTGCGCTAAGGGTGGCTGGGCATCCGGTCAAGGGGACCGCGGCGTTCAGGAGTGGCGGGGCGTTTGGTGATGAGGAGGAGGCGTGGCTGGTGGAGGAGTTGTTGGCGATGGAGCTGGCGGCGATCAGGGGGAATGCGGAGGCGTTGGCAGGTTCGGGCAGTTCGGTCCGCTCGGCGGTGCTGACGGTGCCTGGGTATTATACCGTCGAGGAGAAGCGCGCTGTTCAGTTGGCGGCTGAGCTGGCTGGACTCAAAGTACTCTCCCTGGTTAGCGATGGGCTGGCGGTTGGGGTGCATTATGCGACTAGCAGGCAGTTCCCGAACGTCAATGACGGGGGGAAGCCCGAATATCATATGGTGTTTGATATGGGCGCCGGGTCGACCAAGGCGACCGTGCTGCGGTTCCAGAGCAGGACGGTCAAGGATGTGGGCAAGTTCAACAAGACCGTGCAAGAGGTGCAGGTGGTCGGGAGCGGCTGGGACCGGACACTAGGCGGTGATGCGCTGAACTACCTGATTGTGGACGACATGATCGCGCAGTTCGCTGCGTCGCCCAAGGCGAAGTCGGCCGGTGTGGAGGCGGACGCGGTCAAGGCGCATGGTCGCACTATCGCCAAGCTAACCAAGGAGGCCGAGCGCGTGAGGCATGTGCTCAGCGCCAACCAGAACACCCAGGCCAGCTTTGAGGGGTTGTATGACGACGTCGACTTCAAGTACAAGATTTCTCGGGCCGAGTTTGAGGACATGGCGGTCACCCACGCCGAGCGCGTTCGAGTAGCTGTCCAGAATGCCCTCACCGCATCGGGAATCGAACTCAAGGATCTTGACTCGGTCATCCTCCATGGCGGTGCCTCGCGCACCCCCTTCGTCCAGAAACAACTCGAGAAGGTCTTGGGCGGCGCCGACAAGATCCGCACCAACGTCAACTCGGACGAGGCTGCCGTATTTGGCGCAGGGTTCCGGGCTGCCGAGCTCAGCCCCAGCTTCCGCGTCAAGGAGATCCGCGTCGGCGAAGCTGCCGCGTATCCGGTCAGCATGAAGTGGAAGACGGACGAGGGCAAGGAGAAGCAGCAGCGTCTGTGGACCGCCACGTCGTACCTCGGCGCCCCCGCCAAGGAGGTGACTTTTACGAACCGGGATGATTTTTCTGTTACTTTCTACCAGGCCGTTCCCGCGCCTAAATTTGATACGGGCGCTGTCGACGCCGAGATCAAGACTCTCACGACCAAGAATTTGACTACTTCGGTTGCCGAGCTTGTTGAGAAGCACAAGTGCGACAAGGCCGATATCAAGCTCAAGATGAGCGCCCGGCTTGCGAGTGACAATGGCGAGGTCGATGTCACCAAGGTCACGATCGAGTGCGAGGCTGAGACCGCAGAGAAGGAGGGCTTTGTTGATGGTGTTAAGAATTTGTTTGGCTTTGGCAAGAAGGAGCAGCAGCCTTTGAAGGATGGGGAGTCGTCATCTGAGGAGGCCGAGACGGAGACCTCATCCTCGACCGTCGAGAGCTCCACAACGTCGACTACTACCAGCTCCGTCCCGGAGGCATCCGCATCCGAGTCGGCTGATGCCAAGGCCGCCAGCAGGAAGACGCAGCTCGTTGTCATCCCTGTTCAGTTTACCCAGGAGAAGACCGGCGTGCCCCAATTGTCCAAGGCCGACCTCACAGCCATCAAGGACCGCCTCAGGGCCTTCGAGGCTTCCGACCGCGCGCGGAGACAGCGGGAGGAGGCCTTGAACCAGCTCGAAGCCTACACCTACAAAGTTCGCGAGCTGATTGAGAAGGAGGATTTCATCGCCCACTCGACCGCTGAGGAGCGGGCCAGCCTCGAGAAGAAGAACAGCGATGCCAGCGACTGGCTCTACGGCGATGGCGCCGACGCCACTAAGGAGGATCTCAAGGCCAAGCTCAAGGAGCTGAAGGCCATTGTCGACCCCGTGCAGAAGCGCATCGACGAAGCCTCCAAGCGGCCCGAGCTCGTCAAGAATCTGCAAGACGCACTAAAGAACACTAAGGAGTTCGTCGCCGACATCAAGAACAAGATTGCCGAGCACGAGGCCTTCCTGTCCTCGAAGCCCGCCTCCTCACCTTCCACCGTCGACAGCGGAAAGTCCACCACCACCACAGCCCCTGCCTCTTCCTCCTCATCAGGAGATTTTGACGGGTTGGAGGATGACGACGCCACCACCACCACGACGACCGCCGCACCCACCGCCATGGAGGACATCGACAAAGAGCGCGGCCCCGTGCCCCCGCTCTACACCCTCGAGGATCTTAAGGAGAGCGAGGAGGCGTACGCCTCCATTTCGGCTTGGCTGGAGGAGAAGCTTGCCGAGCAAGAAAAGCTGGGCACCACCGACGATCCCGTTTTGTTGGTCAAGGACTTGACCGAGAGGCGAGAGCGGCTGGACAGGGTGGGCATGGAGCTTGCGATGAAGGGGGTAAGGAATTTTGAGAAGAAGAACAAGAGGGAGAAGGAAGAGAACGGGGGAAAGAAGAAGGCTAAGGCAAAGGCGAGCGGGACCAAGACGGCGTCGGGCAAAACTGCGCAGCAGACTATCAAGCTGCAGCCGGGCGAGGACGGCAAGATGCCGTCGCAGGAGGAGCTGGAGGAGTTGTTGCGGGAGTTTATGAAGGAGGGGGAAGGCGGGAAGACAGAGGAGCAGAAGACTGCGGAGAAGAAAAGCGAGGAGCAGCAGCAGCAGCAGCAGCAGCAGCAGCAGCAGCAGGAAAAAAAGGAGGAGGGGCATGATGAGCTGTAGGCTGGGTCATAGGTCGTTCTATAGACGAGATGGGGTGCATTGATTGGAGTTATAGGCTGATAGACATTGGTTTGTCTTATGTAAAGATATTTCTCAAAGGCGAGTTCCATCGTTATTAACTATTCGCTGTCTGGAAAATGTATGGCAATTTTGAGAGCGTGCCACTGCTCCACTGCAAGACATAAATGGAGATTTGGATCATCTCAGGGTTGCACCACAAATGCCATCTGGAGTCTGGACTTGTGAACATTTCTCCATGATCTGGAACTTGCACCGTTGGCGGCTGATCTCATTCGCCCTCGCGAGAGCAAGTCATGGCTTGCCAATTTTCGGAAGTGACGATGTGTAGTGCGGTTTCTGCTGTAGTGGATGCAGCAACAGACACGCGTCCTAGATGGGTGTAATGAGGTAAACCTTAGACAATAATGCCAGAATGCGCTCATTTGATCACGTTGCTGCAGCCCGTGCCGAGGATGAGCCATCAGCAGTCACAGTCTTTGACGTGACCAGATCTCGAGGTGTTGGGCGCATTGCCATTGCCCCTGCGGCTGCCCCTGACAGATCAGCGCACCCATCCCTGCTCAGGCGACCGTAGACCCTTCCATGTCAGGAGGGCCCCGCACCTTGTGGCCCGCAAATGTGACGCTAGTGATTTGGCGATAGCCAGCTGGGACCCTTTTGATTAGCATTTGATCAAGACCATTCCCAAACCCCAGCTTTTGTTCCTTCAACTTGCACTCGAACTCGAACATCGAAGCTCGCACCAACCTGAAACGTATATCCAGCTAGCTCTTGCCTCGACAAGCATAGCTCGACTTATCTCTCTGAATCACCACAGCTACGACCATGTCCGACGAGGAACTCGACCGCGAGTGGAAGCCCAATGGGCGGCGCCCGCAATCGTGTGTCTGCCCCTATCCAGCGATCCTGGGATGCGCCAAGGGGATAAGAACTAACCGCCATCGCGAATGATGCAGCGCGATCGCCCAGATGTTCTCGCAAGAGCTGATGGACATCTTCCGCATCGACAACAGCGTCAATGACCTGGATGAGAAGGTGAAGCAGCGGTCAGTGTCCCACCAACCCCGCCAAACGCTGTCGCCAGCCGCGACGCCACACATGTCAACAACGCAAACAGAGTGCTGATCGTCCCTGCGGCGATGCAGGAAGCAACAAATCAACTCACAGACATCCGAGCTTGAGGCTCTCGAGGCGCGCATCCGCGAGATGGAGATGAGGCTGAAAGGGCAAATCGGCCCCGACAACCCTGGCCAGTCCAGCACAGCGGGCGCTGCTCAATCCAACAATACAAGCGCACCTGCGCCTCCCGAGAAAGATTACCCGGCCGACCAGAGCCGGGCACGGGAGCAGCAGCACAAGTACGCCGGCAGCCGCCCGGGCACGGCCAAGCAGAGTCAGCCCACCGTTCCGGGTGCGCTGCCGCCGACCCCCGCGGGAAGTGAAGGTGAATCCAAGCCTTCCGTTACCTTACCATTCAGACCCGCCCCCCGGCCGCCAGGAACCCAAGCAGAGTTACGATCAAGCACCAGCCATCCTAGCCGAACACAGCCGAAGACTGCGCCGGGGGGCGATTCGGACTCTGTCAAGTCCATGTCCGAGAGCGTGAGTGTTGCTGACTATGTAATTGTCCCCGCGCCAGACGGTGATCGCGAGCGGGATGCCTAAAGCACGGACCCGACGGCTTTCTTGAATACCTCCTTGGCGAATTGCAGTATGGAAACAGGGACTCACCACCAACCTCAACCGGTACGGCGACGGAACGACGACGACACGATGACTCTATACCCACATTAGACTTCTTAATTCCTGTGACGCTACCAGCAACCCCCGAACCCGACCCTCAGGACCCCATCTCCCCAAGCCCCGTCTGGATGGGCTTTGGGGACCGTCAATTAATTTGCCGAAATATCCACCGTACTTCCCGGCGCTCGAGCTTTCCCCCCGGCACAACATAGCTGCTACGAAAAGCCGTCATGGCTCGCGCACGGGATGCCGATTCGGGAATCACCCTCTCTGCTCGTTTTTCTATCTCGGATTCAATTTCAATCCCATTTCCAACTGTCATACTTCAGGAAGTTGCTATGCATGGAGTTCATGTAACTTTTCATTGGATTGCTGGAACAAGGCGGAGGCGGGTCATGTCTGGGTATGGGAGACAGGCATATTGGCACTCATTTTGTTCTGTCATGGCGACCTTATATATCATGCCATATATGGCTGGACTTTTGTAGCTGCCAATACATTGGGTACTTCACCCGTTGCACTCACGTCATAACTTGATCGTTCTTCGCCCATGGCATTATTCGAGGTGCTCAGTGATTCCAAGCTGGCTACAGTATCCGGGACTGCTTCCTTTGCGTAACGGCAAGGGATGGGATATCGGGGCTTTGGGGCCGCACTCTCAGTGCCGAGCTAACAGCCGACAGGAAGATCATTGAGGGCAGCCGTAGATTCAAACCTAATCAGCGGCCTAATCTCAACTTCCCAAGCAATGCAGTTTCACTGGAGCCGTGATCGTTGTTAGCAGCTCCTGTTTAGTTCAGGAGGTCCATTAGGCAACTTCAGGACTGAATCCCCCTGCATCAGTTGAATAACTACATGGTGCGTTGGAGGTTATCATGATTCGTAGCAGACGTGCTAGTACAGGTCTGTTGCCCTACAGCCTATCTCGCCCTCAAGCTCCCCACGTAACGTTAGATATGTCCGCAACCCAGGTGTACCCCCGATCCTCCGTGGCACATCGCGCCTGGCCATCAACGATCTCACAGGCCAGTGTAGTATTAAGTTTCGCCGTAGTCACTCCACGAAACGTGATCCTGTCCAAGGGTTTCCATCGTCAGCCAAGCCGTTCTTTACAGAAACCCAAAAGGCAAGGGAACTGGCAAAACAAACGACAAAAGAAAGAAAGAAGAGAAGGAACGTACGGATGTGCTTCATCCAATTCCCGACACTCCCACCTCGCCTGCAACTCAAGCTCGCCCCCCTCCTCCCCTTCCCCTTTTCCTCCCTCATACCTAAACCGGCACTGTTTAGGCCACAGCGGCAACCCATTCCCGCCATCGGCGCCTATCTCGCACGCATACCAACCTGCGTCGTCCTTGATGAGTTCACCCTGATAAATGGGGATGGGATACTGAAACCCCCTGTCCTCGACCATGAGAATCACCTCGAAGCTGACCTCCTCCCCATTAACTTCAAAATGGCTGAACTGCCAGCGCGGGTTGAGGATGGAGGTCAGTGTGCAGCCGTCGCCGCGCCGGGAGGGGACTGGGTCTTCGAGGGCGTAGGGCCGGATAGTGGCCACGGTGCCGAGGTTGCCGGTTAAGGAGATGGGGGAGGCGGTGGTGCAATATTTGTTGGTGAGGTTGTCGGTGGTGTCGTCGTCGTCGGTGGGTGAGGAGGTGTTGCAGGTTAGGGGGAGTGTGGTGCTGCCTGTAGCGGTGATTTGGAGGCTGGAAAAACCGGGGCAAGGAGGTTAGTACCCAAATGTATCTTACTTAAAAGAGTCGAATTGTCGACGTTTGGGGATGAGAAACACGAATGAGCTTACGGTTTCGCCGCGTCGGTGTCGTCGCAGAACCAGGTCTGGTTGAGCGAAAAGGTTGATGTGACCGGGTCGAAGGAGGCCTGGGTGGCGATGGGATATTGCCCAACGCTGAAGGACTGGAACTCCTGGCCGACGCACAAGAGCCGCGAGAGGTCGGGGGTGCCGCCGAAGGAACCGGCCGGCATGCAGCTCGCCTGGTAGCCGTTGGCCGGGTTGGTGACGACTAAGTTGAAGTTCTGGAAAGGGGTGCGCGAGACGCCGTCGCCGGGCTCGTCGGTGTAGTGGATTGATGACAGGGTCCAGCTGGGCTTCTCGGACCGCGCGGTGCATCCCACCGAGTCGTGACCCGTGGGACCGTCGGCGTAGACAGGGGTGATTGCCACGGGAGAGTAAAGTGACCCCTTGACGAGTAGTGGCGAGGAGTAGTTCAGAGCGGCCGAGCTGTTTCCGGCTGCGTTGAATGTCAACCTGGAAATAGATTAGCCACTGCTACACACGTAGCGTCTGGGTGGACTCGGTGATTTACTCCTTGCCTCGGTCGTTGCAAGTCCACGACTGTTTCAGGAGGAACGTGGCCGAGGTCTCGTCCACTTGCACCGAAGCTCCGAGTGGTTCGTTTGTCGACGGGGTACCCTGGATGGAGCAAGCACTCCAGCCACCCCTCTCTGTTTGACAGGCCAGGCTTGCCGTGTAGTTGATGGCTCGATTTAAGACGTTGAACGAGACAACCGCATTGGTGTGCTTCACGTCTTGGATGAGCCAGCTGGGGATGGAGAATGATTTGGCGGTGCACCCATTGCTGTGGTCTGGCGACGTCTGTGCCGACGCAAGCACTGCTGTTGAAACAGCAAGGGGGAAGAGACGCGTCATGACGGTAACGGTTTGGAGACAGGTCTCACAGAAGAACGGCGGTCGTGGCCGTCACATAGAGCTATCCGGAGAAGAGACACGCATAGCTCTATTAAATATCAACTGGAAAATCCTCATAACCTTCCAGAAGCCAAACTCTTTTGGCAGAAGCCCTCAACCACCCTAGGATGAGGAGAAGTCGTGAGGAGAAGCCTGTAGCTTCAAACATCAAGCCGTCCCAATTGATTAGCCCACAGGGATCTACAACGTGGTGCAAGCAAATAGCCAGATGAAAGAGAGATTTGTATGATATTGTTTTTCGAGCAACAGCACATAACAGGTAGGTGCGGGCCAACTGCCGAGTGGACGTACGGGGGATTAGGGAATGTGCCACGGGCCAGCTCGGAAGATATGCACGGCAAATTTTTAGATATACCGAGTCTCTGTCGGCCTGCTCCCAACCCTCGGCTAGTTTGACCCGAACGTTAACATACCTTATCCGGGGGGTGTATACTACTCCTCTGCAAGACGATTGTACAAACATCCAGGACTCTCGACTTTAGCTTGACTAGGCGACTGAGACCAGTAAGTCTGAACCTAAAGCTGGACGTTTGTGGTCGACGCGCACACGCAGTGAGATGATTAGTAGATGGCGAGGATCGTGCGTTTATGTTCGCATATGCTACTATAGCCGGGAAGCAGAGGCGAGTAGGTGTGGCTCTTTGCAGATACGGTTGATCGGTGAGTTCTCTCTGTTTAGAATAACAGAGAGAGAAATCACCCATTCTACTCCACTCGCTGATTACCCTCTTTTTCCCTACCTTTTATTTACCTACTCTGGGTGCTTGGACCATCAACTGTAGGTGATCCTCCCCCTACAATGGAGGGCTTGGTGTTTTGTCCGACTGTTTGTTGAGATTTGCAAACACCCGACCTCCTTCCATCCCATCACTTAGCCTTTCAAGTTTCACCCTCTCTGCCCTTTCAAACATTAAACCTTTTCACTTCGCTTCGCCCACATTACATGTCGGGCAGTTCCATGGACCCTGGCCAGCCAGGCGACCACCAGAGTCGCACGACTCTCCGTATCGGAGAAGCGCACCTTTTGACCGCCTGACAGCATCGCTGCCTTCGTCCGGTGTCACGGTTTCGCCAGGAATATCCCAAATCCCGACTACCCTTGACATCCTGCAAGTTCCACCAGCCCTCCCTACAACCTGACTCCATCGGAGGTGACAACCATGGCCCAAAACGCCGTCCCGACGTTGCAGGAAGGCACCAGCTCCAGCACAGCAATTGACCAAGCCAGTTAACGCCGGCTTCCGCAATACCGACCTGCTCATTGGGCGGTTCGAAGAAGAAACCCATCTCTCCCAGCCCGCAACAACATCACGCGCCAGCGCCAGCACCAACGTCGTCGTACTGTATCCGGGTACTCTCTGGCGGCTGAATGGCCTTGTGCATTCAGTAGAAGTGCTGAAACAGGCCGGTTACGTGGTCGAGAAGCTCACAGATGAGCAGTTCAACAAAAAGAAACGGTGTGTAACATGCGGTGCCCGAAGTGAGTTGCAGACGTATCCGCTGATCGATCATGCATTACCTCCGTCCGCTGCCCAATAGGTGGTGGTAATTCTGCTAACAATTGGAGCGGTCTGAAAGAAGCCCCGCGTGAGAAACCGCCAAAGCAGCAGGCCAGATGAACAGCAGCAACCATCTCAACCCGATGCCGAGCAGCCGAGAGCTGAAGGCAGCGACCGTGGGACAAGCCATTCCGGGCGGGGAAAGGAAACAAGTGTGGAAAGGAGGAGAAGAAGAAGTAGAAGGAGGAAGAGCTCTTCAGCAGCTGGAAACCCAACCTCAAGCGACTCTGGCAACGGCCCGAAGGTCCTACTCTGCAACTTTTACCCCGGCACGGTGGCATACAAGGGGAGGCCCTCAATTCTCCAACGAACAACAACAAAAGAGCAACTGAGAACTGACACGGTTGTTTTCGAACAGAAGTGGACATGCTGCGGCAAGCACGTCAGCGAGGGCCCTTGCACGGGAAAGGCGGACCATGACGCGCCAGTCGACCAAGACCACGCGACCAATGAGCGACGCTGGCAGTTCCATACCACCTCTCGAAAGTTTCTGCCCAGCCATCGCCTGGCAGTCGCCATCGATTGTGAGATGAGCACCGCCGTCGACGGCGATTCCGAGCTCATCCGTCTCACCGTGATCGACTACTTCTCCGGCGAGACACTCATTGACGGCTTGGTCTGCCCCGACATCGCCATGCTGCACTACAACACTCGCTGGTCGGGCGTCAAGAAAGCCGACATGGAGAGGTCGCTCCGCCAGGGCGAGTGCATCATGGGCCGGGACGCTGTTCGAAGGGCAGTCTCTGAGTACGTGGGCCCCTCGACCATCGTCGTCGGTCACAGTGTCCAGAACGACTTGGCCGCGCTCCGTTGGATCCACCATCGCGTGGCCGACTCTCACATTATTGAGTCGTCCGTGAGGAAGGAGGCCGAATTGAAGGCGGAGAAGGAGAGGGAGAAGAAGAAGCCGCAAGGAGCGGGGCAAGAGAAAGGGAAGAAAGTAGGAGACGAAAAGCCCAAGACGGGAGGAGAGCTGGCCGAGGCCAAGGACAGGAAACGGTGCGTCAAGCATCACCATGATGGAACATCGCCCAAGGCTCTTGCTATGAAGCACTTGGGGCGGGCCATTCAGGTGGGTAACAAGGGTCATGACAGCTTGGAGGACGCGCTCGCTGCCAGAGACCTAATTCATGCCAACATTATTGGCCTCATCAACTCCCCCCGCTTCGCTGAACTGATTTAGGTGTTTTTTTCTAGAGAGGCAGATGAGACGGCTTCTGTAAGGTAGTGTAAAATAGACCCGCAGCCCGAAGCGCATACCACGCGGTGGTCTTCCGTTGATTTTGCCGGGTAGTTGTATCAGCCCTCGTCGTTGACAGCTGTCTGTACCTTTGTCATGGTTCACCTCACGTAACTCTGACGGCATGGGGCCGGAAGGTATAGAGGTTATTCTGCTGAACTCCATGAGAGCGTGTCTTTAGCCCTGGTATTTCTACCTCAGATCCCCCACCCACCCCAACACCTCCCTCCTTTCATCGATAACCCTTCCATACTCCAACAACAACCTCAGCACATAAATAGCCATATCCTCCTTCCTCAGCACCCGTCCCGCCCACTCCCTCCCCGCCAACGCAATTCCCTCGCCTATCCTATCCCTCCCCTCCCCGCCGAGAAAATACCCCAGAATACCCCACCAGTCCCCAAACCGTGTATCCATCGGCACGAAGTGCTTCCAAGCGACCAGCCTCGCATCATGCCATTCCCGGAACAGCGTGGCCTTGACCGGCACGCTGGTCGATCTTAGAAAACCAAGGTATCGCCCGCTAAACGAGTTGCCGTCAATGTCGGGCAGGTACTTGTGCTGAAACTGCGCGGCCATCGGCACGCCCTGCGCCGGGGAAAAGTACAGCGCCGTGTAGTTGCACGAGGGGGAGAAACCCTCGTGGGAGCAGGCCAGTTCCGTGAAGGCGACGTCGGTGGCGTCGGCAATCCAGCCGGCGAGGTCGTCGGTGGGGAGGGCGTAGCGTCTGTCTGGGAGGGCGAAGTTGGGCGGCGGGGGTTTGGCTTCTTGGGCGGCGAGGATGGTAGCGTTGTTCATGGCGACGAAGCGGTGGCGCTGGAAGGCGCGCCAGTTGGTCTCGCGGTTGCGGCCGCCCGTGGCCACGCCGCGCCAGATGGCTGACGGGTGCTTGTGTTTGGAGGCCCAGGGAATGGAGGCGCCTTCGGCGCCGAAGAAGCGCTCTTCTTCGCTCCAGTATATGGGCGCTGGGAGGAGGATGTCGTTGTTGCGGGAGAGCTTCGAGCCGCCGAAGACGGGGATTAGTGACTTGGTTGCCGAGACACTGATGGGCTCGACGAAGAAGCCTTCGAGCGCTTGCAGGTCTGGCTGGTGGCAAAAGTCGGTGCTGAGTGTGTAGTTGGCGACATAGCCGTCTTCCATGTGCGTAAGGCTTAGGCTAAAGGGGCTGGCGATATAAGGCGGCTTATCGAAGTCAGTAATAACTTGAGCCTGGCGGGCCGGGCTATTAGGCGGGCACCCGCGGCGCGCGATTAGCCAGTAGTGCTCTATCTAGTCAGCGTTGTTCTCTAGAAGCAGTAGCCAAGGTAAGCGTACTATCATGCTCCCACTGCACAGGTGGTATATCGCTGTGATCCTGGGGTGCTTCCTCGCTTAATGGTAGTGTACTGAAGCTAGATACCACGCTCTCAACATCAACGATCCTCCTCGTCTTAGCCGCCTTCTTCATATGTACATCTATTTCCTCCCATGGCACCATCACACGTGGCTCGTCCATAGGGTTCAAAGCAAGATCCATATCCGGTAGCAGGTGCTCAATGGTCTGAATCATATCGAGCCAAATCTGGGTCCAGAACCAGTCGCTACTTGTCGACGCCTTGCCATTGCGAATCTGAATTCGCATGTCAAAGTCGCGCGCATCCTTGCGGATCTTGGCGGGCTGGACGCCCCAAAACGGTTCTAGGTCCTGATATATCTGGTCCCAGAAATCCTCGACGATGATGGCGTCTCGTTCCGTGGCAAACTCGTACCATTTGTCGAACCCTGGTGGGGGGTGTCGGCCTCGGCGCTTTCGGTAGGCGGCGGCGGCGGCTGCGAGTGTTCGCGTCGACTTGGACAGCTTGGCTGCGGATTCGTTCTCAGCGGTCTGGATCTGAGCGTCGATGGGGTGCTTGTTGATGTCATGCTTTCGTCCCCATGATGTTGCGCCAGTCAAGTGCCCAACCCAGAATGCTCTCGTAATCGATTCTGGCAGGAGCTCGATGGTCAGCGTCAACAAGAGAGCCGCCACAATGAAGCGACGAAATGTTGAGGGCCGGTGCGGGGATCTCATCTTGTGAGAGGGTTGTAGTCAAAGCGCGGAAGTCAATTTCGCAAATTGCCGAGGCAGTCAATTGCGGCGCATGCCAAAGCGATCATGCCAATTGCTGTCGGGATCGGAATCGATATTGAGATAGGTACCTAGTACATCTTCAGGTGGTCATTATGTAGATTGCCATAGGATCGGCAATGGAAAAACAAGAGCGTGGAGCATGCGAGCACGCGCAAAGGGACACAGAGTCGGGGAGTCGCGAGGACGGAGGGATGGGAGGAGAGCAGGGGTGAAACCGAACGGAAGCAGCCGACACAGAACTGGGGAGCTGGGGCACTTGGCGGGCAAGGGTGCTGTTTCTGACTTTGATCCAGGCATGTGACAGGGAACTAGGCCGTAACAGCAGGGCGCTTCAACCCCTGGCGCGGCGGCAGATCACCAAAGAGCCGTCCCAGCGGCACGGACGTCACCTCGACGAAGCCGTGCTCTTGACCATCAATGCCTGAATTGCACTGTGAAAGACCAGCCTTGCTAACCCATCCGCGCCCCTCACCGCACCCCGATTCCTGTCCCCGACTGCACAGTTCCTCCACCACCCGTGTGGCACTCGCCCTGGACCGAGCGGATCTGTACGGGAAGGCGTCGGCCGCAACCTCGCCAGCTAATTCAGAGCCGACACCAGGTGTAAAGGAGAAACCGGTGCTCTATACCTTGAGTCCCCGTACGAGGCCCACTCGATTTCTCTGGCGATGGGAGCACATGTATAATACAACACAACTCGGGCAGAATTGTTGCCTGTCCCTGGTCCCTAATACCACTGTTGTGCCTTGTCCCTTGATCCACCAGTCCATGTAACACAGCTGTCTCAAGAAAGCATGGACGTTCCCTTGGCAACCCAAACCCCTGGGCAAACCTCCCAGAATCCAAACTCGCAAGCCAGCCCATAAACATCCGGTGCCATACACCCCATGAAAAGCATCACAACAATCCTACTACCCCCTACCAATCCTCCGTCGTTTCGGGGCACCACCTTCCCCGTCCTCCTCCCCATCCCCTTCCTCCCCAACCCCATCATCCTTGACACTCTCCGAACCTCCTCTCTGCCCAAGCACACTGGCCTGCCGCGTGCTCGTCCCCGTCATCAAGCCCCCAATCCCAGGCGGCGGGGCATTCCTCCTCACCTCGGCCGAGCGCAGCTCACTAAGCAGCTTCTCAACCTCGACAAACATGGCCCGCGCATCGTTGACCACCCCAAACTCATCCACCTTGTACCCCAGCACGCCACTGTCATGCACGACACCACCCCCACCCCCGTCTCCCGCCTTACCACCCTCCTCATCCTCATCCACGTCCCTCAGGAAAGCGGGTCCCGGACCATGATGCGGATCCGGATTGTACATGATCGCATTCGAGAACATGTGCGCCAGCTCACGATCAAGCTGCGACGAGTTGACGATACTCTTGGGCGGGACAAAATCCTCGGTCCGCGGGAGCCAGACGCTGCTCGTTCCCGGGTCGCCCCCCTCCAGCGCCGAGGCCGCCTGCTGCGCGGCGCGGTTGCCGTGGTTGATGGCGGCGCGGATGGTCTTGAGGTCCGTCGGCTGCTTGACCACCTTGTGGTAGCCGGGCGCGTCCTTCTCGCGGATGGGCTGGGCAAACATGTTGGCCGAGCGGTGGTGCACGATCTGCTCCATGGCGGAGCCGCAGACCTTGTTGAAGGAGCGGGTCCAGAGGACGAGTCTGGGTCCTTCGGTCGGATTGAAGTCGTCGGGAAGGGGATTGTCGCGGATATGGTTGTTTGTGGTTGAGGTTGGGACCGGGACCGGCGTGAGGTCCTCCCGCTTGCGCTTGGTTGATCGTGGGGCCTGGGGCCGGCCAGTGGCGCTCTCCTCGGCCGTCGTGTCGCCGGCTTCCGTTGACGGTCGAGGTGTTGTCATCTCGTCCTTAACACTAGATGGCTCAGGCTCGGCGGCTTGGGCCCCGTGTTTGTTCTGCAGACCGGCTGATGGGTTCGGAGCGGAACTATCCTGAACTCGTGACGGAGCTTGGCTTGGCTTAGACTTCGGTGTCTCTGCTGGAGTATCCCGCCGATGTGTATCCTTGACCCGGAGGGGGGCCTCGGGCCTCAACACAGGACTTGTCGGCTCATACGCCGGACTAGCGACGTCATCATACCCCAGACGAAACTCAAGGCCAGGCTTGGGCGTCGATGGAGTCGAAGTGGACACCCACTTGGTGCCACTGCCACCTGCGAACCTTGGAGGAAGGACAATTGCAGGTGTCTGAGGCGCAGGAGGGACGGGACTGAACCTGGCAGCCGGCGTGGGTGTTGCAGTAGCGGGCAGCCGAGGTTGGATGCGGTCAACAGCGGGCGGGCGAGGCGGCTGATATGGAGAGCCATGGCGCTGGGTTGCATCTGCATGGGCGGCACCCGGGGAGGGAACACCCTGCGGAATGGGATGCTGGGCATACGGAGCCTGCAGATTCGGCGGAGGCCGTTGCTGAGGAGGGATAGTGACGGCTGGGCTGGCTCTTGCCGGCACATTGACCGGCGGGTTGGGCGTTGGCGCGATTCTTGGACTCCCTACAGGACCGGGATGGGCCGGGCCTGGACACGTCTGAGCAACCTGAGCAGCGTGCACGGGGCCAGTCTGGCCCGGGGATGCAACAGGATAGCCTTGATACTGAGAGTGGTAAGGAGGTTGGTACTGAGGAACGCCGCTCGCTCCGGGGCTGGTAGATAATGGTGACTGTCTGGTTGTTCCCTGGCCACCGGCCAAATCCGTGGGAGACCTGACGGTTGATTGGATTGGAGGTGCAAATTGGCTGGTGGAATGCGGGGGGATCGGCGGGGCCTGCTGCTGCTGGGGCATCGGCGTGTTTGTTTGTCCCTGCATTGGTACCGGGCTAGGATGGGCCGGCGGTTGCTGAACTGGTCGTTGCTGCGAAGGCGTAGGATGTGGTTGCGGCGGATATACGTTGGGCGGATGCTGCGGCCAATTCGCCGTCTGCCGCGGAGGAGCCGCATTTGGTTGATATGGTGGCTCCCACTTGAGCTGTCCTTGAGCAGGTAGCTGAGCAGGAACCGGTACAGGAACGGGCGACTGTCTGGGCCCCACCGCGCTCTCCGGCCGCTTGGGACCCTCAGCGGTAGCAGGCGGCGCGGGTGACTGTGGTGGAGGAGGCTGAAATGGCGTAACACCTTGCGGCGCCTGGAGCACCTGGGGCGTCGCGTTGGATGGTTTCGCGGTCGCCGTTGGCCTCGGCGTAGTGATTCCGAAAACCTCTTGCTGGCCGGGTTGAGAGGAGCGAACGTGTTCCGGGTGCATCGGCGCGGGTGAGCGAGGGGCCTGGGGCAAGCTTTCCGGAGAAGCCAGCTGTGTAGGTGAAGGTCCGTTCATAACCTCTTGCCGTTGACCCGGGTGCGGCAGCAAGGGCTGCAATGCCCGAAGTGTATGCTGAGGCGGGACCGGGATTTGCGGCGGCCTGGACGAGGTCCCTGGCGAGGGCCCAACCGTGTTGGCCGGACCGACACCATGCTTCCCAGCGACGTCTGGCACACCATTCGGGCCCTGTGGTTTCGGTTCGCTTTGGGGTTCCCGCTCTCCAAGCCTCTCCAGCTCGCCTATCTCCCCAAGCAACACATCGTACTGCCGCTCTAACTGCCGTATCTCGTGGACCGCTTGCCGTAGGTAAGCGTTGTGTAGCTTGGCGTGAGCAGCCTCAATCTTGTCAAAATGTTGGAGGGCGTCCTTCAAGGTCAACAGGGGCGGGGACTGGAGCCGGCGCCTCTTGGACGCGGGTGAAAGCGCGCCATCGGGCCCGGGTGTATCATCGCTCTCGGTCCTGATCTCCTCCCGCAGCAGCCGCAGGAAGAGTTCCCGCAATGCGTCGGGCTTCAGTCGTCGAGGGTCGTACGCGGGGCCATTTTTTACGAGCCGGTTGTTCTGTAGAGTCTCGGAAATGCGAACAAAGTTGTCGTCTTGGAGACCTAACTGGGCGATGCCGCGGAACAGCAGGAGGATTTCAAGCGGCGTGTGCTGCGTCGCCGGAGTATTCATGCCCCAGCCGATGGCATCCCGCGGGGAACCGAGGGGACCGCCGCGGTTCTGAAGAAGATGAATCGGCGCCACGATCTGCGAGTCCCAGAGGGGTCAGCGGCCACTTGGGTAGGTGACGCGCACATGCGCGTACTCAAACGCGCCGAGTCTGAACAAACCGGCAGTCCAAGCCCCGCGCTCCTGATTAGAATGGGAGATGCAATGGGGTCGCTCGCGATGAATCTCAGCCGGCGCGTGCCTTTGCTCGATTGATTCACCGATCGTCTGACACTGGCAACGAGTGACAAGCCGCAGATGTATGTCGCAGATCACGTGATTAGTTGTTCGTTGCCGTCAATGTGCGATAACTAGCGATGATTGCTTGGTGTTCCAGGACGTCGAATGTCACGGTCAATGGGCGAAAAGATTGGGGTCCAACCCGGAGGACGGAGCGGCGAGCAGGCGCAAAAGAGAGTGCTGGAATTACAGTAATATTACAGGTATTGACACGAAACGGTCTTGAGCTTGGCTGGCAAGGGGACCCGGCAAAGCTTTGAAGGAATCGTTGATCCAACCAGCCGCCAAGCTGGCCCCCAACCCGAAGGTATAAAGGTACTGTACCTAGCAGTTTTAAATGCTGGGCTCCCGCGGGATCCGGAACCAACCGGTACTAACAGCTACACTTCCAGGCAAGCACTCAGGCTTTACCGCACCTTGTGTGTGTTTCCTGACAAATCATCAATGATAAATGAATCATAACACGCGAACCTGTCCCGCTCGAGAAATCTCCGCTGCTTCGTGATGGGACATCACAACATCCGCTTTGAGGGCGACCGGTACTCGGACCATGGCGCCTGGAGTCCGCCAACGAGCAGGGCAAAGTGAGTATTACTTCCTGCCGCTCGTAAATAGATTTCCTTGCTGACGGCCGAAAAAATTCAGTTTCTGTGAGGAGGACTATGTGGTCACCTTTTACATCGCCGAGTTCATCAACGCCCTGACGAACTTTGCCTATGGTATGCATAATAGTTCTCACCCGCTCTCTTTCTCCCTGCTCCTCCGCTGACACTCTTTCCAGTCTACTTCGCCCTGAAGTCCATCTACCCCCGCGGCCGCATGAGCAGCAGCCGCCCCAAACCAGACTTCATGTCCCTCTCCCTCCTCGTCCTTGGCATAGGGTCTTTCCTCTTCCACGCCACCCTGCGCCAGACCCTGGAGTTCGTCGACGAGTTCTCCATGCTGGGCCTCACCTGGTCCATGCTGCAGGCCTCGCTCACCGCCCGCCAGCCGCCCGCCCGCGTACGGCTCATCACCGTCGTCCTGGCCGTCGCCTACCCGTCCTTCGCGGCGTTTTACTTCTGGTCGGCCAAGATCGTCTACCATTCCATCGCCTTTGTCGCGGCACTTTTGGTTGTGCTGGCGAGGAGTCAGTACACGCTCCATGTGCTTCTGCCCACGTTTCCGAAGAGATGGGATTGGAACCGGAGGATTTGGAAGGCGTTGGGGTGGTGTGTGCTGGGCTATGTGCTGTGGACGGTGGATTTGGAGTACTGTGCCGAGCTGAGGGCGTTGAGGGGCAAGGTGGGCCTGCCGTGGGCTTGGCTGTTGGAATTCCATGGCTGGTGGCACATTTTGACGGCTGCGGGCGCCAGCCAGGCGATGCAGGTGGCCAGGGAGGTTAGGGAGGAGTTGGAGAGGGAGGGAAAGAGGGAGTGAGGCGCGACGGTGTAGTTACCGGCGTTGCTTTTATGTGTGGTAATTTTTGTGGCGGATCTAGACGATGATACCAGGGGCCGTACAGGATAGAGCCGGTGTTGGGTTATACAGATGCGGACTTGATAAGCTCTCACCGGTGGTGCTGGGTTAAGCATCATTCAAGTAGGGTTCCGACTCACTAAACAAGAAATCAACCTCTTTCGGCGATAGGCACCATCAGCGTCTGAGAAGTACGTTTCCTGCAGCCCATGATCCAAGCATGGCCCCACTGCAGTGATTCGTCCATGATAGACACGAGGCAGACAGGTAATAGGAAACTAACAACTATCAACATACATAAATAGGCTAGTTCAGGTACAATACAGTACAAAAGCATTCTCGTCACTGTGGACAGGCATCCAGTCTACTCCCAGATATTCACTTACCAATTCTTATCCTGCCTAGTCATATGCGGCGTTGTTATCGAGCCTATCGTCCATCACGTCGTCGCCCGTGCCAGGTCATCTCCTGCTGCCTGCGCAGCCCTGATGATATTCCGTTGCGTTATCCTTGTCCATTGCTTCGTCCTCTTCTGCTGGCTCTTCATCCCCCCATTCCCCCCTTCTCCTGTTGGCCATCCTCCTGTCGATTTTTCGTGTTGCTGGGCGTCTTCTTTTTGGGCGTCTGTCTCACCACTCTTCATGCACCCCCATTATCTTGCGGAGTTCCTCGAGCCGGGCATTTAGTTCAGGAGTCATGTCCTCTTCTGGCGTCTCCACAAGCTTCCAAGACTCGTCTCTTGTCGGCCCGCTCCCGCTTCCAGTTCATGCTGATTTGAAAATCCGCGTGGGCATGCTGCTTCATATAGTGCGTGTTCTTCACTGTCCCATCACTGAGATCCTTCCAGGACATCTCCAATCGTGAGTATCTTGGTGGGAGGTTGCCTATTTCTTCGACTCTGTTGAGATACCTGGTATACATGACGGAGTGGGCAACGCCAGGGACAGGCTTAGTAAGAAGGTCGAAGATGGAGAAAGGAGATAACTCGTCGACATAATCCATAGGACACACGGCCGGACCCGTCATGGCGCTTGAACTTCTTGAGATGGTCATGAAACATAGCACGGAATTGTCCTGTTCTGATGACGGAGTCTCAATGGTTGTCATCCTCGCCTCCGTGGTAAAGGTCTTCGGTGATGATGGTCCACAGGGCTAGCGACCCTGAATCATGTTGTAACGCTCGAGATTCTGCTCATTGATTAGTTGACCTCTGGTGGTCGTTGAGAAGTTTCATTTCATGGAGCCAATGCTTGCGAGCTCCGAGTTCCTCGTCGTGCAGGAACACATGCTTATCCCGATAGGAAGAACACCATAGTGCATCGTCAATCTTCTTCAGGCGGCACCGGTGACCGTCGGCGACGTCGGCATCATATCTCAATGAGCTTTCTTCGGGCGCCAATTGAGCCAACACCGGCGTCGTAAGCACCAGGAAGACCTGTTCCCTCGTGATGCGAGTCGCACAATCGTAGACTCCGAGTTTGGCGTCAATGAGAAGTCTAAACCAAAGACAGAACCGGGATAGGTTACCGTCTTCTTGACGGTCAAGATGACGACGTCAACGTCGCCTGTGCCGGGTTTGACTTGGGAGTCATGAATCGCTTTAAAGGAGTAATACATGGTCAAAAATGAAATCAGGTGAGCAGCACGCTGCACACGCGGCGGGGTGAGCGGCGAGCCATATTGGTGCGTGAGGGCTCTAGCCTCTTCGCCGGGTTGCGAGTCGATCGAGAGGCCGAGGATGAAGTCCGAGGGGTCTGAGTTCTGATCGTAAAGCAGGAAAGAAAGCTCGAGATAGAGTGTACGGGTAGGCTTGCGATTTGAGTTCCTGTGTTGTCAGAGCCGTCACTCGTCGGGATGGAAGAGACCGGCTTTCTATTTTTAGTGCGCCGTCCGGTATTATATCAGTTTCAATTCGGTACACGGACACTAGTCCGAGGTCAACACCCGAGGGCCTGCCGTCAGATGAAGCCATACTCACTTCAGTATGACGTTCTGACTCGATTCAGTCGAGGACCGCTTTCCTTTGAAGCTCGGCTATTATCCCAAGCGGGACGGACTCGTCAAAGCGGAATCTCAAAGACGCGAGCCTTAGAGTTTCAAGAAAATGACTCGCTTTTGTTGACGTCCGACTGAGCTGTGGTATTGGTTATTTGCCTTCGGCCCACTAACTTCCAAGAGGACACCAAAGATAACAGCAAGGATTGAACAAAGGTTATGATATCTCCAATCCTACCAAGGTCATTGGGTATAAGCTGCGGATGTAAAAGGCCGTCCCTGCTACCCGGAAAAGGGCCTCAGACTACGATAGCCAGTTGCAGCAACACCTTTGATTACACCCCTAAGAGACCAATGAAGGTATCCTCTGGAAACCCACCGTAGAAGTTCAACAGGTGATCTCTCGATTTAGCTAGGACACCAACCAACCGTGACATTTGCCTGTCCCCCTCGTAATTGAGCTCAAAAGCAGGGCCAAACGAAAACGGAAGAGTACAGGGTTGGGGAATTCGTGAACATAGGAATAAGTTGAACGAAGCTGAGCCGACTCGGATGATAGCAAAGGGGGTATATTAAAAAAGAGACAAAAGAGTCCCAAGGGAGAAATTTGAAAGGAGGCAAACATGGAAACAAGTACGGATCATTACTGGGAGCGACGGAAAACTCGAAACCTCTCAGATCAGGTCCCAATCACCAAGCATGCTAATTCCTATTATGCATCGGCGCTTCACTTGATGTCGGATGGCATGGTTCCGTAGTCGACCGGATATCATCGCTTACGGTATCGGTACGTTGGCGGCTACTGTATCTGGAATTATGGTGAATGGCTCGAATGGAAGGTACAGTAGCATGATACAATGCTTAGCGATGTTGCAAGACTCGGACGGCGGACTGCAAAGTCAAGGGGACAACTATGATACTAAAAAGTATTGTAATTAAATAGATATAATGGTCAGGATAATGAAAAGGAACATGGCAAGCCAAGTAGCTACGCGGCAGGGTCTACTATAAATACAGAGTGGGCTGTGATGTCGGAAAACAGGTGCGCAAATCCGCCGGTTCAAACGACTGGTGTCAAATCAAACTATTAAGGTATCCCGAATATTTGTAACACGCAATGAGTCAAAGTCAAGGCATGCATGAGGTTAGTGGAACGCTTACCACCTACCATAAGGTACAGTACAGTACCTATACGTTGATTAGGGCCCTGGAGTCGGGTGCAAAACGCAAGATTGAGGTGCACGTAAGGTTGAGGAAATTGAACCCCACCAGGAACTGTCAGCTCTCAGTGTCGTTGGCACTTGGTAGGTTGGCTTGCTGTGGGCCCAACCAACCACATGGAGCCAGCCCCACTCGGCCATACAAATAGATTTTTTCCACCCGCAAACACATTCTCCCGTTCCATCCCCCCATCAACAACAATCGCAAGTTCCCTCACCAACAAGCACGGCATGCCCATGGGTCCGGCGCACCGCACCACTGTGCTGCGCGCGCCCTAGCCCAGGCAAAACCCATGCCTTGATTTGTTTTCCCAACCCAGAGACCAAATTCCAATGCGGCTCTTCCTCGTCCGCCACGGCGAAACAGTCGACAACGTCGCAGGCATTTAGTACGTTTTTCCCACCCAACAGCAATCGAGCAACCACCCAAGGCACCGTGAACTGACATTTCGCCAGCGCAGGAACCCGCGACTCGCCTCTCACCGCCCACGGCGCGCTGCAGGCCCGCCGTCTCGGTGCACACTTGGCCGCGCGGTCTGCTACCATCGGCGCTGTCAGGCATGTCTTCTCGTCCGATCTGAAGAGGGCGGTCGAGACGGCACAGGCTGTGGTTGACGCCCAGCTCCCCCTCGCCACGAACAGTAGCAAGAAGACCGGGAGCGGAGATCACGTGGTGGATGCGGCGCCGTTGAAGGTTGTCCAGCTTCACGACCTGAGAGAGCGGGATTTTGGCTCGGCTGAGGGCAAGAAGTTTAGCCCGGGCGTAGTTGGCGCTGATGCCGAGTCGCAGGATCAGATGCGGTTGCGGGCTGAGCGGTTCGTGCGGGAGTGTCTCGTTCCGTTGTTCACGGATGAGGAGGCCGCTGCCGGCGGATGTGTGGTCGTGGTTGCGCACGGGTTGATCCTTGAGTCGCTTCTGCGGGTGCTGCTGGCCAGCTTTGGTCCTGTGGCACTGACGCGGCCGGCGAGTCCCAGGCTGGTGGGCTGGAGCAACTCGGGCTATGTCGAGCTTGTTGTCCGGGTCGACCATCCCAGCACGCCCGCGGTCACGGATGGGCTAGGTGAGGTGTCTGGTGAAAGAACATCTGACCTGGTGCCATCCACTGCGTCACTGGTGCAACAACCGAAGATTACTTTATCTGTGGTTGCTGCCAACGTGCTGAAGCACCTCGAAGGCTTGAAAAAGACTCGGGGTGGCATCGGCAGTGCCCAGTTTGACAAGCGGCAGAGGACTGTGGACTCGTTCTTTGCTCCGGCGGCAAAGAAGGCCAAGGTTGGCCTAAGCCTGGAGGAGGCGGAAGCCACCCGACACCCATCCGCGTACGCCAAGGCGGATGGGTTGTGACACATAACTTGGTAAGCCTGTTGTTTTTTTTTCTACCATCTCCTGCCCTGCTTTTATGATGAGGGAAACAAAGTTCACAGACCTGTACCGAAACACTATGTGGAAACACTTGTCCAACCGCTATCTGAGACAGCATCTCTCTCTATCCTGTATTGCATATCTGGATTACCAGGCGCTAACAGTTGGAAGCGCCAGGTTGCGTCCTCGGATCCCCTCCCTGTAGGAGAGCTAGTTCGAAGAACGCACCTAGGAGAATGATTGCTTCACCGAAGTGGTGTCGCCTTCCGTTGATGGGCTTCATGAAGGAGAGGATCTGGCGGCGGCTCCGTTGACTATGGGTCGCGCGGTAGCATCGAGAATGCAAATCATGGCAGCCCAGCCCGTTTCATGCCTTTGGATCAGTGACATCTCAATTCGACGCTTTTATCGATTCCCCATCAATTCCAATCACCCATCATCCCTCTTCGTCCTCATCCTCCCCCTGAGAATGCTCAATCTCCCCTCCCTCTTCAGAAGGCAAGACTCGCGGAAACCAGCCAAACTGGCCAAAGTCCACCATCAACTCTCCCAAAGCCCCAGTAGTGACCGTCACGCCCTCGGCCTGTAGCGCCGCCGCCTGATTTCGAGCTCCCGATGGCTGGGATCTGGTTCTGCTGTTAACGCCCTCACAATCCATAATGTTGAGCCTGGGATCTTGGTGGATGTGCTTACCGAGGAGATATAACCCCCTTGGCGTTGATCACTCGCTGCCATGGGACATTGTCGTGGTTGAACCGCGCCGACGTGTCGACCGGCAGGTGCTTGAGGCAGACACCTACTTGGCGGGGGCGCTGGGCTGAGGTTTGATGTTGAGTCAGCTATCACGTGCATGAGTCTTGGATGAGGAGAGTTAAGTGTGAGGAAACGTGAGTGGTGCTGCGCGAGGGTAAGGTAATGTGTAGGCTGGTGACCCGTACGAGTGCCGATTAGCTTGGCAATGTGCCCGTAGCTGGTCACTTTGCCGGGCGGGATCTCTTGCACGGCGCTGTAGACGGCATGGAAGAAGGCTTGGGCTTCGTCGCTGCGGGGCATGGTTCGTGTCGGGAGAATGGTTGCAGAAACTGGAGCTAGTGATGGTTGCCATGAAGCCACTTCCTCAACGTCCGGCGTCGTTGGCGGCTGATCGGATCGGGGATTTCGAAGACCCGACGAGTACAAACTGACCCTGGTTTGTTTGTTAGCGAAGAGCTTGGGAAGGATAAGAGACAACGGCAGTGTATGGTATCCAGCTCGTTCTTTTCTTCCGCTTTTTCTTACTTTTTCTTTATTTACTATGCTTCTCTTTTATTTTCGCACTTTTCTTCATCTCTTCTTCTCTTCTTCCTCCTTCCTTTCTTCCCCTCTACATACTTCTTTCCGATTTCCGACCTTCTTTCCTTATTGTATTCCCCTTTACCTTTTCTAATTGGGCCCGCCATGTGCCAGGCTAACAAACAAACCAGGGTTGGACTGCAATGAACACGGAGCAGGCGTTGTAGGAGGATGGCATCACCATCAAAACCACAACGACGCCTGAGCACACAAACCACAAAAAGATTGATGAAATGCATCACTACATTTTAACTATCCCCAAGACTAAGGGGGGAACCCAAACCAAACCGCGCTATGCTACCAACATCCACCGATGCATCCATCGCCTCGTCGATCATTTGCAAACACCCAATACGCCGGCATCCCATTTTCCACCCTCCTCTGAAACTGGAAGAAAAATGTGCCCGACACAGCAAAATATACACAAAAAACCAAGCACTTAAGACATATACATCCTCCCAATCAAATACCCAAGAAACCTCGGGACCCAGCCAAAACCCAACCAAAAAGCGCCCCTGAAAACTCCGGTCTCACCCAGCCTTTTGTTTTTACCACAGCCACCAACATTGAACCATATGCACTGAACTCACACAACTCAGGATCCTGAAGGACAGACACGATAAGAGAACACAGAATGGTAAGAATGCTACGCCGTCTGAATCTCGGCGAGCCAGAGACTGAGACATCGCTATGATCGAGAATAGGATAATATCAATGGAAAATGGTGAGGTGGTCGGTTATTGGTGTGTGGCGCGAGCCGTCGGTACTTGAGTGTCTTATTTTCTGTATCCTCGTGTTTCCCTGCTTTTGTTGGGAATGGTGGTACAAGCGTCCGTCGAACTGGCGTCTGGGACTTGAGGAAGAGGACTTTCTGTTTGGATGACCTCCCGTCGAACGGCGAAGGGTTATATCCGGTCGGAAAACAGTGGCGGTCGAGGAACGTCATCCACAGCCAAGTTGCCGGCAGGTTCGGGTCGAGATCAAAGATGCTGAAAGGTCGAAAAAAGGAACAAGGGTATCACAAGAAGACAGGAAGGTTAGTGTAAAACTGCTGCAGAGTGCGCGGGGTGGAGGACATTGGTGTGTTGGGGGGGCCGGGGGGATCGCGCTGCCTTGTGAATCACGGAGAGTGGCGGAATGGATCCGCAGGGATTAGAGCTAGGCGGATATGCTGTTGCTTCTCATCCAGCTGAACATGCTGCTGCTGGATTTTTCGGAAGGCGCTTCGATGGGCGTCCGCAGTTGCTGCATTTCCCGGGGCTCGAGCAGAAGACTCTTCCGGTAGTTTGTCGCCTGGGCGTTGGCGCCCGCGCTTTCCTTCTCGCGGACAATGTCGATTTGCTTGGTAAGCCACTCCTGGAGCTCCGGCAACTCAGCAAGCCGGTAAGGGATCTGGAAGCGTTGGACGTCGCCGATGATCTTTGCAGTTCGGGTGTGCTTGTCAAAATTGATGACCGTCATGCCGGTGTCTGTCGTTCGGGTATCGGGGTTGCCCGCGTTAACGAACGTGAGGTCGGTCAGGAACATGCCGAGGAAGGGCAGGCATGGCGGCACTTGGTCGTGAAGCCGCGCTCGCAGGACCTTGAAGTTTTGGTTGAACTCAACACTGGCCTGTAACGACTTGAGGTTATCCTTGCGCTTGCCTGGCACAGCCTCCCACGTCATCTTCAGACGTTTGACGCTCGTGTCGTTAAGTCCACAGGTGATAGCCGTGACGGCGTCGTAGTTGTGGAGCTGGGAACAGTGTGTGGCGATCTTGATCCACTGCTTGATGACATGTGCTCGCTTCTTGACCTCCTCATATTGAAGAATACTGTCGACGACGAGATTTGTCAGCCCCGTGGTGAAGGAGGACATTGCCTTCACAGATGGCGTGCTGGTACCGCCCTGCTTCGTCCATTTCTCACCCAGGAGTTCTTGCGGTGAGATGGAGCAAAAGAGCGTCATTTGCTTCATGGTCAGCTGGCGCGCGAGCTCGAGTGGGTCAAATTCGAGGATGGACGGGGAGCCGCCTCCTATCTTCCAGTTGTTCAAGGCGTTCAACTGGCTCCTGGTAATGGCGGGGGCGGGAAGCGGGGTGTCAGGTGGGACGTATTGCGAGACGGCGGTGTTGGTCTTGCCCATGGATGAGACAAGACGTGGCACCAGAGTGCCATCGACTGCGGACACCTTCTCGGCAAGGTCGAGGAGCCGTCGAGCAGCCGACGGAATCACAGCAGCCAGTTTGTGCTCGGCAAACTGCCTAATCAAAGAAAGCGCCTCGTTGTCCGTCTCGGCTCGCCAGTGCGACTCGAGCCAGCCCTTGAAGACGTTGTATGTTCTCAGCCGCACAGGACCGGCAATGTGCTGAGATTCCCCGACATAATCAAATCGGTCGATCAGGGCTTCAGTAAGTGTGACCGGGCTGCAGAAGAGGCGGAAGGTGAGGTAAAAGGTCGACACAAACATGGCGTCTGGGGTCGACTCGTGGGTTGTGAGGCGCTCGACCAAAGCGGGCAGCGAGCCCCCGGTGACCTGGCCCTCCTTGTTAAAGATCAATTCGTGGGCAAAGGTTTTCGCCAAAAGCCGCGACTCAACGTCCTCATCTTCAGTCGCCGCCAGGCTTTCTGTCACGCTCAAATTTGACAATGACGGTTGGGCTTTGGGTGCTTGGGTGTTGTCCGGGGTCGTCGCCCGAGTCGAGCTCTGGGAGATGAGGCTCGACTCGGAACCGCGACTGAGGTAGGTGCTACCAGACCCAGCGCTCGATGCGGTCATAATTTCGGACCGGAAAGAGTGGAACTCGTTCTCTCGGGTGGCAGAATGCTCTGTGGGGCTGTAGTTTTCGATCGGGAACGCTGTGGTTGAGAGCTTCGGAAGCGGGGGTAGGTCAGGGCGGAGGGAAGAAACGGAGGAAGCGCGGCTGTCCAGGTGGAACGATTGTGCATGCGATGCCAGCAGCGACGCGTGTGACGTCGGCTGCTCTGAGACAGGGGAAGTGACCTGAGGAACGTCCGGGAGCGGTTTGTCGATCGAGATGGCCCGGGCGTGTGTGGACGTGAGACTGGCCACGGAATTCGCTGTCGATGCGGTTGGGGTTTCGGATAAGCTCGACTCGGCAATACTCCCCAACTCGGTGCCACAGGAATTGGTGTTTTGATCTTGAACAGGAGCCAGGTCGGACAAGCCAAAGTCGATGCCGAGGCTGCAGTCGTTGAACTCGAACTCGAAGTCGCCGATGCGCTCGATTACCCATCTCGTCTTCGCTATGCACTCCCCTGTAGCTTTCACGCACCCCGTCGCCGCTCCCAACAAGCGGCCGTTGTCGTGTGGCACGATCACGTCGTCCTCCATATCGGCCTCGGAACCGGTGAGAACCCCGCGTGCCGTGTGCACCAGATCTTGGATGCGGCTGTACATGGCGGCACGGGCCTGCTCGAGCGCATCAATGCTTATCGGAGTGTGTGCGCAGACAACCTGCACCACTGCGAGCAACTCTCCGCCCGACGTGGCCGACTGTCTGACCGCAATTGCGAGGCTGGGACGAGATTGAGATTGGAGTTGCAGCCGCCCGATAAAGGATCCCAGGTGCGAGAGGAAGATATCGTGGCATTTGCTGAGCCGCTCCGAGACCAAATTCTCTGCCCGCGAGCACGAGGGCAAACCGGCGAAGCTGACACGATGCGATATGGTGGATGAAAGTCGATTCGATTGTGCCATGCTGTGCTGGGATGATCGGCGCACATTCGTGTTGCCCTGTAGGGAACAAGCAGATGACAAACGGGCGCTGCACGCCACCAGCTCTGATGGTGTCGCCTCGGAATCATTGCCGATGTTGTCAGCACGGGACTTTGCAGTGGTGGCGTGGTCCGCCCCAGTACCCAGGGTAGCCGAGTCGGCTGGCGGCGTCAGTGGCACGAGGGCTTCCTCTGGCAGCGGTGTCAACACAGCGACTGCCGGTAACCGCGATGCCCGGTCGTCCTCCCAGATATCCAAGAATCTGACGCCCTTGGTGATGATTTTCAAGGCTTTTAAGATCATGTCGTCCACAACGTCATTTATGTCCTCGGCCACAGTGATTCTCTGCGCGTCCTGTAACCTTTTAGCTGCCTTGACCAGCGCCGTCACCTCCGATAACAATGACTTCCGACACCGCCGAAGTCCTTCGTGCCTTAACAGCAGGGGTGCCTCCCTTGCAAGGCACTGTGTTTGTTCCTGTGGGACTTGTTAGTTTACTCGGCTTCTGGGTGTTTGTTTGCGATGCCGTAACCTACCAATAGGTAGCGAACGCCGGCAATGATGCCCTTCGTGAACTCCTGGTTGGTGAATATCTCGCTGTCGTTCACTGAAGTGCTGCGCATCAAGTCCCATAAGTTAAGCAAGGCCTTTAGCAGGTGCGTCATCTCCTCCGGGTCGTAGGGTTCGCAGTAGTTGGTCGGCAGCCATCCTCTCGCTCCATCTGCGAGCAGAGTGCCGTCTGCCCAGCCATTGGTATGGATGGAGTGCACCAGCACGACGTCTCCCTCGTTCAGAGGTAATGTGACTGTTGCGTCGTTGGTCACGTAGTCGGGTTGGAAAGGGTAAAATGCCCGCAGGAAGCTGTGGAAAACGGGGCTGCTGACAGGGCCACCACAGTGCTCCTGAGAGCCATTGGGTGTCGCGGGCGGCGTCATCTGCGCGTCGGAGCAGCGGGTTGCCGAGTCAGCCGCATCCAAGGAAACCCAAGATGTCCCAAGCCTCGTCTTCTGTATCGTCAACGGAGCCACTTGCAGGCTAGTTCGCGTACTCTGCTGCTTCAACATCGCTATCGCCGGCGACTGTCCGTTTTCCCAGACATAAGTCACCGAAAAAGGGGTGAGCTCGGGTCAACGACCCAGCAATTTCGGACCGGCACTTGCTGTCGAGACTCGGAGTGCACTCGTTATTTCGTGGTGGGGTCCCTAGTCCGGGTAAAGGAAAGCGGGGGTTAGTTTCGGGTATTCGCAGCGGTGTGTGGTGATATGTGGTGGAAAGCCGAAGGTTTCGACACGGTCGAGACTGTGACATAAGATTCCGTTAGATAAGCCCCCCTGGGTCACGTCACTGCATACGCAGGCTGTTTTGAGGCTTGGGAAGATGGGCATGTGAAGAATGTAGGGATAAGCTTTCGCGGAAGGGGGCTCGGTGGGAGGAATGTCGCAGACAGGGTAAGTGCCTTGATACAGGAAACCTGCATACCAGGGAAGGGCCTGTCCACGAGTTTCGCAAGAGAGCGATCAAACCAACAGCAAAAGAGGAAAAAGCACGAGTCGCAACAGGCAAAGAGTAGTTCTCGTACCTTGTCGGCTCCGAAAGCTTCGAGCTGGATAGTCTGTACGTGGGAAAATTCGCCTTTCGCAAGTTTTATGAGCCAGACGCGTGATGATGATCGATGGGAGCAGGTGACCCGGCGTTGAGGAACTTGTAAGCGTAGTGTCTCAGACGAGTCAATCGCCGAGGGAGAGCAAGCCAAGGCTGTCCTAGCACGCCTGCTGGCAAGCAAAGGATGAGAAAAGTAGACGTCGAGGGCAAGGTCGTTAAAACTGCTCTTCAACACGGTCGTGAGATGTGGGTGGTATCCGCGGTCAGTGCAGATTCCTGTGAGTCGGGACTTGGGACGACGAAGCTGGTATGGGCGGAATGAAGATCTGAGCAAATTGCGGGTGCTCTGCACTCTGGCTTGTCAAAGCGAATGGAATTGATGACTTTTGGTGTTCTGTCACTTTGACATCAATAGGAGAGGAGAGTGATGGATGGTAAGAAGGGACCAAGTGCCTGGGAAAGCTCCCAAGGTTCGAGGTGTACATCTGCGCCTGCACCTCAGTTGTGTTGCTTCGTTCCCATTCTGCAATTGCACCCCTGACGACGAAAAGTCTCCACCACTCGCTGCAGGACAAGGATCGGCTGCAATGATTTTTTCGTCAGTTGCCCGTTGAGGTAGCGGTTGATGTGGGACCCAAATATGGAGCCCGGCAGAGTCCAGCCGTAACCAACCAGAGCTCGGGCACGGGCTCGCGTTGCTGAACGATCCCGGGTTGCGAGACCCCTAACGGTGACTGGTGGGTCAAGAACCCCCTGCCGCGAGCTCGATAGGCTCCGCTTGTTGTGCTTTATCGGCGCCGGTGGCGTGTGGTGACAGAGCAACCAGCTGGAACCTCGAAGAAGCGGATTCGCAGCTCGAGTTGGGATGCAGCGATGAGCCACCTTTCTTGGAACATGCTGACAGTGTGTCCACGCTCCATAGCATCGTCCACCGGGTGATCGACGTCGCTCCATTCAATGTCCGTGTTGTGATTAGACTTGGATGGTCTTGCGGGGTTGTCTCGATCTTGAACCGTCCGTCCGGACCAGCACGCAATGGAGTCTTTCGACCGGCGAAACCGGTTTGTGGGTTGCCCCGGATCTCCCGGTGCTGGAGCAACACACCAAGGCGAACGAAATACGATGGGTTCTGCCTCTCAATGTCTTAAATCCAAAGGCGGATGGCCACATCGAACACACAGCTCCCGATCGGTAGTACTTGTACAATACATGTACGAGGTACAGACGAGCCGCGATCTCAACTAGCCCGGCGTTTCCTTCTGGCCGACATACTGCGTACACAATACTGTGTAGTGATTAATCACTTGAATCCTCGCTGTGTCCACAGTATTGCATTCTCCGCCGTAACGAAACCTTGTTGGCCGTCTGCTCGGACGTAGGCAGCTGCATGTATATGCAGGCCTGCAGCCGCCGGCAGTCAGTCGCTTGTGACCTCAGCTGCTTCTCGATATCGCGCGTGAGCCGAGAACGGCGTCCTATCAAAACAACTCCACGCTGATGAAGCGGCTGGAGTGAATGCTTCCAGCCTCGGCTGGATGTGTTGGCGAAAGGACCGGTGAACCTCTGAGCTTGTGCCCCGTGCTTCCGACGCTCTTCCCGCCATGGTGGGAACAACAATGTCAGCTAAAGAGCGAGGCGCCATGCGAGCCATGCAATTGCCCTTGCGACACCGGGCTTGCAGATCAGAGCTGAGTGCTCGCCAAATGTGCAACACAAGGCTCTCTTGCATAGATATCACATCCTTCGTGTCCGGGGCTGGACTAGCGAGCGCTTCTCGCGGGAGGGACGGTGGCAACCGTCAGCACCCAAGCAACGGCTTGCCGTCTTGGCGTCGGGGAACAAATCCGCGGTTAGAGAGGTTAAGTTGTTACCATGGTCGGTGGTTGTCGGGTCCTCGCAGGAGCTCGCGGTTTTACCCCACGCTGCAGGTCCCAGGTCCAAGTCGAGATAAGATCCCGACCTGGCCCATCGACCGCAGCTCCAGCAGCTTGGCAACCCTGTCCGCTCATCGAGGGCCACTGACGATTTTTTTTGTTCGAGCCGACCAGCGTGGTATTGAGCTCAGAATCACCATCTGCCGACATTGTGAGCGTCCGTTTCAGTGCCAAAACTGGGGATTCAGCCGCGGTTTGAATAACCACGAGGAGAACTTTTCGGATCCCGTAACGGTGAGGGGTCCAAAAGGCGTATCAAAGCAGACAAATCTTCGGAGAAACCAAGTTTGCGCGTGCTGCTGCTGAGGACCGACACGTCAAACGACCTGGACTGCATTCTCGTCAGTGCCCGACGCTGTACGTGTAGACTTTGCCACTCATCCCGGCAACCCCACAACTTCTCGCGGAAGGGTTCCGAAGCGATAAGTGCAGGTTGCGCCGCTTGGCAGATACGCAAGCAGGTAAGACTGCCCCGAGGGAATGGAGTCGAGCTCGACGCTTCCCGATCCTCGGGCCTCAGAGAGGCATCTTCGCGGTGGAGTGGTGCGGCTACGGATACCTGGGAGAGGAGAGTGCACTAGATCACCAGCCAGTCCTCTATCTCAGATTGCAGCGACTCATCTGAAGTATCGCAACGCGACGTGGGGGAATAGGCCGAGATGCAGCCCGATTGCAGACCCCTGCATCCGAGTTGCTGCGGTCCAGAATTTTGCCGTGATTTCATGATTTTGGCTATCAGCCTCATCCGTGTTGTCCGTTGGCAGAGAGGAAAGGAGCCCGGTTCGCAATCAAACCATATTCACCTCACGTCGAGGTTGTTGTTCCAAGTTTCCAACGGCGATGAAAGTTGAAGCAGCTCCAGACTTTTAAGGTTGTCTGGTTGCTAGCTCGCCGAGTAATAACCCAGCCCCCACGCGCTCACTGCACCTGTCGGTTCCCGTCCTGCGCACTTCCGATGGCGGCGAGGTGGGGTTCCAAGCCCGAACCCAAGCAGTGCGCACTGCCTACGCAGTAGACTCGGACAAACGCGCTTGCCGGTTGACTCGGCTGTGAGGCCGTCAAACACCATTGGATTCGAAGTGTCCTGATCTGCTGACTTGGGCACCTTGACGGATGCACCCGATCAACTTCCATCAATCAGCCTGATGAGAGACCAATCTGGGAAGACATCAATATCGGTCCTACCGTTTTGCCGACTGGAGATGACAGGCTGAGCTTCCCATGGAGCAGGATCACGCGACCAGTGAAGCTACTTTACTCGACACCAATCAACTCGTGATCGGTATGGCGTTTTCGTGCTACGGCCAGACGAAACGAAGATGCGACCAACCAGTCTCTCAGATCCCAAACTTCCAAGTGTCATCAAAAGAGACCGGCGATGGTCTCCTCCTCCACGAGGCAGTGTCACTGGTTTGTCGAACCGCTGTGGCCCTCCATTTGGCATCTTCTATTAAGTAACGAGCTGTTGTGTCACAAATCCGGCGACCATCGAGGATAACATCGCACGTTGACGGCACACGTATGAGGCACCCAATCAACGATTTTTTGCTTCCGTGATTGACGATGAGGTTTCTCTGCTCAGCGCTTTGAGGGCCCCTCGTCGACCAGCTGCATCCTCAACGGGCTTACAAGCACGTGTCGTCCAAGAGAACAGGTGGCTTGAAGACCGCGAGACGGAATCGGCGCAAGCTCACCAAGCACATTCCCCGCAAGTTGTGGATAGGCGGACTCATCAGAGGCCCTCGCTACAGTTCAATACTGGTTTGTGGTAATGCGGAACTCAGATATGAGCGAAGCTTCCTCTTTTCACTTCAACTTCTGATATTCGTTCGCCCTTTCCCTCTTCTTACCTAATATTATGTTCATCTTCCACTTCTCACATCTCTTCCTTTTAAAATTTTCTATATATTTTCTTTCTGTTTTATCTTCCTTTCTTGTTTTCTTCTATTATTATATTCACCTTTTTCCTCAACTGCCTTAGGTTGTGCCCGCCATGTACCACGCTAACAAACAAGCAAGGGCTAGATAGTAGGGCTACCCCTGACAGACAACTCTCGAGCTCCATTGGGCCGGTGTTTTTTTTATCGCGTCTGGCCCATTGCAAAGCACTGCCAGAAGGCTCTGACACATCATCGTCAATTCAAGAGCGCCGATCACTTGCCTCCATGAGTATGGCGGCAAGCCGACGATCATCACAACACCGAGGCAAAGTGCGTGCCAAAGTGGTCTGTTGACAATCATCAGGGTCCTCCCTCGACCGCAAGGCGCACGTGGGACGCTGCTGTGGATGAGCCTCGCCAAGGCTTGCGCTCCAGGTGAAGCCACCTGGGTCCTGGACACTGGACCCGTTGCCGTTTCCTTTCTTTTTGTCTCATGTTGATTCGAGATGTGGGAGTTTCTCAACAACGTGACAACCTCATCACCAATTTCTTGCACACACAAGGTCTGTCGTGCCGATGGACGCAACGGGACATCAAAACCCAGAACCAGAAGATCGGCACCGCTAACGAATTGTCAAACCACTCCCAGCGCCAATGATGAGCTCTATCTGTGGCGTATTCGAAGCACACCATACAATGCACGTAATCCGTTGACCAGACACGCTGCGAAGCCGACTTCTGGTCACCTCACCTGTCCTGTCCAACGAAACCCCACAGCTGCCTACCGTCTCGGCACTGGGGTAGTTGCATGCAGACGTTGTCGGCTGGATATGGAAGTTTTGCTGCTCTTGTCGATTGGCAAAGCGTCGCCTTTACCCCAGCTCTCGGCGCAAGGCCTTGTTCAGGCGAGGCCTCCGCTCCGCCGGCAGATGGTCAATGAAAGGAGTCCCGCCGGCCAGGCCCAACGCCGTGCAGCCGGAATTACCCCGAAACGCCAACGTCGCGATCCCGGGATTCGTGTGGATACATCCGCAAGGATGGAGACAACACGGGTTCAAGAATTGCCGAAAGCATTCCCAGACGCCCCATGATCGCGAGGCGCATGCCGAGGCCGTAAGGACAGGGCTGAGGCTGAAAGCAACTTCCCCTCGGGACGTGCAGCGGTTGCGAATTGTAGGAGCAGACCCGTCGTAGACCTTCACCAGTGGACTGGGAACGAATCTGTCCCAACGGAGTGGTTGAAACGCAAACGAACCGTTCAATCATGTCGAAGCCCAACCAACACATCGAAATGAACTGCCAGGGTAAACTGCGTATCCGAGGGCCGGGTTAGACCAGGGCACTTTCACGCTGGTGTATGTTGTTGGCGCGGACGGTGCCGAGTGGCGACAGAAAAGGACCGGAATCCGTTCACATCTGAGATCATTCCGCTTGTGTGCAAACACACCGAGTTCGTAGTATCCGCGCGGTCCATAAGGCAGCCCTAGCACCAGTTAAGCTGGGCCCATTATACCGTTTTGCCTCCTACCAACGTTTCATCTCCTCCAAGCCCTCGAGCATGTGTCTGAGTTATTCATAGCTCAACCCCATCATGCCTTCGCTGTCACGTATCGACAATTGCTCTCAAGGTACGTGGTGTATACCACTTGAAGGTATTCCGTTCGAGCAGTATATTTTCGTTTTCAGGCTTTCGATGATGGTACCGGTATGAAGCAACTAGAGGTTACCTCTTATGCCACGGATCTAGTGATAATGCAGTTGAAACGAAACGTGAGCTGCGAGGGACAGGCAATCAGACAAACCCCGTTTCGCTGCAACCCCGAGCCCCCTGCGGCCGGCTGCAAAAGAATCCGGGTTTTGGGCATGGGCCAAAATGTTTGCGTTGAGTGGATCAAATGATTGATGATCTGTGACTAAGAATAAGATGGACTCCATCGAGCGCAGGCGCGGCGGATTACCACCACAGGACACTCATCGATCTGCAGTCCTTGGTTTGGATGAGCACCTCTCCATTGGCTTTCCACTGCCAACCAGAGCCTGAACCAGGTGTTCGGTGCCGCCATGCAGCCAGCCGATAAGTGACTCGGATCAGTTCTCTGGTTCTGAATCCACTGCTTCTTGCGCCAGCTCGGAGCATACACTGTATGATTCTGACTCTATGCCCAGGAGATGTCAGCTTGAGGGTTGCTCGATACACACAACACAAGAGATATAGAAATGGGTGCCTCCAAGTTGCGCCGTGAAGGCGTCGCCATCTTTTCCTGAGCTCCGTCGGTTGCCACAGTGTATCGAAACAAGACCTATGCCACTTGATGGGTAGTTAACTTATATTCAAATGAAATGTCAAGTACCAATAACTCAGACAATCGTTTACCACGGCAGGTCATGCGCCTTGGAGTCTGAGCGCTGGTGTTTGGTAAGCTTTGCCGGCTTGGGTCGAACGGGTGCATGAGGAAGCGTGATGCTGCGGACCCGTCCTGTCCACTACGGATGGAGGGAATGTGTACCATGCAGTTCACCAAGTATTATTTGAGACCGGAGCACAACTCGAAAGGGAGACATGAGGAAGGGGTGATGGTCTAATAACACCACGAGCCCCTGGATAGTTAGCATTGGTTTCAAGTTGCCGGTGCAGAGATGCCTGCTCCTACAACATTGCTTAGAAGTCAGACTTGACATCCGAGTTGGCCGTGATGCAACCCTCTTCCACGTGGGTTCTTCTTTCTGTTATGTGCCCTGTATTGCGGGCTTTCCCCTCACTCTCTTCTTCGCTAACACCGACGAACTTCGGTTCTACAAGTACAAGCCTGTCTGCAGCATAAGTCACAAACAGGCCGCCGGAGACGCCTTACCCCATGCCTGGCGCCTCAAATGGGGTGGCCGCACCATCAACCCGGAACAGGCCCTTTGATGTCTCGGATCCATGAACAGGCAACGGCAGCTCGACGTCGGGTAATAATGGGATTTGATGTTCCTCCATACATTGAGCACACCTTCGGTAAAGTGCGATAGTATGTAATAGAAGTATAGTGCCTGCGTCTACCCGCGACATTTCTTATACTTACCTATTCAACGGTTGCCCTAGGGACTAATTGAGTGGCGAAGTACGGCCAGGCAGGTGATTAGGGATTTGCGGCATTCCACCATACGGTAATCTGCACGGGCCGGAGAGGAAGGCATTTGAGGTCTCCCTCGGCAATGAATACCGTATGTTGCCATGTAAATGCACATGTCCAGAGATTTTGTAGAGCAGGCCCATTGTGCAATTGGCGTTGTTGTATCCACATTCACCGAAAAGACAATACCTCTGCTGGGGTTTCGAGAGGGCTTCGAGGTTCGTCTATGGGGGACACTGAACTGCCCTAGCTAGAGCAGGTCCTGGTTGTTGAACCCAGGAACTGGCGCGGCTGACCCTCGGTTTGTGAGCTGCTGCCCTAGTATTAGTTAACACTGACATCCGCGCTTAAGCAGCGCTGTCAATGTACAAGCACCTAAATCTCTAACTCATCCTTCGGGAAGTGTTTTCGTCTTCTTTTCTCGCCTAATATCATGTGCTGATGTCGATAGCATCCGGCTTGCACAGTTTATCTCGGATCCTCGGAGAATGCGCCTAGGTTCAAGAAGAGATGAATGAATCCGGCTACGGTACCACAGTGAGGACTTTCAGATGCTCCTTTTCATTCAACATGTCATTGATCTCTTTCGCTTTGTTGTCGATCATCAGCTGGAGTGACTTGATATTTTTGCCTGCGCCACGACTCAGCTTGCGGCGTGAAGGAGGACGACGAGCGCACTCTTGCGGATGAGCAGAGCTTGACTTTCACCTCCCGCGCTTGGAGCTCGGCGAGGAACCTTTTTCAAGTTGTCGAAGAGCTCTTGACCTTCTTGCCCTCGAGCATATAGCCTAGGCGACGGTGATGCTTGCAAGTCCCAATCTGGCCGGCCCAGGCGGGGCTTACTCGAGCTTACTATCCTGACATACTAGACGCTACTGAGATGACAAAGCAGAACTAACTCGACCTTGACACTTGAGTGGGAATCTTGTGCGCGCGACAGAAGCTGGAGTACCTACCAGGTAGGTAGTAAGCAAGCATCATTCATGTTGCATTATGTTACTCCGAAACACACATACCTTGGTATCATCCCTGACGTCGATCCTCCCAAGCAAACATTACAGAGCCCCCAGTCGCCATGTGTCAAATGCCTGCGATGCCAACATATCCAGTTGCTCGTCATATCCCTGGAATCAGATCTCAGGAAATAGCACCCAATGTCGCTTAAACAACATCCTTATTCAGCACCGTGACATCCCTCGCAGGCTTGATATCCTCGACCGTCTCATCACTGAACTTCAGATCCTCCTCCAGCGAGACAGTGTCCTGAATGCGGAGGAAGATGACCGGAGCGGCAATGACAAGTGCACCGGCGACCAGACCCCACTGCGATTCCAAGTCAGTCAGCCGTCAGATTCGCGCTGAGTTGGGGCATGTTCATTGCATTGCAGGGAGAAAAGGGAAACGTACAGTGGCACCGAACATGGTATCAAAGGGCGTCTTGAGGCCGTCCAAGCGCCAAAAGACAGCGGCACCGGCCGACTGGATGCCCTTGTAGAAGCCCGTGAGGTTGGCAGCCTTGCGGCCCGAGTTGCTGAGGGCGCCCATGTACCTGTTTGCGCGTCAATGCCGTCACGCGCAACCAGCAAAGTCAGGCGGGGTTAAACCACGTACCAGTAGATGCAAGTCTGCCACGCGGCATCATAGAAGCCGTAAAACATGTACAAGAACAGGGGGCCGACGAACAGCTCCCCGCCATCGGTCCAGTCGACGCGCCTGTATGTCGAGTCCTTGGCCTCCACAACCTCGCGAGACACCTGCTTCTTCTGCCAGGCGTAGCCGCCGCCCCAAATGGCAAAGCTAAAGACAAACAGCACGACAAAGCTGACCTTCGCCCGGACGGACCGGCGGACGTTGGGGAAGTCGAGGGCGTAGCCAAAGATGACTGCGGCAATGATCTGGGCGACCCAGTAGAGCAGGTTGTTGAGGGTGCGGGTGCGGGTGTTGAAGTGGGCGCCGTTCATGTCGTTCATCTGGTACGTGTAGAAGACGTTGGAGGCGAAGAACATGGGGAACAGCAGGACAACCCAGGGGGACGACGTGATGGTCTCGAAGAGGCCGATGATCTCGGTCTTCCAGCTCGGGTTCTTCATGAGGATGACCTTGCTGCCATCGTCGCGGCGGACCCGGTCGGCATTGCAGAGGGCGAGCGAGAGCACGGCGCCGATGATCATGAGCACCATGAAGCCGACGTAGGTGCCGTCCGTGACGTTGGTGGCGCCCGTGGCGTTAACATTTTGGCCGAGGGGCACCAAAGAGCCAATGACGGCGCCCATGTTGAAAATGATCCAAAAGTACGAAATGTAGCGGCCCTTCTTGTCCTCCTCAGGGTAGCTCATCATAATGGTGCCCTGGGCGGTCCACAGTAGGCCGGCGCAGACACCGAGGAAAGCACCGGCAAATACGACAAAGCCATGGTTTTGGGTGTGGTTGTAGCACAGGAAGCTGGCGGTGTAGATGCAGTAGCCGAGGCCGCCGAATGCCATGGTCGCCCTGACGCCGAGCATGTTGGCGATTGTGCCCGAGAAGAAGCCGACGACGGCAAATGTCGAGTACAGGGCTGTGCTGGCGTCGTTCTGGGCCGTCGCGTCCACCTGTCCACCACCGCCAAGACCGCCCAGCGCGTTGTACATGCCGGGGCACATGAAGCACACCATGGCGACCATGAGCAACTGGATGATGGGCGATGCATACCAGACTTCCTTCCTTCCAAGTTTGAACCCTTTGTACATCCATCCGGGTGGTCGTTGGATCGGCCCGGCGGCGTGTGACTCCAACTCCGGCGCCTCCATAGCGGGGCCCTGTTTCTCGTCGGCCATGCTTGGTTCGGGTTGCCGAGTGCGGCTGCTTCAGAAGGGATCGAGGGCTTGTTCAAAGACACCGTCGAAGGCGTGGACAGCGAGTCGAAACCGTTGGACCGGGTCGCGCGTGGAGAAGGACGTGAGCGAGAGGAAGGCTAGGAGTTGACCGGGAGAGCGATCCACGGCAGATATAAAACAAAGATCAGAAGTTCCTGCAGGGTTCGTGGTCGGCAAGGCTAACGTTTAAAGCTTGGCCAGGCCAGGGAGGGGCAGATCCTCTGACAAGAGGATTGGTTGGCGGCAAGAACCCCTGAGGAAACGGTGAAGGGCACGGTGCACGACGGATGCAACGCTGCAGCGCGCAAGCTCGTGTGGTCAAATGGCGGGCCCGGCAAACGTAGCAACGGCTTCCAGGATCGTGGCATGTGCTGCTGGTTCCCTATCTTTTGGGCCGCAGCTGAGCGATTGCCAATGCAAATCCGAACCTCGAAGCTAGATGACTGCGGGGAACCTGGAAGGTGTGGGAGTTGGGAACCCGAGCATGGAGCGGCTGTCAGCCGAAAACGAAGAGGCAGTGCGAGTCAGCGATCTGCTTCGGACGCTGTCTGGAATGCCAGGTTTGTGACGGAAACGAATTTCAGTCTATTTTTGCACTTGGGCAAATCCCCCCATTTGCTTGCGATAGGGCTCGTCAAATGATATGTGAGCAGCAATCGGGATTGGGACCGGACCGAATTGAATTCCTGGGGGCCAGGCTTGATTGGCGACACCGACTCTGTTCCGATTGCTTTCCCCAGACTCGAGCCGATCATTAGACGGATGCTGAGGGCCGTCGGAGAGCGTTGATTGGATATCAACGACCTGGATCTTCACTTTGGGAAGGAGCTCGCAATAGGTGGGGCCAGAGCTCAGGCCATCCTCTCCACAATCCACATGACCCATCCAAAAGCCAAGACCGGCGGAGACAGGAGTCAGGCTGGTCTTGTCTCGTTCATGTAACGTTTCCTACGTGCAGGCACCACCACCCCAAAGTTCCCTTGCGACCAGAGATATCGCACTCTCTTCCAGCTCGGAATTGGCAGCCACAGCTGGCAATAGTAGCTCTGCGCAGTGGTAGGCTGTTTGTATCATCTGTTGGCGGCTAACACTCAGATCACACTCAATTCCGGCTGCGACTAGAGACAGGCATCGACTGGCCATCAGCTGAACACGAGCATCCATCTACGTCAAACACCAGGCGTCCGGTTACTGGTTAGCTTGCTATGTCATGGTTACACGGCCGGTCAACTTGAGGATGTCCCGGTCAAGCTCGTGTTCCTGGCCGCGGATTGATAGGACATACGGAGGATACAGTTGATGTGTTTTATCTTTAAACTCCGCAGCCGCCTGCTTATCTGTGGCAACACCAAGAAGATTTGAGAGGTGACAAACCAGGTTACCGGGTCCCTCGGCTAGACCAAGGTTTAGTATGTACCCAGTATGGCATGAAACATCACGGCTGAGGCCCGTAACAGGGGCAATAGCTTATGCAGCCTGTGGGAGTGATGTTACTTCTGAGGCCGGCCATCGCCCAGACCCTACCGGTCCCAATGACCAGCCCGCCAACTGACTAGCTGATGCCACCGCCCGCTGCCGCTCACCCGATACCACCTTCGATGCCTCGTTTCGCTTGTGGCTCCTACCGTCCTTCAACCGGGCTGTCGGTTCCCCAAATTTGGGCCTGCCGCTAGACTCTTTATCGACCTCCCAGGGGCAGTGTCCAATGCACACAACTGCCATGCAATGGTTCTCAGGTTGATAGTCGCCGCCAACCCTGTCCCAATTCTAACCGCGCCGAACTGGTCTTGCCTAACGCGACTGTAGCACGAGTCTGAACCCCGGACCAAGCAATGATCATTCGTACCATACTGCTGGCCACGCCGGGTACGGAGACGAGTGCGGCTCAGCTTGGCTCGTGGGTCCTTTGTCCGAACCTCCCATTCGCAAGCCAAGGCCGAACCCGAGCCCGGGGAGGGGTGGGGACGAAAGGCACGCGACCACGGCCACCTCAACCCGGGCCGCATCAAGAAGGTAAGTACCCCGGGATCGGAACTACAGTACGGATACAGACCGCTTGTCCGCACGCAGGGCCGTGTCCCTGCTCATGCCCGAGTCGCCCGAGTTGCTCATCCGCGGGGCTGCCCGGCAACCACCGCCCCCGGGCGTCCATGCGACCGCTCCCGCAACGCCAGCTTGTGGGCACGGCGTCTCCTGTGATTGGAAGACGGTTGCGTCGATAACAGTCGCTGACAGAATTCACGGGGGATAGATTTAGCACATAGTCACTCGATCGAACTTCGAGACGACACGATGGAAGACCTTCATTTTCGCCAAAGATTCGAGCTCTGAAGATAGGCCGGTCTTCGCAAGCTGAGGTCATACGCAGTGATAGCTGACTGCCGTCGCGGCGCGTTGAGGCTGGCTCCACTGCTCCGAGTCAGCAATAGCCGAGTTTGAAAATCTCGGCGCGGCTGAACGGAGCCTTTGCTTGCCCTGACCGCCTGCCGTTCTTAGGGGTCTGGCTCCGCAGCTGGCCAGCGAGAGACTTTTATTGGACGGACGTGGCATAAACCCTGAATGACATCACTGTCTTTTTGCAGCTTATGCCTGGCGTTTTTCGAGATGTTCGGCAGTAGACACCAGAAAAAGACGAATAGCAAAAATCGAGAGAGGTCTCTATCACTCCAGTGGCGTCTCATGAGGTGCGCAATTATGGCCTCAGTTTAGCTTTTAAAGGGTCGCATTTGCGCATCTAAGCATGGCGGTGGATGTTATGCGGGGATTCCGCGCCTGCCGTGGAATGACCTGACTGGGGATGGTGGTCCCGAACCGGGGATGGCCAGTCATCAGGCCGCTGAGATCAACAATTTAAGTTGACCCAACCGCCGCAGAGATTGTTGGAGTCTTGTTCTCGAAACCTCTGCTTCTTCTTGGACGGTCGTCAGCTTGGACCCCTTGTGCCCCCTCTCCCGTCCCGCTGTCTTTCTAGGTTCCCTTCTCTTGTCTCTTGTCTCTCGTCGACCCCTTCTGCCCTCCGGGACCATAATTCTCAACATGGCCTCGCCAATCGCGTCGGCTGCGCTCAAGGCGCGCATCAAGCGCCCCTCGATGCTGAAGAAGCTGTGCCATCCCGAGGATCTCATGCAGCACTTTCCCAATGGCGCCTACCTCGGCTGGTCCGGCTTCACGGGCGTCGGCTACCCCAAGTAAGGCTCTCTCAGACCTCACTATCGAGTAACAACTAACCACTTTCCCGGTGCACAGGAGAATGCCCACCTTCCTCGCAGACCACGTCGAGAAGAACAACCTACAAGGCAAACTGCGGTACACCCTGTTCGTCGGTGCCTCGTCGGGTGCTGAGACCGAGAACCGTTGGGCTGCCCTGGACATGATCGAGAGGCGGTCTCCCCACCAAGTCGGCAAGAACATCTCCAAGGGAATCAATGAGGGCCGCATCAAGTTCTTCGACAAGCATCTGTCCATGTTCCCCGTAGACCTGGTATACGTAGGGCACACCCAGGCTGTGGTCACCTGGTGGGCAGCTTAGTAACGGCAACTAGGGCTTCTACACCAAGGACAGGCCAAAGAACAAGATCGACGTCGCAGTCGTTGAGGCGACCGAGATCAAGGAGGACGGAAGCATCGTTCCCGGCGCCTCGGTCGGCGCGACACCAGAGCTCCTCCAGCTCGCCGACAAGGTAGGCAGGATGAGACCAACGAAACGGCGGTTTACTATGGCTGACGAACCAGATTATTATCGAGGTCAACACGGCGCTGCCAAACTTCGACGGCCTGCACGACATCACCATGACTGACCTGCCGCCGCGTCGGAAGCCATACCTCATCACCCAAGTCGAGGACCGCATCGGCACGAACTCAATCCCCATCGACCCCGAGAAGGTCGTCGGCATCCTCGAGTCCGACTATCAAGACCAGACCCTCCCCAACAGCCCGGCCGATGAGACGTCACAGAAGATTGCCTCGCATCTGATCGAGTTCTTTGAGCACGAGGTCAAGCACGGCCGCCTGCCCGCCAACCTGCTTCCGCTGCAGTCGGGCATCGGCAACATCGCCAACGCCGTCATCGGCGGTTTGGACAATTCCAATTTCCGCAATCTCAAGGTCTGGACCGAGGTCATTCAGGACACCTTCCTCGACCTCTTCGACTCGGGCCGCCTCGACTTTGCGACCGCCACCTCGGTCCGCTTTTCACCCGATGGGTTCAAGCGCTTCTACAACAACTGGGAGCACTACCACAACAAGCTCCTCCTCCGCTCGCAGCAGGTGTCCAACTCGCCCGAGATCATCCGCCGCCTGGGCGTCATCGGCATGAACACACCCGTCGAGGTCGACATCTACGCCCACGCGAACTCGACCTGCGTCATGGGCAGCCGCATGCTTAACGGCCTGGGCGGCTCGGCCGACTTTCTGCGCTCGGCAAAGTACTCCATCATGCACACCCCGTCCACCCGCCCGAGCAAGACGGACCCGCATGGCGTCAGCTGCATCGTGCCCATGTGCACGCACGTCGACCAGACTGAGCACGACCTGGATATCATTGTGACGGAGAACGGCTTGGCTGATGTTCGGGGTCTAAGCCCCCGCGAGAGGGCCCGCGTTATCATTGATAAGTGCGCGCACGAGGTGTACAGGCCGATCCTGAGGGCGTACTTTGAGAAGGCGGAGAGCGAGTGCCTGCGCAAGGGTATGGGCCATGAGCCGCACCTGCTGTGGAACGCGTTTGATATGCATCGCGCGCTGAGTGAGGAGGGCAGTATGCGCAAGGTCAAGCTGTGGTAAGGGTGAGGTGACAGGCGGATTCTTTGTGGTTTTCTCCGGTCTAAATTAGCGATCTTGTTCGGGTACGTGTAACCTCATCTGCTAGGCGGGCGTTGATGTGGAAGTAGAGTACACAAAACGGTGCATAGAATGGACTGCATAACTAGTGTTGATGTTAAAGCATTTCCTCACCAAAGCATTCCCCTAGTTGTCTTCACTTTAAACCCAGGGATCGTATTCTCGCGTCCTTTGACCTGGGTTCTAACTTCTCCGGCATTCTTTCCAGCCTGCGGCTGGCACAGTGGATTGAGATAGACGTCTGCGGTGTGTTCTATACGCGCAGAACGGGATACCCTCCGCTCTACGACGCCGAGGGCACATCCTTGGCTACCTGCTGCCCGACTCGAAGGACGACGTCAGCAAGTTCGACGTGCATTACCTGAGGCTTGGAGAGCCGAGATATCCTGGCAATATCTGTCTGGTTCTCGTCAAGCGTGGTGAGCTGGATGCTACACTCTCACAGTATTGTAGAGTTGAGCTTGGCTTGACTAGAGACGAGTATGCCAAGTGATTTGATGATGCCGAGGTCGGAACTGTCAAATTGTTGTAGAGTAGATTGACAGTGGAGAGCCGCCAGTCTAGAAAGCCGAAGAGGCATCCACGAGAAGACAAAGTTGTCATCAAGCCATTAACATCAAGTTACCCACTTCTAGGGAGTTCCAGCCATCAATGCCATTGCCTATATTCACGCTGTCAGAACTTAGGTACCTGGACTGTACCACAAAAAAGAACAGGATGCGGCAATTCTGGTTTTACCCAAGCAAACACAGATGCGAAGAGCAGCCCTAGAGATAGCGTAGACAGAATCCAAGGAGTACGAGGCAAAAGTAATGACGCCCACCTGGGTATTAAAATCCACCAGATTCACTCAAAAACCGTCAGGCATGGCTGGAAGCATCAGAGACCGCTCCACCATCATAGCTGGACGAGGGTAGACACTTGAGATCGGCCACAACCCAAGATCCGAATGGTCCAGGTTTTCCGCAAACTCACAAAGTCCCTACTACTAACTAGTAATGACCCTGGGCAGGCCGAGGGATGAAAATCCCCGGGAATCGAGCAGACAACGAGGCGTAAATACCCGTTTTGCTCCGTACCTTACTTAGAAATGTATCTAAGATAACCTTCCGAGTCCAACGCCAGTTGTCTTCATCCAAGAGGACGGTCCACTGCGATGTGGCACGCTGTGTCGGCGACGCGGGATATCCCGTAACCTAGCCTACCTAGCAGGTCTCCAGAGACACCTATCGCGCCAATACCCCGTCGGGTCGAGGAGTATGCCGGTGGTTGTATAACCAGGCGGCAGGTATGGTGGAAGAAACGGTCGGAGCTATTGATGTTCGCACATAGCAGGACAAGATATCCATCGCCGTTGACGATCAGGTGGCGATCCGTCAAGGGCGAGGCGGCAAGGGGTATCTTCTAGAATACCATTGTGGAGGCGGCGGCGGCTCCAACCGGCCTCTACGTCCTTGGTAATGTCGGAATTCGCCGCGGTGGGCTGCATCGTCGTGACTCGGACTCGGAGGTCGCAATGAAGGGCGATGTCTCATATTATCGTCTGCATGGACAGCCAGTATACTCTTCGATTGAGAGGAGCTGGATTTAGCAAGGTAAAGTAGGAGGTTGAACTTGTCTTGAGTGCCAGGGAAGGCGGACATAGCTTGCTGTGCGGTGCTCCTGTCTCCCTCGCCGCCATGCCCTCGGCGTTGACCAGGAGGTTCAACCCCTGGGCGAGTCTCCCGCGCGAGCCCAACGAAACCCTGGCCCCGCTCCATCCGCCACAGCCGCCGGGACCCGTCGATGACTAGAAGACGACGAGTGCGACGCCGGCATCAGCATCCTTGGCATCTCACCGGCATACCCTTCCGCCGCCCCCCGCAGCGCCTGCTCTACCCTCGCTCCCACGAAGATAACCAACTTTTCCTTGGACCTCGAGCCCGGCGTCTATTCTAGAACCTTCCACCGCCCCTTTTCTGCCAGGTCAGCGACCAAGGAGCTTGATTAGAGTCGCAAGTGACGAGAGGGGAGGTGCCATGGGCTGGCGCGCATCAGGCATGCTCCAAAAACCGATCCGACTCGCGCCAGTCCCCTATGCAGGCCGGCAGAGCAAAGACGGCCAGGTGTTGTGACTAAGCGTTTTGCCGTAGTAGAAAGGAGTCAAGGCAAACCATGAGAGACTTGAGGTAGCAGAGCGTTTTGAACTTGTGGTTTTGGTATGGGAGACGGGGAGCCCATCCCCGGACCTCGCCTGCCTCGCAGCCTGAAGAACGAGATGGCGTCTCGTGATGGCGGATCGGTTAGGAATCAAGCGTAGGAGGGAGAATTCGACAGATAAGTGGTCGAGGGAGGGTAGTGAGTTAGGAAATACTTAATTCTCTGGCATCAGTCTGTAAAACTTGGTCAAGGTTGCTGTGAGGCGGTATTTGATGTTGGCCATGTCGTGTCAGAATTTCAGATTGAAACACCGGCTGGCTGATGGCGCTGCTGCCACATGTCGGAGTATGATGGAGAAGAAACGATGATGGCAAAGGTGTCAAGTGATTACCCAGAAAACGGAGAAGCATAGGGTGCTTGCGTATAAGAACGCCTGAGCTGCACCACTGGATCCATATCGTTAGTGCTCCAGAAGAGTCCAAACCTCTCGCGTGATTTTTATGGCGTGTATTGCCCTGGGCCTGGACAAGTTCATCGCAAGTTTCCCAAAACGGCGAACGGAAGGGCTTCTCTCCAGTTCTGATTGGCTGACAGAGCCCTTGATTTCTAATGCTGTCGAAAGGGACGGTCGTTGGCTCAGCAGCTCTGAGCATGTTGCCAGTCTAAGTGCCCTTGCGTTGATGTGTTTAATTTAACGCTTGTTCGCCAAAGGAGGCTGAGCGTCGAGTCCGGATGACTGCGCAAATTAATATATCAGACTGCAGTGAGGCGGGATCAAGGAAGTACACCCCATTTTAGCGGAGTCCAAGTTTGCTCCAGTTGTCGATCGAACAAGCTCCCACCAAGCCGCTCAAGCTTTCCTGGCGATCGTCTGGCCTGTGCGCTCGTCCCATCTCATTGGCGCGACTTCCCTGGTTCTCGGGACCAAGACCGTGAGGCTCCACTGAGGGGGGCCTGCTGAAACCAAGGACGAGAACCGAAAAGGGACAGCTTTCAACGTCTCTCCGCTAAACTGCAACTCTGAACGCCATGCTTCCTCCGGACCGCAATCGAAAGCGGGCCGCAATTGCGGTGTTTCGCGCCTGAATTCCAGATTATGTCCACCATGTCGCATCCTTGCAACCAGACAACGGCGCTCGCTTGGCTACAGGACACTCCGAGAGAATGACGACCCGCAGCACCGTGGTGGAGGATACTCAGGCGCTCCCATATAAGAGCAGGGGAGAGTCCCCCGCTTGTTTCGTTTCCTGGCCTTACCGCTCAGCCAACCCCGTCCAGCCAATATGAAATTCTCGCTTCTGTCCGCGCTCGTCGCCAACGCCCTGTCCGTCTCGGCAGGGACCATCCTCTGGGATGGCCGCTTCAACGACCTCACATCGTCAACCGACCTCAACAAGTGGTCGTGGGGAAACCAGGTTGGCCCGTATCGTATGTGGTTTCCACATCAGAGCACCTGGCTAGTTATTGTCACCCAGCATAACCGCATCGCTGACCTTGCCCAGAGTACTACATCCACGGTTCGTCCCCCGTGACGGCCTACGTCAACCTGTCGCCCGACTACAAGAATCCGGCCGACACGGGCTCCAGGCAGGGCGCCAAGATCACTCTCGACAACACGGCCTACTGGAACGGCCAAAACATGCGCCGCACTGAGCTGATTCCCCAGACCACGGCCGCCATCAACAAGGGCAAAGTCTACTACCACTTCTCACTCATGCGCAAGGACACCAACGCACCCGCTACCACCCGCGAGCACCAGATTGCCTTCTTCGAGAGCCACTTTACCGAGCTCAAGTCGGGCTGGTTGTCGGGCGCCCCCGGAGTCTCGGACACGAAGCTGCGCTGGTGCGTCAGCGGCAACACCCAGTGGAGCACCGAGTGGGAGGCCAACGTGTGGCACAACGTCGCCTACGAGATTGACTTTAACGCAAACACGGTCGGCTTCTGGCACTCGACCGGCAGTGAACCCCTGGCCCAGAAGGTCGCCCCTATCAGCGCAAGCACCAGCAGCAACGGCGCCGATTGGCACGTCGGCGTGCTTGAGCTGCCGCGCTCGGGGTACCCGGACACCACCGAGGACTATTACTGGTCTGGCGTCTACATTGAGAGCGGCAGCCTTACCACGTCGGTCGCTGGTCCTGGTGAGCCCTTGCCTAGGCATAGACGGTCTTGCAGGACGGTTTAGCTAATGCAACACAACAGGTTCGGGCCCCGGCGGCAGCTCCAGCAGCACTAGTAGCACGACCAAGACTGTCTCGTCGACAACCCTCAGCACGTCGACCACGACCACGACCAAGGCCCAGAGCACGTCGACGACCAGCACAGCTCCGTCCACCTCCACCCAGCCCAGCGGCTGCACTGCCTCGCACTGGTCCCAGTGCGACGGCATCAACTACACGGGCTGCAAGACGTGCGCTTCTGGGTTCACGTGCAAGTACATCAATGACTGGTTCTCGCAGTGCCTCTAAGGGGTGAGGGAAGAGGGATGAGGGTGGAGTGTTGACGATTGCTGTACATACCTCCCTTTCTTTGTCGATAGTTGTTGCATGCTTGGGATCTAACTATCCAAGCCCTTGATGGTAAATACACACAAAACGTTGGACAGTCAAGTTATTCTTTGGAACTAAAACTCGGACGCTATGGCTCCTGGAAGCAGATATGACGGCTTGATCAAGGCACTTTGAGGGACACCATCGGTCTGGGTTGTGGTTCCCGCCATGGCCCTGCCGCCTCCCACTGTATTGACCTATTCAAGCATGATTGCTCAGATAAGGTAGCCACTCATGTTGAGGATCAACTGAAGGATTGCTCATCGGCCAGCTCAAGATGTTGTGACGGAGTGGTTTGGAGATACGGCTACCCTTCCTTATCTCTACGCCATGTCCCGGTATCATGCACCTGTGATCACCTACGCCCTAACTCATTATGGCATGAGCTGGCGGGCATAAAATATCCAGGACTGGCATAGATTTCTAGCCGGGAGTGAGGGAGGGTGACGTGAAGAGAAAAATGAAGATTGGTCAGGTTGGCATCCACACTCCCTGCCTGCATCCCATCTGCCTGTCCAGAACCCTCCCAGTTCGATCCCAACCCAAGCCAACCCGCAAAGAGAAAAAGAGAAGGGAAAAAAAACTGCAGATAAAATAAAATATAATAAAATGAACGAAAAAACAAAAAGAAACCATGGAAAGGAAACAAGAAAGATCATTGAAAAAAGAAGGGAGGGGAAGAAGAGTCGCTCCTCCCCCGGCCCGAAGTAAAACTCTAGTCTTGGGCAAGGACCCAGGGGTTTCGTAGCCAGCTACGTCCCTGCTACAAGCCTGGGGGCTAGCTGGTGAGCTTTTTGCGAGTCTTACGTGCATCATTGTAAAGCATCTTTACAGTACCTTAGATATGCTGTCCATCGACATATAGTAGACTAATTAGGGGCAATGGTACCTTACCTGTATGTACCTTATATAGCCCCAGAGGCGGAGCGACAGCGCGGTCGCAATGGTACACTGATGCAATGGATAGGAAACCTAATTACGGTATATATTGTTATTCATACACCGCTGTGCCCTAGGGCGTGCCGGACCTTCAACAACTTACTATACAGGAAAACCGCGCCCTCGTGGGCCGGGTGAAAAACCCATATCGACAATCAAGGAAACGATCAGTGTGCGATCCTGCAAATACAAAGTGAGAAGGCCTCTTGGCCTTCGAAGGAAAGGGATATCAGACCGCGAGCTCCAGCTCCAGCCTCCTGGCCAGACTGTACATCGGCAGTTTCCCCGAGTCCATCAGCCAGTCCAGGATCCTCCCCGTTAGCCGTGCAGCTTTGGGACTGATTCCCTGTAGAACAGAATAAATGTCCCTTCGCGTTCTAACCTCGGCTCTCTCCCATCTTCGAGTCAACGGTGGGGCCAAGCACCACATCACAAGGTGTTCGACAGTCTCTCGCCCCTCTCCACACTCGCATATAGGCGTCAGAATCTCTGGGACTCTCCTTTCGAATAAGAAAGCCCGAAGGCCTATGGCCCCGGTTCGAATTTGGATCAACAGTGAACTCTTCGCTCTGCTGAGGCCGTCGTGTCTCCTTAGGGTTTTGTCTTGAAACAGAGTCTCATGCTGGTGGTCAAGGTCGTCTGCGGGCCTCGTTGCTGTCCGGCCGAGACTAAATATACGGAGAGCTGATGCGGGATAAACACGAGGTTAAGAAGTGAAAACAGCAACCGGGCTTCCCAGAATGCCACTCTCGCCACCAGCTCGAAGTCGAAGCTCCCAAATTCGCCAACCTTCTCAAAGCTCCTAGCGGCCTGATACATGCAGTCATTGGCGGAGTATCGAGATTGCGAAGGGAAGTCACAGCAGCTCAGACTTGACGACAAGACGGCGAGGAGTAAGAGCACGGAGTGGCTCATAATGATGCTCTTTCCGGAGTCGTCTGCGTTCCCGTCGAAGATTCAGGCATTGACGCATCTCGGTCGTGTCGTGCACGGATCACCTCTGCGGTTTTTGGAGAGTGAGTCGGCCCCAACGGCCCGTGGCCCCGGAATCTCACGCCCCTCCTGTGGTATTTTGATGAACCCTTCAAAGCTCTTCTAGATAGAAAAGATTACCTACTCACCGTGATTGTCGAATTTTCCTTTGAGCTTCGTCTTCCAGCTCACATAACTCGCCCCAGTGGACGGCCACTGCTTGGTGTCGCTCAGCCCAGAACTGCGAAAAGGGGATTCCATTGCCTGACTTATTTGCACCGATTGGAGTGCGGGATATTCCGTACGAGAAGAAGCCTCGAATACGCACGAGGGCATCGACTTGGAGAATTTTGAATTTTTGCAAGGGAGCACCATCACCAGTTGGCGTTCTAATCGAGGAGCTCGGAGGACCACCGTTTGTACTCGGTCAATTCATCCACGGGCTAAATAATGCAGGCAGGGGCAGGAGATGGCCTGCCGACTAGCCCAGCCAGCCGTGATTGGCTCAGTTACCTTCCGGCGAGGACGAATGATGCGAGGAGAGACGCTTGGGTGTGGGCTCGAGGAGGAGGAGAAGCTTAAGGGGGTTGAGGGTTGTGGTGATGGTGATGATGATGGTAGTGGTGGTGGGGAGGGGAGAAGGAAGCCGAATCTTGCGGAGGCGGACAATGGGGGGTGTTTAGTGCTGGTGTATTGGAGGGAGAAGGGACTGTGTTCAGGAGGTATTACATGAAGTGACAATGGACCCGGAGCCATGTGTGAAGTTATCTTGGGGCACGTGAGCTAATTACAATGCCTCTGTGTTCGTCCGTGCGACGAAGTTCAATTAATTGGGAATTTTCCAGGCTTTAGCCATGGGAACATCAACACTCTTGATAACCGGTGGTCAGACTACCAGTCAGTTCCCCTTAGACTCTCTCGACACCTCTTCAGCCTTGACGAGAAGCGGAATGATAGCCCCTTCACTGACACGAAAGTGGGGTGCTCCCACGACTTCTAGAACTGCCGAGATGGCATATGAGTGAGTCGTGAGCGAGACGAACGTAGATTTGTCATTGGCGAATATGTCCTCCAGGAGTCGCCGTTTTCTTGCAACGTGTTCATCGTTCGTTTCGTATCGGTCCTTCTTCCATAACGTGTCCATCATTTCGAATCCTCGGTCGAGAACGTATTCAGGATACGTTTTTGCAATCCAGGATCGACTGCTTCGCTTGTCGCAAGTGTGGTTCGTAAGCCGCTCCCTCAGCAGCTCCTTAACTACCGGCCGAAGACTTCGCCCATGCTTGGCCATGACTGGCTCGTAAACGAGCTTAGTCGTTTCGAGACAGCGAGCTAGAGGACTGGTGTAGAGCGTTTCCGGCAAAGGCACGCCCAAGACGTCCCACTCGACCCACAGGTTTCCGAGATGGCGGGCGAGACTGCTGCCGTCTTCTGTGAGCTTGGCGTCGACCCAAGTCATTTCACCATCCGCTTCAAGATGAGACCAGTAGCTCTGCAGGAATAAGAACAGTCAGACGCACAGGGCCCGTGGATTGCCTACAGCTGCAGGCATATCAAAGGGGCGAAGGGGTGCAGTACATACGTTCCAAGCTTCTCGTCCCACTTTTGCCATGATGATATTGTGCACACTTAGACCATGGCGCAGGAGGAACAGCAACTTGTAGCACACGCCGTCAGGGCTGTTCCTGTTCAGCCACTCCACTTGCCTGCGAAACCGGGGCCAAGGGGCTTCTCCAGCCAGATGCGCCCCAGGAACGTCATTACTGTTGTAAGTCTTGTCCAACAGGCCAAGGTTGAGCTGGGTTGTGAGCTTGGAATCCGGACACGCCTTGGCCGCCTCGACAGTGTCCACAAAGTAGTCGGGGACATAGGAAAACCGGTATCGGGGCATTGCTGGAGGCATTTGCCGCGTGCAAACTCGACAGCGGACTGAAGGCGGTGGCACACCACTCTACATGCGGGACGAGAATGATTCCTGTCTGTCAAAACCCGATTGCTGCCTGACGCGGCTCTTGTCATCCAATAGGAAGGGACATACTGTACATAAGGTAAGCGAGGCTCTCTGCGCCACTGGCTTTCAGGCCACCGCCCTTCGTCACAACATCGGCGTTGCTCGCGTTTCCACCCGTCCTCCCACTTCAGGAGATGGCAATAGCCGGGAAGGCAGCGGTCTATCAGAGCGACGATCTGCGCCTTGGCCGTCGACAGATACGGCTGCTCTCCATCTCGACCAGTCCGTCGCCGAGCAACGACATTCCCATCGCATGCAGCCTTGATGTCGTGGATTTAGACTGCATATCAGAATTCTACGCGCTGTCATACACTTGGGGCGCGCCGACCGAATATGGCCCACTCAGCACACTGAGCAGCCGTTCGGACTGTCCCATCCTCTGCAACGGCCAGGTGCTATGTGTAACCGCAAACCTCCACAGCTTCCTCCTCCGGGCCCGCCAGTTGCCTGGCCTCGCCCTTCGAAAGTTCTGGATAGATGCCGTATGCGTCAACCAGCGGGACAAGAGAGAGCGAAGCGAGCAGGTCATGCTCATGGCGGACATTTACCGCACAGCCACTGTGGTCGTCTCCTGGCTTGGCGAACAGGACCGTCATACCGAGCCGGGGTTTACATTGCTCGCGGAGCTCAAAGAGGTCTCGGACTACGCGCCGCATCTTCTTAACTATCTCTCCAAGCTATCGCCCGACTCCCATGAGTATGGCGACGACGAGCGGATGGCACTCTTCTCTTGCCGGCAGTTGTGGGTCTCTGTTGCCCACGTTTTCCAGCGGACCTACTTCTCCCGAGCCTGGATCATCCAAGAAGTGGTACTGTCAAGGACTGTCAAGGTCCTCTGCGGGTTGTACGAGCTCGACTGGTCCGTCATTGCCGAGGCATCTCACTTCTTCTCGACCTCGGGTTGGGCGCGACATCTCACCTCCCTCTTCATCGAGTCTGCCAAGCAGGCGCTTCCATGGCAGCAACTCAGCCCCGACGAGCACGCAAACCTTAGATTCCGCTACCAGTCCCCGACAACGCTCCGGTCGACGGCCAAGGAATACAAGAAGAGGAAGCAGCAGGGATATCAGCACCAAAACCGCGCCGATTGGGCCAGGACCCTCGTCTGCAACCTCATCCGGGCTCGCAGCTTCAAGGCCACGGACCCGCGCGACAAGGTGTACGCCTTGCTCGGCCTCGTCCACGAATACGCGCACGACAAGCCCGGCCTGGCCCCGGCGTACGAGCTCTCCGGGGCGCAGGCCCCGGCTGCCGCCTTCACCCGAGCCGCCATCCAGATCCTTGAGGACGGCGACGGCGACCTCCTGCTCCTGTCGTGCGTCGAGGGCGAAAAGTACCAGCAACAAGCCACGGGGCGTCTCCCCTCGTGGGTGCCCGACTGGTCGGCTGAGGCGCCCACGGGCTTGCGCGTGACCGGTTACGGCCGGTACTCGGCCTCGGGCGGCCTGAAGCAGCGCCCGATCGTGGAGCGCGAGAGCCTTACCCTGGGCTTGGTGGGGCTCCGACTGGACCGCGTCACCATGGTGGGCGAGACCAAGCTGGAGGTCTTGCGCGGCGAGCCGTTCCCCGGATGGCTCGAGATAGTCGAGTCGCTCGACACCTTCTACGGCCGGAAGGGCGCCGAACAGCACAAACTCGAAGCCTTTTGGCGGACCCTCATCGTGAACACGGCGGGGTACCCGCCCCGGCTCGTCCCGGACGGTGAGTGCTTGGGCGCGTCCTTCGGCAAATGGTTCCGCGAAACCACTTGCCGTGTCGACGTAGACCGTAACCCGGACGGCCAAGACGGGAACCACAAATGGCACGCCCTGGCGGATCGGTTCCGGCAGTCGTTGAACGACCTATGGGACGCGCAAAGCTGCAGTGCGGCGAGCATGAGCGAGTTTGTGACGCCCTTCTCGTTGAGTCAGCACCTGCGGCTGTTTAGGACGGCCGAGGGATACCTCGGGATCGGGTCCGAGTGTGTTGAAGTCGGGGACTCGGTCTGGATCGTTCCCGGTTCCTGCGTGCCGTTGCTGTTGAGAGGAGTGCAACACCTTGAACTTGAGCAAGGGCAGTCCTCGAGAGATAATAGGCACCGACTGGTCGGCGGGGCATACGTCCATGGTGTCATGGAAGGCGAAGCTGTGTCTCCGTCGGCCAGCGGAATGACTACCGAAGGGATCCAGAACTTAATGGAAACGTTTACGCTTGAATAGGGTAAGAGAGCGACCAGCCACATTGCTGCTGCCACAACCATACTTCGCGATCAATATGCCATGTTGACAAGCACTTGAGATGGGTAATCCATCTATCTCCCGTTTTACTGGGCCCCAAGCAGCAATTATCAAGTGGCCGAAGGTAGTGCAAAGAATGTGGAGGCATACAGAGCATGATGTCTTGTCCTGTCAGTGGAGCCATAACTCGAGTGGTGATGTTGGACAGCCAACAGCCACGAATTTATCGTACCGCAGTAATTGGGCACTAAAAGATAGACAGCAACTCGATTGTTGATGATTTCTGTCTCTCTTATCCCAAAGAACCGTTGCAGGCATTTCCTTGATCCTGAGAATCCTGGTGCTAAGCCACTAGTTATCCTAGACCTGCCCTTCTGACCACCTGCCAAATTCAATAGGTGGTTCTCTAACATATGTTAACTATAGTTAAACGAGCCGATTATACAGATCCGTATAAGCGAGTAGATTAAATTTTCCCTGCCTTGGTTAACTTACTGCTGTCAGATTGACTTAGACCAGATCGTCCACCACTACAACCATGACCGGTTGGGAAAGTCAAATCCATCATCTTGGCTCAGCCCTGGGGCCATATTGGAGTCTGGGCTCGACTGGACCACATGATGTAAGCTGACTTGGACGGATCGAGCGCCAGGCTAATGCAGGCAACGACACAAGGAAATTAAAAAAAAAAAGGGGTCAAACTGGTTGCTTGGAAATTTCTCAATGGCACGCTGCAAACCGAGATCTGGCAGTCCCTGCATCAACGCTTGTCGAGTCCACCATGTTTACTGGGACGACCTTTGAGCACTCAGACGCCGTTCTGGGCGGGTGTGAGGAGTGTCCTGGTCAAGTCGCGGGAATTCAGGGCTGTAGACAGACACTCGCTTCTTTCCGTCGACATGAGGTTCTTTTTTTCACTCAGTGCCCTGTTGCTGGCCTTGTTTTCCGCTTCTCAAGTCAATGCCGAGAGCGAACACGCACATGCTGCCGAGCGCGTCTTTGCCTACTTGCTCTATCGCCTCGAGGCCATGGCTTATCCAAATCTGCCCTTCAACTCCAAGAAAATCTGGGTTGCGACCGACTGCGTCAGGGGCAAAGCTCGGCGGTGCAGCTTCAACGAGGTAAGTCATCGTCATCTAAAGCTTGTTGCGACTGCTATCCCCTGGTTCACTGGCTGATACGCTCTCTCCACGCGACCAGTCCATGACCTGGATTAGCAAAGGCGATAGATCCGGCACGCCAGGCTACTACGAGCTGTCGACTCACAACCTCAGTCCTACCGCCTCCCCCGCAGAGTTGAAGACGGTCATCAACACTCTGACCACCAGGCAAGACCTGCGGGACCTAGTCAAGGACGACTTCTGCGTCGCAAACGTCATTGGGGAAGTTGGAGGGTTCAAAGGGAACGGGTATGCCAAGCTCTATTCTCAAAAGTACGACCAGTTTTCCCTCTACGTCAAGGAGGCCATGGACGAGCTGCCCGAGGGCGATAACAAGGAGGCGGCCAAGAAGGTGTACGGCACTTCCAGGGAGCTGTCGGCCCAGATCATCACGCTGCGGCGCGGGGCCACGTCGGCGAAGCTGTACGAGGAGCTCAAGGGAGTGTTCCCTGAGACGCATCCGAGCAACTATTACAATTACGTCGAGAATGGCGTCACCAAGAGGCGGGATCCCATCAAGTGGGTGACAGTCCAAAAGACATGGGGCACGCACTCCTGGCGCGAGGTGGACCTGGCCGCCACCAAGCAGGCAAACTTGGCGACGCGGACGGCCATCGAAACCGACATCGACAAGCGCATCCAGATGTTCCATGCCGACAACCCCAGGCTGATTACATGGAACCCTACTTACCAGAGGTCCAACCAGAACCACCAGGCGGTTATTGACCACATGAATGAAATGCGCAAGCAGGGCGGTTGGAGCGACTGCTGATGGGCCCTGAGGCACTTATATACATTACACTAGCTTAGGCTACCGACCGTGGGTGAAATATTCTTAACGGGAGGAAAAGAATTGCCAAGAGAGAAAGGAGTTGGCCTGGAAAAGGAGCGCTAGCAGGGCATTTGCTTTACGTCCCTTAGTAATCACAGTCGGGTTTTTGAAGTCCCTTTTAGTTATACTGTCCGTGGTCGACAACCGGATACCTGGAGCCCTGGCCAACATCTTGTCTGTCGTCGGCAGCTGCGTTTCGCCTGTCCAGCGAGGACGTTTCAAAAGCAACATGCACCCTTCTCTTCCGTCTTCGCTTTTCTACCAAACCTCCCAGCTCGCCAATCTTCCCTGCCCTCCGGCTCGCTCTCACCGCATCTCATTAGCTGGAGAAACCAGTGCGCAAATTAACAGCAGAGACGCATGCCAAAGACAAAGAGTCTGAAATAAGGGCAAGGGGTGCACGCACTGACGACACCTTGAAGCAGGGCAGCAAAGGTATATTTCATTATTGAACACAAAGGTCATTGCTAAGAGTACTAACCCTAGCTCACTCAAAGTCAGCCCTTTCTTCTTTTCCCAGCATGGCGGGACCAAAGAAAGGAGAGCGCCCAGACATGGATGCCAAAAAAGAGATGGACCGCGTGCAGCACAAGGCCAACACGCTTCCCCATCTCGCCGAGGGCACTCTCGGGACGTGTGCTCTCACATCGACAGGACGTGCAGCCGAATGTGGCTCCTTCAAAGCGGTTACGGCAGCAAATGCGCGACATGGACACGACGGGGTAATCTGTTGGTCCAGCTGTACACCCGTTATCTCTCTGACAGGGTGATTGCGACGGAAAAGAACCAGGCTTCGGATGGCCAGGGTGCTAGGAGCTGGGAGATTCTCCTCCCCAACCTTGTGACGTCTGTCTCGCGCGGCGAGGCAGCTGCAGACGGTGGCCCCGTGACCAAGATCAAGTACTTCAAGCCTTGCGAGAGGGATGACCGGCACAGTGCCACCTTCTGCCAGGCGCCCACCGAGAGCTTCTCATGTGAGCGTGTACGTGCCCCTGACATTGGCGCCAGATTGCACCCCCGTTCGCGGCGTCGCTTTATTGGCAAGTGCGCCGACAGCAGGTTAGGGCCGGGCGAGTGCTCTCGCACCATGCTTGTCTTTGCCGCGGGAGTGTGCACGCGTGAGGGCGTACAACCTCACGGCGGCATCGGCATCGTGACCAAGGACACGGTAGTGAGTGACTTTCTCCATATCATTATTTGCGTGTGACAGGAGTCATCCACTGTCATTGAGTGATGAGTCTGCTTTGCTCCCAACCCTTCCCAAAAGCAACAAAAGACCAGGAAAACCACAAAAGCCCAGGAAATATCGCTGACCTGTGGCAGCACTTCCACGAAGCCAAAGTCCAGGAGCGCCTCCTAGCCGCCGCGGACAGGCTGTACGCTAACCCGAACAAGAAGCCCACCGACGAGATGCGCAAGATGGACATTTTCCAGTCGGGCCTCGACAAGCCCGCTCGCGGCCATAGCCGCGAACTTGTACCCGGCGGGAACGGAGAACTCGCCTGCCTGTATGCCTCCGTACTCTCTTCTTGGGGGATTATACGCCTTCTCACTGGAGCGCCGCGGACTTGACGTCAATCCGGACAGGTTTGGCGTCGTCGAGTCGCGGTATCAGCCATCGTGGAAGACGGTAGGCGACAAAACCATCAACGAGGAGCTCTATGGCACGTGGCTCAAGCCGCATGCCACGGTGGAGGCGGGCCGGAAGATGATGTCGATGGAAGTCGGCGGCGAGGCAACGGTCGCGGCTGGGGCAAAGGAGGTGGCCGAGGAGGTGGGGAAGACGGCGGGCGAGAAGAAAGTAGCCAAGGGCGAGGACGACGATGAACAGACCTGCGAGGCAGATATAACTTCGGACTCCCGTGGTTGAGGTTAGCAAGCAAAGCGACATTTTGCCGACAACCGCCCGACCACCATAGGGCAGGCAGGCGAGCCTGCCGCTCAAAAGAAACGGGCACTGCCCCAGCCAGTGAAACCATCAAGCCCACCCTCAAATCAACAGCAGCACCACCCCTGCTTCAACCGCCAGTGCCAGTCTTGCCACCAAGGGCTACAAGCTCATCACCGCTGTATCAACCACGCAGGCAGGCCAGATCCCTACCAGCACCCCCACTTTCAGCCAATACAAGGCGCCCACCGACTCAACGACCCCGACGGGAAAGAACAACAACAACGCTTAGGGCGCTCTCCTCGCCGCCGCCCAGTTCACAGCCTTCGACTCTGGCCCTGCACGCGGCTGATCATCGCCACGCAGTCTGACCACCCAATCGACATGGCAACCCACCGACTGCGATCCCTCCTCGAGCGCAGAGGCGGCCGCCCGCCCTTCCGCAGCGCCCCGGGCAACCCGGTCGAGGACGAAGACATCTGGTGAAAGCTTTTGCGGGCGCCGTGAAAGATCTTGCTTATCAGGGCGTTGAGGTGGCGGTTATGATGTGTAAAGAGCATGAGGGGGTTTATCTGTCTCTTGGGGAGTGGAGTCCTAAAGAAGGGGAGAAGTTTCTCTATGGAATGACGCAGACTGTGAATGGTGCGCAGGATGCGGTTGTCAGGGAGGTGTCAGATGGAGATTAAGAATGGGGTGAGGAAGAAGAAGAAGGAGATGAAGAAGAAGGAGATGAAGAAGAAAAAGAAGAAGGTGGATGAGGTAGAGCGGTGGATGGGCATGTTTGTGTAAATTTCTCGTTTCGGTCGGAGAAGATGGCTGGATGCCTGGACTTCTGATCGTGCTCTCATCTACCTTAGTTTTGATGGCAAACCCCGAGGAAAACCCATCTTTGACGCAGGCCGAGGCGGTCTCCGCACACAAAAGGGTCGCTTAGGGCTTGGAGATGGCACTGAACATAACAAGTATGGTCCAGTCCGTATGCGGAGTAGATAGACATGTTGGGAACAACGTGTGTGTACCTCGCATGAGAAAGCCTGCTAAGCGCGGCTAGAGACGGCAGCACACGTTGAGGTTGGTGGTATCCGCGGAGGAAATCATGTGAGGGTCATGAGAGAATGGGGTCATCCTGGATGCGGGATAGACAGGGTCAATCGGGTATATAGGATGCTTAGAGACTAGTGAGAACCCAGGAGACGCTACCTATCATGGGAACCATCCTGGAGCTCTGATATGGGAAATACCGGACAACCCCCAGTTCTTAAAAGAGTCGTTCTTCATAAAGCCTCAGGTAGACTTGCCAAGCGCGTAGGCAGTAAACTCCTGCTTCTCCAGCCACTGCAATGCTACGCGTTGCAGAGCCTTCTTGGAGACCTTGCCTGTCTCCGCTGTTCTTGGCCAGCCCTCCATTCCAAGCTGTTCGAGGCTCGAGATGCCGGCAAGGCCGTAGATAGTACCCATTGCGTTGACACAGTGTTCTGCAATATCGGCCTCGGTGACGCCTTCGGGAAGCCGTTCCAGGATGGCAAAAGGCACATCGTTGAGCATGGTAGTCGAGATCCCGACGACTTGTGCCTGGTATACATGCCGTTAGCATTTCTACTTGATTCCCATCGTCTGCACCTTCTGGATAACCGTTACTGACCTGAACCCCAAACCGTGTACTGATGGAGGACTCAAGCGCAAACGGATGGAACACGCCATGCTCCTCGCCCGCGATACTCCTAACGCGGTCTTTAAGCCGGCCCACGACGTACCAGTACCCTTCTTCATCGACCATCGCAATATCACCCGTCCTAAACCACCGCCCAGCCTCGTCCTCGTAGAACCGATCGGCCTCGACTCCACCCCAATACCGCTCAATAAACACGTCCCCGCCGGCATGCAACTCGCCTTGCCGGCCGCGCTCGACGACCTCGCCGTTCTTGTCTACTATCCGCGCCCGAAACCCAGGTAGCAACGCCCCCGACGAGACAATCCCCTGATAGCTCGGCAAGGGGCTCGGAGCCCCCTCAGGCCAACCAAACAGCGTTCCTCCCTCCGTCATGCCATACCCCGGAATAACCACGGCATTTTCAAACATCTTTTGCACCTCGGCCAAAAAGCCCTCGGTAACAATCTCCCCGATGACCGTTACCAACCGCACCGACCGGAACCTCTCCGGCTTGGCTTCCCCATGCTGGAGTAGCATACTCGCGTAATACCGCACCATCACAGCCCAGGTGACGCGGCACGTCTCGATGGCGCGGATCACGTCGGCGCATGAGAACCAGCGGGGGCCTGCTACCACGGCAGTGCCGCCGCCGGACGCGGCGTTGTAGGGAAGCGAGATTGCCGTGGCCCCGAAGCTGCCGCTGAGGGCGATGCCGACGAGCTGGGGAGCGAGGGGGTTGCGGCTGATTGGTGCGAGAAGGGCGGCTATGGCGGAGAGGCTTTTGACGGTTTGGGGGACGCCTGTATACATGTGCCAATGTCAGTGTCTGATTCTCTTCTGGGGTGGCTGTTTAGCAACCTGGAGAGGTGCCTTAAAACCACAAAAACAGTCAGCAGTAGCACTTACACTTCATCGGCCCCGTCGTACCGCTCGTAAACAGCGCATGAGCCGGCCGATCCAGTCGATCATTCACCGCCGCCGGATCCACAGTGCTCTCGCCCTCCGTGAACTCCATGTCCGCAATCTCCGCCATACTCAACCACCCCTCCCTCTTCTCTCCCTTCAGCACACCTAGGCAAATCCCAAGAAACTGCCCTTGCTGCTTATGCTTCATCCTCATCTCATCCACAACGCCCACCCCCTCCTCATCCACCACTACCACCACCGCCGGCCCAAACGTCTCAAAATAATACCCCACCTTCTCCTCCTGCAGCAACTCCTCCGGACTCCGCGTGATGATCATCGACCGTGCCGCCGCGGCCGCCCACAGAAACAGAACCGACTCCGCACTCTGTGGAATAAAGGTCGCGATGGTCGACTCGGGCGGCACATCGTGACGCTTCAGGACGGTCGCGAGGCGGGCGGCGCCGCGGCTGAGTTGGGCGTAGGACCAGGTGAGCAGCTGGTCGGGGCCGAGGGAGGCGGGGGTTTGGATGGGCTGAGGCCCCGGATGCGGCCCGACCAGTCGAGAGAGATGGGTAGGGGGCTGTTGCATGGAGATGAGGGCGGCGCCGTTGGGGTTGGTGGAGAGGCCTGTTTGGAGGAAGGACCAGATGGAGGGGCTGAGGGGGGGTGGAGGACCGCTCAAGACTTGCGAGGGGGGTTTGGGGGCGTCCATGTTTGTTTGCTTGGGGATAGGCTAGTAAGTGGATAATGATGTTGTTGCCAGTTCAAGTGATGAGACTAGGGATTTGAGGGTATTTCAGGGACAACACTATAAGTGCAGACAGTCTCGCTCCTCGTTGATGTTCATGTTAGCCACGTCACGGGCTGTCGTGGAACGTGTTACCGACTCGGGCATGCCTTGAGGCTGATCCATTCGGACTTCGGAGTCTTTTCGTGGTATTACCTACTCAGTAGAAACTGAGACAGGTGGGTTTGGATACGGAAAGTTCATATCGCTTAGCCTGCAGCTAGGTGAGTGCGTTACACGGCGTAGTGGTTTTAGACATCGCCTTGTCCGGATCCGAGGTGCTCTTTTCCAACCGTCTCCCTTGATTTTTGTTCATCAAGCCGCGAAGGGGTATTCAAAAAAGGCTGAGATGCGAGGGTATAATGGGAATGGACATGACAAGCTCCGCTGAAGGCATGCAGAACAGGGGCTCCAAGCGTTTTCTGGATCTTCACGTCCTCCTTTGTCTTAATTGGCCGCTCTGCGTACTTACGTTCACCCAAACAAGGCCACCGAATCTCCTCGCCGATCAGCTACCAACTTAGTACCCACAGCCGCCAGGAGGGGATGCAGCAAAGTCTCACATGCCCCCACCGTTAAATAGATGCAAACTGATTGGGCATCGGGTCACCAAAACAGTGTATGTTTAAGATATAGTACTCCGTAGCATGTGTTGGAAGTCTAACAGCCACGTAGACACGGTACCACACTAATTGAAGTGCTTACAGAGGTTGATTTGCAGCTCGTGGGAGCTGCAGTATCCCATTCTGTCTGGGTTGTGGGGTGTTGCTCGGTGACCTCGGAGTCGGTGCATGTGCCAAATGGCAGATTTGGGATCTTGAAGGGGAGCGGTTGCTGTCGGAACGAAGCCGCCTTGATGGCTGCATTCAACGGACCTCGGTGGTTGATTGGTGCCAGCACCGCAACCCTTCTTCCTTACCTCAGGTACTTACTCTTCTCCCATGCCGATCAACAACAGCACAGACAATCAAGCACTTTTACCACCTTTCAATTCAACCACTGCTTTGACGGGGAACAGCTTCTTCCAGCGCATATCTCAGCGGTCATTGCCCTGCGGGTTCCAACAGTTGCAAGTATTCAAATGCGTCAACAGAGCGATGTGTTTCTGAGGAGCACGCATGGTCCCTGCGACGAGAAGCCCTTTGGGTAGGGAGCCATGTCGCCTCCGTTGACCCCCCTATTAGCTAGGACTTACCGGGCTTTGCTTCCTTACTACCGGAGAGCCAAAGACAAAAGGCGGTGAGCGGTCACTATTGTGTGGGAGGCCCTCAGATCGACGCTGGGGCTTTCCGAGACGAACATGCAGGATTGTGATCCAGACGCGGGATGCTGATCTTGCCTAATGAGATAATTATTATTATTCCTACACCGCTGTGCCCTTGGGCTTGCCGGACCTTCAACAACTTGCTATACAGGAAAACCGCGCCCTCGTGGGCCGGGTGAAAAACCCATATAATGAGATAATTAGAAATTTGAGATGTTGTATATCATCTAGCTACTAGCTGGACACGAGTGTCGTCGCCGGGCCCGTCTCAATGTTTCAGGGTGCTCTTTTGTACTCTCCATGTCTCTCGTAATTGCAGTCGTACCGATGAATTCAATACTGTACTTCGAGGAGATAGATGCCCTTCCAAAACAGACCATAATTATTGCTCGGTTACCACCCGGAGGCCAAATTCACCAGGGATTCCCCACCGATGTTATGCCTTATCTACAAGCCGCCTGATCGCATCGCAGATCAGTTCGATAGTGTCGGCATCTCGCGGGACGTTATGACTCTTCCCATGATCCAACAACTCGGCCGTGTCTTCATCACACATGTTGTACAGCGACATAGCGCCAGCAAGGTAGGGGTCATTGCAGCCCATCACATGTAGGGTGGGTATGTCAACCATGTCCTCCGTCTCGCCCGCCAGGAGCACGCTCGTCCCCCCGCCTTCGCATTCGCACAAGGGAGGCCACCCCGATAGGAAGATTGCACACTTGTTGGGGAGAAGGATTAGTCGAGGTACGAATTGGCACAGCTCATGTGACTCATCTGATGTACTTTGATCCGTCTAGGCCGGCCGTCTCGCACCGCTCTTCGACCATCCTCCAGCACCAAGGTCGCGCCTATCGTCGCGCCTTCGGAGTAGGCTAGGAGACCCTGATGGGATATCAGGACTGGCACAGAACGTCTACGAGATGGTGAGAGCACATGGACACGTACCTGAATGTCTGGGTCGGCTTCCATGGTCTGAAACACGCAGTTTATCGCATCCTCGACATGGGCCCAAGGACAACGGTCTGCCTTGTTTGCAAGAAGTCTAATCGTGTCTTCATGACCCTCGCCCATTGGGAAGTTGCGCATATCTTTGTGCAGACCATCAAAGTCAATAAAGCGGTAGAGAGGGGGAAGGCCAAAGAATCGCTCAAAACCCGGGGGTGGAGTGGCCTTGTGCTGCCCCTGCGTGAAGGTGAATTGGGCAATGCCATGTTTCTCGAGTCGGGAAACGAGGGGCTGGAGCTGAATTTCAAATTTCTGAACGCAAGCAGGATTAGTTCCGCAAGAGAACCGGAAAAAAGGAAAGGATTACTCACCACGGCACTGCCAAAGGCACCTGGAAGGCAAAGGAACTTCATGATGATTTGGCCGCCGAGAAAGCTCTCGGTCTTTGCTTCGATAGAAACCACTCACACAGGACCAGTCAGTGCAGCGAAGCCCGTTCGGGTCTTCAGGTGGGATGAATAGTTATGAAACGGATTTATAAGCATCATTAAGTTCTGTCAGGCTCTGTTTTGGAGATAGATATGGTGTAAGGACTTTGCTACCGGTCGCTGTGACGGCTTCCTGCAGATCGGCGCAAGTGATTCAGCCTCCCAACAAATCACTCGAGTTTGAGCACTTGGATCATCTGCCATTGATCTGGTCCAGCCTCCTTTTAGGTACGAGTAGGCATTGCGTAATTAGTAACTCATCTCGGGAGATAACGATTGGAAGACCATGGCGGTAATATCCCACGGCGCTTGCCTTGTCACCATTTTGTCGTCGAGTTCGGTCCGAATGTCGATATTGTTGTCTCTGACTTACAAGATGGACAGACATTCACCAATGAAGATGGTGGTCAACCTTGTCTCCGTCCCCTTTGTTCGACACATACAGACATCCGCCAACGCAATTGGTGACTTATCTCGGGAGATAATGATTGGAAGACCGCGGCGGTGAATCCCACGGCGCTTGCCTCGTCACCATTTTGTCGTTGAGTTCGGTCCGAATGTTGATCTTCATGTCTCTGACTTACAAAGATGGACAGACATTCACCAATGAAGATGGTGGTCAATCTTGTCTCCATCCCCTTTGTTCGACACATACAGACATCCGCCAACGACGATGGTGTTGACAGGACCCAGTGCGAGTCAGAATGATCAATCCAAGCGCCCGCTCGACTGTTAAGAAAGACATATGATCTCGCCGTCTTCTACATGGCCGAAGCATCCGCTGTCTTTGTTTGCGTTGACTACCCTATCCTTCGTTTTCCTGGAAGTGGCATCAACGACCTGCCTGCTTACATATCATGGGGCTCGCGGAGAAATACTCGATGGACGGGCAGGAGCCCCGGCTTCCACCCATAGCCATCATTGGCATGTCATGCCGTCTTCCTGGAAACGTCTCCACCGTCGAAGACTTCTGGCAGATGATGTCGAGAGCACAGTGTGGGTGGTCGGAGATTCCCGGAGAGCGCTTCAACACCGAGGCCTATCACCATCCCAACCCAGCAAAGAAGGGGTGCTTTAACGCGAAAGGCGGGTATTTCTTGTCACAGGACCCGGCCCTTTTCGATGCACCATTCTTCAATCTGACGAGGCCAGAGGCCGAAGCCATGGGTATGTCCGGTCCAGGTGCCGCCTGGCTAGTGACCTCAGCAGCAACAAATTAATATTTCATGGTGCCACAGATCCCCAACAGAGGTTGCTGCTCGAGTCCACTTATGAGGCCCTTGAGAACGCCGGGATTCCCAAGGAGTCACTGATTGGCCGAAAGGTGGGCGTCTTCGTGGGAGGCGCAGCATCTGATTATGGGCTCGGCACTCTCCGTGACCTTGACAACACGCCCATGTTTGATGCCACAGGGTATGCTTGATCAGAGAGCCAATACTCCAAACCTGTCGTCCCTTGGCTAACATGAGGTGCAGAAACCACCAATCTATCCTAGCTGGGAGAATTTCGCATTTCTTTGACCTCCGAGGACCCAGCGTCTCCGTGGACACGGCTTGTTCATCCAGCCTTCACGCTCTGCATCAAGCCGTCCAGAGCATCCGCAACGGCGAGTCAGAGCAGGCAATCGTGGCATCATGTCACCTCAACCTGCAGCCTGGCAACTGGGTCTCCATGAGCTTGAGCCGCCTGTTCTCCGACGAAGGCCGCACCTACAGCTTTGACAGCCGCGCCAAGTCAGGCTTCGCGCGTGGAGAAGGGGCCGGGTGCTTGATCCTCAAGCCGCTGGAGCAGGCCATCCAGGATAACGACAGCGTTCGATCCGTGATTGTAAACACGGGGACGAACCAGGACGGGAGGACGATTGGTTAGTCACTTAGCTACGCGTATAGGTCGCCCTTATCCTTGTCACGCTAATGCTGTCGACCCTTAGGCTTGACGTCACCCAACCGCGAGGCACAGGAACAGCTGATGTGCGAGGTGTATACCCGTGCTGGCATCGATCCGGAAGACGCCGGCTTCGTCGAGGCCCATGGCACAGGCACCAAAGTGGGAGACCCCATCGAGGCGACCGCCATCTACAACGTCTTTGGGAAAGGCCGGACACCCAAACAGCCCTTGTACCTTGGTTCGGTGAAGAGCAATATCGGCCACCTCGAAAGTGCCAGCGGCATTATTTCGGTCATCAAGAGTAGCCTCATGCTCGAGAAGGGATTCATTCTACCCAACATCAATTTCGAGACTCCCAACGAGCAGATCCCGATGGCGAAGTGGAATATCAAGGTCAGTATACTCGATCTCACACAGACGGCAGCTCCATGTCCGACCTCGGAATCGGGTAGGGTTACTGACACGGCTTCGACCTGCTTTAGGTGCCAACGAGCCAGAGGCCGTGGCCGATGAAGAAGAAATACATCAGCTGCAATAACTTCGGGTTCGGCGGGTCGTAGGTCTACTCCTCGACCCCTCGCCGATCACAAAGCGACCACTAACTCATTCGCAGCAATGCCCACTGCGTCCTAGCGAGGCCGACCCGTCTGCTTGTCAAGCCCCAGAGCGTCGAGGCGGCGGACGACGCTGCGCAGCGGCAAAGGCTCTTCGTTGTCTCTGCGAACGACGAGGCAGCGGCTACCAAGTCGATGAACCAGCTCATCATCTTCATCGAGCAGCACCCGGAAGTCTACCAGCAGAGACTCATCTGCGACGTCGCATACACGCTCGGCCAGCGACGATCCCACCTCCCGTGGCGTATCGGCGTCGTGGCATCGTCCTTGGGCGACCTCGCTAAGAGCCTCAGCGCAGGCGATGTCAAGCCGAGCCGCGCGTCGGTGCCGCCGAGCGTGGCCTTCGTGTACACGGGTCAAGGCGCGCAGTGGCACGCTATGGGACGCGAGCTTAACAAGTCACACCCCGTATTCGCCAATGTCCTGCAAGCCGCGGACGCTTGCCTGCGGGAGCTTGGCGCCGACTTCTCCCTCGTTAATGAGCTGGACAAGGCCAAGGACGCAAGCCGCGTGAGTCAAGTCCATATCAGCCAGCCGGCGTGCACCGCGGTGCAGCTGGCGCTGACTGCGCTGTTGAGGTCATGGGGCATACGTCCCGTGTCCGTGACGGGCCACTCGAGCGGAGAGATTGCGGCGGCCTATGCAGCCGGTGCGCTATCTCTAGAGACCGCCATGGCCGTTGCCTACTTCCGCGGCCAAGCTGTCCTGCGCCTACGCGAGAAGCACGCGGACCTCCGAGGCGCCATGCTGGCCGTCGGTACCGGCGCGGACGAGATTGCGCCGACGGTCAAGCTGCTGCAGACCGGCACGGCCGTCGTTGCCTGCGAGAACTCGCCGCGCTCCGTCACCGTCTCGGGCGACGAGTCAGCCGTCGAGGAGCTCGCTGCTCAAGCGGAGCGCATGCGGCTCTTCCACCGCAAGCTCCGCGTCGACGTCGCGTATCACTCGCCGCACATGAAGCTCGTGGCCGGACAGTACCGGGATTTTATCCAGGACGCTAGGTCAGTCGCTGGAGAGGGCGTGAGATTCTTCTCGTCCTTGCATGGCCGCGAAGTGCGGGACGTCACCACCCTCAACGCCTCTTATTGGGTCGACAACCTTGTCTGCCCCGTCCGTTTCTCGACGGCCTTGCGCGAACTCTGCTCCGCGGCGGAGGCACCGGACGTCATTGTCGAGGTTGGACCCCACGCCGCACTCGAAGGTCCCATCAAGCAGACCCTCCAGGCCATGTCCGACCTCCCTTCCCCTCCTCGATACCTTCCCACCCTTGTCCGCGACAAAGACGCCACGACGACAATGCTCAACCTGGCAGCAAGCCTGTACACGGCGGGCCAACCGCTGGAGTTTGCCGCGATCAACGGCGAGGACACCCAGCCGACCCGCCCGTCCCTCGTCACCGACATGGCCCCGTACCCCTGGTCCCGCCAGCGCTACTGGTCCGAGTCGCGCCTGTCCAGGCAGCACCGGCTCAAGCCCTTCCCACGCCACGACCTCCTGGGCACGCTGACAGACTCGTCCAACCACGACATCTGCCCGACCTGGCGCAACGTGCTCCGCCTCGACGATGTCCCCTGGCTGTCCGACCACCAGATGATGGGCCTGACGACCTTCCCGCTCGCCGGCTACGTTAGCATGGCCGTCGAGGCGGCCACCCAGCGCGCCACGCTCCGCGGCCTAACGCTAGCCGCTGCCAAGCAGCGTTTTGTTCTGAGGGAGGTGCAGGCCATACGCCCGCTACTGCTGTGCGACGGTGGAGAGTACGAGCTGGTGACGTCTGTGGCCGCGTACGCCGAGGGCACGCGGTCGTACTCGGATAAGTGGGACGAATTCCGGATTTGCTCGTGGGAAGAGGGCAAGGGGTGGACGGAGCACTGCCGCGGCTTGATTGGCGTGCGCGGAGGAGAGGGCAACGGGCGAGGCGTAGGCGCGGCGTCGGCATCGAGAGCATCGCGGAAATTTTGCCACGCCGGGGAACTGTGCGGGGACGGGATCGCGCCGGATCTCTTCTACCAAGAGCTGGAGCAAAAGGGCGCTATCTACGGGCCCGCGTTTCGCGGGCTGCGCGACATCCGGCGGGGTGCGGACCGCGCGGTGGGTGTTGTGGATGTTGCCGACACCACGTCGACTATGCCGTTGGCGCACCAGTCGCCGTACCTCGTGCACCCGACCCTTCTGGACCAGGTTATTCAGCTTTCTCTCCCCCTCCTCGGCGCTGGGCGAGGTGGCATGAAGACGCTGTATATGCCAAGCGCAATCAGGGAGCTGCACATCGGGACGGGGGTGCCTCGGCAAGTCGGCCAGTCTCTCCGCGTCGCTGGTGGCGGTCCCGTGGCGGCGCTGGATAGGCCGCGCCCAACCGACTTCACGTTACACGCCTTTCCCTCGCCTGATGGGGAAGCGGCGCTGAGTATCGTCGGTCTCCGGATGAATCCAGTCAGGAACGAAGCGGCTAGCAACGATGCTCCACGGGAGCTGTGCTTCCGGCTGGATTGGGAGCCGGCACCCGAGAAAACAAGTGCCGAAGATGAACGCACCGAGGTCATCGGGGTCCAGGGAACCCTGCCCAGCGGAATCGACGGCGTGAACGGCCACCACGAAGAGAGCGACCTGAATCCCATTCTGCTGCCTGCTATATCCATCATCACGGATAGACCGGCGGTAGATGATCTCGTGCGCGCCTTGTCCTCCGCCCTTCTGACGCGCACCGGCCAGCGACCGTCGTTCGTAGCTCTCTCCAGCTTGGGTGAGATGAAGGACAACGCCTACGTCGTGCTGAGCGAGCTCGACCGACCTCTCCTTCCCGATCTGACACCTGAAGCCCTGAGCAGTGTACAGACCCTCCTGCTCCGCTCGGCGGGAACGCTGTGGGTCACATCGGGTGCATATAAATCCTGCACCAACCCGACCGCGAACATGGTCTCCGGTCTCCTCCGGACCGTCCGCTCCGAGACGGCAGCGAAGGCAGCTACACTAGACCTTGACCCCGACTCCACGCTGTCAGACACGTCACGCGCCGAGCTGATATTGCAGGTCCTTGAACGCGTCTTCCGCCCCGGAGACGGCAACGACGACGTCACAACAGACATGGAATACGCCGAGCAAGCCGGCAGCCTCGTCGTGCCGCGCATCGTCACTGACGACGCGGTCAACGAACACATCCATCGAGAGCTGTACCCCTCTGGGCCGCGCCTCCAACCCCTGGATGCCCGAGCGCCCCGTCTTCTCCAGCTCGACATCGGGACGGTCGGCGCTCTGGATACGCTCTACTTTGACGACGCCCCCAACGACCGCCCGCTCGGCGAACACGAGATCGAAATCCGCGTCGCGGCGACCGGGATGAACTTCAAGGACGTCGTCATCGCCATGGGCCAGCTGCCGCACCCGGGGTACCTGGGGGTCGAGTGTGCCGGTGTTGTCTCGCGCGTCGGCAAGGCCGTCTCGCACCTGGCCTACGGCGACCGGGTGTGCGCCATGACGGAGGGCGCCTACAGCACATTTGCGCGGTGTGCCGCCACGAGCGCCGTGCGGATTCCCGACGACATGGCCTTTGAGGATGCCGCGTCCATCCCGGTCGTGTACGGCACCGCGTACTACGGGCTGGTGGAGCTCGCGAGGCTGACCGCCGGCGAGAGGGTGCTGATCCATGCTGCGGCCGGCGGTGTCGGACAGGCGGCGATCCAGCTGGCGAAGATGGTGGGGGCGGAGATTTTTGCTACCGTGGGGAGCCCCGAGAAGAAGGCGCTCATCATGGAGCGATATGGCGTTCCGGAAAACCGCATTTTCTCCAGCCGGGAGACCTCATTCGGACCAGCTATACGTGAAGGGACGCGGGGTGTCGGCGTCGACGTTGTTTTCAACTCGTTGGCGGGCGAATTCCTGCGTGAGACGTGGGAGTGTATCGCGCCCTTTGGACGCTTCATCGAGATCGGTAAGCGCGACATCACGAGCAACACGCGTCTCGAGATGGCCAGGTTTGACTGCAACGTCACGTTCAGCTCGGTCGATCTGACCCTCGTCGCGGCGCAGCGGCCGGCCACCATGGCCAGGACGCTGAGCGCCGTCATGGCCCTCGTGGCGGCCAGGGTGTTACGCCCCATCCAGCCGATCACCGTGGTTGGGCTGGGCGAGGTCGAGAAGGCTTTTCGGCTGCTGCAGAGCGGAAAGACTATGGGAAAGCTGGTCGTGGTGCCAAAGCCGGGCGAAAAGCTCCGAGCGACGGATCCCAAGCCGGACGCAGCACTCTTCCACGCCGACATCACCTACATCATCGTGGGCGGCACTGGCGGCCTCGGCCGTTCTATCGCGCGGTGGATGGTGGCACAGGGGGCGAGAAACCTCGTTCTCGCCTCCCGCAGCGGAGGGGCCGACGGCGCTGTCGCCGACCTGGTCAACGACCTCCAGCAGACCGCCAAGGCAAACATCACGGTTAAGGCGTGCGACGTCGCCGACGCCCGCAGCGTCGAAAACCTGATGGCGGAGTGTCGGGAACAGCTGCCCCCAATCCGCGGTTGTGTCCACGCCGCGATGGTTCTCCGCGATGTCCTCTTCGAGAAGATGACGCATCCCGACTACTCCGAGGTCATCCGGTCCAAAGTTCTCGGCGCATGGAACATACACACCGCGCTCGCCTCGGCCCCGCTCGACTTCTTCATCGTCCTCTCCTCCGTGGCAGGCATAGTCGGCAACCGCGGCCAGGCCGCGTACGCGGCAGCCAACACCTTCCTCGACGCGCTGGCGCGCCATCGCCGGCGGCTCGGCCTGCCAGGAACCTCCCTCGCACTGACGGCTGTGCAGGACGTCGGATACCTCGCCGAGGAAGGCGCAGCGCGCCAGGCGGTGGTGGCGCAAAACCTAGGCGGGAGCTTCCTCCGCGAGGCCGAGGTGCTTGCGCTGCTGAAGGCCGCCGTACAGGGCAGGCTCGACATTGGCGGGGGCCACTGCCTTACCGGGCTTGGGCTTGCTGCCGGTAACGAGGTGCCCTACTTCGCCACGGATGCCAAGTTCCGACGCCTGAGAGACGCCGTCATGGCTTCTGTGGATGCATCGGAGCCGGGCGGCAGTCCGAGCCTGTCGATCGAGAATGCCCTCGCCCGGGCGTCGTCGTCGAAGGAAGCGGTGGGTGTCATCGTGACTGGGCTTGCGGCGAAGCTGGCTACCATCCTGATGATCCCTCCGGAGAGCATTGACCCGTCGCGTCCGGTCACGGCGTACGGCCTCGACAGCTTGAATGTAATTGAGTGGAGGAACTGGATTACGAAGACGTTGAAGGTAAATTTTCAAGTGTTGGAACTGCTGGCTGCGGGCTCGTTGACCAATCTGGCGGCGTCGATATGGAAGAAGAAGGCGGCCGTGTGATAACTGGCTCCTCGAGTGGGGTGGGCCGAAGGGGGTTCCCCACACGTTTCCCAGCTCATTTCTCAACTGCATAGTTGACTTAACGTACTTGCATAACGAGTGGCCGAGAACTGCACGTATTTGCAAAAACATTTGGATTTATGTGAGAGTCTCTCGAGCGTTATGTTTGATAGTAGCCCAAGATTTCCCGTGTCCAATTTCCGAGTCGTCCGGCGTCAAGTCTTCTCCTTTTGATTACCGGCTTAGACGGCCTCAGTCGGGTTTCCCTCCCTCTTCGTTTTCCACCGCTCCTATACAGGCGAGAAGAAGTTCCGTAATCTTGGTGCCCTGGCTACCCTCCATCCGCTTGAACTCTGCCCTCCTTTTTCACCACTCTAGCCTCGGCGGCACAGTCGCGCGCCCTCAAGGCGGATCCACCAGCGTACAAGCATAGCGACCAAGACGGAGAGACAGACGATATGGCAGACAAGTCAGATCCACCAGCCAACCCCTTTTCTGAGGAACCCCTGAAAGATCTGTGGAATCAGGGGCTGGAGGCCAACAATCGCACTGGCTTATCCGCCAGAAGGTTAAGGAGGGTGAGAGACAGCTGCCCCCTCAGGAGACTGCCCATCTCCATTTCAGAATACTCTATTGATGAGGGTTGCCGCCTCTGCTGGAGAGGAAGGATCTGGCTGCCCTTGTTTGAGCCATTGCGGACCCACGTCATCCAGGATACACATGATCCCCCCCTATCTGGTTACCGGCCGGTCTGGTTCCGGCCGTGCCAGGCCATATGACCACCCCGAAGCAAGCGAGGACAACCGGAACAGGGAGGGGATCCCCATCGCTGTCGCGCCCGGCTGCCTGGTTGACGACACCGCCGTGGCCTGATCGTCACCTCCTGGCGAGTAGGCACCGGGCTGGTGCTGGGGGTCGGGCTTGATTTTTTCAAACATTTACCTGAACTGGGACCTCCTGACTCGACAACCCCTTTCTCCTCGGGGTCAACAGCTCGATGGACAAGTCGTTGGGGTTCAGTTGTTGCGGTGGAAGGAGGAGGACAAGAGGGGCAGGAGGAGCAGTAAGTGGAGGAGTCGCCTGCAGCTCAAGGGAGCAGGTTGTGTTTGGTCTAGGATGTGATGGGTAGATATTTTTGTGCTTGGGATAGAGTTTGGGACAGGGCACATGTTCTTTTGAATTCCGTGTTCTGAGCATTGGTGCATGGCTGGCACGGTACTGATATGAGAACAGGGGCAAGGGGTAACGTTAAAGTAATATTGCATGTGTTTAGGCCACATCAGCGGACTGGCTGCGGCATCTTTGTGTTTAATTAAATTCACACTGTATTTTCTCGTCACAAAATAGATGCTAGCAGATTTGTCTTGAATGTGATGCCACATGTGCATCCGCAACATCTGTTGCATCGGTCCTCCAAACTTCCCGTCGCTTAAGCTGCGCAACTCCGGGTCGGTCTTCAACTACCCATATCCTCCCAGTCACCCCCCTTCAAACCCTCTCACCACCAGCAGCAGACCGCTCATACCCCTCCTCCTCCTTCCGCCCCTTCAAAATCCACCCCTTGCCCTTTTCCACCTCCCCAGCGGCAGCCCACAACCTACCCAAAACGTCGTAATGCCCTCCCAGATGCGGTACCAGCCCCTCAGCTTTCACAGCATCAACAACCTCGGCATACAGCTCGGCCGCCTTCTTCAGGTCTGCTGTCCCACCTATCTCGACCAGCCCCACCACTTCTTTACCCAGCGCCTCAATCTTGTTGCGTCTTGCGTCCGAGGCGGCGAGGGCATGCGGAGGGGAGGAGCAGAGGGCGCAGGTGCAGGTGAAGCCCCATTTGGCGAGGAGAATTTTGTGCCGGGCCGGGGAGGGCAGGCCGAAGGGGGAGTCTATCGGGTGTCCATTTAGCTGCTTGGGCGGTCTGGTTGCATGGGGACTTTTGGACAAAGGACAAACAACTTAAGAATGTGGGGAGAAAAGGTAGGGGGATGGAGAACGCAGACTGAAAGCTAAGGTCGGTAGATGGTAAGGAGCACCGGAGAGTAGAAAGAGACGTACAGCTGATTGTAATCTCTTTACCCGGGAGGATGTCGTGGAATGCGGTAACTGTGTTGGAGAAGGCTGTGGAGTTGAAGTGGGTGAGCGCGCTGTGTTTGGAAAAAAAGGGGTTAGTGGTCGAGTAAGGTTAGTCTTGGAAGAAGAGTCTAACCTTGGTTTGCAGGCGTGATTGATACGCTGTGAAAATGCAGTTGTCAGCCCAGCTACTCCAGACTCATGACGTGGTGCAAATAAGGGGCCGACATACAGCAATCCTTGGAAACAGCGCCATGTACTCCTTCCCAGCAATATTGACACTAAACGAATTCGTCTTCACCACATCTTCGGTGACAGGAACATTGTCCGGGTCAGAGCTGCTCCGGGCCAAGTTCAGCACCTCCTTCGCGTCCGGCAATCTCTCAATGGCCTCCTCCAACAGCTGCCGACCCTGCTCCCGCTTGACCCGGCTCGGGAACCGGGCGTCAGCCATGACAGCCGCGTAGTCCACCATAATTACCTGGCCGCGAGAGATCTTGCGTGTAGCGACAATGCCTTTGCCCTTCCCGGGGATGTCTCGGACCTGGTATGGTGGCGACTTTTCCTCTGCGGTCTCAGGCGCAGGATGGAGGGAGGAGAGCAGCTCGGCGAAGAAAGCAGCCGCAGTTGTGACATTGCCGGTGCCGTCTGTTGGAGCGTCGATGATGCTCAGGCCTCGGTTCGGGCCCTGGAAACCCGCGTTGGTGAAAACGCAGTAGCGGGTGTCCTCAGTGCAAAAGGGGCGGGACGTCCATGGGGCCCAGGGGTTGCTATTGCTCGCGGCGGTCATGCAGGTGGGATAGAGGTCGAGTCTGAAAGAGCCAGAGAGGCAGTTGGACTCAATAATCTGGTGTTGTAGTTTCTGTAGCTTCTCGCCTGCTTGTTCGGGGCGGTCTTGTGTTGCCCCTACGGACGAGATAAGCTGCGCGAAACAGAATAGAAGCGCCATCCTGAAACAAAAAACAGGCGTCGCGTACATGATGATGTCTGTCTTCAAGAACCGGACTTCGAAGTTGCGCCATCGACTTGTCCACCATCCTGAGACTGGCAGGCGTATATCTGGCCTTGGACGCAGCAACCTCAGGCCGTCCCCGGAGCCCCGCCGCCGAGGCCGAGTTGGCGTTTGGGGTTGACAAGCGCCAATGCTCTTTGGGAATTAGCCATCAAGTGTCGATCAACGATGCCACGCTTGGTACCGGTTGTCGGAAGAAACGGTTCAAGTGCCAAGGGCTGGGCGATCAGACTCGGGCTGGCCAAGAAGCGGAGGACAGCCGTATCTGGGCCGCCCTATAGAGAATTTGAACGAATTCTGCTATGCACTCCTGCCGAGATACACGTCACGAGGCATTGGACCTGCCGGAATGCTGGTTGTGTCGTGAAGGCTGTTGTCAGGTCGAGGGGGGAAATCCTGTTACACGATGAAGGATTGTCGTGATAATATCAAGATCAAGAAGGGGAATCTGAATTTGATAATATGAGAGGAGGTAGTACAAAGCTGGATAACGGTAGCCAAAGGGCTGGAAAAAAAATTGAGTGAAAGTTAGGTAGAGATCCTCATGTAAGCAAAAGAACAGAAGTAACAAGAAAGAAAGGGAAAGACGAAAAAAAGTATGAAACCCCATCTTCATGAGGACAAAGGCCAATCACACCAATCTGCTCCTTGGAGCCGGCCAGTAGTATTTCAGTGATCAGCCTTTGTCACCGAGACCACAAAACTCAGTCCACTATCCACAGGCTAATACTCACACTGCATCAGCACAATCCCCATCGAACTATCCTCCAAATGTCTCCTGCAACCCAAGACAAAGCCGTCCAGAACATCCTGATCACCGGCGCGGCCGGGCTCGTCGGGCCCCTGCTGGCGGCTCGCCTCCTCAACACCCCGCAATACCGGCTCCTCCTAACCGACATCGCCGAGCCCATCATCCCTGCGAACGCCGCCTTCCCGCACCACGCAACGACGCTTCAAGGCGACATCACCTCCCCGGAATTCATCACCACCCTCGTCACCCACCCATCCATCCAGCCCCTCCACGCCGTCTTCCTCTTCCACGGCATCATGTCCGCTGCCGCCGAAGCCAACCCGTCCCTCTCGCTACAAATCAACGTCGACTCTATCCGCCACCTCACCACGGCTCTGATCGCACACCATCCCCCACATGCAGGCAGCGTCCGTGTCCGCGTGATCTACGCCTCCTCCCTCGCCGTCTTCGGCCCGCCCTTCCCCACCTCAAGCGACGGCACGGGCAAACCGGTGGTACTAAAGATTCCCCCCACATGGGCGCCCACGCCGCAAAGCACCTACGGCACGCACAAGCTCATGACCGAGGTGTATCTCAACGAGCTGCACCGCCGCGGGCTCCTCGACGTCTTCACCTGTCGCTTCCCGACCATTGCCGTCCGCCCGGGCAAGCCCACTGGCGCGGCGTCGAGTTTCTGGAGCGGTATCATCCGTGAGCCGATGAATGGGATGGAATGCGTGGTGCCCATCAAGGATAGGGGGTTCAGGGGGTTTATGAGTTCGCCCGGGAAGGTGGTGGAGAATCTGGTGAGGGTGTTGGGATGGGAGAGTGGGCTGTTGCCGGCGCATGTGAGGTGGGTTCTATTCCCTGGGGCTGCGGTTAGCGTGCAGGAGTTGAGGGATGCGCTGGCGAGGTATGGTGGCGAAGAGAGGCTGGGGCTGATTAGGGAGGTGGAGGATGAAGGGCTGGGCAGGATTTTGAGGAGTTGGGCGGAGGACTTTGAAGTTGGAGAGCCGTTGAGGTTGGGTCTGGTTGGGGTTGAGAGCGGGGATGAGATTGTGAGGGAGTATGTTCAGGATTTGAATAAGTGAGGTGGATCGGGAATCGATGTTATAGTTAGTAGTATGAGCTTTTGCCTATTCCACGTACGGATTAAGCACGGCAGCTACTCAATTCCTTTACCACTTTTAGCCAGAACAGTGTGTCTAAATCCTCGTTGAACGGGCTCATGTCAAAGTCTCCCGAAAGGCAAAGCCTAACAACTTCGGTATATCTTATATCTCTCGCTCATAATCCTCGGAAGCAACCTAGGAACATTATGCAACAAGTTCTCTCGGGTCCCTTCCTCAGTAGCTGCCCTGAACTTGTCAAGTGGCTTCCAAAATAGCGATCTCGAAGAGCAAGACACCGAGGCTGTAGGTATCGCAAAGCCTCGTAAACCCAGCGTTCCATTCGGGGTTACGGTAAACATCAACGTACCCGGCCACTTGTTTCGGTCTGTCGATGGGCTCGGCCTGCTGTGGGCGGGCGTAATCGAAGCAGGCGACGAATGGCGAGCCCGGATGCATTCGTCCGGAGAGACGCTGTGGGAAGAACACAATATTATTACCCTGCAGCGACTTGTGAAGCCATCGCGCCGAGTGGACCAAGAGCACCGCCAATGCCAGAGTCTGTGCCAGAGCAAGCCGGTCGCCCAGCGGCGCAGCATACGCTGGGTCTGAGATGAGTTGGCTCAGCATCAGCGGCATCCTGATGTCCAGCGCGGGGAAGGCGAAAACGATGCCGAATCTCTGGTCGTGGCCGCTGTCGAGAACCGGCATGTCATTGACAAGGCCGACGCACGATAGGAGACTGAACTAGCAGGCTTCTGGCCGCTTAGAAGCCCACAGAGTTTCTTCACCCTGGCGATCGCTTCCGTTCGCTGGCCGCAAGTAAGCCCGCCCGCGATGTCCTTCCACTCGACAAGTACGTTGAAGTTGCCGTCGGGCCTGAGGAGAGTTGCAGTCTGTCGAGCGGCGCCATTGGTGATGTTGTTGATATTGATGAGGGATTTGTGGGACACAGTTTCAACGTAGGACACGTCGGATATAATCTGCAACCGCTTCATCATGGCACAACAAGCGAGGAGTTCTTTGGATGACTCTTCGATGCTGCTCAGGTTGGCGGGCTGTTTGACGGAGGGGAGGATGTAGGACGAGAGGCCCAGGGCGAGAAGGAGAATATCGTCCTTTGGACAAAGTTTCTCTAGGCTGTCGTTGAGGTAAACAAGTCGCTGCAGAAGGGCCCCAAGCCGCTCCTCGTCCCGGAGGACCCAGAGCATCCCAGAGATGGTACATCTCTTGCTTTTCGACAGTTTTGAGTTGGCGTCCTTCTGCTCCTCGGCTCGCCGCCTAATGGTTTCGTAGGTTGGCAACTGTGTTTCGGCGCCCGGTGCGGCATCCGGTCCCGCTGGCTGCAGGCCGTATCGGCTCGCCAGTTTCTCAACGTCCATTGTTGCAGCCTTGATCTCGGACAGGGCATCTGCAATCAGACGTCTGGTGTGCTCTGATTCTGCTTCGAAGCGCGATGGCGTCTGAGCCACAGCGTTGAGGCCGTAGAGATCGCCCCATGCTCGCAACCTGTCCCTCTCAATTCGCAGTTTCAGCGAATAGAAGGATGAGTTGCTGAAGCTATCCCAAAGCCGGAGAAGGGACGCGTAACCATCAAGCGCTCCCTTGAAGGGGACGAGGAGAGAAGTGACACCTAAAGCCAGGCCTGCGAATTCAGTAGCCATGGCCCATCAGTTCATGACTTGGGCTGTTTGCGCGCTGTGTGTGATGATCCGAGAAGACCGAGACTCTTCTGAGTTCCGCAGCCTGAGCCCAACCGGCGGAGGAATAGGGTGATGTTTTCGCTCTTTCTCCCAACGCCGGGCAGCATTGCCGCTTCGCTCCATTCGAGACCGATTCTCTGTCACTTTCACCAATGTGGACTCGGAGATGCAGTCACTCGGGGGACCATGTAGCTCAGCCGCACCCAGGCAGCTGCCACTCGGGCTGAGTGCAAATGCCCAGGCGAGGCAGGGCATCTTCCCCTTTCTTCTCGTCTTTCGGAATATCACCGTGACCCAACTCGCTTGTTGGAGGGTTCACCTCGTCGACGAACTTCATCCCCAGTACAGCCTGTTACCCGTACTTGTACAGGCCGAATCATGGACATCGACTTGAGCCCTCTGCGGGTAGAGTTCCCGAACCCTCGGGTGGGCACCACCACAAACGACAACACCGAGACTCCGGGTCTTTATTCCGCAACCGAGACCACGGAAGCCAAAGCCAAAGTGACGGTGACAAGGGTTGATCATGGCAAGGCAACGGACTTCATAGCCATGTTAACTCTAGCGCTGAGCCACGACACCCCGTGGATCTTTTTCGAGCCCGGCACCGGCATTCCAATCAATCCGCCGGATGGTATTACCTCCACATTCGCACCCAGGCACTCCTTCTGTTTGGGAACCGGAGCCTTCAGCTTTGTTGAGATGCATGCCCTGACCGACCAGCATGTTTTCAAGGGCAAGACATATGGCCCAGGCCATCTCGTCGCCCTGAAACGATACCCCCTAGCGATCGACGCACGAGATGACGGATACAATGTCCAGCGTGAGTGCTACGACTTCATCCGTAACGAGCTCCGTGTTGCAACCTGTCTGAGGGAACCGCACGACAACATTTGCCAGCTTCTCTTTATCGGATGGGAGGACCACACGCCCGTCCCCGTGCTGGGCTTCGAGTTCGCGCACTACGGGACCCTCAAGGATGTCCTGCGAAGTTCCGAGTACACGCAGATGTCTGGCCTAGGCCTGATGCTCATGGCAGATATCGCGCGTGGGCTGGGTGCTCTTCACAGACGGGGCATCGTACATGGCGACGTTAAGCCGGGAAATGTCCTCGTGTTCCACGACTCGCGACGTGGTATTGTGGCTAAACTCGCCGACTTCTCCGGCTCCATCGTCAAGTCAAGGTAGCAGCAGAGAGAAGGGTGGGAGCCGGTTGGGGAACTGATGTGTGGAGAGCACCGGAATGCTACATGTCTACCGCTTACGATGCCATCAAGACGGATGTTTACTCATACGGCTTGACAGCGCTTACGGTCCTCGTAAGGGCTCCATCACGGGGAAGTTTGTCCTCGTCGTCATTGAAGGGTGTCGGCGAGTGTTTCCTCGCCAGGGTTCCGGGGGTCGTTGACGCCGTTGCGTTCGCCACGGCGCTCAAATGCGGCAAGGCCGACCTGGCACTAAAGCACGCCCTAGCCTGGTCTGAGCAGTTCTCTGACAACCCGGAGTCAAACCCGCTTGTTGAGTGGTTATTACGGGCTACGGTGCGGTTCAACCCGGCGAGCCGAGCGTCTATAGACGAGATTCTCAAAAGGGTGGAAAAAGAACTCGGCGGGAAAGGAACTTCGAGGGAAAAGAGGTAAGCCAGGACACCCGGATACTGGTTCGGAATCCGTTTTAGGAGCCCGTGATAATGTGTTCAAATTTTGATAAGTAAGACCCTCAAGTGAAACTCAGGCCCCGAATGGACCGTTCCCTGATATGCTTTCGGCGTTGGCGGGCGGGCAACAACAGGACGACGAGAGCACAGTTGTCGACCCGGCTCAGGTAAGTCTGCCACTGGAAAAGGAATGGGAAACAAACTAACGCCAATCTTCATCTAAAAGATCCCCGTGTAATGTCAGCACGGCCCGCCTTTCACGCCAGGATATTCAACGCCCTGAAGCTAGTTGCTCAGGCCGCACTCGACGTCCAGTTCGTTACTATCGACGTTGACAACAGCATTGAAACTGCCACTAACGACATCCGCGGCTTGGCAGGGGCAAATCTTGAGGTTGCAGACTATAAGGGGCAAAAGGTCGCTGCTGTACAGCGAGCCCTCTTAGCCACCCACCGTATAGTCGATAGTCTCGTCAAGACTGGCTTCGGCACTCGACGTGACCTGAAGGAGGGTCTCCGCTATGCTGCTGTCTCGGGAAGGACTGGGCGTCTCCTCTCCATCCTATTCTTCACCATCATCGACCAGTCCCTACAACGTGAACCCAGTTGTGGCGATGTTCCGGCCCCTCGATTGCTCTGGCTGCTCATGACTGCGTCGGGTGGATATCCCAAAGTCTCAATCACTCATAAGGAGTCAATATCCGGATCTGGTCCGCACCATGGACAGGCTCATTCGCGGTCCTGGTGGTTTATCAGGGCGAATGATGCGTCACATGGCGGTCGATTTCGAAGACCCTGTGGAAGAGGTCGCTTTCTGCAAGGTGTCTTGGTGGACGAGCTTCCTGCTTGGTACAGGTACCGCAGGCTCGGGACAAGCGCGCTATGTCATGTTGCAGCGTATGGTTGCCCGGCCGAGCTTGTTGAAACCCTGGTTAAAGCAAGGACAGACCGCGGTGAGCTTGAGCTAGCTCTCCTGGTAGCCGCTAAAGGTGGGTACGGTCTACTCGTGCGTCTTCTTCTTGACCACGGAGCCAGAGGAAGCGCTGTCGACCACAAGGACAAAGCAACGGTGCTGCATTATCCCGCATTTTTTTTTGATGACTCTGTAAGGGACCTTACCAGGACAGTAATTGCGAGAAACGGGCCGTCTCAGCTCTCCGTCGAGTGCCCCTACAATCCTGCCATCTCGGCCGAGACCATGAGGAATGTTGGAGGTTCGCTTATGGTCTGCACCATCGTCACAAATAATGAACACTTGGCACTCACGCTTGTAGAGCTGTATAAAGTTACGGACAAGAATGTTCCTGACTTTTGGCTCGCCGTCGAGGAGGCTGCGAAGTGTCACCAAGAACCGATCTTGTCCGCGCTAATCGAGAACGCTGCCTCTGTGGGAGGAAGCGGCGCTTCGCTAACTCATGTGCAACTTGATACCCTCCTCAGTTTAAGCCTCGAGGGCGTCAATGTCGTTGATATGGCAATCCATCTCGACAACTCCTGGAAGGGACAACAAGAGACTGTCAAGACTTTACTTGCTGCGGGTGCTGATCCATGTAGGGGCGGTGGTGATTACGAGCATGATCCCTACGATGTTGTGGTTCGCGGAGACTTCCTCGACCTTCTCGAGATTCTGATAGCCTTTGCCGAACGGAAGGACGTCGACCCGCGAACGATACTCTCCGACGTGGCACGGTTCAAAGGCAAAACAGCCGTCGAGGTGGCCATCTGCGCTGCAAGCTGGAGCGTCTTCAGCTACCTGCTAACCGCGAAGTTGGGCTGCCTCAGCGATGTGTTTGCGTCCGGTGACCAGAATGCCCTGCACATCTCCGCCACCATTGGCGACGTCCGCTTCATCGACCCGATCCTCGCTGCCGGCGTTTCTCTCACCCAATTCACACCAACAGGACATCGTCCGTTTGATTTCGCCATCATCTCCCGGCATTACGACTACGCCAGAGCTCTATACGAGCACTGTTCTCCGACCGACCGGGAATCGATCCTCAGCCCAGACGAGCGAGGCTTCCCAACATTCGGCCGTCTCGTATACTCAGCCCAAACCACTTATCGCCACGTCATAGACATGGAAGCGATCCGCCTACTAGATTCTCTCGGCGCCTTCAGCGTGTACTTCAACGAGAACACTAAGGATACCCTCATCCGCGAGCTCGCCCGCACCGCCTACTCCTCTACCCGCCCGAACAGCGCCGCCTTCGACGATGGCTTGCTGAGGCTCGTCGTATCTCAAACACCGACAGAGCTGCTCAACCAACGAGACGAGTTCGGCTTCGCCCCGCTGCATTACATGGTCATGAACGCAAACCTTGCCGGTCTAGCACTCATCCTCGACCACCCTGATGTCGACATCAACATCGTGGTGCAGCCGCTGCCGGACTCAAACGCCGCCGATGCGTTGGGCTTGCAAGCAGGCAATACTCCGCTCGACATCGCGGGCTTGAAGAGACACTCGTCCGACTCTCTCCACGCCGTGGGCGGAGGGGCCCGTGAAGTGGTGGCATACCGAGCCAACGTGGAAGGCATCATTGCTTTGCTGCAAGAGAAACATGCCAGAGAAGCCCGCGGATACTTTTTCCGTATGATGGTCCAGGATGCTCTCATGGTCCCCGAGTCGCTAAGGATTACCTATCTGTTTCCCGAGTACGCCGCCCCCGGTACGCTCTGGCGTGGACCACGGAGATGGGTCGACGATGGCGAGAAGGCCAGTGTCTGGCCGATGAGATTGGGCGGTGGAGTTGATAATGTGGCTGATTTGGCGATGCGGCGAGGAGAGGGCGAAGTCGACCATGCTGAACTCGGAAGGTTGGCTTTCATGCTTTAAAAAAAAAAAAAAAGGTCAGAAGAGCTAGAACTAGGTGAAGCGGGGAGGTTGTCTGGATACTTGAGCCGACTTGCTGCACATGTGGGCTTTGGGATGTTAGGATAACGTTACTGGAGCGGATTATCTGCAGATATACTAGGGCACAGCGCACTGCACTTGACCTTGGCGTAGGCACCAACGTAAGAGCGAAATGCCAACTTGATTGGCGGATAAGACCTCTCAGGGGCAGTGTAATTTAAGGTTGTCCATCGCCCAACAGCCGGCCCTGAACCAACCGCATATAAGGTGAGCACTTTGACCCTTGCCAGGCTCGCCACCGTCTCTCAACCTCGCCTCCAATCCTGCTCTGTCTCTCCGTGTTGAGTCTCAAAAATACTTTGTTCTCTGGACATATCGGACTTTGCCATCGCTGAGACGGCCAGAAGCAACACGAACGTGATGGATCAGTTATCGCCCCTCAATCACAATATCTCGATCCAGGCCGCATTCCATCACCAGGTCCGCCAATACGGACAGGAACTCATTTCGTTTGTTTCCGCTGAGATGCACCGGCCACCCTTGGGTCTCTCGGTTACGCTGGAGACCATAGAATGGCCCGAGTCGCTGGTCAACTGGGTGTGGTTCGTTGGCAGCGCCGACTCGGCCACCGAACAGGCTGTCATGCGCTTCTTTCAGACGGACGTTGGAAAGAGGGCGCTGAGCGCAGACACGACTGAGTTCAAGTTCGGTAGTGCTCTCCTGCGACTGCCCGGCATTCAATCAGACTTCACCACGACCGCTGCTCAGGCCCAAGATGGCGAGGAGGTCGTAGTCGCGTCTGAGTTTCAATCACCACCGCCTCATTCCCAGACGGATGTCCCAGTTGCCACTGGCGGTGAACTACCGGCAGCGTTCACCGTTGCCATCGCTCCCCTCCAGGGCAGCCAGGAAGTTGTCATCATGTCTGAGTCTGCATCGCTGCCTCACTCCCATACCTGCATTTCAGGGATGACCGGCGGCTGGTTGTTGGTCTCCCCCACCAGTCACTTCTCGCAAGTTCTGCTTGTCAAACCTCGGGACCAACAAGCCCGTATGTACCTATCCAGTCGGCGCTGCTCAGAGACTGAAGGCGCATTTACTGACTGTGCAAACAAGACGCTGATCCCAGATATCTGCGAGGATGGCTTGTTGATCCCGCCAGGTCAATGGTGTATGGGCGCGTTGCTGCAATTGTTGCGAATTGCGGTTATCTGGTGACACCCTTGACCGGTCATGCAGCTTGAGGGAGAAAGTGCCCGAACGGCGGTTTTATGCGCTCGACAGGATCAAATGAAGAGCCAAAACCAAGCAACAAGGACAAAACGAAGTCGAGTAGGAGGCCGTCGTTGCGTTGTTTCTCATTCCGTAACAGTCCATGTCTGTGACTCCTCCTGTTGTCTGGTGTCTCTGCTGCCGGTTCACTGCCAGACAGCCCTTTATCGAGCATGTTTCCGCCTGTTCAAGTCTCGGCTACACAATTCTTACCACGGCATCCTCCCCCTTGCCCAGGAAACTGTGCAGCCATCCCCAAGGCACCGGGTGTGGCGGCCAGCCAAAGACTTCCACCATGCCGATGCGTCTGTACAGATGCCCGTCCTCATGCAGGGCCTGGTCTCGAGCCATGGAGTTTTCTTCCGCGGGTACAGGCGCCAGAAGCAGACAAAGCAACTCTTTCCTGGGCAGCTTCCGACCCACGACCAAGCAATACACTGTCGCCCGCCCAACATCCCCGACTAACCACTTACAGTCGTCATCCACCCACAGATTCTTCAAGTGGCCTCCGTTCAACACATCCAAATCCACCATATTCCACGGCTGCAGGTTCTCCTTATCCCCGGTCCCATCCCTGAGCCTCAGCACAGCCGGAACCAACCGCCCTTTCAAGACCAACCAACTCCCTCCCTCCCTCAGCTCCCCCATGTTGTCTTCTCCCTCCGGCTCGCACACCACCTCGACCAACTCACACTCGGCCTCGACCCCTTCCTCACCGCCGACAAATCTAACAGGCGCCCGGACACTGGCCCACGACCACGACGGCGCCCTCCACCGCGCAGGCCGACACGCCCAGCCCCCGGCCCAGGCGCCACTAGTATTAGTACCACCAGCACCACCAGAATCACCACCACCATTACTTCCATTTCCAAGCCGTACATGTGACTGAAGCGGCAACTCAACATGCCACAGCAAATCCCCCCGCAACAACGCATCCTCCCACAGCCCAGCCACATACCTATTGCTGCTGCCTTCATGTTGTCCCCTAGCCCGCTGCATCAACCTCGCCATGCCCAAAATGGCAGGGAAGATGTCCTTGTCGTACGTCAGACAGAGATGGGTGTAATCCTCGACCAGCCTGCGCCAGACCGTTTGGAGGTCCGAATCCGACATTCGCCTTTTCCCGGGTTCTTCTTCTTCTTCTTCTAGCCAGGTGGTGAGCGAGTAGTAGTGCTTTGGCCTTGCCGTGCGGTCGAGCATGTGGTCGTACCAGGTTGGTGGAGTCAGGGTAGCAGCAGAAGCAGTGGCCCGCGGTGATGGAAAAGAAGGGGTGCACTGGCAGGTGGACGTCTCTAGGCATTCAAAGGTGAGCTCTTCTGGGCCGAAATGGAGGATGCGGGGGGAGAGGAAGCGCTCCTGTAGGATCCAGCCGCGGCTGAAGATGGGGAGGGAGATGGTGGGCGCGTGGTAGGGGGAGAGAAGGCGGTGGGGGTGGGAGAGGGCGAGGCGGAGATGTATTTGTTCTGTTTTTCGTTTATGTGCTAGTTCTTCTCGCTCGGCGTACTCTGGTTGGGAGGACGGAGAGAAGGAAGAAGAACAGTGGTCGTCATGCTGTTCTGGGCAGAACTCGACCGTGTGAGTTCTGTTTTTGGGCGGGAACTCGGCATACAGACCGCCGTACGCGCCCTCAGATTTGGCCGCCGAGATGGCCAGCGTCGCATTTTGGTAGACGGACACCATCTTTGTCGCCTCGCGGCACCAGTCGTGCTGGTCATCCTGGATGATGCACAGGCTGTCGATCCACAGATAGCGGATGCCCAGCTTACGGGTGAACTCGACGGCACCCTGGAAGGTTGTCGGCAGCCGCGCCCACGGGATTCCAGACCGGTGGGCATCGAGACTGCCAGACAGCGTGCGGAGGAACGGCTTGCGGCCCCAGCAGTGGCTGAGGGCCGTGTACGGTGCGGTCTCGCCCTGCGACACGTGAAGACGCACGCCGCACTCTCCTTTAGCGAACACATCCAGCACCCGGCTGGGAAGCGGCGCCGGAGAGAAGCTGTTGCACGCCCTGTGAGACCGTTTGCAAATCTCGAGTTGTTGAATAGCCCAGCCAAGGCTCTCCTCGGAGGAAGTGCTAGATGGGACCGCCGCCCCGACAGGCAGGTCCGGAAGATGTTCGGTCAGCCAAGGGGTAGCTGGACAACTGCGTCAGTATTACCGTCTTTAAGCGAAGGGTTGGAACCGAGATAACCCACGCTCCGACGCATAAAAGAACATTTTGACGGGCGTCCCCAGCAGCGCGACCTCCAAGCTGCGCTTCGTGGCAGTCAAGTTGAAGTCAATTCGCAGCTCGTCCACATCGTCTCTCGTTATCCCGCAAGACTCATCCGAAAGGAACTTGACAATGCCCTCGGACAGGATCCAGCACACGTCGCAGCCAGCATACTTGGCGTTGGACAACATCGCGCTCAAATTCGTCCGAACCGAGGCGTACCCGCCGTTGTACTTTGGCCGCGGATGGTCGCATCGTCCACATTGGCTTCTCGGCGACGCAAAGGAGAGCGACGAGGACCACATGTTGCGGAGGCTTGCCTAAAAGGCGTCACTCTGTGTCTGAACTTCGGGTAGCGTTGGCGGAGATCTGAGTGAGACTTCAGCTGCCAAGGTCAGGCGCAGGGCGCTAAATCCGGTTCGAGTCGGCAGTGTCATCCGGGCCAATGTTTCTTCCGGCATTGTGGGATCAGCAGCAGAGTTACCCTCCACGAGCGGTATCTTGTCAGGGGCACGAATGTATTGAAGGCGGCTGGTCAGCGAACGGAGGCAGACGCTGAAGGACAACCAGGGGCCAGACGGCATAAGGTAGGGATGAAACACAACTGGTACCCTTACTTGTACTTCTCTTTTCAATACCTTTTGCCCAAAGCACATCTATCACGGTAGAGACCGACGGTCTAACCGAAGCTTACCTACGGATCTATTCGATTTCAAGGCGACAGCCTCGTCGCGATGCGATATCGAAACGCCAACAAGATGACCTGCAGGATGATGCAGAACGAGACAGTCTCGCACACCTTCCAAATATCGGTTACAGTGCGGTCCATGTCGGTCAAGCCCTTCAGATTCATGCCAAAGTAGGAGGCGGAAAAGGACAGCGGCAGGAAGACGAGTGCGAGGGCGGTGAAGACGAAGATGGCTTTGTTTTGGTCGCCAGCCATGATGGCAGGCTCGTTTTATTCGATGGACCGAAAGTTGAAGGAACTTGGTTTACATGTTGTTAGTGTTCTTCTCTGGAAGATCGCGGTGACTGGTGCGTACCGAGTTCAACGACCCTCTCAGATCCACCCCCAACCGTTCGCACTGCTCCTTGGACTCCCTTATACGGCGCTCAACAATTGCAATCTGATTCATGGGTACCTCTCCGCATGGATTATCCGGCGGATTGCCCTCGACATCCGCCTACAACTCGGGCATCCGCTTGCAGTCCTTGCGAAGGCGCTGGAAAAGTCGAGCTTCTTGGCGAGATTCTCCCTGAAGACGTTGAGCTCATCGACACGGACAAGGTAGGCGCGGACGAGGGCATTGGTCTCGTTACGTTGCCACTGGTCGTAGCGCCGTTCTTTCTGTGTAGCTTTGTCAGTCTCTGTTCGTTTCTCTCAGGTAAGGGGAGGGACAGCAACAATCACGAGTTCGTGCACAATAGAGTCATACGCATCCATGAGAGAAGGAACGCTGTATCCCTGGCGGATGTTGTGTGGCGTAGCCGTGACCTCGGTGATCATCAGGTAGATTAAGAACCATCCAGCGTTCTTCCGATACCCGGTGCCCGTCCTGGTCTCAGAGAACTCGAGAAAGACTTGTGCCGTTGCCGACGCAATGTTCTCTTCAGCCAGGTCTCTCGGCGCCAGGTTGAGATAATATGGCAAGTTCGAGTTCAGGTAATCCACGCCCGCGGCGGGTGACATGGCCAGGAGGAACATGAACCCATCTCGGTGGAAGCAGCGGAATTGGTTCCTGGCGATGTGAGCATCATTGAAGAAGCTATGCCGGCATTATGCAGCTGCGTGACCTTGTGAGCTTTGTTCCTCGGAGGCCTTCAGAGAGGCCGTCCATTTTCACATGGCTACCGTCGGGGATCTGCCATGGTAGGTCCGCCTTGGCCAAGTCCCAGAACTGGACTGCCTGGCCGATATACTGGGTCGCCAGATGATGTCCTTCCTGAGTCGTTCGTCATTCATTCCCGCAAACACACTTCGGTCGAGGACGTTGTTGATTCTCGTATCATCCTTTAACATGCGGAAGAGAGGTCGCGGGAATCCTGGAATCACTGGGTGCTGCGGAGGTCGAACGCTTCACACTCTAGGTAGGGCCAGCCGGCGCGACCACCATTGGCGAAGGGGGCGCCCATGACTTTGGATCCGGTGTAGAAGAAGAGCGCCTCGAGCGACTGATGGTGTTAGCCGGTTCGTACCTTAACACGCTGTGATAGAAACCGATGGGTGCCGACGGAATGAAGAAGCTCCACGCCTAGAGGGGCATGACTGCGAGGTCCAAGTCAGTGTCTGACAAGAAAAGCCAGGCAATGCCGGGGGTAACCCCCACATCCATCGCATACCGTGACCATGAATCGGATCTGGGAGGGAAGAAATGGTTGATAACTTTGTAGAACTTGTCATCAGCCGGCCTTCTAATCTTGACATTCCCGAGGAAAATGCGGCGCCTGGTATTGATGAAGGCGCCAGATTCGCGAGACTTGAACCATCTCCGCAGCTCGTCCACTGCCTCTAAGTGCTCTCGCTGCGCAGCCCGGCTAGCCTCCAGCACCTCATTCACTATGTCAGGTGGCAGGTCGCGAGTATGGTTCCATGGTATCTTGGTTGTGCTGACGGGGATGTGAGGTGCGCTTTCTTCGATAGCTCGAAAGTTCTGATCTTTGCGATGGATTGGCCATCTTGAAGCGGTTTAAAGTTCTGTTCTTTTGTTGCCTGGCTCGGATAACCTCAGCAGGCGGCTGCCAATCTGAATCACCAGATGTCCTGGGCTTTCCTAGGTTGCAAGTTGCAACAGGGGTTTGTGTTTCTGGCCCCGCCTCATAGGCAGTTGGCTCAGCTGCACGCCGCTGGCCCGCCGCAGACTTCTCGAGCCAACGACTCGTTCGAGAAGGTCCCATCCTCGCCATCTTGCTGCATAACGCTTTGCGATCCGGCGAATCATCCCTTGGCGTCTTGCCGCGCGTGCCACGGGACTTTTGCCTTAATGAACAGGGATGGCACTCGGGAACCAACATGGTGGCGGCTCCCGAGGGCCACCTGCATTCCGTATCTCAGCGATGTATGCAGCTGACTTCAGGCAAGCGACGGACAGACTGAAGCTGTCAGTCAGCCTTGGGTTTCGTCTTTTTTCCGCTCGCAGTTGGATACCGTATCATTTCGGTCATCTTCTCCACCCCACTGAGTTCGTACTTTTCGAGCTTGAATACAACCGTCTGCATGCCCCGAGAACCGTAGTGGCGATACAGATTCCTGCCCTGTTCAGACCGCCTGGAGATAGCAGTTGAGACCTGTCCTCCTGCTTATCCAGCCACTACTTCATGAGAAGGCCTCTGGCACCTTTCCTCCTGTGCTGCTCTGCTGTGACAAGGAGTGCGAGAACTTGTTGAAAAGGCTAGAGTTAGCTTCCTGTGACGGACTCAGGGGTGCGAATTTTGACGTACGCAAGTGCGAATATCTGCCCATTTCGCGGTTGCGTTGCAAAAGTACTCATGCGCCGCCTCCCTCAAGGCCCCATACCGATCAACACTTTTGTCCTCATCGCTCAGCAATTCGTTCAGCTTCTCCAAGCTCTCCTTGGAGCGACCGTTGGGATAAAGCTCCCACTTTGCGTAGGCCATGACATCGCCCTCGTTGGCGGGATCGACGACCTTGAGATGGTGCACAAAGCTGTCCGGGTCGTCCAGGTTGGCGTGCACAGCAGCTTCGGCCTTTTCGGTGCATCCCGCGTAGGCAGGGAGGCGTCCTGTAACCAGGCTCCCAAGCGCAGCAATGCGGATGGCGATGCAATGGGCCAGTCGGCTGTTCAACTGGTCTCACGACCAGCATTCTGCAGACCTGGCTTTGAAAGAAGGGAAGCACGAGCGCGCAGGTGTCCAAAATTCGCATGACGCGCCAAAGAAATCAAATTGTAGGCTGATAGATGAAATCTTGAACAATGCTGGTGTTAGTGTATCGTCTTGCGAAGCGTTCGCCGTTACGGCTGGGAACAAGTACGTTAACTACTGAAATTTGCCGTTCGCAAAAATAAGAATAGAAAAAAAGTAGTTAACGTTAGTTAGTTAGTTAATGTAACTATAAATTTAACTAACTAACTTAACTACAGTATTATCACCGAGCGGATCATATCAGTGAGCGGATCTGTTGGAAGTGATGGGTTGCCGGTGTCGTACCCTGGTCAGGGGTAATACACAGCTGTTACATAAGGTCTGCGAGGTACCCAGATAACTTGAGGAGACGAAGAGAACTCAATCGACAGATTCTGGGCTGGTCCTAAGCACTCGAAAAGTTCACTGTTTTAACGGCTCCCATAAAGTGTGTCTCCGTGGAATTGTGGCTGTTGGCTTTCCAACAGGATCACTCTAGCAAATTTCAGTAGAGGTGCATGCAATAAGACCTTTAGAAAATTGTTAGTGCGATATAAATTGAAATTAAGAAAATAATAAAAATGCCGGATCAGAAGTGTGCTAGTCCTTGACAACATGGTCTAAAGCGACACAGAAGAGCTGAGGATATCTTACGACGGTTGTATATCTAGTGGCTGGTGCTAGGTTGGTTGTTGTGTTAGAAATGGGAACACCCAAAGCAGGAGTTTGGAACCAGCGAGAGGTTGGGGTGCGGTTGTGGAAAGCGGCCAGGGTTGTCAAATACGGATTACAGCGGCACCTTGGGCTTGGCACAAGAGGTACGGATCCGTACTCGGCACTGTACTACTGTAGCGATTTGTGGCTGTCCTTCAGCGTCAGCCTCCGTTCGCCATGACAACGCGAGCCACTTGATGACTGTATCGTAATACCGAGCGAGCGAAGTCCCCTGAATACTTCGTATCCAATCCTATATACCATAAGCCACATTCTAACCAACCGGGTACCATGCACCGCTAGCCCTGCGTAGCCCGCCAAATATATACAAGACAGCCGATGCATTGTGCTACCCCTTCAACTCCATACCAGTTAGGCCAACCTATGCATATACGCCTTCTTCCCGTCTGTCCGCGTTATAAAGTAAGAAACCCCACGTCGGATATCCTCCCTTCCTCCCGCTGCTCAATCCGTGAGCAGACCATCACACTCATCCCCGCACCTCAGCAGAACCGCTCGGCATTACCGGCAGTGCAGGCGCCAACCTGAACCCATCAGCAGCCTCGTCCTCATGCTCCTCCCCCTCCAGCACAGGCGAGCATACGCTGCCGCCCACCTGCCCACTCCCCGGCGATGGAGCCGGCAGCGGCGCCTGCGGCGGGATGAAGAGCGATTGCGGCCGCTGTGGGAGCGGCGAGACAACCACCCCATTGCCATGCACACTCGTCCCACCAGCACCGTTCACCACCGCGCCCGCACTCCCCGGGCGAGGCGGTAGCACCGTCGACATGGCCAACCCGCCGCTCGCAAGCCCCGCCACCGGGCTCGCACTCCCCCTCTCACCACCACCACCACCACCATAACCTCCCCAATCCTCACCAGCCTCCTCCGAGAAGCTCCACAGCGACAACCCCGAACCCACCCTCGCATGCCCCAAGTGCGCCGGCACACCGACAGCGCCATAAGGCGACCCAGCCCCAGCTCCATCCATCCCGGCGACCGGCACAGCTCTCTCCGACCGGGGACTCCCCTCTCTCGAACTGAATCCTCCCGCACCCCCACCAGCACCACCGCCGCCGCCGGCGGTAGAAGTAACCAAGCTCCCCTGCGACCCACCCCAAGCCTTACTCCTCAACTTCATCAGCCCAGCCAGGCTCATACTCTCCCACTCGTCCGAATCATGCGGCAACAGCGCCAGCTGCGCCAGGCCAGGCGATGCCGACGCCGCGGCCATGGAAAGCGACGAGTTCCGCCCGCCCGTGTCGCTACCCCCAATCGCGGGTGGCAGCGTAAACGACATGACAGAATTGCGGTTCGAGTACTCGGATCTCTCCGTGATGGGTGTGAGATTCGGTTCCCGCACGGCCGCGCGGCCCGACATGCTGCGGTTGAGCAGGCCCGCGGCGGAGGCGGGACCGAAGTAGCCGCCGTTTGCGTACTGGAAGAGGTTTTCGGATGTGAGGACGCCGCCGCCTGGGGAGGACGCGAAGGATTGGATGGGATGGGGGTGGTGGTGGGGGACGGGGGCCGAGTAGAAGCCGAATTCCTGGCCGTAGAAACCGTCACAGTCGTTTGCCAAGGCGCTGGCGTTGGCTTCGGCGATGATGGCTTCGTCGTCAAAATCAAAGTCGTCAAAGTCCTTCGTGAAGCCATCGTTGTCATAATCGTCGAGGTGTTCGTTGGTGTCGGGGTCTTGGAGGTCGGTGTTGTCGGGAGGCGGGTCGGCAAGTCCGGCGAGAACTTCCGGCGACGAGCTCCGCCGGAACTTGCCTGATGCCGCTGCTTTCTGTGCGGCCTCGGCCAGCGCGGCTTGGTAGGCCAGGTCTTGACCGACCCCGACGAGAGATTCGGCTGGTGGTTTCAAGGAACCATCGGCTCGAAGACCGGATGGGTGCTGGCCTACAGTGATGGACGTATGAGCCGTTGACTGAACCGCACATGACTGCCCCGACTGCCGCGACGCACTAGACGTCATGTCGGAGTCGCGCTTGGAAGGCTGCTGTTGCTGGGCAGCCTGCATGGCCTCCTTGGCCAGCGCAAAAGCACCGGGGATGGGCCTCCCGTACTGATCTGTGTCGTTATTGTCAAATATCGACTCGTCAAATACGGTGCCGTCGTGCTCAAAATCCAGCTCATCCGCCAAACCGTCATCGAAGTAGATATCGTCGGTGTCGGCGCGGGGAGGCGATTGCGTGTCATCAGTTGCAGACGGAAAGCTAGATCGACATGGCCTTTCTTGAGGGGTGGTTTCTTCAACATTATAGTCAAGCGCTAAGTGGTCGTTTTTATGCAACATCAGGGGGGCAGGAGATAAGGGCGAATCAGTGGCCGGCGTCGTGTCTTTGGTCATAGCAAACCCAATGACCTTACCACTTGCATCTCGCGGTGTCGGGACCATCCCCGGCGTGTGTGGGCTAACGAGCGACGATGCGGGATCTGAGCGCTGGAACACAAACCCAGCAAAGTTCTCCTGGTCGTTGTCGGGGTCCATGGCAGCTTCCTGGTCCTCGTCGTCTTCGTAGTCGTAATCGTAGTCGTAGTCGGCATTGACCCCCGGGATCGGCTCTTCCAGCCCATCATCATCCATCATTGCATCGTAGTCAAAATCCTCGTCAAAGTCGTCGAATCGGGCGTCGCCATCGGCCGGGTCATCGGATAGCTTCTTCTCGTGCTCCCGCTGACGGTGCCTCTCCTCCAACAGTTTTTCCTGTTCGGCGGCGCCAATCATGTCAAAACTGAACCTCGAAGACGTACTCTTCATGTGTCTCGGGATAGCGGATGCAACAGAGTCGCGCACAGATGTCGCAGATACGGACAGCTGGCGCGATGCCGTGGTCCTTACTGAGGCCGAGGTGGCAGGCGGCAAGGGGGCGACCTGGGTGTCTCTGGAGGCAATAGATGATGATGCGTGAAGGCTGTGGCCATCGTGACTCGGCGTGAGTGCTGGCTGCCCAGCTAAAAGTGTGCTCGTCGACGGTCCCCTTTGAGTGTGGTCCGCGTCATCCGCAGACCGCGATGATGCCCCGTCCTTGGCATGCCCGGAATGTTCAGTGGAGAGCGACAGGGAACCCTCTCTGACCAGGTGGGAAGTCGTTGGCTCGCTTTGATCTCCCAGGCCTGCAACTGCAGAGGCTCCTTCTTGGTCCCTCGCCGATGCTGAGTCGGCGTTTAATACTGCCTTTCTTGGCCTTGGCGCACTGAAGTCATGCACCCTTGTGCCCTTGATTCGAGGGTCGTAGCTTGGAGCGAGAGGCTGGGTGTCTGTTGCAGCAAGCGCAGTCTTCCTCCTCATCAGCAGCGACGATACGGGGTTTTTCAAAAATGGCAGCCCTTTCTTCCCCTTTGGCGGCTCCGATGCCGGAGCTGGTGCCGTGTCGTTTCCCTGCCGAGGTGCTGTTGGCCTTTTTCCAGACACTGCGGATCCCTGAAAGTCACTAGGCGTAGAGAACCACGAAGATTTGGCCTGCTTGTTTCCTGGCACGGCTGACCCCGCCGCAAGTCCCGTGTTGATTGGGGGCGGCGGAGGTTTTGCCCTGGAGAGCTGAGTGTCAGGAGGTGGGCCAGTCATGGCTTTCACAGCGTCGGGGACCTGTTCCTGGGCAGCTCTCCTGTACTTCTCCAGAGCCACGCCGCCAATGAAACCTGGTTTGTTTTGCTCGTCGGGAGTGGGACGGGCCGACAGCTGGCGTGCCTCTTGGGAGCCGGGAGGAGCATCGTCGCGCGGGACAAACAGTTCCTCGGAGCCGGTCGACGCCACTCGGGCGATTGGGGGTAACTTCGGCGGCAGATGTGAGGAGCTTGGGGAACGTGGCCGTGCGTCGGGGCGCGGTGAGACCTCTCGAGGCGGCAGCGGATGCTCGCGTTGCGCAGCAGCATCCCAGGCGGCGGCGTGCTCGGCCAAAGGAGAGACAGAGTTCGACGGCGCCCTTCGGTGAAATCGGAGATGCGACAGCATCGTTGAGATTATTTAACGCGTTGGATACCTTCAGGGCTAGCGTGTGAGATGTTCGAGTCGTCGTCGAAATGCCCCTGGCGCGACTCTAGCCGAAGAAGCATCGAGTCGCAAAGCGCCTGACGCGATGCCCGCGGGGCGTGATCCGTTCGATTCGTCCTTTCGGGCTGTCGAAGTAATCATAAAACAATAATATTCGATATGGAGTCGCAAGTGAGTGACAGGAATTCAAAATCAGCAAGGAACGAGTGTCATGACGGTGTACCCAAAAAGGGGATGCGGGACTCAAGTCGACAAGAAATCAAGCGCCGGAGCCAGCATCCATTGGATTTCGACGGAAGGATGGTCCGTGCACATGTGGGTAGAGCCTACAACTCTTTAGACCTTTGGCAACCCGAAGTGATTGGAGATCGAACTTGCATCAACCCACTGCTCTCCGCCTCGGTGGCTTTATCCTACTTATTTGTGCTTCGCGCTCTAACTCATAGAATTGCTTTCCTACCCAGGCAAGTTCCAATTATCCTGTCCTTTTAAATTCCTCGACGAAAAGCCTCGGCAGACCAGAAGAAGCTTTAATAAATTTCAATCCATGAAAAGCGGGGCTTGGTCCTCAATCAAACTCCAGGGGGCGTGTGTACCCCGATGTAAGTCGCAATCTTTCCCGGGAGTACATACGGAGAAGACTTCCCTCTCCTCCTTGACCCGCTGCCCCTGTCTCCTCGTCGGTTGCGGCCTTTCGGCCATGCCACAAACGAGCCGTGGCGAAGTGAAAGCGAAGGACTCGACATAGCCACAAGGCCCTGGACAAAACCATCGTATTCGCAATCTTGTCCACACCGATGAATTCACAGACACCAACGTCACAGGACGTGTATTATACATCTGTTTTGTACGCTCTGTTCAGCATCGCCATTATCTCCACTCAAATGAATGAACCACGATAGCAAACTTCTCGCACTCAGCAGCATGCTGGAGCGTCCAATACGGGACGTGAATTCAACAAGGTACTGCCAAAGCGTGCTCATCGTCCTCTTCATCGTCGGCGGCGGCCGGAAGAAGCTGGGCGCAGCGGTCAGCCTGAGATCGAGCTTCTCCAGGGCAATGCCCGTTTCACAGTCTCGCCCTGTGAGCAATGAGCGCCCCGGGATTGGGGACCAGCTTACGGCGGGATGAGTCCCGGGGAAATTCAGTTCTTGGAGAGTACTAGGTAATCGCTTACTACATGTAGATACAATGAGCGCCTCACTATTCACCAAGCGGTGAATCACTGACCACCGTCGCCAGATTCATAATGATTCTAGCGAGCAACAGTTGGCCTATGAAACATCTGGCAGGGGCCCCGGACCATGGGCCGCTTCGGCGGGCATCTTGACGAGTTTGGGTCGTGCGTAAAGACTGAGATATCCATACTTCATGGCAGGCCCGGGGTGCGGTGAGCAGGTCGTTCTCGCATCCTCTCTGGTCCGCCCTGACTTCCACCCAACAAGCCAACTTAAGCAGCAAGCAAGCAAACCGACGCGCGCGTTTTCATCAAACGCCTTTTCCATCTACAAGCACATAAAGCAACATCGCATTCATGTAAGCGCTCTCCTACCTCCTCAACTTCGGCTCTGGAATGCCCTGAACCTGTCGTCCATCATGCTGCAGGTGCGAGGCGTTAGTGGTAACCAAGTACATCGCCTACCAGATGGAAGGGCAACGGCCCAAGATATTTGAGAGCGGCTGCGACTGTGGAAAAACTAAATGTCCTTATTCGACCAAGTAATACCCCTCAGCCAGAAAGAAGCGGCGGATTGTTAGCAAGCAGTCGATTGAGGACAAAACAAGGGCTGGAGATGTCAGTGGAACCAACGCTTGACGCTCTTCTTGCGTGCATGTCATTAGCGCTGTGGCTCTCTATATTTGAAGGGCGGCGGAGAGGAGGAGGAATAGTTTGGGGAAATCTGGGGTAGGGATTCAAGTAAGGCACATCAACACGGCACCCGCTGGGCACGCAGCAACCGAACGGAAGCCTTATCATGTGTGTGTCCCATATACAGTTTGATTGACGTGTTGACCAAGATAACCCATTCCTCACTTGGCCCACAAATCCCGCCAGAATTCCTTGAACCCGTACCTCTTCTCCCTCCCCTCCAGCACACTCACCCCTCCTTCACCCGCACCACCGCCACGCAACAACTCCCCTATCCCGACCCCGCCACCAAATCCCTTCCCCTTCTGGCCCCCCCGAGACCCACCAAAGGGGCGATCAACAAGCGATTTGGCCGGCCTGGTCGCGCGCAACCGGATCTCGTCGGCCACCTGCGGCGCAACGTCGGCGAAGCAGTTGCTCAGCTCCCGTTCCAGCGAGAAGTACGGTTTCTTGGCCAGCTCGGGAGCCATTAGATTGTAGGAGCGGGTCATGGCGTTGAGATTTTCAATGGCGAGCGTCATGTAGGACCGCTCGGCTGCTTCCCAGGCTGGGTCGCGGAAGGGGAGGACAGAAGTATGGCTATGGCCATGGCCGGGAATGTTGTCTCCGGAGGGTGATGCAGCAGGAGGATTGGGTTTGGAGGGAGCGGCGGTGGCCTGCTGCATGACCACGTCGTCGGTTACGTTGGTCGGGACCGAGATTTGCTCTGGGTTGCGCCGACGCGGGTTGTGGAGCTCTTCGGCGCGGGCGTAGGCGGTAGCCTGGGCGAGCTGCTGCTCGAGGGTGCCGCCACTGGCAGAAATCATCCGCGCGGCGTGGCGTTTCCAGTCGTTGCGCAGCCGACCGCGAAAGTTTTCAGCGGCCTTGATCAACTCTTGCTGCTTCTCAATCCAGGGAGGGACGATGTCCTGGCGTTTTATCATCTTGTTCATGATGTACTCGGTCTGACATGCCAGTCAGCGCCGGCCAGGTGCGAAAGATTGTCTTGAGCACCTACGGTATCAATAAACGGGTTATCCGCTCGCGTATCCCTCTCAATCCCCGTCCCGCGGGGTATATTCTTAAACTGGCCCCTCGCAATGGCATCCTCAATCCGCTCATTCGCCAACGCCGCCAGCCCGGACACGGTATTCGGCATGGCCCTCGCCCCTGGCGTAAACCGCTCCCTGAACTCCTTCCTCACCGCCTCCCTCTCCTCCTCGCTCAACCCCTTATCCTTGACCCCCAAGCCCGCGTACGCATGCGCCTTGTCCCGCGCCCCGGCCGCCCTCCGGCCGGGACTCAACCCAACCTCCCTCCGGATGCGCATATCCACGGGCGCCGGCACGGCGGGTTTCCCTTTGCCCCTCAGCTCCGGCGGCAGCGGCTTGCGCGCGTCGTCCAACATGCGCAGTACCGCGTCCTCGGTCGACTCGTGGCCCGTCCACGGCTGCGCCGAGGCCATGGCCCGAGTGCCCAGCCCGGCCGAATCGGGAATGCGCGAGTCAATGCCCGCCTGGACCAGCGCGGTAGAGTGTTCTTGATGGAACTTTGCGGTGGCGACCTTGTCCAGCAGCTTGGCCTTGAGCTCCTCACTGAAGCCTGCTTCTTCGACGGCGCGGCGCCCGGCGCGGCCTCCGGTCAGGAGCGCGTCTTCGGTAGCTTGCTGGAGGCGGCTTGTCATGGGACCGAGCTCATCGGGCTCGGAATCGGGGGGTTGGGAGGAGATATTTGCAGATGCATTTTTGGGACGATTGCGATGGGGTGACTCGGCGGGGTGCGCGGGGAGGGACGAGGGGAGCGATCGGGAAAAATGGCGGCGAGTGTGTGGAAGTGTCGTGAGGCTCAGGGCGTTGAGTCGCAGGGCGCGGGTGCACCCAGCACAAACGAAGGGTGATGAGGCCATGAGCGAAGGCTGGCGAGAGAATTGGTGGGAGGAAGGGTGCTGGAGGCGAAGAAAAGGCGAAGTGCTTCCGGTGACGATGGGGGCGGAGATAAGAGCACAGTAATCGGAACAGTGTCGAAACTGTAGCTGCACTTCTACCGTAAATTCCGAATTGTTTGGGAGCTGCATCAACTCAATTCCAACCTCTCTGTTTACTATAGTTACAGTTGTTGGTTTACCATCAGTAGCACTCGGATGACATCAGCGAAATTTCATCGCCTCACTCTCAAGCCTCGCCATCGCTAGACATTATACTACATACGCAAGTATCATGTTACCCGTCTTCATCTCAACTGCTCATGACACGGCCCACCAGACAGGGCAGTGACTGGAGCTCAACACCATAAAGATTGGCTGATACACAGCCAACCGGGGCTTCTGATGTACAGATAAAGACACCGCTATATCGATGAGAATGCAACAAGTATAACCACAAGAAGCCAGCCCGACCGTGTATGCGTTCCCGCCAGTGTCCCAAGTATTTATCCAAAACACCGTCCCTATGCTTTGACCAAGACACCGCGAGCAAAATACTCCCCCTCAACAAGCACAGACCGTTACACAACAGCCCTCCCTTCCCCCATATACAATCAAGCACATACAGCTCTCGTCCCTTCCCACGCGACGCCCTCCCCGACTCTCCGTCCGCACAACCCCCGCCTAGCACCCCCCTCGACGCAGCCCTCGGCCTCCCTCATGGAGCCCACCAATCCAGGCCCCAGCGCCAGCGCAGGGATCTCGACAAAGTCCCCTTCTCCCTCCAGCTGCACTCGGAACCGCCCGACCTCGCGGAACCCGAGCCTCTGGTACAGCCGCATGCCCATGGGGCTCGCAAACACGGTCGTGTGCACGCCCATGCGCCGCGCCTGGTCGATCCCCCACTGAGCCAGGGCGGTCCCCGCGCCGCGGCGCTGGTGGGACGGATGGCAGAGGAGGATCTTGAGGAACACGTGGCCTCCCTGGGCGTGAAAGGGGACATCAAAGAGGTGGTGTCTTTTGTCTGCGAGGGCGGAACGGAAGGCGGATTGACGCGTGACGTTGCCGATTGTTGTGGGAGAGTTGGGGTGTGTTGGCGAGGTCGGGGATGAGGGTTCTAGGGGACGCGTCAGTATGATGTCGTGAGGGAAGATGAGGGTATGATGTCGGAGTACGTCACATACCGATAGCGCTGTTGCGGCGGGAGTGAGAGGATGGCGCGGCGTCTAGCCTTGGCATGTCCCACGCGCTAAAGGCCACGACTTGAGTGTTGTTGCTGTTGTAACGGTCCACGGGCATCTCGCAGACCACGACGGTGCTGGTTTCAAGGTACTCGGCGCACTTGCGCCGGCAGAGGGAGGCGAACTCATCCGGGTAGAGATGCTGGTCTGGGAAGCGGTACGGGTAGACTGGGTCGAGCGGCGAGGCCCCGATCAGGACCGTGGTCATGGCCTCGAGATCGGCCTCGTTCGCTAACCTGATGATCATGGTGGAAGGGTGGGATAAGGAGTTTTGCAGTTCAAGTTCTGAATTGGGTGAGACCTGCCGCCAAAGATGGCCCAGATGGCGGGAGATCCTCAATTTTGAGATGCGAACAAAGATGTCGCTACATGTAACTGGTACACTATAATGGCAGAATGGGCGAAAAGTACCCGACGGCCATGGGGCGCGGGAACGGGACCAGTTTTGTCGCAGTCCGGATTCCGCCGTGACCTCATCTCCCCACAGAAAGGCCTGCCTTGGAACGGTTGTCTTGGCATCGCGGGCCAATGACGACAGTGACGTAGGGCTGCCAAGGCGAGGCGGTCCACCCCATGGCCCACCCCCGGCCTACAGCTTGTGCTGTGATTGGCTGCCTATGGAACCCGCGGCTTGGTCGGCTGGGCCGCGCCCGGTCCCGTCGACTGAATCAGGTCGTGGTTCCTGAACCGCAAAGTTCACGCCATGAGCTGAGTTCTCGCGGTCTAGACTGGACCTGACAAGAAATGAGTGCCCAAAAGCCAATCCAATCATCGCAGACTCCGACTCAACACAACTGGATGAAATGGCGAGACCGCTAGCTCTGATGCCCGACTATGTCATGTGCGTGGCAGCTGAAGCTTGCGAGCTGACAACGTCACAGTCCCTGGTCGAGTCAGGTCGTGGCTGGTTGAGTGATTCGAGTCAGGTCCCTGTCGTGGACAGTCAGGCTATTAGCCAGCTGTCTACATTTTCCCATGTTGCATGCTGGAAGAATGATCTCGAGACACAATACTCACAGACAGGGCCAGCGGGGACAATTGATCAGATCCACGTACCGGAAATTCACTAGACGCAGGCCATATGAACTCTGGCGATTAGGGCCAAGATTGCCGCAGACAAGTTGTTGACGCTCGGGCTGAAACCCTACAATTGCACCGCATGAGTGACGTGTAAGGGCCGGTCAACCGTGTCGGGTTCGGGAGTTCGATCAGCTCCAGTACCCTTGAAAGGATCTTGTGTCTGGTGACCCGTCCGTTCAAGATGCTATTTAGCTGGCATTGCAGCGGGTGGCGACTGAAGATTGGCTTGGACTGGAGTGCCCGGGTACTTTAGTCATGTCGCGAAGCCGCAGATTCTCGACAGTAGTATGGTGGGTGGCGCTTCGTGGATGCTTCACGCAGGACGGTTCTTCGGCCAAGTTCACCTGGTCACCAAGAAACTTGAAGGTAAGCCTAGGTACCCTTAGGACTAATTGTTTACATCTCAGTGCTCATCATAACATTTACCATTTCAGTCTCGGCGTATGTGGTCCTCGATCTCCTAGTCACCACCAACGAGAGTTGGACGTGGAGTTACCACCGAAGCTTCCAGCCTTCACATTACCAAATAACTTCAGCTGTAAGTAAGTGGCCGGGGCTTAGGCTTGACTCGAGCTTCGAGACCCGCATGCGAGCAGCTTAAACGCAGATTCGGTGAGGACAATACTACCACGGCCTATACTTGATCGGTTATTGTAGTGAACATGATTGCATGTGGCGTTTGTAAACCGGTGAGCAGTGCAGAGAGCAAAAACCAAGCTCGGCGAGGTGCCCAGGTGGCAGTTCAGTCTTGTCCCAGTTCAAATGTCACTTGATCTGAGGATGCGTGAACCTTCTTTGCCATCCCGCGTCTTGGCCGGACTTTGGCCGCGCAAGCCGGGTCTGGGCCATCTCATAACACTAGACAAAGAGTGACTGGTGCCAGCTGATCTTGTAAACATGATTGTCCCGTGAAGCCAGGCCCGTAAGCAACTAGTATCTTGACACAGATAAAGGAGCACTGAAGTTGGAGAGAGTTATGCAGTTTGGTCAAGTGTTTTCAATGCCTCCGTCGAGAGTGAAGAAATCCCCTAATGAAAGGACATACCTTATTCATTGCCCTCAAATCCAGAAGCTCAGCGTTCCGATTCATTTAGAAATCGACATCCAGCAAAATAACCTGAGTGTTGGCCACTGGCGCCTGGGTAGCTCGGCCCAAAACCAGTCCGACTCAGGTAGCTCCCAAGTATCGGTGTCGACCTCTGTCGACGGCTCTAGGGACATAACGACTCTGACACGAGTGACGTCGTTTCCCCTGGGGCAGGTGGGTCTAAGAATACACTGTAGGCTGTAACTAAAGTAATAAATCTAGTCCAACCAGCGGCACATCATATGTGAAGCGCATCGGACGGAGCCTTTGGAAATAGTTCCCCTCGTTCAGGTACCATCGTTCAGGTACCATCATTCACTTAATCCACAATCCTTTCGCGTTGATTATACTCATAGCTCGCCTCTCTCAGGCTAACCTTAGCTGCCGTCCCTGTGTGATACGATGTGGTTGCCCTTCCGATAGGCTCCTCTCTATTCTCCTCGATGGCCCAAGTACCGAAGAGACGCAAGAGACAACCCCAATGCGTTTCCTAGAGCTGAAAGTTGCGAAGCGCAACGACTGCGCAGTGTGCGTCACTAGCAAGCCTGACACCACACCGAAGGTCCCCTGCCTCCGCCGCAGCACTGACCGGCCCTGTGGCAGTTTGCGCTCAGCTTCCAGGTGCGTTGCGTGGTGCACACGTAGATCATGGAGTCTTGGCAGCTGTAATGCCCCGGCGTGTATGGCAGGATGCACATCAACTAGCGTTCCCCAAGCTACCCTGCTTCGGCAGCCTGCAGGTCGGGGATGGCGGTGGCTGAGGCCAGGGACGAAACGGCAAGGGTGAGTACCGTAGAGGGACGCATTTCAACTGAAGTCGAGGTTGTGTGTTTCAGTCCGGAGTGCGGAGATATCGTCTCCGAATTGGGGTGCCTCGGAGACTTGTTTGGATAGAAGAAGCAAGCAAGCTGGAAGACTTGAAGTTACACTGTTGTCCATCTGGACGGCTATGAAGTCAGAGCACACAGGGCCCGCTCTCATACTTGTCTCCTTCCTTATTCCCCGTTTGGGAAGCTCACCTTGAAAACTCCGGGGCCTCCGTGAGGATCTCCTCGTCCAAGCCAACGTGCCTCCGGGCCAGCCGCCGGGATTGCACATGTTTGAAGTGAGGACCATGGCCATGAATAGAAGTACAGGAACGGGCCGTCTTGTCGATCCGTCTGAAATAGCCTGAGTTTGGGGGCCCAACTGCAGGTGTGGTGAGTAGTCCTGGTGGAGCGCCGATGGTGAAGGCGCTGAGTCAAGCGGAGCGGCGCGGTTCACGGGCGAACTCCTTCGATGTGACTTTCACTTTTAAAAAAAAACCTGCAGTGCCATCCACAGAATTTGTGCGTTAAGGTGCGCTCGAGACGATGCATCGCCCGGTCTTTTCCAGTTAACCTGCACCAAGCCCCTGTTTCCTTCTGCCCACTGAACTCGAAACATGTCGTTTTGCGTCCTGTATCGGCGTACAGGGAGGGAGACTGCGGGCGAATCAGAGCTCAATGCGAAACCAACTCGAATTGCAGGACATGATGCGCATCCCTTGGGAAGAAAGGAACCGGAGTAGACAGCTATACCTTCTAGTAGGTCAGCTTGAGGTCAGATGGGTGGTATGGTTAGTTGATTTCCTCTTTGGGTGAGTGGGGCTTGGGGTCAGATGCCATGACACTATGTTAACCATCGCCTGAGCTGTCCTGGAAGTCTGGCTAAGAAGACCGGACGCTTGCCTGCGTCTGAGAAAAGACGTACCTAAAGTAGTGAAGTGATCAAGCCATTGGTAGGCCACGGTATCTGGTTGGAGAGAAATCATCTTTCATACCCCCGAGTTGCACCCACACGTGTACATGAACCAGAACCCTGGACTTAGCAAGCTCGCTCTTATCGGTTGCCCCTGCTCCGAAACCGGGTTTCTGACTTCCCATTGGTCTGGCCCAGCCGATCTATCCCAACAAGGCAGGCATGCCACCGGGGCAGCACGGAAATGGCCCGAGAGTCGCAACCTAAATCAAGGAACAGGTGGAAGGAGCCATGACTGCCCGAATAAACCCGCATTTGAGCTGGGAATTCTGCTGAAGTTCCGCCTTGCAGTGAGGTCTGGTCAGGTACATAGACAGCTGTACGGAGCAGTACCCCCGGCGACCCTGGATGCTCTCCTTATCCTCTGCTGAACCACGACAGAGGCTGGCATGTCGAACTGGCCGCTGTGGTCTCTTCATCGAGTACTTCCATTCCCGGCCGCAACTTTGGAAACAGGCCTTAATCAGCGCACAGTCATTTGAATCCTATTACTACCGAATCGAGACGCGCTGAGTCGTCCGAGCCCACAGATTGGTCCTCAAACGATCGTTCTGATAATGAGTCCCAGAGGTGTGAGTTGGACCAAATTGATCCGTTAGTACACCACGCTGTCAATCTGGAATCTCACGACACCGTCCGTCATTTCAGCTCCAAACTTAGCTTTCAAAGATCGAAAAGTTCCAGAGGACGTAATCGCGAAGACGAGTCTCGATTCCGACATCGACTTATGCGGTGTCATCGTCTACTGGGAGCCAGGTGCGCCGCCAGCTTTGGGAAAGGCAGGAGCGTATGACTGACAAGTTTTCAGTTTGGGTTTTGCGGGCCGCTGGGGTGCCTTGGACTGGCCGCTTGCCTTGGGAATTGAATCGATCCAAAGATTTTCTGCTCCTTGGTAAGCCTCTTCCATTTGTCTTTGGACTCGCTCTGTCACTCGGTTGTTGACTGACAATAGGGTATAGCACGTCAATGAGATAAAAATTGAGACGAAGTGCTTTCGTTCAGGAGCCGACCACTATGACCTGAAGACTCAATCAACATCGTGCTACCCTATGCGATAGGCCCTGCGCGGCGGGGTCCGGGATGTTGAGATCTGATGAAGCTGCGCTGTCTTGCTCGCCGCGACGCTGAAGAAACCCGCATTCGACTGCGAAGACTAAGAAGCACTGCATGACCGCCCGAATTGACCAGACACATTCCATGCAATTGGGGGAACACCTTCATCAGCTTGGCGGTTCTCCTCAGACACAGGAACTTAGTTAAAGAACTGGGCGCTATTCATCCGTGTCTGAACTGACCCCGGAGGGTTGGCGCTATACGCTAGCAGGTACGTCGGTTGGAGATGCAGCGCACAACCTGAGATGCGGAGGCCTGACTTATGCTGTGGAACAGGTCTGGCTGAGCTGCCTGCCCGCGCGCTTAAGCAAGATCGAGATGCTCCATATTTCAGCGCCCCAGCCACGACTTAGAGCCTTCAAGGCCCGGAATGAACGCCCCGCCGCCGCGAGCCCACGGCTGTCCCCGTCGGAAACCACGAACCTGAAGGCTGGAAACGCCAATTGATGTTTCTGTGCCACTTTCCTGGCTTGGATCTTTTCAGGTGCCCAAATATGTGTCACGCATTTGGTAGCGCGTGCCTTGGACCAACCGGCAACCAGCAACAAGCCGTGGCCTCCTTTGATTGCCGGTTTGGTGTGTCTGCACCGGTTTCCAGCCCCGACGCCGTTGGCCCATTCATTGATCGGTTTCGTTGGCCACACCCGATAAGGCATGATTGGCCCACCACGTCGCACATCCCCCTACCCTTTTCTTTGCAGAGCGCCCACCCTCAGCCGCATCACAATATCAAGACATCACCCGCACAGAATATCGTGTCCGTTGACGCTCTGGCAAAGTCTTTCGCAATATCCGCAGCCATGGAGTTTTCCAGCAAAGACTTAGAGGACATCCAGCGAGTCGCGGGTCTGCTGAACCTCTCAGTTGACGAGTTGCTCCAGCAGAGCCGCTCCCGCAGTCAGATAGCTCCAGGAACTCCTTCAGCCAGCAACAGTCCACAACAACCACCCCGGCAGCAACACCCAGGGCTTCGACGAATCACAGATGTCTCGAATTCGCAGCTCCCTGAGAGTCACCACCAAACCTCGCTTGACCAAGATCTGGACGCCTTTGACATATGTGATCCTCAGGCAAGTGGTTTTGGAAGCGAGCCTTCCGAGCTCTCCCTTCACCTCACTGCCACACAGGGCCAAGATGAAGAAGTCATTCTCTTGAACCCACATACGACGTGGTACGACTGCGATGCAGCCGTTTTCGAATTCGATCCGTCCACAGTCGAGAGCTTGACATTTGAGGATACCACGACGGACCCCGGCCCGCCAGAAGACGGCTCTTATGTTCCCGTTACACCCATGGATATTGACTTTGAGTTCGCCAGCAACTGCGCCACTCGGGAAGACGCTCGTGAATCTGCCTTTGACGATACCTCGACGGACTGGGCTCTTGTTACGCCTTCCTCCGGATCACCGCCCCTCCATACCCCCCTCTCATCTTCCACTAGCACGGCAGACAGATCCTATTATAGGATTGCTCCGAAAGTTTCCAAGTCCAACGCTAAGTCGGCTTCGGAAAGTTCATCTCACCGAGTCAAGAAAAAGCGGAGTCCCTATGAGGGAAGTAAAAGGATCGATACTCATCTCACCCGCCAACTTCATGCCTGTGTCAGGTGCAGGATGCAGAGAAATAGGGTAATGCTGCCTTGATTGCGGGACATGTCTAGTTAAATTGGCTCTACACGTTCCGCTCATGATGCATTTTGCTTGCTAACTCTTGCAGTGCATCCCTGACCCGGCCAATCCTCGCGGACCCTGCTTGACTTGCCAGCAGAGGACCGTCCGAATGAGCAGGCTGCCTTGCCTTCGGTACATGGTCACAGACAGCACGCTGTATCGAACTGGCCTGGATTACATGCCGTTTTACCGGACGCATCCCATGATTGGACCACAATACGGGGATTTCCACCTGCAACGGCGGTGGACGGATGCTCCGCCGAAGTACTTGTGTCTGGGCCAGATCGGCTCCATGCATTTCAAGGTGGAACTGAGAGAGTTCATCCCTCCAGCGAACAGCAGAGATGTTGACCTCAAAGGGCGACCGATGTACGCCGTGCCCTGGGCGGTTGCTGACCCGGACGCTGTTGTCGAGGCGATTCATGAGTACATCGAGCGGGCCATTACCCGTTACATGGCGGCATACCTCGACGACACAGATCCTCTCGTATGGAACATCTTTCAAGCGGCCTACCGAGCATCAGTCTTCCCTACGCCTGTGAGAGTCATTACACCTTGCGGCGGGTTCCACAAGCTTGCTGACTGTAACAGAATGAATTGCTCAAGAAGACGCTGAGGCTCTGGGTGGCTTGCCGCTTTATCGAGTCCAAGTGGAGGTGTTGGTCAGAGACAGGTTGGGCTGACAGTGCCATCCGCGCCATGAACCCGCAAGACCCATTCTACAAGGACATCGACTCGCTCCCGCCATACATCGACTACCAGATTGCCTCCATCATCATCCATCGAATCCTTGGTCCGCTCAGGAAGGACGTTCTCCGAATCCTGCAGAGCACCTTCAACACCCACAGTCCCAAGGACTGGTTCGCCACGTTCCTGACATCCTTCATTCTCCTGCAAAACTACGAAATGCAGATGTTGTTCCAGAGGCAGTTTGCTGCGAGGAGAAGGGCCGAGGTAAGCCGTCAACACTCACAGCGCACAGTGACACAGTCCTCTGACACACATGAGCAGGTGCAATATCTCGACATGCCGCTTGTCCGAGCCACAAACTCCGGGGCCAAGACCATTCTGGCACACTTCCACTACTGCTACAAGGGCCAGCAGTTGTTTACTCCGGGGTTTGACTGGAACGCCCCGAGAGTTCGCAGGATGGCGCGGCTGGACCCAGAGCAAAGCGAGCTCATGGCTCAATGTCGAGATGTCGTGGTCAAGAAAGGTAAGAGGGACCCGCAGGATTGGTGACACAGGGGCGGGCGTTCAGCTGACCAAGGGCCAGCTCCTATTTTTCAAACCATCAACAACAGTGATGTGTATCACAATAAGTGGTGGTATACCAGCCAGCTCTTCGACCCCGACTGGACACCCCGCGAGACTCTCGAACATGCCCCACCAGCTGAGCCCTCCATTGAAAAAATGGCCTGATGTTTCCTTTTTGAGTTGCTCAGCACCCGAGTGGCGCCCATCCGCTCACTCTGGACGGCAGCCCCTCATTTTGGCCCGGATGGTCTCGACCCCAAGCGGCTGGGTCGAATTTGTACACGAAATACTGCCCCCGCCAATGAGCTCCACCGCTCTTATCACCCTGCAGCACACTGACACCGCAATGGGGGCCAGTTCTGGATCTGGTAAGGCCTATTGGTGATTCCTGTATGGCTTGCAGGAGACCCTTCCTGCAGCCCGACTTGACTCGGAGGACCCTGACACCCGCTCGGCATTGTTAGCCGCATCGTGTAACTGCGATGACATTCAGATGAACGGCACACTGCGCGCCGGCAACTCTTCCTGTGCTATTTATAAGCCGGTTCTTGATCTCCTGGCTTTCGCGGTTCTCATTGCTCATTGCATCATCAGCTCCAGCACGAATTCGCAGCTTCCGCACCATCTCGACTCTTTCACGGATACAAACTCGCAGGTTGAGACGCTTGAGCCACGATGGGCGCGGAAACGATTCTCTTAGGGCATCAAGGGCAGGATTGGAGCGCCTTGACCGTCAAGGCGAACTGCGTTCCTCGCTACTTTCCCATCTCGCACGAATGGCCGGCGGAAGTGGAGGGAGATCTCGCATGGGGACCCTCTTCCTTTGCTTCTAAGGACGACTTTACCCTGACCCTCAGCGAGACCGATATTTCCGAGATCCAGTCCGGTCTTCAGCACTTCAACGGTGGGTGTCTGGAAGTCTATGTATGCGAACTCGAAGCTGACGACGGCAGAATTGGGGCTCTATGGCAACGAAGTCTCCCCCAGCACTTTCCCCCTGCCTACACTTGGCCCTCAGCTTCAACGGATGGCCCATGACATTCACTGGGGGAAAGGGTTTTGGGTAGTTCGGGGTCTGAAACCAGATGATTTCTCACCTGAAGACAATGTTCTCGTCTTTCTCGGCATCTCGAGCTACATCGGCTCCGTGCGGGGCCGGCAAGACGAGAAGGGTAACATGTTGATGCACATCCGCGACGCCAAGCTCTCCCGAACACCCCAGCAGGACCGGCCGACAAGATACTCTTCTCGGGCATCAGTAAGTCATGGTTTCCTTGAGGGTCAGGAGCTCTGCTGACTTGCCTAGACCTTCCACACTGACACGTTCTGCGACATCTTGGCCCTGCAGACGCGTAACAACGCCTCCGTCGGCGGCAGGAACCTTCTCGCCTCTTCCTGGACGGTCTACAACGAACTGATGAAGACGCACCCGCACCTCCGCGAGCTCCTGGCCCAGCCCATCTGGTCGTTCGACAGCCGCGGCAAGTTCCTGCCGTCCAACACCCGTCCGCTCCTCTACCACCACGACGGCCGCATCATCATGAACTATGCCCGCGAGCCCCTGCTCGGCCTGAGCGGCGTCAACCGCGCCCCGGGTCTCGCACCGCTTACCGAGGAGCAGCGCCGTGCGCTGGACGTCATCGAGGACATTGCCAAGCGGAACCAGATGGTGCTCGAGGCGCAGCCGGGCGATCTGCTGTTTATCAACAATCACGGGGTGCTGCACTCGAGAGAGGCGTTTGTGGATTCGCAGGACTCGCCGCGGTACCTGGTGCGCATGTGGCTCAAGAACCCAGAGCTGGCGTGGAAGTTGCCGCGGGGCTTGGTGGAGGGGAATAAACGGATTTATGACGAGAATGAGCTTGGGGAGCAGTGGAATGTGGTGGACGCGCCGAGGGTTATGTTTCGGTTGAGTGAGCGGCTTACGTCGTGACGTGGGTTAGGTTTTGTTTTGATTTCAGTTTGGGTTTGGGTTTGGGTTTGGGTTTGGTGGGATGGAGTTTGTGGGGATGGATGGCCACTGGGCTGGGAAAATGTGGCGGGTGACTTTTTACTTTCTTTTCTGGTCTGCTAACTAGTTAACTTATACCTCTTCTGTTTGTTGCTTCTTGCTGGCTTTCAAAGCGCGATGTTTTACTGATAATTCCCTTATCCTTGACGATTTTCTCGTTTACTTGCGCCGGTACTCTAGGTAACACAGTACTAGAATGACAGCCGCCCACGCCATGATTCATTCAAAGGGTTTTCGCTCTGGAGTAAGCAACAATTAGTATGATCTTGAAAGGTCCTACAAGGCAGCGTGACTAGTGTCCTGGCGGGATTCAAAAGGGCGCGGCTCCCTTGGCCAAACACTCCACGTGTACTTGTACAGTACAAGTGGAACAAAAGTCAAACCTCGTGTGCATGCACAATCGACACATGCAGCCTGGGACCCTTACGGAGGGAGTACTGCAGTCCGATTGCGACGCTGGCCTTCCCCATAAGGCAAGATCGGCGGCCAGGATGTCGCGGCCGCGGTCTGATTCGATGGAGGTGTGAGCGAGTTGCATGCAAGTTTGCTCGTTTCGGGCTTGGGAAGGTTGCAGTGCAGCATCGGGGCGGCGCCGGGTTCGAGTGGGCGCTTCTTTTTCCCTCGGATCCCATTCTCCACAGGGCGGGCACTTGGTCTGCCGGAATTACTCCGTAGGCGACCAAGTGCGGGAAAGTTTGGGACCGCTGGGTTTGAATCATTTCAGGAATGATTTGGGGTCTGGTAGGCTCAGGTCCGAAGGGTTCGGTTCTGGTTTCTCGAAAGCTAGCTGGGAATGGGGGTTGGTGCTCCGTGGTTGTTGAAATTGGAATTATTCCGTTCCATTTTCCAAGTGCCTAGGCGCCCTGATCACAAGCGAAACTGGTGTGGAGCTTTAAGGGTCCCTTGAGTATCCTTCGTTTTGGAGCTTATCATCTTGAATTAGAACCTCTGCGGTGAGGACCAGGAAGGTGGGATCAAATAGGGGTTACACGGTTGATCATGCCGGTGACGAGTGCCGAGCGTCGAGTGGTGGTTCTGGATGCGCCGCCAAAGATCGCAGCTGTTTTGGATATTGTTAGGGGGGGCTCCGGGCAGGTAAAACCCTCGCTGCCTCGTCTTTGGCTGTTGATCAACTCGGTCTCCCGGCCCAACACCCGACGACCTCTGATCTCAGCTGTGCAGTCTGCCGAACCACCCACCCTAGGTGGAATTACCCACTGCATCACACACTCACACACACACACACACACACATCGACAACACTAGTACACTTGAATCTCGACGCCGTTGCCCAACATGGACCTCACCAGCGACATCTTCACCTCGATCTTCAGCCCGCTGGCCGCCTTCCTCCCGGAGACATCACCCAGCGGCGACACCAACCCGGCGCCTGAGTTACAGCGCGATACTAACCTGAACCCCTCGACAGCCGATGACAGCCGAACTACAACTCCCCAGGTCACCGCATCCCCGGGCCAGTTCCCATTAACAAGATGGCAAACCTCGCCGTTGAACCCGCAGTCCCGCATTAACAGCCTCGCCCCCATCCTCCTCCCACTTACAGAACTCGCCGTCCCGACCTGGCGTCTCGACGGGGTAGACACCATCGGCCGACGATTCTTCGCCACGCCTCGCTTCGCCTTGGGAAGACCGCCGCTGAGGATTGATGTGTATCTGCCGCCGGCGGAGGAGTTCTGTGCGAGCATGATGGAGGTTGTTAGGCCGCAGGAGGCAATCTATCGACGCCGGGTTGGTATCGAGGAACTGAGTGTGGGGAGGTGGCTATTGAGGGTGTTGACGAGGTGGGGACGGGAGATGGGGGATGGGGGATTGGAGCAGATGTGGTGGGATTTGCCGTTTGGGTCGGTCATTACTGTCGATCTGCCAGTACCTCTGGGTGGTGGGAGGGAGGAAGAGGTGGCAATGGTGGCGAGGTATGGCGTCGAGCAGGGGATGCTTGGGGTTGAGAAGCTTGAGGAGATGTGGAAAGGGGACGTGGTGAGCTGGGATGGGGTGGAGGTTGTGGAGTGGGAGCGGCTGCGGTTCGGGATGCAGATGCACGAGGTGATTTCCTTGGTTACCGTGGATGGGCTTGCGGGTGAGGAAGAGGTGGTGTTCAAGTCGGTGCTGCAGGAGCAGCGGTACATGTACAATGAGCTGAAAATACTGCTCTCGCTCGAGGCACATCCCAACGTCATCTCCCGGCCGATAGGAGTGGTCACCAAGAAGGGGCGGTTTGGCAGTCGGAGGGGTGTGTGTGGGTTCTTGCTGGAGTGGTTCCCTCTAGGGTCGCTGAGAGAGAGGTTGCTCGGGGACGATTATGATACAACGACGTCTATGACGCAGCGGCTGAGGTGGGCATGGCAAGTCACCGAGGCCTTTGTCCACATCAACCGCCACAAACAAGCGGGGTTCTATCCGGATCTCAAGCCCGACAATATTGTCCTGAGGGAGGACAGGAACACGGGGATGCTGGACGCCGTGCTCATTGACCTGGAACAGCGCGGCGGTTGGTTTGCATGGAGTCCACCCGAGGTGGCCTACGTGGAATATCTAGAGATGCTGGCAGATGGCTCCGGGTTGCCGGATGGCGAGCTGAAGGAGGAAATCGTGGAGCAGTTAAAGGCCTACTACGATGACCCTGACTGGTTGCCAGGGACGGGGAGCCATCGCTACCGAAACAACGAAGGCGGCTTCAGCTTGCCATGGTTGGCCTTACTGAAGCAGAGGCAGGCTGGTGGCGAAGGCAGAGATCTGCTGGAGAAGGCACAGGTGTTCATGCTGGGGAAACTCCTCTGGTGCATTTTCGAGGGCCAAGCCATGGTCCGGTGTGGCATCGATCACGAGATTCTGCGGGATGTCGATCCCGATTACGAGTCAAGACGGTTGGGCAAGGCGAGGGCATTCCCGGAGTTCAGGAGGACGCCCGAGGCTCTGCGCGCGCTGATCCGAGCTTGCACCGCTGGAGCTCCTGAGTGGAACACCCAGGAACCAAGATTGCCGGGTGTAGTCCTGCGTGGTGGAAAGCTCTACCCAGCCGATTCAGGGGCAGGTCTTGCGGCCACTTCCGGGGATACACGAGCCGCAGTCAAAAGATTCTGGGCTCAGGAGGTTGAGCAGGCAAGGATATTCATGTGCGAGTTGCTTGCATTTAGGGGCAAGCTGCCGGAGGGTGAACCGACGAGGGCACTGCAACGGCCTGCATCGGTATCAAGTCCGACCTTGCTGGAACAAGTGCAGACACGTCCGCGCTTTTCAGCCATCCTGGACGAGTTGACACGCATCGAGAGGAGTCTGTGAAGGCGCCTTGTGGCTTGTGCCGCCAGGCGTTCGAGGTTAGCATGGGATCTTCCAACATTGAAGTCAAAGATAAGGTAGCTAGATCTAGAACTAATCAACAACCCATCCCGTTGCTTTCATGCTGGTCTGCGGGCAGCGGGTATCACCGGCCTCCGGATGGTGGAGTTTGTTATATAGCTAGTTATTGGTGAGTGCTCTCGCAGTGCACGGGGCAGAAGAACCGCAGGGCCCATAATTGAAAGCCGTGCTCGAATGGTCTGCCGTTGCTTCATTTTAGAGTGATGTAATCTCCCGAAGTCCTTGGGTACTGTATTTATAGACATGAACGCCGGGGTCAACCGTCAGCCCGGCTAGCGTCTGTTGTTCACCCAGTGTTGATTTCCATGCATCATGGTTTGCGAAGCGGTTGAGCCCCTGACTTCTCACCTGTATCGAATTCAAGGCATCACAATAACTTCAGTACGATCAAGGTCAGGCAAAGCCCGGCATCGCGACATGTAATAGCAAGTGGATATCTCAGGTCTGAAACGTATGGCGCGTTTTTGGAAAACCCCGCAAAAAACCGCCCAGCCCTTTGATATCACTTTCAGAGAGGTAATTTTGGCAGTCCTCCCGTATTGCCCGGCAATCACGCAGTAGATTTCTTTAAAAAGCCATTAGCTAATGCAGCTCGTCGAGCTCAAAAGATTGATATCCTTTGGAAATGATGCATTTTTGTGGTTGTCGAGATGCACGAGCTTCAATTCCGGGAAGGCATTTCGCTCCCCTGGAACCGGCCGTCTGGCACCCTAAAAATTGGCGCCCAATCCACTAATCATTTAGGGCTCAACGCACTAATTTCAGGACTTCAGATCTCAACGACAGTTATCAATCTCAGGGCTACAGTACATACATTGGACGCTATATGACACTTGCACCCTTTCCACCC